TAACATATTTATTTATTGTGCGTGCCAATATATACGCGCACTCACACACGTGTATTTATTATGTACACAGGGTATATAGATATACAACACATATGCAGTATACATGTGAGAAGAGTCAAAAAATACCGGTGTTGCCTCTTTAATATCTTAATCAAGAAACAGCTCGTCGCATACCTCCTTTCTCTCTCTCTCTGCTTTTCGCTGCTCTTCTCTCTGCTGTTCCTCCCTGCCGCGCGCACCTATACACACACGTACCTATACACGAACAGAGTCGATCGGTCCGCTCGTTTCTGCAGATTTTACTTTTACCCGAGCCTGCGCACGTCGCGTTGCGGACCATTCGGCTATTGTTGTACACGTACGCATACACACAGCGATATAATAGACACCTACACACGTTCGAACCTATAGGGATTTTGCAGCTCGATCTCTCGAGCGGCTCGTGGACTCCTCCCTCTTCTTCTTCTTCTTCGTCTTGGTCTTTGACTTGTTTCATTTGTAAACACTCGGAGCCATGCGCAGTAGTGTGTATTGCACTTGATGTACAGTACGTATATAGCTATGGTATAGACTATAGCCGAGTGTAACGTATGTCGCGTTTATATGTGCACGAGGCGAGGATTAACACGTTCTCACGAGTCAAGATGCGCCGGGCCGTACACTGTACATATCGGTCTGTAAACACAGCCGTCGTCGTCGTCGTCGACCTTCGCATAATTATGCATTTATTATAATATGCGTCGCGAGGCGGCCAATAAGGACTCTCGCGACGGCTAATACGGGCCCTCGCCGTGTCCGCATATAAATGCAGCTGATTAGCACAAGAGCTGCGAAAAAGTTTCGAGATCGGCCGCCGCGCTGCAAAAATGTAATCGTTAATCGTGTTTCGTCGCCGCTAATATAGCTTACACAACGATCTCTCGCTGTGTTTCTTCTTCTTCGTCTGTACCGGGGCTATATTGTATAGAGGCCGTGTAGAGGCTCGTTTTTTTTTTACTTATTTATCGATTCCGGGGAAATTGTCACGCGCGCGCGCGCGAGAGCTCCGCAGCATATTTATCCGAGTGAATTATTAACGCGCCTCGAAATTGAGCGGTTAACGCGAAGAGAACAAACGGTGCGCGCGCGATCGGCGCGATTCGCTGCTTTTTCTTCGTCTTCCGCCCGTAAAAGAGAGCTTTATTGAAAAGGAAGAAGGAGAGGAGAGAGAAACAAGTTTAGCCAGCAGCTAGCGCCAAAAGAGAACTGCACTAGCCGCGCTCCATAGTGTAAGCTGCATACCTGACTTCTGGACGCGAATAAAACTAACGCCCCGACAGCAGCAGCACCGCACGGATAATGCGGTTTTCAATAAACGAGCAGCAGCTCTATAGCTATATGAAGCGCACCAAGTAGCGCCGTGTTGTAGTATCAATGGCCATCGGCCTTTTTCCACAAATATTAAATACTTAAGAATTTTTCACTTTTCGCAGGCATTTATAATTCCTTTATGCCTTTAACGCGTACGTAATATATATCGCATTCAACTGTATAGGCGTGTATATATCACGGCATGTTTCACACAACAATGCACGCTGGACGCCGCGTGAAAAGGAAGCAAAGTCCCCCCGCAAAAGGGCGGACATGCGCTCCGTACGCATTTTTATTCATATACACGTGTAAAGACGTCACAGGCACTTGCGTCGCATTCGTCGCTTTTCTCATCGTCCAAGCTTTCTTTTCATTACTTTTTTTCCTACATACATCGAGACTATTGTCCTAAAGCTTTACATACAGATCAGAGTTACAGAAGCCGCGCACAAAATCAAAGTATACGTGTGTGACTCGCTGTACGAGGAATCATTTCAAAGCTTTTCTCTATAGAGCGAGTGAGAATTTCCAAGTAGCGTCTCTCTCTATGGCATTTTTTGGCCCTAGTAGTGACATTTTTCTGGACAAAAAGGAGCAATTGTGGCCCGCACGAGCTCCGCTCATTGATATCCCAACTAACAACTTGACCGGTCTCTGCGCTTTTGTGACGCATAATTTGCTGCTAATAATGCCCGAGGATTTTCGGATATACACCCCGCAGCTTTGTCACTTATGAGATTCGACCGAACGAGCGAGAGCAAAAGATCAGAAAAATTCGTACACGGGGACGCTTTGATGTCCGCGGGAGACGCGACCAACCAACGAATTGCACTCGCCTACGTATTGTGCACGCGCGGACGTGCCTATAAATACCTAGACTTTTGGCGGGCAAGTTTCAACAAATTCCAAGCTGATTGAGTTCATTCGGAAAAATATAGCAACTTGATTTCTTTTATCGACTGCTTATAAAGGGGATTGCTAATCGAGTACAATTCGATTATTTGTAAATAAACGGGGGATCCTTCACCCTCTCTATATTTGTGGTATTATCAATCGATATACCTTTGCAATATGTTCGCGTCCAAAAACAATCCGATATTCGCAATTTTTATTTCACGTCACGTATACGTTAAAAATAAATGAATCCGACAGATAAACTTCATTTTTTCCACTGAATTTATTCTCGTATTTGGCATTCGGCGTGTTTTTTAGCTGCGTATACCGAGGGAGATCCCTTTGCATAGAAAAATCACAAATAAAATCATGCAGGGAGTAAAGTTGCATATTTGCTGTCGGGCCGTGCGTGCAAATGCATAAATGCGATGCAATGCATTGCACTTGCACGCGCACACAATACCCGGAGAGAGATATACTCGCACGAGAGATGAAGTTGGAAGAGGCCACGCGAGCCCAACGAATAAAACATTTTATTCGCTCGCGCGTCCATGATGGCGCACACGCACGCATACGTGTATATATATGAGCCAAGCGATAAGCCAATGTACGCATCGATACGATTGTTACGAGAGGAGAGAGGAAGAAACCGAGAGCTGGACGTTTATACGGTACTGACACTCGGGCATTTAATGTATAATAACGCCAAAGGCGTTTATAAATTACAAGTTTTGCACCCAACGCATCTGCCTATTTACCATAGCGGGGCTTATATAGGCGATCCACGCGTGCGTGTGTGCAGAGCTAGAGGGCCCCCCGACTTTTGTGCGTCGACTCGATCGCGGCCGCCGCCGCCGACTCAAGCGAGCCGAGCCAAGAAGCGCGCGAGCGAGCCTATGATAAAATCTCGACTTTTTCAATGTCACTCGTTTGAATTATCGGCCCGGCCGATCGTCCGCCTCGTGCTGCTATACACGCGCTCGAGTCTGCCTTTATTCGCGCGCTCACGAGTCGACTCTGCTCCGCTCGCCAGATACACGTATTGTATATAAGTTTGCCGCGTCGCGCGCACACGACCCAGCTCCGATGATTAAACATTCGCTCGCACATTGACACTTTTCTCTTTCTCGCTCGATCGAGTAATTGCGCCGATATATAGCTGTGCTGAGTGGCTGCTGCTCTCGAGAGTTCCTTTTTTGTCCCGCGCATCTTTTTTAGTGCAATACAACGGGTGCGAAGCTCGGGGAAATCATAAATAACGTTTTTTTCTCCGTCCTTTTTTTTTTTTTTTTTATAATTCATTCAAATGTTTTGCTGAAACCTTAGTCCGGTACACGCGGGTTTTGTGCGTATATGTGTACAAAGTATATTCGTCGAAAATATACGTAATAAATTTAAAGTCTCAATTCGAAGGCAGCTCGTCGGCAGCCAAGATGAAAAAGGCTCCGAAGATAGAACGCGCCTGAGTTGGGTCGCGCGCCCAAAGAGAGAAAGAGAGAAAGAAAGAGCGGATGCATACAAGTGCGAAAAGAAGAATACGAGCTTTGCACATGTGCCGAGCGAGCCATATGGTTTAACACTACCTCGCACACTTTATATAGCGTACGAGTTCGCCGGCTTTGCGAGACAGATCGTGCGTATAATATACCATCTTGACGATCCCGATATTATTTTAAAGTCTGTAATTATTGGACATCGATGCACTTCGTGCGCATAGAAAGGCTATTTTTCACTTTTTCGCGCTCTTTTCGTCTCTAATTTCGAGCGATAAAATTACGATAGATTAATTTGTCCGAAAATGTGTACGAACTACAACGAAGCGTTGACAGTATATCTATATGCGGCAGAGAGCGAAAGACGATGACTGCTCGAGCGACGCATAAATACAACGACGAGATGCAGTACAAAGGATATAATTGATCAAGCCTTGCCAAGACACAGACACATTGAGCGTCAATCTCATTCGTTATAATATATATTTAAGACGTATATATATGTGCTGGGTCGAGCAGCGCAAAGCCAACAACTAATTGATTCGCAGAATTGGCGCAGGCCTCGGAAAAAAGAGATTCGCAGTCTCGAAATCTCACTCAGTCAAAACCTCCTGCAAGCGGGATAAAAATCGAATAATAAACATTGAATGAAAAAAAAGAGAGAGAGAGAGAACAGACAGCAGTCGTTTGAGCTTGTTCTCCGACGCGCCCGGAGGACTCCCCCATGCCTTGCTTCTTTTTTCCGTTGACTATTTCTGGTGTAAAACAACAACAACCACATCAAAAAAACACAAAGATAATGATAGTAATTTTAGGCCTTGCGAGCGTGGGTCAGGTGAACGATACACTTGAAAAAAGCTCGCTCGAGCACTATCAAGTGCAGGCCGAGAATCGGAAATCGGAAGGGAATACAAGCCGAGCTTGTGTATACGGAATATCGAAAGCTCAACGAACTTTGGGTAATTTTCAGTCGTCGTAATACGAAACTCGTCGCGTCGCGTCGATCAATAGATTGTCTTACACTTTGGAGCAACGTCGTCGTGTGGCCGCATGAAAAACACTCGAGTGCGTACGCGCAATAACACCGACTGCTGCGCGCGGAAATTGCGTTTAAAATAAACATCGAACGATCCTCGCTGGTGTTGGACACCCGATCCCGCTGGTTTGTCAGCGCGCAACGAGATGCAATGATACATGAATCAAAGCAGGTCAATCGTCGAAATTCCGTCCAATAATCGTGCGTATGTAATTTTTGCTTTGCAGATTGGCAGGTAACACGAGCCTGACGAATGGGACGAGCAACGGCTTGGGGGTCGGCGGCAGCGACCCGGCCGAGGGCGACACGGGCAACGACGGCGGTGGCAACGGCAACCCGGCCAGCGACTTCATGCGACGAAGCCATCCGCTGCCCGAGCACGCGGCCCTCCATCCCGCCTACAGGCTCAACTACATGGACCATCTGTATCATCAGCTGCAGGCGTCGACGCACAGCCCCTCGGCCTCCTTGCACGGTGAGTCGAGTCCTCGATTGACGAATTAATTAATCGTACCAATATGGGCGTAAATCACGAGGCAGTTGTGCCTTGTGATTCCGCGAATATCGTACCCGAGCGAGCTTTAAACTTTTCTGCCTCGACACCGATCGCGCTAGTGTATAGTCTGGTATTTTTTTCGGCAAATTATAAGAAAAAATTTGGTGGAGCGAATAAATCTGCGATACTTCTCGGCGGGAATCAGGCGTGAAAACGATCGGGAGGAACGAGTTAACCAAGATGATATCGAGAAATATGTGACTTGTCACTGCCAAGGACACTGGATCGTTATTCATATAATATAATATTGTAACATATTATTTGCCGCCACCTTGCCAATAATATGTTATACAGATTACGAGCGAGATCGAGCCATAAACCTGCTAGTCCTTACTTTTTAAAGGTAGCTCGTGTGTGTATAGATTTGCATGCGTATACGAGTCTTATATAATAGCTTCATCTTTGCTCGCTGCGCGAGGATGAGAGATGCGGGCGGATGCCTCGCTGTAAGCCGAGTCTCTCTCTCTCTCTCGTTTATTCCAACGCTTGGGCCCGCATTTCCTCGGCGGATATCTGCAGAATTTGCCGTAGCTTTTCAAGTTGGCCATTTTTCTCGAGTTCGAGTTCGCGCGAGCGGCGAGATCCTTCTTGCCTCGAGAAATTTTCCTATGCGATGAATAAAGCGTTTGAACGAGTATCGGCCGATCTGTCTGTGCGAAGCTTTGCCTCCCCACTCGAGTCGTCGCGAGCCTACTACCGGTATACTGCTCCGTTTATAAACGATAAAGCGACATACCACGCGTATCGTGTGTCGAGCGTAATAATATAAAAACAACAAAAACAAGACTCGAAAGAGAGAGAGAGAGAGAGAGGAGAAAAAATAAGAAAGAGCGAAAAGAGAGCAGGAACTAACATCTAAATGTCTGTTTTTTCTTGGCAGGATTGGGTGGCTTGGGCTCGGAGTATCTACTTCACGCAGCTGGCCCCGGCAGCACCATAGCCTCGTCCGAGTTTCCTTTCTCGATAGACGGTAAGTTACAAATTCAGTCAAAATTCACTCTTCAAACCATAATAAGCTATTAATCAATTACATAAATGATCATGTATCAAAATATCCAAATTATGTTTGGTGAAATCATGTATAATTTTTATAATGCAAACGTCGTCACTGTGTAAAAAGGACGAGAAGCGAGAATCAAAAATAAGAATTAATAAGGAGCATTTGCCCAAGAGCTTAGCACGCTAATGTGCTCGAGGCAGCCGAGTCGATAATTAAAGGCGCAAGTTTGCACAAAGAGCTGCAAACGAAAAGAGCGCAAAGTAGCTGCTGCGTCCGTAAAAGAGGCGCCAAGCCGCCAACACGCGTTCGCTCGCACTCGTTATTGTGTCAATATCGTCCAACGGGGCCCTACCTGTCTCTCGACCTATCCACACGAGTGTCAAGCTTCGCGGAGAAGAAGCGAAAAGTAGCGGACGAAGGAAAATTGCGTATTAGCTGCTGTGTCGTCCAAGGAATATATAGGCGGGAGGAAAGGACTCTTGGCGTTCGTGTTCTCTCTCTCGCTCGTGCAGTATATATATCGAAAGAGAGCTGGCGAGGTAGCAGCCAACGGCCGAGTGAGAAGTACACGAATGCCGAGTGGCGACGAGGGATATTCGAACGTGATAAGAGAGCCCCCGACTGCATGCATATAGAGCTCTCTGCTCGTTAGCAAGGCCAATATCTTTTGCTCTCCGTTGCTCTTGATACATGCTATACTGTGAATGCAGAAACCGGCCTCCGCTCTCTCTCTCTCTCTACATGGTATATAGCCGCTGCAGCTTACGTAGCATAGAACCCTATAATTGAAGCGCGCATTGATAGAGAAACCAAACGAAGGAAGAAGAGAGAGAGAGAGAGAGAGAGAGAGATTGAGAGGAGAAACGCCATACAAGTTCACCTCATTAACACCTAAGCACACATCGACACGTATGCACACTACTTGGTCCTTTTTGCCGAGAGCAGCAGCTCTATATGTATGCAGTCGGGGGCACTTAAACGACGCGACGCTCGTAACATGGTCAATTTTCTCGATTCCACTGCTACCGCGCCGAGCGAGCATTTTCATTTTTCACCTTCTCACCGTGATCTCCACAGATCCAATTGTCATTTTAAATCATATGAAAAAACACACTTTTATAAATGTCTCAATTAAATGCTAATTTCTCCTTCAAAATTTATAATGCAATCCCTATCGCGTGAATTTACTTTTAAACCTTATCCGCTCTCCGTATACTTTTGAGGCCCGAGTCGTATCTTGTGTGAGAAGAAAAATAAAATTAAAAAGGTAATCTACTCGAACTCGAATGTATTAATAAATGGAACGTGTTCTCGTATCGAGTATACGCTTTGCCAAAGGAGCTGTATATTTCATGAAGGGATAATCAGGCTACCCTATAAATGTGCCCGAGCGTAGAAAAAAAATGCAAATTATTACATATACCTCGAGCGAAACCCCACAACATTTATTCTCGTCGACTTTGTGCATATATATTCAGCGTCCGTCGAAAATTTTTCAAAGCTCTACGTACGGTGACGTTAATTTTCGAACGATAAACCAATAGTTTTTCGATGCACTGCCTCGATAATCGTCTTGAGTGATCTAGACCTATCCACAAAATAGAATCAAAAAAATCGAAAGAATTTGATCGATTCGTAGGAGAAAAAAAACGCGGATGAGCCAAAAGAAAGTGAAATTAAAATATGCCATTTGTTTAACGAGTCGAACATAATGAGTTTACCGAGCTGTGCTGTGTAGATCGACGAAGAGGACGTTTTTGTCTTTGTGCTGCAGCTCGAGCCTATACGCATATATCCATATAAACCACGACGAAACCGATGTGCAAAACCAAAGTAGCTTTCGTACAGTGTGCAGGCGCATAAGCGGCTGTTCACAAGCACAAAGACGCATGTATATATAAGCTCGCGTCGGTGCATATATAGTATATTCTGTGGGAGTTGTCCGCAGCTTATAAGAAAAAAAAAGCCCTTTTGAAAATTGAAATACACTCGTGTAACTCTATATGTCGAGCTCCGCGAACTTGTGCTCTGCCTGCCTGCGTTCAAGTTGTGCGCGTGTGTGTGCGTACTTACCACCTGAAAACCGAGAATCTATCTGCACCTTCTTCTTCTTCTTTTTACTGCATCTTTTTGCAGAAATTTCCTTGCAAGCTACCACAAATTACACGAGGTCCAGTTTAATAATGCGCGCTGCCGGTCATTTTATTGAAAACCGCAGTCGCGGCCAGCCCGATGATTTATTTCATATTATGCACTCGATGCGCGCGCGACGACAAGTCGACCATTTAAATCATCCTCTCGATTATATTATAGCATGAATTATGATTGAATTTATCGACCGATGTATCGTACTACCAACATTAACGTATCGTAATAGCAAAAAATACGGAGTCATTTCCAGTTTCGAACGTAATAGCGCGTTATATTTACCGCCCACGCGCGAACGTCTCGAAGCAGGAAGAAAAAATTGCGCTCGCACAAAGTGTCAGCTTTTAAAATTCAAATTTATACGCGGGCACGACGGCGTTCAGACGTCAGAATGAAGAGATGCAAAGTCTCGAGGCTCGAATGAAATCATCAAGTTTCTCAAGCGAGTCTGTGGTTTCAGGCAAATAGCCGTTAAAGAGCTCGAGACCACATATTGCAATTTGCCACGTACCAATACGCGCGCGTTCTTGTGTGTGTATAGTCGTGGTGGCTTGGCTTCGTCCTGCACCGCACCGTGTACATGCGTTCGTACAAAGGAAAGAAAGAGACAAGACTTTTTTTGTTGTTTTTGTTTTCTGTCGCTTCTCGATAAAGCGCGCAAAATTCACTGTCATTTTTCGCATGGACATGCACGCGCGCACAAATGTACAATGGAGGCATTTGAAAGAGAAGAAGATAATGCAGTCGAGTCGAGCGCAAAACTTTTATCTCGTTATTCGAGCATCGTACGATACGTAAAGTCTGGAGGATCGATCGTTGTATCATATCGTAATATTATAATTAACGTATACAAGATATTGGATTGATTTTGTTTGTGCGTTGATCGCAGGTTCGAGACTGGGCAGCCCTCGGGCCTCGGCAATAAGGGCCAGCCGCAAGCGAGCTCTCAGCAGTTCTCCGTACTCGGACCGCTTCGACATCGACAGCATGATACGCTTCAGTCCCAACAGTCTGGCCTCGATCGTCAACGGCTCGAGGAGCAGCAGCGCCAGCGGCAGCTACGGTCATCTATCCGCAGGTATGTGCAGCCGCGCGGATTCTTGCGAATCATCCTCGATGAAAAAAGAAAAATAGGCGCGTCGCAAAAAATAGATAAATCCACACGAGGTCGCGCCGAATGAAATGTGAAAAAGTAAAAGGGGCCGCGCAAAAAATGCCATTCGTATCCGATGCATCGGGACTCGTCGGGAGAGTATCGCGATACGGTATTTGCGCGGGCTTGGTTTCATATGCAGGCGCGAGCTATCGATATCGCGCTGAAAAGCGATAGCCGCGATTCAGTCAATTACAATCGTCGTGCCATTGGTTGGCGCGCGCCTCATATATAATAACGATATAAGTTCAGCGATACGATTGTGTAAACAGAAGAGGCCACTGTACTCGTGTACAGATAATGCGGTATATATTGTGCGGCTGTTGGGCTCGAAAGAAAATCAGTACTCGTGCCGATGTGTATGTATTGTTGACCGGAAACGATCGCGAGCCTGTTCTTTCCATCGCGCGTTTACGATGACTCTCAATATAGGATACGCGCAATCGGCACACGTTCATGTATTATTCTATTTTCATGCCACTCGTCAGCCATGAGCCCGGCCCTGGGCATGCATCCAGGTATGGCGCCGCATCTGCAGCAGTTGCAGGCGCACCTGTTGCGCAGCGCCGCGGCTGCGGCCCTCCTGCCTCACGGCCACGCTCTGCATCAGCCTCCACCCGGTCAGCCGCCACCGCCGCCGCCGCCGGCCTCGCAGAATCCTCCGGGGCCGCAGCATCCCTCGCACGGCCACGGGACTCCGCATTCCCACGTGCACGGACATCACACGACGCAGCAGCAGCAGCAACAACAGCAACAACAAGCGACCAGCGTCACGGCTCACACTCAGCTTTATCCCTTGTCTCCGCATCACGGCCACGCACCGCCCAGCCTACTGCCCACCAAAACCGAGGTAATTGTACGAGCTGCCACCGTGTCCAGCTTATTCCGGCTTTTTTCATTTTTCATTTCGCGCCAAAAAAAATCGGATCGTTTCCTTAATTGGTAATTATGCCAAAATTGACTTTTTCAACAATTCGGCGCGAGCACGACACAAGGGCGTGTAGCGAGCTAAAAGGTGCAGTAGGCGATTATCGAAGCTCGAGCGCGAGCCGGCCAAGGGACAGCAGCGGCAAATGGTCTGGGAAGCTCAGCGCGCGGAAGGCGTATTATGTTACCCCCGACTCGTTTTTTACTCTCTTGGGTTCTCTCTGCTCTCGCTGTCTTATTTCTCGGCTGGCGATTTCGAGTAGTGCGGACTCTTGCTCGGATTACAATCGTTTTCGCGTATGGGCGAGTTCGCATGCAGCGCAGAATTTTTTTTTTTCCTTTTTTAATACATTATATTATGTTCCGAGCTGGGCACGCGGGGAAGAACGACGAGGTGGCACCAATCTATATATAATTATTTTTCTGCCATTGAAACGTCGAGCGCGAAATTTGTATATCTTGCGCGTGTCTCGATTTTTTCCGTCTCTCGACGCTTGGTGCTTTCTACAGATGTAAAAGCAAAAAAGCCAAAGCTAAAGCCAAAAAAAAAAAATTAAATGGTCGCGCAACGAGAGCGTCGACGCGAGAGGGAAAATTGAGTCATCGCGAGCAAGTCGAGTTGCGTCACATCGGGCGGCCGTTGGAGAGAGACAGCTCAGCGACGTGCAGCTGAGACAAGTCGCCGGGATTTTATTTTATAATATACACGTATAGGAAAAATTGGCTGCAGCCTCCCGAAGCAAGTTTGTCGGCCTATATCGAAACTGCCGAGGCAGTGCAGTGCGTGTGCGTCCGTGTATTTCGTTGGCGCACGAGTCTCTCGCTCGGTCACTTTACAACGCGCGCACTTTACAACTCTTTTTCTTCCGCGTACCTTTGTAAATATATAAATACACGCATGCACACATGTGTACGAGAGCGAGAGAGAGAGAGAGAGAGAGTAAAGAACCTGGCCATGCTGGCAGGCAAGACAACGGCCGTCCGATAGGTTGGCTTCGGGCGCGGGGCCCTGCGTGGAAGGGGTGAGATAATGTCGCGTTCGGCCCAAAAGTGGGAGGAAAAGGGAGGTCTGATGGCTGGGCAGCAACGTCAGCACGAGGCAACGAACGCCAGCGAGCGAGCGAGAGAGAGAAAGAAAGAACGAGAAGCAAGTACCAAGAGTAAAAGAGAAAGAACGAAACGCAGCATCTTGTGGCACTCTTCGAGACTCCCTCTTTCGATGCTACGTGCTGCTCCGCGAGGGAGAGGTTCCCTTTCCTCTCCCTCCTCTGTACCTCGTCTCTACACCTTTCTACGCGCTGCTCTTCCTCTCTCTCTCTCTACCCCTCTCTCTCTTTTCTCTCTCTCTTCGGTGCAATGCAAACTTACCTGCACACAACACACCGTAATACATTATGGAGGTTGAAGGCTCACGATCAGGGCCTCGAGTCCTCGAGAGACCAAAGCACGCCCTTATTTATAATTCAGCGCTTATCTCCGGCCTTATACATATATATATTTTTTTTTACTCGCTTCTCGCGCACAGCTCCATCTTCCTATCTCTCTTGTTTCACGGAACGATGTTTTCTCTTGTCTTCGGATACCTCTTGTATCCGAGGAGACCTCGAGACGCGACGAGATCGTTGCCAAAGCGACCTGCACTACGCTCCGTAACGATCCCGCTCCTCCCAACACACACACACACACCTATGCTATGCTCCGCGTACCTCGTCGAATTATTGAGCCAAATATTTACCATTTATTATCGATGCCATGCCAATGTAATAATTGTATGATCGTTTGCGTTGCGCGCATTTCAGCAGGGTCTCGAGTCTTGCCGAAGAAATTCCGACGTGTCGTGCAGATCCGTCACGGCGGAGGCCGACACGTCGACGAGGCGAGGCTCCACGAAGATCAAGAGGGAGCCGGCCACGACGACCACGACCACGGCTACCAGCACCATACCCTCGAGCCACTCGCAGGGTCTCAGCCCGAGCGACGATATGCGAGACGAGCCCGGCGATTTCATCGAGACCAATTGCCACTGGAAGGACTGCGGACTCGAATTTCCCACCCAGGTACGACATTGATTCGCCCATTTGTATCTACCTATTGTGGCCCATTTTCCAGCCATTCGAGCTACAATTCGCTTACTGCATTGATCCAAGAGGAGACGTGACTTTGGGCTGATTTGAAGATTAAAATCGTTTTGAATACATCTCGAGATACAAATCCTTTTCTAAGCGTTCTCGTACCTTCTTTACTTCCATTTTATTTCTAGTTTATACTTTTTACGTGTCAGTGACGTTAAATTTTCGACAACAATGACGAATTTAGTATTGTTGGCCATGAATATTTCTAAATACGTTTTTGTATATTTTTTAACTCGTGTTTTTTCTATAAGCTCCAAAGATTTTCGATTTGTTTTTTTACCGGTTCGTTTTAAGCTTTCACGAAACCCCAACAACATGACCTTGTTATCCCCTAAAATCGATGTAAATACGTGCTCTGTGCCAAATAATGTCGGTAATATTTGAAATCGCTCCAGTAAGCCAATAACGAAGATGCACATTGTACGCGAGATTAAAAGCCACGATTGTAACTCGATGGAAATTATTCGCTCCGATCGTTGCGATGCATAAAACGTCACGTGACTTTTTCAGGATGATCTCGTCAAGCACATCAACAACGATCACATTCACGCGAACAAGAAAAGCTTCATTTGCGGCTGGGAGCAATGCTCGAGGGACGAAAAACCATTCAAGGCCCAATACATGCTGGTCGTGCACATGCGCAGGCACACCGGCGAAAAACCACACAAGTGTACGGTAAGTTTACCCAACGAATATTTATTTTTATATAATATTATTAATGCCTGAATATATGGCGAAATTCTACTGAAAAAATCATAAAATATGTATATGTACGTTTGCCATGCTCTCTCGATGGAATTTAAAGCGTTGATAAAGGCTCTCGAAAGCTTGGGATAAGGTGAGACTCGAACGGATGAAACGTAACTTTGTTATTGTTGTTGTTGTCGAGCATGTCACCGAGCATGATTGTAGCTTTCCCTCAAATAATCCATAAAAAAGAGAGATCATTGATCGATTAATTGATTAATACTGTTTGCAGTTCGAAGGATGTTTCAAAGCGTACTCGAGATTGGAGAATTTGAAAACTCACTTGAGATCGCACACGGGTGAAAAGCCGTACACCTGCGAATACCCGGGCTGCAGCAAAGCCTTCAGCAACGCTTCGGATCGCGCCAAGCACCAAAATCGCACGCACTCCAACGAGGTAACGAACGACTGCATATCAACGATACAGTCATTGATCTTTGACAATCGACTAATGGACTTTTTTTTGCCCCATCGTCAGAAACCGTACGTGTGCAAAGCGCCGGGATGCACGAAGCGATACACCGACCCGTCCTCGTTGCGCAAGCACGTGAAGACGGTCCACGGCGCCGAGTTCTACGCCAACAAGAAGCACAAGGGCGGCAACGGCAGCAGCAGCAGCGACGGCCACGGGGGCCACGGAGGCGGCGGCGGCGGCTCCAACGGGGCCCAGCCCGGCGACCTCGGAGCCAACGACGAGCCCGGCAACGGCGGCCACAGCAGCCCGAGCCGCAGCGAGGACCTGCACGCCAAGACCCCGAGCCTCTCGAGCCCCAGCGTCAAGTCCGAGAGCGAGGCCAACAGTCCGCAGGGCATGATGAACCAGCAGGGCAGTCCTTTGCACGTGGCCAACTGCATGGACGACGGCTCGGCGGCCAATATGGCAGCCACGTTGGCCGGTCACGGAGCCGGCGACGGGGTCGGCGGCGACGAGCCCTGGACCGAGGAGCCCGACGATCTCGACATCGCCGATCTGCCGCTGGCCCTGCGCGCCATGGTCGGTGGCTTCGAGGCCCAGTCCCAGCCGCAGGTGCCGATCGCCTCCCGCGGAAGGCTGAAGAACCGACTGAGCGGAAAGCCCGGCGCCGCGGTGGCCACGATCGGCTCGCGCATCGCTCGCGGCAGTCCCTTCGTCGGGCCCCAGGGTAACATCGGTGAGCTTAACAGGCGCATCAACGACCTGAAAATGGAGACGGGCCCAGCGGCGCCCGTGGGGCACGCCAAGCAGACCAGCCTGGCCGACCTGCAGATCAGGCTGCAGCCCCTGAGCGATCCGCGCCGCGACAGCAACGGCACCGTCAGCACCTACTACGGCAGCATGAAGTCCGCGGACTTTGGCAGCAGTCGCCGGAGCAGCCAGACGAGCGCCGTCAGTGCCATAAGAAACGGCTCGCTCGGGCCCGGCAGTTTCTACGACCCCATCAGTCCCGGCAATTCCAGGAGGAGTAGCCAGCTCAGCAGTGTCTCGGCGCGCGTCAACGCCTCCAGCAATGCTCTGCAAATTCCCTACTCGACCAGCAATCTCGTCGTGCAAACCCAAAACATGTCCTTACAGGTATGACTTATTTTCATCTTATCCTCTTCGTCGTGTATCAAAAAAAAAAAAAAAAACACCAAAATTCACTCGCGAAATTATTGTTTGCAGGGCGCACAGGCAACGATGGGCAACGACTGGACCGTCATGGGTCAGTGGCCTCCTGGCGCAGCCGGCGACAGGAGAATGTCCGAGCCCGCGAGAACCATCCACAGTCAACGAGTCTCGCCGGCCATGCCGCCCAGACCACGATCGGCTCAACTGCCGGAACTGCACCCGAACCAAGAGGTCATCCTCGACGAGGTCGGCGAGGGAGAAATGGTCGAGAACAAGCTCGTCATTCCTGACGAGATGATGCAGTACTTGAACCAAGTTCAAGCCGCCGACATCGTACCTCCGTCGGGCTATCGCAACAGTCCCATGCCCAACTGTCGATCGCCCGTTTGCACAAGCGCTCAGCATTGCCAGCAGCAGCAGCAACGTCAACAAGCAGCGACCTGCAATTACAATTCGAACAATCAAGCTGCCTCCTGCAATTTCGGACAAATCAATCAAACCGCTGGCAGCGCCGCGCCTCAGGCTTCGAATTGCCCGGACTACGCGGCGGTCGACTCGCCGCACTCGATATACTCGAATCCGCGCTCCAATCAATCGGCTAACTACTGCGCTCCAGCGAGTCATGGACCGGTCCAAGCTTGCCCCTTGCAGTCTAACTCTGGCCAAACAGTTTTAGCCGATGCGCCGCTCAGCAATCAAAGTAACCCGAGCGAGCAGCCTATGACATCTCCTGCTGCTGGAGCTCTAGCGCCGCCTCAAGTTCTCCACAACATGCAGCAAACCTCGGCTCAAATGACTAGAAATTGCTCCAAAATCACGTCGGAACAGAATACAACTTTCTATCCTACCGGATACTCTTGTTCGGCTCCAATGAACAACAACTGCCCTAGCATCCAAGTGCAGCAGCAGCAGCAACGACTTCAACAACAACAGCCTCAAATGGCCAATCGAGCAACAGTAACTGCAGCAACCCCTTGTGTTCCGGCAAATTTCAATAACATGAGCAACCAGCCCTGTAACGCTTATCATTCTGCCCGACCACCGAGCAACGGATGCTCGACAGTCGCGCCACATTGTCAGCAACAAGCTGTGCACGTTTATCCTCATCAAGCCACGAGTAGGCAAATGGGACAGAATCAAAATGACGTGGCCATGAGCACTGACCGATGCTCGCTAGCTTCGCACGATAACAATTCGATGCTCAACGTCCGAAAAACTCCACAGAGTGGTCTTAAAGCCAATGTCATGAATCCTATGATGAGTCCAAACACAATGGAGCACTGCCCACGCCAAATGGCATCTCCTCATTCAATTGTTCCTAATTCTAAGCCTGTCAACTCTGTTGGCATGATGGATTTACAAATGCAGAATCCCTGCTCACCAGGATCAGCGAGTAACTGCTCTCATTCCAATCCTATTGGACCTCATCATCCCATGGTCAACCCAAATCTGTTGCCAAAGGACCAAACATCCAAAAATTGTTCCTATAATAACGCTCACACCCAGTATTGTTGTCACAGTCAGGCTCAACATCAAAATATGGCTCAACAACAGCAATCGCAGCAAACACAACATCATCATCATCACCATCACCAACAGCAGCAGCAACAACTACAACAACATCAGCAGCAGCAATTACAACAACAACAGCAGCAACAACTACCACAACCACAATTACAACAGCAACAAATTCTACAACAACATCAATTAGTTAACAATTCTCATTTTGTTAGTTGTGGCAGCGAATGTCCATGGACTTTTAATGGAGGACAGTGTCACATGGCTTCGAATCCACACCATGGCCATAACGGTGGCGATGTACCTGAAATTCAATGCCGGGACATAAGTCAATCTCAAGGCTCGCCCATGAAACCTCCACAAGGTATGCAGCAAGACTCCTACCGAAGGACATTGGAGTACGTGCAACAGTGTAGGAATTGGTCGAGCAATGCGTCCATGATGTCAAACGCTGAGTCCAATGTATCTAGTTCTACTCATCCTCTAACATTGCCACAACCTTTATCTAGCAGTACCAACATGATTGTTAATGATATGACTTCTTCGCTTAGTTCTTTGTTAGAAGAAAATCGTTATTTACAAATGATCCAATGATCTCGAAATTGCAATTAATTATTAAGTATTTATTATAAATGAATAATCAATTTTCGTGAGTGTGCTTGAACGTTGAAGGAGACTGTCATACGAACTATTCAACAAAAGTTATATTTAAAGTGTTTAGACTATTACAATATATAGTGAATTAAAATATTTAAAACTGAATTATTCAATTTATTATAAGAACTGTAATTAAATTTATAAATATTTATCGGCTATATAGTATCCTTAAGTTGTATCAGTAATAAAACCAGAGTAATTGTCTAATGAAATTTCATGTAAAATCTGTATTTTGTGCAGATTGATGTTTTTGTATTATTTTACAATAAGAAGTGTGAATGGAAACGAAGCGAAGTTAATTGACAGCCGCTTGATAACAAAATGTCTTAGTTTCTAAAATAATGGGAAAACGAAAATTTCGATAATGCTTTTTCTCAAGATTTTTATACTAGGCGACGACACAAACTGTGATATATTTGAAAAATCAAAGTCGACGCTGCAAAAAAATGAGCGGTCTTAAATAAACTCTTGCTGCAATACTTTCATAAACACAATTAGTTTAGATATATAATTGTAGATAGAGACGTTATTCTACCGGGTGAACATAAATAAATTTCTAGTTTCTTTTTTACTATGAACAATTAATTTACAATTATATATGAAAATCAGTTATTGAGATTTTTACTATGTACACATTGATAATTAATATAACTGTGTTATTATTATAATACATTTATTCGATTTTTTCATTTTGCTATATTTTTACTCTATCCTAAATGTAAGCTCTTTTATCCTAAATGTCTGTGAATTTTTAAGTATGACTGACTACTTTAAATTTATTATTATAATTTTCGCGCCATCATCTACGTCAATTTTCTTCACGAGTCAACGCAAATTTCTGTAGAAATTGTAAACAGTGCAATTGACAAATAAGGAAAGTTAATTACACATATTTTGACTCTGATGTAGTGATTAATTGCAAAACTGTTATGCAGCATGTTTTACTATTCCCTAATCCCATTATTATACCATGACAAGTTGAGTAGTATTCAAAAAATAAATTTGATTAAAAAGAAAACTGACTTTTGTGTTACAATCATTTCAAGAAATTATGCTTTTATTTAAAATAAATTATAACGATGCCTCATAGTATCAAAATCGAAAGTAAGTATAATAATTAAGCAATCATTGTAATTAAACAAACAATGGAACATTTACATTTCATCAATTTTATTATCACCATTAAAGTATAAAAACAAACAAATTATTCTTACAAGTGTACATTGTGGCTGACACAAAATAAACTTATTTTGTTATACAGATTAATTATTCATGCAAGTATTTTTCTTTCGATGGTGGAACATTAATATTTCATTTATAGAATAGATATTTTTTCCCCAAGATCATTTTAAATTTAGAATTACTTGCTTTTTTCGTGACAAATTGTACAGCTTTTACCAAGTACATTATCAGACGTAAGAATCTGTAGTGCATCGTAAGTTGTTGAACATTTTTCGTAAGTAGACGATAAAAACACAATGCAAAACAAACGACAAACTTTTAACCTTATAATTAAACATGATAAAACAATAAAAATACAAAATTCAGGTGGTACCTGATCGAAATCTAAAAAACTCACACTTTAGCTAATGTCAAAAGTCATTGGCTCATATATTACAACTTTAAACATATAAAACTGGAATTGAACAATGGTCAGAGTTTTTTCAACAAAACCAAGAAAGAATCTTTCTTGTTTTCTCGTTTTTGACTAAATTAAAAAATAGATTTTAAACTATTAGTTAATTTATTCAGTCAAAATGCTTCATTTAATTTTAAAAGAAATAAAGTAATTTTAATCATTAATTTTTATTCTTTACCTGTGTGCTAGTTTAAAATGGGCATTAATTCATATTTTCCAGCATTGTAAATTACAGTAAAATTTATTAACACATTCCTTTTTTTATTCTGATCAATAACAGTCTAAACTAAGCTTGGATCGTCTTGTTTCTTATCGTCCTCTGCATTTCGATCGTTTTCAACTAATGGCTCTTCAGGTAATTGACTAGATGGTAAAATATCAGGCATGAGAGGAGTCATCGGTCCACAGCTTCCATGTAGCTTTTCAAGTCTTGTATTCAAATCAGATCCTCTCTTATTAGTATCATTAACTTTTTTTACCAACCATTCAGCTTGTCGCTCTAAATTTTGTAATCTCACAGCACGAGCGTCCAGCATTTCAGAAGTCTGACTACTGACTTCGGGCAGTGTACTTATATTTTCTTCCGCCTCACACGAGTTATCGTTTGAATGACAAGATTGCTCGATTAAATTATTATCACAATTCATGGCAGGTAATAAGGTTTCCAAGTTGTCAATTATATTTGGCAAATCAAACTTTTCATCTTCTATTGTAGTGCTTGAAGGGTTACACATTTTTATATTTCCATCATCACTATAATTACTTGTTAAATTGATCGCTGGTACTCCATGACTAGAATCACTCAAATTATTATGAAATACCAGCACTTCGGTATTGATATTTTTAGTATCTATTGAACTCTCAATAACATTGGAGGGTGTATTATCATTTTGATTGATCATCTGATTTTCAGTGATTAAAGGCTCCTATTATAATAAAAAATTAAACAATAAATTATGCAAAAAACATGGAAAATAACGTTTACTATCTTAGACTTACAGTGATATTCGGAGTAAATTGGAAATTACCGTTCATTTCCAACACATTGTTTTCTATTTCTGATTCCGGAGTTAGATTACGTTCGCCCGGTGATGAAGATTCTTGAGATTCTTCAAAAATTTCGCAATCAGTTTGTTGTTCTGACTCGATATCTGGTATAATGGATCTCGATGCGTCCTTTGAATAATTTTATGGAGTTTTGGACTTATGAATATTTCAAAAGCTAAATAAGTCAAACAAAGTATGTGGTCTACTTACTTTTATGTAACGTTTACGCAAAATTATCGGTCGAACTTTACTCTCATTGTCTTCGTCTTCATCAGATTCTCCTTCGTCGATGCTATCGCTAAAGCCACTTTCGCCGCTAAAAAGTATTATTACAGTTTTTTATCGAACACCTATCAATTTTTTTAAGTAGAGATAATTAAAGATGTACCTATTGTTGAATGAATTTCCATGCTTTAACATAGATTTTCTAGCAGCAAATTCTCTGCGCAACGTTCTCCACTCTATTTCTGTGTTGTTATTTTTTTGTCTTGCTGACGCCCATTTTTCTCGACAATATTCAAGCTCTTTCTTCAATTCCTGTAACATTTTTCTTTTTTGCTGAAGCTCGTATCGTAAAATTTTTTCATGAGTATGGAGTTGCTGGTGCTGAACTTGCATATGTCCAACAACTCCCCAAGTTTCATTCAATTCATTTGAAACTGTCGATAGCCTTTTCTCCTACAATGAATTATTCCACATTATTAAGATTGAAAAGTTAACTGTATTATGTTTTATAATCATTAACTAACTTGTTCTGATAGTTTATTTTCAAGATGGCAATTTAGTTGTTTCATACGATTCATTTCTTTTTCAAGATGTTTTTTTTCAAGAATAAGATCTTTGAGCCGTATATAAGTTTTACTAACTGATATGACTAAACGTGTTCCACTTGGAGTTTCTACTGATTTATAGCAGCTATCTGGTGATGGTTCCATAGTCACTTTTGCAGTTGAATCCAATGCTTTAGTTGCATGGCAGCTTAGTAATTCCAACAAAACTCTCCAAACCTATAATAAGTTTAATCGTTTAATTTATATTTTACGGATTATTTTCCATGAAAGTTGAAACTTAATACCTTTGGTAAATTATTAGCAATGTTTTCTTCTTGAGTATCTTCTTTTTTTGTTTCATATTGATGATCTCGACCGTCAACCTGTTCAATTATATCCAATAACAATTTTGGCAATGCCGCTGCTTCGGTTCCGTTTGCTTTAGCTATGTCACTTATTAAATCATGATTTTCCTACAATTAATAAAACATTATGAATACTTTGAGAAGCAAATTATTTTGAACAATAAAGTGTTGAAAGTAACTTCTCAAATTGAATTAATATCATAAAACATTAGCACTAGTTTAATTGTTATACGTACTTGCAATAATTCGGTTAATCGATCTAGGTTCATCTCAGCCGATGAAGCACCAAGTAGCATTTGAGTGAATAAACTATTGATGATAGTCATTTGATTTTGTAAATCTCTGCATTCTGCTTTTGTTAAACCTAGTTGCGATTCCAAATTTAGTATCTCCATTCCTTGACCATTTACCTATGTAAAATATGAATCAAGTTAAAGAATAATATTTTGAAAGAAAATAAAACAATAATAATATAATTTTTTAATTTATTGCACCATGATAGGCTTTGTTTTACCTTATCTTCAGTTTTATTTAAATCTTCTTCTAAAATTAAGTTAGATTCTTTGCAGTTTTCAAGTTTAGATCTCAATTCCTTAATTTCTTGAAAATTTATATCCTTAATTTCCAAGAGAATTCTGGATCGTTCGTTAGAGAGAGTTCGTGCTTTTCCGATATCTTGTACAAGGTATTCAGTCTCTCTTTTTATATCATACTTTTTGATATTATCAAAATCATTCTCCAAGAGCAAAGATGAGCGAGCAAGTTTATCTTTAAGCGAGTTAACTTGCTTTATTCTTTTAATCAAATTCGAACGAGTTTCTTCAGACAACTGTTTGAGTGAATGTATTCGTAAACGATGTTCATCAGGATTATTTTCCAACTGAAAGCGTAAATCATCCGTGCGTTCCAATTGAACTCTAAGTTCATTCATCACTTCGTTTGATATCTATGTAGAATTAAAATTAACAGGTATTATTATTTCTGAAAGAACCGAAAAAATGTCAAGAAGTACGTACTTTTATGAGGTCTGAAAGCCTTAAAGCTTCGATAAGCTCCTTAGCCTTATCATCAAGTTTTAGTAAACAATTTTCAGTCTCGTCAGAATCTGTTGCGTCTATCGATCGATTACTTTTCAATAATTCCATTTGCCTCACTGTTTCGGAATGGGCAATTTTTTCATTCTGTAACTCTCTTTTCAATCGCTCCATTTCAGATGAAATATTCGCAAGGGCTTGCTGCCTTGCTTCGCGTTTTAACAATAAATCGTGTTGGAATTCTTCCATAGTCATCGTAGAACCAGCATGATCAATCATTTTTACTGTATCTAAAAATGTTTATTAAGTAAATAATCGATTATAAAAATTAAAAATAAAATGAAGGGCTTACCTTGCTGCTGATCATTTTTAATAATATTTTCATCCATAGAATGAATTGCTTGACCAGAATCGACCATTGTTACAGCGCTGCGATTCCTTTCTTCTTTAAAAACTACTAATTCGGCTTTGAGTTTGTTAATCTTTTCATCTTTATCCTTGATTTCTTTGTCTGCGTTAGTTTTTTCGGAGAGATATGAATCGCGCTCAGCCAAAAGTTTAGAGTTTTCGTATTCTAATTCCTTGAGTTTTTTTTCGAGAGCATCCATTTTTTTGTCTGTTTGTTCATCATCGATCTTTTAAAATAATTTAATGTTCAATATATTTTAAATTACATTATATTTATAAACTGCTTCAAGGACAAATTACCTTATGATTGTGTAAAAATTCTTCATTTTGTTCTACTTCATTTTTTGCTGCAGGCTCTTCTTTGAAAAAGTCACTTTGATTTTGTGTTTCATCCCTCAAACGTTTTCTTTTTTTATACTGCTTGTTAAGAAGTCTATTAGAAGTCTTTTTTTTTCTTGTAGATAACCTTGGTTTAACTAGTGAAAGTAAAATATAAAATATTATATAGACTATGAAACTAAAAAAAAGCTTTTTGTATCAGATTTTTATTCACCATTTTTTGTAGATTCATCTGGACTTTTTGATAACTCAGTTAAAATATTTCGAAAATGATCAAAAGTGAAATTGTAAGCTGTAGCTAGTTGCTGGTTAGCAGCTGCTAAACATTTTATTGTCTGAGCCAAGCTCAAATTTTCTTTGAGAGTATCCATTGCCGAACTCAAATACAATTTTATGAAAAATTATTATCTGGAAAGTATAAAAGCTTATAATAAAGCTGAAAAGTTATTAATTCAAATTTATACCCAGATCTGGTTATTTTTATTTTTATAATTATAAAATCAGCGGCCAGAACGATTTTTGCATTGCAATATGGCAAAATGATTTGTAGATATTTACACAATTTCAAAAACCGATAATAACCGATGAATCCATTACAGTCATTATTTTAAACTTTTAATGGAACAGTTATATTGATATATTTTTGTTGAAAATGAATTGAAACATAGAGTCCTAATCGTATAAAAGTTACACCGAATATTTAGATAAAGCAAATTTGTAGGAATATTCGTCGGTTACTTCGTCTATGTGACTAAGCCGTATCTGACTGACGCTCAAATAATGAAAATTTTAGTTTGAATATAATACTGATAAATTCCTAATGTCGTAAAAGGTATGTCATTTTATAAATAATGACGACAGAAAGGATCGAAATTGTGCCAAAAAATTTAATTAAACATTCAGTTCGAAGAAAGAAGCTATGACTATAAATGAACAATTTATAAATGAATGTACTCATTTGGCGTAAGAGATTTCTTTGTGTCGTAAAAGCCGGCAGCACGTGATAGATTCCGACGAAATCGAGTACATGACGTATGAGAATTTCAGACTTTTTGGTTGAAATGTATGTTCAATGATGAAACATCGGGAGGTATCGAAATTTTTAAAAAATCGGCGAATTTGTTAATTAAAAGTCGAATCTATGTTTGGTATATTGTAATTTATAATTTTTTTTTTTTTCATTAATACATCAATCTTATTTTAAAAAATGTTCAAAGATTTATGAAGGATGCGATGCGAAGCTCTGAAATTTCTGAATTCTTTGAAAATTTCCAAGCGCAATTAGTGATTACGAGACTTTATGAGTAAATTAAAAGTTTTCAAATTAAATACCCCAAAATCAATACTTTTTATACTTTTAATTGTGTCAACTCAATATATACACATAAGCTGGCTCTATGACAAACAGTTACTATTCAATGATTCAACTCGAACTTAAAAGTTGAATCAAATGTATTATTAACTATTGCGAACATCTCTATGGAAATCATGACTTTAAAAATAAATATGAAATATGGTATAAAATTTTCTAGTCAATAAAGCATTGAAAATAAACCTTCGGTAATATCAATCAAGCTAAAAATAAGTTGAGCCGCATACAGAGATGAAATTTTCATTGTCGTGAACGTACATGAATTGCAAAGACAAAGACTTGTGAATAAGACGAGCTGGAAAATACTCTTAATCATAAAAAATTTAACACAACTACTTGTTCTCTTTGATGATTCACGAGCACTGGTTTACTCACTTTGATTTAGCCAGACACCTTTATATGCGCTGCGTTTCGGACGCGGCGGTACACGCACAGTGCGGATGAACGAGAATCACGACTCAAACCGAGCGCGAAGGCATTTGTACTGGTGCAAAGTAAAAGGTTCACTTATTGCAATAACAAATGAAAAGATTCGCTCGCTGCTGAATCCCCAAGTCTAGCGGGGAAACTGATTAGCTTTTGGCTAAATTCCAAAAACGTTAAAGACGCCTTTTCTTGTTACAGCCCTCCTCCACGCGCACACGCGCTAAAAATAAAACGTTATGCCTACTGTTAGTCTGCATTATTCAGGGGGGTTTTCTCGCTCAGTTCCACATTTCTTTTCAATCTTTTTTTTATACTTGTAAAATTTGTATTTTACAATTCTCTTGTGCGCAAAACCAAAAGACTGCTCGTAATTTATGCTTATTGCTCTTATGTTTTACAGCTATCAAAACCACTGTTTAACTCGTAATAGATTTAATTCAATATCCCTCAGAAGTTTTTTCTCGAGTTCGAAGTAGTTATTGATTTGACAAAAGTTGCAACGTTCGTTTACGTTATCACGTTGGTGGATTGAATTTTTATTTTAGAAGAATCAATATTGTTAAGAATATTAATATGATGAACAAAAACCATTGTAGAGGCGTAACTTGGAGTAATTGGTTTTTTTTCATTTTAGAATTTCTTTCATATGATATAATCAACATGACACCCTGTGATGTCTTAAACTAAGTTATTGAAACGAAAAAAGTAGTTTTTAATTTCTTTTGTTTCACTGATGAAAGATTAAATTTGTTCAAATGGTACCTGAACAATCCACCGCAGCTTAAAGTATTAAGTTTTATCATGAATCTTCCTTACCGATTCAAAACTGCCTGATCATCAATCGTTATTTTATAGAATTGCTGGTAACATTTATGAATAAATATTAATTTTTGTAAATAGTTACACAAATTTTAACAAAGTCATCAAGTATGGAAATTGGATATAAAGTTTATGTGATTATAAATGTCGATCAAAAACTTGATTAATAGAAAAAGATTTCTCTTATGGATTTTACGTTAATTTTATTAAATTTTAAAAACACGATGACTGGAGTTGAGGAAAAAAATAATAAATCTAGAACATAAAAATTGTTTCATACGAGCTTTTATTAAAGCTCGAGAATGAACGACGTCCACCTTAGGATGTCAAATCCAATAGGTTTATTGCTGATTGATTCTGTAAAGCAAAAGTCAGAGTGCGGCGATTTGACACAGAGAGGAATAACTCAACTCGAGCAGAATGCAATTTGTTTTCTAAAATGACTGGAACCAAAAAAAGAAAAAAAAAAAGAAAAAAAAACAAAGTACAAATCCAATGCAAATCGTCAGACTGAATTTTGGGCGCGATCGCGGCTTTGCCACTCTACTCCTACGCTCGCACGCATGCACTCTCGCGTGCTCGAGTCCGATGCGCGACAAGAGCGCAAGAGCGAACGAGATGGCGAGATAGAGAGAGTGAGAGAGAGGAGATATAGGCAGAGGAAAGAGAGAGGCTCGAGCCGAGCGACTGTACGCTGACTGCTAGTGCGCTGCTGATGCTGCCTACTGCTCGACGAGCTCGAGCTCGCTCGTGTGTACATACTAAAACATATATGTACAAGTGCAAACGCACACAGCAAGCCAGTCGCTCGCTCGCGCTCGAGTACTCGCGCGCAGCTGCCGCTCATAAGCCTTGACGCTAAAATATCATCTGCTGCAGAAGCAGCAGCAGCAGCAGCAGCAGTAGTTGCACCACTACTACCTACGCTGCTCCTCCACCACCAACCACCACCACCAACCAAAAAGAGAAAGTGCACAGTGCAACGCGCGTACTCGCCATTGTCTTTGCTCGTCGTTCTTCTGCGCCAAATTATTATTAAATAAAAAAAAAATTATTTTACCTGCCCACCCGATATCGGTTTGACAACAAAATCATTCCTTACGGGGCCTGCGAATGAGCCGCGCTACAATTGACAAGTGCCAATGTGCTAAGGAGAATCAACGAGCCACCAACAGCTGACAAGACCTACTTTATTTGGAGTATATACACGTATATATATACACACATATATATTCGGTGTGAGTTTGCTATACCTATATATTCGTATAAAGCGTACATGTATTGAGATGTAAATGTTCGTGCGTGTGTGTGTGTGTGTGTATGCAGCTAGTCAAACGGGCCAACTTTTGCACACATGTACGCGTCTTTCTATTGCACCAGTCCTTCCGTTTCATGCATATAGCTATTCGCCTTTTTTTGTCTGTATCATACAAACGTGTTGGATCTATAGACGTGTAGGCTGTGAAAGGGGCATTTTTTTGCACCAAGTTTTCAGTGATGCGACTTTTCCCAGTGACACTTGCGACAACCCCCTGCGTCACTTGATAATAATGTGCGCGCTGTGAATTTTTTGCACCTTTTTTTCTGCACTGGCTCTGGAATTTCAGGTGAACGGTCTCTTTTTCTCTCTCTCTCTCTCTCTTTCACTATCGATGGTTTGACTCTTTGTTTTTCGCATTAATCATTATTTGCACGGCTTTTTATCAATCTCTCGTTTATCTGATTTTATATGTACATTACAACATTATTATGCAGACTGGCACGTGGACCCCGTTACCAAGCACAGGGTACTGTTACCAAGGTGTACTTATAAAGCCACATAATGAATAGTCATGACAATTGAATGTTATTATGTCACCGAATTCACTGAATAATATCTTCCTCTTTTCGCTCTTGGAAATCTTTTTCATGTGCGGGCCAGAAAAACATTGACCATTAAATCATCATCCAACGAGCGCGTTTTTCTTTTATTATGTGCTAAACCATTTTGACTTCACAGTTCATTGATTCGCATCCAGTGATTATCGCATTTTTTTCTTGCTATGCTCGATAACTCATGTGATATATAGCTGCAGCATTCTAGTGTGCATTAGCTGTTTTTTTTTGTTCGTTGAATGCTTTTTCTATTTTTACGCGCTGATGTCATACATGGGTTTTGAGAGAACTTGGTACGCTTCTACTTATTGATTACAACTACTATAGAAGTTGACGATGCACAGCGGGAAAAATTGAATACAACTATAAAGTTTTGCGACCAGTGCCAGCGAAATTAAAACATTAATTTTCTTATTTTATTCATCGCGTGCATTAAATAAGTAGGTAGCGAATGAAGAAATCTTGCATTGCAAAACTGACACGAATCCAGAGAGCTTTTAAAACTAAAATCTATGATTCATTCATTTAGTCGTATTTGAGGCTTCAATAATCTCGTAGGACGATAAAGATGGGGTCGATTTATCTTATCGGATAGCAAAGTTTCAAATAATTACAACACTAGCTAGTAAAACAAATTTAGAATAAACATTTTCATTTTTCCCAAATGTTCGTTTAATATAATCCATTCGTATAGTCAAAGAGTGACGAATCATTTTTGTATTGTGCAAAGAGATAATATTTTCAAAGATAAATGTTGGTCACATTAATTTTGTTACCTACTTTGTTTTACGCGTTACGTCTTTGTTAATTCATAATCTCGCGATAACATCGAAATACTTTTTATTTAATGTTTAGTTCTGAGAACTTTTTTCTTTTTCTAAGTAATTTTTAATAAAAATTAAGAAAAATGAAAAACATTTATAAAACAAATGAATATGATTAGTGACGAAAGATGCACTGATCATTAATTCCACAACATTGGATGCCAATTAAAAATTTGTTTTGAAAAAGTAACATAAACTTTTTGAATATACATATAAGTTATTTTTGAAGAGTTGAATTCATTTTTGCCACTTTAAATAATAAAGTCTTTTCAATTTTAGAATATTTGAAATAAAATAATAAAAACCCAATAAAGTAATGATTAACGAATCGACTCATGTTTATAATAATAAGAAAAAAGAAAAGATAAAAAGTCTGTTTAATGGCAAATAACTTTTGCATTTGTTTTAAAAAAAGTCGATGTTTAATCGCTCTGCTATTTAATATAATTGTATTTCACCTCATACAATAATATACCTGTTACATAATGCTACAATTATAACAATTTTACTGCGACACCTTTTCTTAGATGTAGTTTTAAATAAATTACCAGAGTAAAGTTACGCGATGCAAAATGGTGTTTTTCTCACGTTCTCGCAATTAGTCGTCAAATTGACATTACAAATATTTCCTTCTTTTAGCGAATCAGCGATAATAAAACCTTGAATTATAAGTAATAAAATTTTATGACAGTAATGTATTGTTTATATTTTATATGGAGCACTAGTGATACGCTATCATTTTGAAGTTAAAAAAAGTATATATTATCCACAAGATTACGGTTATATCTGGAATAAAGCAATTCGTGTAAAAAGGTGGTCAGTTGCTCGAAGGTTTTTCTCTTATAAATAAAGTTATCATATTTTAGTAAAAATATCATTATGGAAATGAAATGAAAAATTGAGCTAGCCAAAATCCGTGTCACTGGAATTCAGTCAAAACTCGGGAAAACAGATTAGCTGTAAGCCGCGAAAATGGCTGTCGAGATGAACAGGAAGATTCATCGTCGCATATTGTACAGGAGAGCCGTTTCATCGATGTATTTGGCATTGGCATGCAGGCGAGCTGCACACAGATATTCCAGCGGTGGCTTCAATGTAAGCAACTTGCCTATATAGATCGCGTTCTCATATCGCACGAGCCATTGGCAACGTGCAACAAATCGATCTTTTCCATTCACATGTAAATTATTGCAGAGATCTTAGATGTACTAATAGTTCCGAATTGGAAAAATAAATACGCCGATGCTTGCGCGAAAAAAATAGCCGTTTCTCCAATGGCAATACACCGATGTAACTTAATTTCACTCGCGTCATTAGGCTCCTTTCATCTATTAATATTGCATCGCGATCGATTGGTCGAATAACAATAATTGTTGGTAATTCACTGTTGTTGATAACGATTCGATAAATTACTATGCGTGTGCTTAGGCTGTTTGTAACCAATTACGAGAATGCAAATTTGAAGTAACTTGAAAATAAATGTGCATGTTTATTCGAAAATGTTGATGAATTTAGTATTCGATTGTAATCACATTAAACTGGCATTTTTGTCTTGTACAAACTAGTTTTGCAAATAAAAAATAATTTTTAAATGAAAAAAAAAAAAACTTGAAAATCAATAGAAGATAGGTCGTAATTTGAAAAAATATCCAATAATAAAGGTAAAAACGTGTTTGGAAATGTTCATTTTCTCCCTTGCTTCGGTATTTTCTCGGAGTAAGTTTTTTCAAATTCCATTTGAAAAATGTTCAAAGAATGCACGAAACTTGCAATGTTTTAAAACGCACGAAAAAGAATGCAGAAACGCAGCTGTATTTCGCATCATAAAAATGTTTCGTCTTGTAAATTTTCATTTTTTTCGTTGTTGTAAATAAGCAGAAGAGCCGAGCTATATAAAAATGTAAAAATAGCAATCTTAGGCAGGTAAATAAGAGCCGAGTCGAAACGAGTAAGCATCAGAGACAATATCGTAGGCCAGCAAAGAAAAAGCGAAAAAAAAAGAAAAAAAACGAGGCTCCTATATGCTCGAGTATCGAACTCGGCAAAGATGAAGAATCCATGAGATGTAATATAAAAAGAGGGGAAGCCAATATATCGAGCTTCGTGTGTCCTCATAGCTGCACGCAATTGACAGGTATGCGCGGCTCTCTCGAGTTTGATTGGTCGCCTATATAGCGAGGCGTCCGCGCGCGCGGGTTACAGCTACCATGCCGCACAGCCGAGGTATTTGAGGTCGGGGTTCATCACGCAACACCTCGACCGACAGACACGGTGGCGGATGCCGCGCTTACATTAGCTTCGTGCACGATAGCCGCCGCTGCTGTTTAAGTATATTATGCTCATTGCATTTCTTACGTCGCGGCACAGAGGCGAGTGCAGCACTTTTATACTTTTTTTTTTCTGCACAGACACTTGTGAATATATTAATACTTATTGTCCATCGTGTTATATCCTCGTCGCGAGCTGGTCGTCCGGTATCTTGGGCTTCGAGCACAGACTCGTCGAGCGTGTGACCGAGGAAGCCCCAATAAATCGAGACTAACGTATCGAGACGGGCTTCCTCTTATCATCGATGCGTCTCTATACCTGAGATTGTCGCTTGTTCCTAGGACACAAGATAATCATACAGCCACTTATAATATATTTTATATATATACTCGCGTATCGACGAGACTTTTCTAAACGAATGAACCCGCCGCTCGCTCGGCAAGTAATTAAACACGCAATATACGATATTGTTTAATCGATATCTTGCAAACTGGCGCGAGAGAGGCACATGGTCGAAAAATAAGAGTGTATTTAATGTATCTTTATGTATAGGCTCGGTACTCGCGCGGCAATTTCATAGACAAGTTATTATGTTTGACGATAGCGCGCGCTGATAAATTAGCCGATCGTATCGTTCACGTGCTAATTGGCATTAGTTGCGTCGGCTTTCCGACTTGACTTGACTCTCTTTGCCTCTTGTTATCATTATGCGCGATATTTCTCCAAGTCTGCGCGCCCGAGCATTCGTCTGTGGAACCTGTCTTTGGAGCGAATTAACGAATTATTTTAATGCAGCCTGCAAGTCTGCTGAAACGCGCCCATATACACACAATACATGTGCTATCAGATGTACGAGCAAGTAGGCCAATACGCGTACATTGTTCTACGTATTATGCGCCGAGCTACCATGTCTATGTAATAATTGCATTAGAACAAAATATATTATAACTGAAATCATGTACAACTTACTCGACCGTGACTTACTTTAAATTCAATATATTTATAAGCTGCTACTATACTATGTGTACATTTAAAAATCATCGCCAGTTTCAAACTTCTTTTTATTTACCTGCAAAATGTTTCTCTTTCTTCCAGCTAAATGAGGCTAATGGAACCTCTGGATATAGATTTAGAAGCAGTAGAAATTTCGACTCTCAAGCGATGGGCTGATTACTCATTGCAGTATCTTCGATGCGCCGATTATACAATTCCTCTAACGGATCATAATGCTCCCTATACAGTCAGTCCATTTCCTTGCCAAGCTGAAATAAACAATAAAATCGCGATATGGTCAGTATTTTTCAAAACTTGCTTACAATATTTTTCTTGCATATATTTTTTCCATTTTTCTTGTTATTAACTGTGCATCCAACTCAAGACCAAAACGTGAATTTACAATAAATTTATGTTTTTGTCTTTTCTTACATTGTGACTGCAGGACCGGCGATATAACTGTGCTCCAAGTAGATGCAATCATAAATTTAACTAACGAGTCCATGGACAATGCCAATAATCCATTGTGCCAAAGAATTTTTCCTCAAGTTGGACCAGGTTTTGAAAAAAAAAATTACAACGAAGTTGAAGGTAAATAGGCCGATCATTATCTACAGAACGCATGAACCGACATAAAATTTAGTTTAAATCCGTAAACCAATCTTTCTTTTCCATAATTCCTCTTCTGCATCGTTTCACTTTTTATTCCAAACGGTACCATATTTTTATGGATACAAACGTAACATCATTGTCGAATTGTGTCATATTGATATAATTATCATGATGTACACATAAATCGAAAATAATGTTTAATGAGCGTAACATAAAATATACTATCCGATTTTTATCGTTTATCTTTTAAAAATAGTTATGGTTACTTAATATATGTATCTTTTGATCATTACTGAATTTCGACTTGATAAAATTTTCATGCAATTAAAATATCACATTTTCCATTGTAGAGTACAACGTCGGAGAAGTGAAAATAACACAAAGTCATAATTTACCTGCTCGTTTAATTATACATGCCGAGGGACCTCTTTACAACGCAAAATTTCATTCAGCAGCTGAACGTGGTCTCCATTGTTGTTACAGGTTGGCAAATATATTTATTTTTTAACAAAAGAAGTGATCAATTTAAATGACACGAATTACGTTGCTTTATCTCTCCAGAAACATTTTGCAGAAGGCACAAGAACTGGGATTGAGAAGTTTGGCTTTACCAGTGATAAATTTAGTTTCTCGCAATTATCCATCCGAAACTGAAGTACACATAGTTTTGAGTAAGTATATTAAATATTTTTGAATTAATACATTTCCATTTAATAATTTCATCTAATCTTACATTGGCAAATTTTTTGTTATGAAAGTGGAAAGATACGAAATTGAAGTTAAAGTGAACATTTTTCCTTATTCGAAATGATGTAAAATATTGTTGAACATTGTATTTGCAATAGTATAAGTTTTAAAATTTGAATCACGCGGATTTTTTAAACAATTCATAATTTTTTCAATCTTTCTTCTACCTACTACTGAAAGTAAAAGTTGAAAAGTAATTATCTTCTTATATATCTTAAATTTAGAAAATAAACATTTATCCATTTGAGTAAAATTCGTAAGAATTTACAAATTCACGCTTTTACAAACTAAATTAGCACGTAAATGATAAAATCAAAAGAAGGCAAAGATGATAAAAGTAGTTTTAGATCATTGACAGTCGGTAAAGAAAGTATTTCGCAGGCAAAAAAGATGCTAGCGCTGTTTAATTTTTGAAACAAAGACCATTCTTTGTGAGAACGACCTAGTATTAAATAAATTTTGTCTGCAAAGACTTACAGAATTATAATAATTTTTAATTTTTTATAATTAAAAAAACTTAATCTTTGCAGGAACCTTACGTCAATTTTTGGATTCACATGGTGGCGATATAAGTTGTATTGTATTTGTATTATCACCAACTGAATTGGAATTATATGAGCGATTGTTTACCTACTACTTTCCTCGCAATTTGTCAGAAGAGGCAAATGCCTGTTGGCACTTACCAAACAATATTGAAGGCATTAACACTGAACAACAAAACGTGGATCGACAAATACGAATAATAGATAATCCTCATCATACTCTGCAAGGTACGATGAATTCTGTGCACCATTCGAAACAATTATCATTCGAATACTTTACATAATAATTTAATCCAGCTGAGGAAAGTATTGAACTAACCCCGCAATTGGAAACGTCTATCAACATGGGGGATTACACATTTATGCAAATGCAGGGTGACCTGGACCGACAGCGACTTTTGGGAGAAAAACCAGTTAGCGAACCCTTAACGGAAATTATGCGCAAAGAGATACAACAAAAAGAAAGGTATGTGTTTAGGTTTGAATTTTACTTTCTTACTACAATAATAATGTAACAAACTATCCACTGAGCATTCATAAACTTAAAATCGGAAGTCATTGAATTTGCTAATCAGTGTTGCTGTAAGTGTGTAGTGAAATTATACCATTAACAAATTTTTTAGATAGTCTAAAATACTAAATGAAGAATATTAAACTTTTTACCGACAGTAGATTGCTGTATATAAATTAGCTTTATCGCGGTAAGTTGGTAAACTGCAATTTACAGGATTTGAAATATTTATTTTTTCTACTTTCCAATATTTCAATTTTAGAATTTGTAGTCATGAAAGTACGAAAAATAGTATTAGAAGTTTACGTAAAATGGGTCCAATCCCATATTTTCTACCTAGTTATTTGAACTATTTTTCTCTTATGTTAATATCGTTTAAGATAATCGTTTACTACAACCAATATGAAATGAAATTTTCGGAAAATTGTTATTACTCTTTTCTGAGAAAATTTTTATGAAACACAAGAGGTGCAATCATTGATCAATTAATTACTTACATAGAGCAATTTATTATTTATTAAAATTCCTCACTTAAAATAATGATGGACCTGAAAGTGAAGCCAATCTATACGGCCTGTGATTGGTCGAGTTACTTTTGCCTCGAGACGAAATCCAATAAAGTGACGCCTATGGTCAAAATAGTAACTTTTTTAAAACCCTACTGAAAAATTTATGCACGTGAAGCGCGCCTGAAAGTCACTAGTACTTTTAAATGTTATCAAAAAAATAAATGAGCTCAAAGATAATGAAATGCCACCAATTATACTTTTAAAATCTTACTCTACGTTTATTTTTTACTACAGGCATGCAAATTGGGGTCAATTAATAAAATAACCGTTAGTTTTGCAGATTTTCCCATAATTTTTCATAACTCTATTCCTTTAGACAATATAAAAAATATTTAAATAACATCACAATAAGCACATTTTTATTTCCTAAATAGTAAATAAATTTTGAAATAATAGTTTTCCTTTGAAATATTTTTTATATTATTTTAAATTCAACAATCCTAATTATAAGCAATAGCTTTAATGATTTAAATTTTCGAGAGTTTATCAATCCTAAACATGAAATTTTATCAAAATTGCTCGAGTACAGAATTACAATTTGCAATTTGAAAATAATAAATAAGTGTTAAATTCGTAAGGTTTTGATAAATAAAAGTTTATCAAACTTAGTGATCCAAGAAACAGCACATGATGTAGATATTCGAGATATTTCAATGATTTATTTATCATAATTGTCGTCAGTCGGTGCGTAAAATCATAACGAGTTCACGTATCTGATGTCGCAAAGCATGAGTCTACCTGATTTAGTGATTTAACAACATTTCTCTGACGTCAGTCTACCTAAATTTTCATCCGATGAAATTGAAACCCAAAATCTATTCGTTTACGTTTAAAAAAAATTGCCTACTTTTGATATTATAATAAAAACATTATTCACATAATTTTTTTGTAAAAATATCTTATAATAAATCATTTTAGAGAAACATAAAAAATTGACTTATTTTTTATCAATACAGAGAAAGTAAGTGTAGAGTATGCGCAGTATAATCATATTCGTGGTCATAGTTTGACAAAATTTTCAATAAAAATAAAAATTTAAATGCACATAAATATGAAATCACAACTATAGCCAGGTACGAGTAAGCAATGGCTTGATTGCGTGTGGTATATAGAGGTAACAAATTCAGTATCTATAAATAATGAGCAAGTAGTACTGCGCATGCCTATAAAAATACTCTGGAGCTGCTGAGACCGAGAGCTAAAGAACTTGAGACTGATTTGGCAGGCTTTAGAGTGTGTGTAGTACTACGTCACGCTTGTCTGTGCATCAGCCTTGTTTCAGCAGTTGTCGCGTGGTTAGTCGTACTTGCGCATCGCATAAACTTCGTCGTTCCCGCAAGCAGGAACTGTCACAGTCGCAAAAGAAACATCGACATCTCTTGATACAATATTTTAGTCTACGTTTTATCAAGTTTTATAAAGCAGCTTTGTAAAATTCTTTACAAAAAATAAAAATTAAAAAAAAAACAACGATCGAAAACAATTTTCCGCGACGCATTGCAATTTACATAAGGAGATTTTATCAAAACAATTGCATTGAGCTTAGTGAGTCATAACTAGTGTATTGTTGTACAAGACTTTTTATTGATCGAGTTTCACAACAAACGATCTATAAATACGCCATGGTGATGATTGACATGAGTGATTATGTGCCTGAACAGGATAAGGAAGACCCGTGCGTACATTATTTAATTTAAAAAGCTTATCGGGTTCTCATTCTATTTCCGGGCCGAGTTATTCTTTAAAAAGTCGGATTTGAAACCCAAACAACGCAGTACTAATTTCCTTTTCCAAAATTGTACGAGTTTATTTACATTTTCGAAAACATCTACAAGATGATGATTCACTCCGTTCATGGTCATGTACGAACGCACGTAGTACATACACATTTAATCACCCACACACACACACAAACATGCACACACCGCGCAAACAAGTGGGATCTGCGACGGGGCGTCGTCCTTCATACGACTTGACGGCAACTATATAGTTGGGCGGCTTATGAAGGGTGTGTTATTGTCATGACTACGTCGCTATCTTACTCACTCTCCACCAATTATATACTGACACAGTTTATCTACTTACGTTCACACTCGAGTCCACAAAACCTTTAATCAATTTTTACAACGATTCTTCGTTAATTTTCGTCTATTCAAATCTCAAACTACATCGTAATTAATTGGTTTTTTGAAACATATATATGAGTTGATCGTCAGAACGACAACGATATATTCAATTATTGACCTGACTTTTAATTCTATCGTTTTTAAAATTTTTGTCGTAATAAATAAAATAATGGTTTGAAATTACCAAAAATAAGTTTAAATATTTTGGTTGCAGTTTTCTACCACTCAGATATGCAGTTTTACATTACTTTCAAATTTTATTCCACTCATTATTTGATAATAACTTTGTTTTAGTTTTTGAACTTAAATGAATACTTAAACACGTTATACTTGGTTCAATCTACCACACAGTCTCATATTATAAATTAACGATAAAAACTCACTTTCGATATCCATGCATTATGCATGCTACTCAATGTAAGAAGACAGATTTTATTTCTCTCTAAAATGTAAAATTAAAAAAATTAAAAATGCTTTTTAACGTCATCGGCGTGTATTGAAATATCAAAGTAAATGAATAAAAACACGGAAAGTAAACAGACGAAAATGAGCTCACTGTATTAAATTTTTTTGTTGAAGCATAACAGATTTTAAAACCAAATATAACGAAGTAAAAGATTTTAGTAAATTTACGCTGCAATGAAAATAATTTAAACGTACATTGCAATAAAATTGTAAAAATGCATTAGTATTAATGAATCAAAACTTTCAGTTTATAAATCACCAAATGAATTAATAAATCATACACTAATTTAAAAATAAAACTCTTTAGGTATGAAAGACTTTTAAGACGTGCCAAAACGGAAGATTTGTCAGAAGTATCGGGGATTGGTTGCCTCTATCAAAGTGGAGTGGATCGGCAAGGAAGACCGGTTGTAGTATTTCTAGGAAAATGGTTTCCAGCAACAGAACTCAACCTAGATAAGGTAAATATATACAATTTCGTTTAAATTAAAATTTTAATTAAACATTTTCAATTTAAAACGCAATAGTCTCTTAGCAGCTTGTGTAAATAGTTTTCTGTATTTATTTTCATGGAAATATTGAGTAGTTTAATGAGTAAAAGTTTCAGGGTCTTTTAATGACGTTAAATTTAGATATAGACTACACAAACCCCTTATTTTTAAAAGAAAAAACAAGTTGTACATCGTGGAATATTCGTTAAAAAATTTGCTGGACTTACTCGACATATTTCTTAAAATTTATGTATACCTATACGTAACATATTCAAGTATTCATTGAACGTGACGTATCTTGTTAAAGATATTGATGAATTCACCCTTTACGTTCAATACTTTTATGAAGAATGCAAATAAGAATTAGTAATGATTGGGGTACGAATATATGTACGTTTTATTGTAAATAAGTAATAATTAATTGATAATTTTGTTACGTGTTTAGTACATTCATTCGTTTATAGGCTCGTATGTCAGAACCACATAAAAATGTTCTCGATCAAATTAAAAATAATTTGAAATTTTCTTTTCATCGAAACTCTGTTGATTAATTTCAGATTAATGATAAGTAATTTTGTAATTACGTTTCAGGCTTTACTATACCTAATTTTATTGCTGGATCCCATAGTACAAGGCGACTATGTCATCGCTTATTTTCATACATTGACTGTAAATAATAACTATCCCAGTTTTCACTGGATAAAGGAAATTTATAATGTTCTACCATACAAGTAAGTTGTTTTTATGAAATTATACTTCTACTAAAAAAATTTAGACTGCGCCCGCGGTCTATATTGCTCACTTGTCAATTACGTTTTTTTATTCTTCATTTCAAAAATGGAATAATTTAAAAAAATTTTTTCAAACCCCAGATTTCAATATGAAAAAATTATTTTTTAATCAAATGTCATTCTGTACAAAGGTCGAAATAAAAATATTTATAAGCATTGAAAATAAATTTCAAGTATCATATTAAAATTGTTTCCCTTTTTACCAGGTATAAAAAGAATTTGAAACAGTTTTATATCGTCCACCCAACTTTTTGGACAAAGGTAATTACAATTTTTCCTGCTTGCAACGATTGAAGAGTAGTTTCATTCATCTATCTATTTTAAAACTTTATGTGCATCAAGATTCTTATGAAATCACTGAATAGTCATCTAAATCTTAATTTGGAATTTTATAACAATTTTTAACTTCGCTATATTGACATTAAACTTGTATTTTATTTTCCATAAGAATTCTCATTTAATTAACATAAAATGTTTCAGATGATGACTTGGTGGTTCTTGACATTTACGGCTCCAGCTTTGAAAGAAAAAGTACACAATCTTCCAGGAATCGAGTATCTGTACGAATTCATAGCTCCTAGTCAACTAGAAGTTCCAGCTTATGTCACAGAATATGACATGACGGTATGTTTCAATATAGAAAATCTGTTTTTTAATTCAAATCTAACTTAATATTTAATTATTTTCAGATCAACGGATTGAGATATTACACACCGAGTCAATACGCTCAATCTTCCACGTAACTTTTAGCTGCTCGTTTTATGTAAAACTAAACTGTTAAAGTATTTTCGTTTGGTACGGGACAATCTTGGTATCAATGATCTACTCATGAACAAAAGGTCAAAAAGAAAGATAAGAGAGCATTTATCATATTTTGAAGAATGAGCATTTCATTGCCCTTTAACTACCGATATCAGAACGAATGTTAAAATTTTTTATGTTGTTTAATTTTAATCAAATTTAATCAAATTCTATTTGCTAAAATGTTAATAACTGAAATGAAAAATCTATATGAAGAATTGAAATTAAAATTCGTATACTTTTTGATTTCATGTGGTACTTAAACAATACCCATTTTTGAAAGTTCTTAAAGTTAGATTATCATTTTCGTTGATTGTTTTGATATTTTTAATAGTTTTAATGTCCTGAATAATGACGATTGTTCAGACATATACAATCATAACAAAAATGTTTCTTGATCTTAGTGAAAAGTTACAACATAAGCAAACACTAGCACGTTTACTAACTCTAGTGAGTTTCGTTAAAAACAAATTTATTCTATGGTTTCATGAAGTATGTTTTCCCAGGAAACTAAGGAACGAATCAAATTCCTCTATTTTAAAATTAAAAGAATTTGCCATCAATCATAGTACATAAAAATATATTTACCTGGTTTATTAATAACGTTAATTGATTGAATGAAACTTGTTATCTTTTGAAACTTTACAAAATAATTTCCTACGCAGACTTATTTTTTCATCTAAAACTAATGACATTGTTGCAGAGCTCATATGTAAAAAAATGTTATCAAAATTAAATGATTCATTCCAAAAAGTAATATTTAATATTCGAATGGCACTGAAAAACTTAATTTAAAAAGTGAAGATTTAGATTTAGTCAATATTTTATCTCATTGATATTAAAATATAAATAGCATGACAAAATCATGTTATTTTCTAAATGTAGATATATTATTCATACACACATTGTATTAAATTTATTTTATATGACTATATTGTTTAAAAAAAAATTGATTATCGCTTAGAAAATTTAAGATTAACATGATGATCTACTACAAGGAAGTACTTGACCACGAATAAGGCCTATTATAAAATGATTTGTTCATCAAATTAAATTTGTCATTATTGACCTTTGAAAACATGAATGATTCGATTTAAAATGAATTCCTTCTTTTTTTAAACATACCAATTGGCCATACAACTTAATCGAAATTAAGACAAATAAAGATACTACCAGGTGAATTTTATAATATTATGAAGATCGTGTGATTGAGGAGTTATTAATAATCATTATGCATCATATGATATTCAAACTATCAATTTCATTTCTTCAGTTCATCAATTCTTCAACAGTCATACATGTGGATAGAGATTTAGTCACACCGTAATAAGTTTTTACTTTAATTAATTTTATAGATTTATAGATAAAACGTGGTCAAGAAAAGAAATTATTGGGACAGTACATAATTATTTTTAATTAATTGGTTAAATATAGAGTCTATTGATCTAGTATTAGTTTTTCGTTGATGTTAGACAATGCGTTTATCGTGGCCTATGAAAACTGCACCTGTAAAGATGATGATTTATAGAGAGAAAACACAATTCACTAATGATATATATATATTTAAAAATAAAAATCTAATATATATATAGTATAAAAAATATGACTAATGAAAATATAATATTTTGATGATAGTCGTTATATTTTCATAGCTGCCGAACCTCAAAAATTGAGAATACACAATTTGGAATAGCATGGTCAATTCTTAAAACTTATTATTAGTAATTAAAGAATATGGTAAAAAAGTCCAGTACATCGTTGAATCACGTTGAATAAGAATTTTCACAAAAATTTATCGTAAAGCTATAAATCTTCATCACATTATATAATATATACGCGTAAATAACTATATCGTTTAAAAAATGTATTTTCGGTCTGTATCAATTTATAAATTTTAACGTTAAAAAATTGGAAAATTGATCGACCTTAAATTTAGTTCAAAGCGCTCAAGTATTTATAATATTTCTGTCAATTATACGTCTATAGAAAAACTATTATTTAAATGAATCAATCAGAGATCCTTTATTTGAAAATAATATAATGTATTATTCATTGAAGGGCGAAAGAACGAGAAAAATATGATAAATTTATGATAGAATCTATTTGCAATACTTAAATGTTGGCTAGAAAAATAACCATAAGCAATACATTAATTATCCAATAAATGTTGAGCATTTATATTGGACGCATGTATATTGTATAAACATATATTTTTTCTCAAAGTCTTCTTTTCGTGAACAAGAATGGAAAAGTGATAATAAAAAATAAAATAGATTTTACTAGTATAAAAACAACTGTCTGTAAAAACACGTTAGGTGTTGAATTCATATAAGTAGAACCACTCTGTTTACTGCGGTATATGGTATTTTTACAATTAAAAAATTGATGCTCACTTTTATTATTCTATTTCATGTGATGACATTTTTTTAAAATAAAGTATGTACTTTTATTGATGATTTCCTGAAAAATATAAAAAAATCATTAAGAGATTTGGAAGATAAATAAGTCTACAACATCTTCAAAATTTCAAATCTTCAAAAAGTAAATGGTTATGTATTTAAATCAATAATCAAATCACTACGGAAAAATATTTTAACCGTTTTTTTACAATATTTAATTTTTCAATATGCGAATTTTCCTCCGCATGAATATATTACTGTGATTAGTTATGTTCCAGAATATAAAAATCAAATTACATTGAATAAGGTGCGTCGCATTAGATATCTACATCCACCAACCTACTAAGTAAGAGCCAAGAAAACTTGTTACTCTTAGAGCTTAAAAATGTACCATTAAAGACTTCAATTTGTAAATAATATGGCAAGGGCTGCAAATCATTACTGCATTATAATAGTTCGTACTTTCAAATGTAAAAAAAATTATTTCAACAAAATTTTTATTTCATCATAATCAGAAGAAAAGCTACAAATTCAAATGTTTGATGATTTTATTGAAAAAAGAAACAAAAAATACTTATTTTCCAATTGTGAAAGGTGGATTAAAAAATGCTCGACAATCGTTTATTATTTTAAAAATCTAAAAAATATATTTCGTTTTTAACTTACATCAAAGAATGTTGAAATAATTTTTTACTTTTGAAGGAATTAACTAATTAAAAAGAAGTAAATTATCGCTAATAATGTAAGAACGAGTACATACAAAAATAAGAATATGGTCAAGATGTCTAAAATTTAAAATGTTGCATGTGAACAAACGTGCTTGATTGTCGAGGACAATCCAAAACTTCATGCATAAATTCTATGAAAAATTAAAATTTATCAAATTAAATTGTATAGCATTTATAGATCTTACACAGGGATGCTAACAATGCGTTGTTATTTTATTAGTAAAAGTAATATTTATTGTTATTGTTGAAAATGTATTTACTAATACTGTACGATATAAATGATAGAGTACAATTTCAAATCATATTTTATCATACATATAAAAAGGTCGTTCACTATAATTGTATGAACAATGCTTACAATTTATGTAGGGTATTTTTACTAGAATATATATATAAATATATATATTTGTAAAAAACAATTTTGTTTATGATTTGAAATATTATTAGAGGGCAAAATTTACCTAAAAAAAAGTCATGTTTCAAAATTTCCAAATCAAGCTTTATACTATTGTTAGTTACTCAAAATTGCGTTAATAAAGCATTTTTGAAAATGGTTATTTCATGGAAGATGTGTAATATAGTATACTTACTTTTTAAATAGATAAAAAGTTATATGTACCTTTGTGTTTGTGTGTTAACACAAGGGAAAGATCAAGAATTTGGAGCTGTTAAAAATACTTCATTTTGTTAATCTGTGTATTATAATGTCATTCATAACTCTGCAAGACATGTAATAAAAATTTAATTTTGCTACATAAACGATTTTTTAATTTTATACATTATTGGTCACTTTGAAAACAAATTGCAGAATACTTTTTCTGCACACTGTTACTGAAAATGTTTTGTATCGTTCGTAAATATATACATTTGTCTCAGGTTTGTAAAAAAAAATCAAAAGTCGTTCTCCCTTTGTCATGCGATCGATGATAAATCCAAAAAGAGTATTTTCAGTATCTCACTCCCCCACTTGCTTAGTATTCTGCGGCTTACTTCTCAATAGCTAAGCTTCATTATCTTAACATTTTTCCAAGTCTGTTTTTATCTCGAGTTTTTATCAAGTGTGACTTGACAAATCGAGTCAAGATTAGTTTACTGGATTTTATGATCTAAGGTTTACCTCTTTCATCTTGCTTGGTCATTCGTGTCATTTGACTGTGACAACTTTTGCAATAGGATTAATTTCTAATAGTGTAAAATTAAACTATATTTAGAATATATTTGTGAAAATATTGAGTCAATTTTATCTCTCTATATTTATCTGTGTTCAAATTCAAGTGTATCGTACTTGTTGTGTATACTCCAAAGTGAGCCGTGTACGTGCGCGTGTAACAGAATTTTTTGTCTCCAAAAAGTATTACGCGAGTGTAATGTTTTTTCTTCAATATTCAAAAATGTTTTACTTATAATTCTTAAAAAGTTTATTTATGTGATATACAAATTAAAGTTTATTTATGTGATAAATTTTAGAAGAGTAAAAAGCTGAAATTAACTCAATATGAAAATACAATCTTTAAATCGTGAATTAATTCATACATCAATAAAGAGGAGTCTTGAATTCTTAGCAGTTGCAGCATGGTTTATCGCGGCAATTTTTGCTGGGCCATTCTGTTATGGTCTTACAGTATTTATTTTTTTGGGTGGTTTTCCATGGATAAATATTTTAATCGTAGCTTATTTAGCTTTTCTATATTACGATAGAAACGTGCATTGGACAGGTGGTCGAAGGTATGAATTCTTACTACTGGAAACTTCTTTCGTTAATATTTTATGTAATAATGAAACAATAATTAAACTAAATAACATGAATGATTTTTTTCAATTCAGTGAACGCATAACATCATGGTTTAAAAATCTTATTTGGTGGCGTTATTTCTGTAATTATTTTCCAATAAAGTTAATCAAAACTGCCGATCTCGATCCATCGAGAAATTATTTATTATGCTCATTTCCTCATGGAATACTTGCAACCGGAGTTACCGGAGCATTGGGAACTAATGGTGCTGGCTGTTCGAAGATTTTTCCTGGTTTAAATTTTAGCATTCTCACATTGAATCAACATTTCTTTGTACCAATATTTAGAGAATACGTTCTTGCTTTTGGTAAGTTAATTGCTCATTTCACAACTTTAATAGTATGTAAGTTGTTGACAATACGTAAAAATACGTTTATTGAGATGCAATAATTAATGCAATAACACATCAAAGCAAATTAATTTCAGGCACGTGCAGTTGTGATGAAAAAAGTATTGATAATCTTTTATCAACGAACAGTAAAAAAACTGAAACTGGTAAAGTAGAAAAAGGACGCGCAGTAGTTTTAATTGTTGGTGGAGCATCAGAAGCTTTTGAAAGTAGACCAAACACATATAAAATTCTTCTGAAGCGTAGAAAAGGATTTATCCGAGTGGCATTAAAAAATGGGTAAGATGCTTATGAAGCCTGCTTTAGATTGATAAAGTCCAGGATTATTTAAAAATTATTATTGATAAAAAGTGTGTTGAAATTATGCGAATATGTTGTGTAATTGAAACAAAAATTTATTATTGTTAAATTACATGGAATTCATTTAAATCAACGGGATAAAATTCAATCAATCATGCAGCTCTACATATTATAATTAAAAATGTCGATGAAAATTGATATGGATAATTTGTTACATTCATTTCAGTGCTCCTCTTGTGCCGGTATTCTCTTTTGGAGAAACAGATATTTATGATCAAGTTAATAATCCGGAAGGTTCACTTTTAAGAAAATTTCAGGAATATGTTAAAAAAAAAGTTGGTATCGCACCCATCATACCTATTGGTAGAGGATTTTTTCAATATTCATTTGGGTTTGTTCCAAAAAGGAAACCAATATTCGTAGTAGGTACGTAATCTTTTTTGAAATTCATGAAATGGCATTAAAAAGTTTTAAAAATTTTAGTTGGTCGACCAATTGAGACTCCTAAAATCGAACATCCAACACAAGAAGAAATTAACGAATACCATGCGAAATTTACGGAAGAACTCATTAATTTATTTGAAACTCACAAAAATAAGTATTTGAACAATGCTGAAAACATTTCTTTGGTTTTGTGTGATTAATTCAAATAGAGTCGGCAAAATTTGAAATTTGTTTCATTTTTTACTTTTTTCATTATAAATGAATAGTTTGAAAATGAAATTTGGTATATGGTACTTAAGGAGATCTGTACTCCACATTTTTTACCGACAGAGTCGAAAAATTGTTTATTTTGTATCGATAATTTAAGTTGAAGTTAAGTCTTAATTATTAAATTTACTCTATAATTTATAATGAATGCTATAAAATTAATACATTTTTTTTTCGGAAAATATTAATAAAAAATTCTTCAATGAACCTGAATCATATTAAACTTTATATTTTTTTCTTTAAATTATTATGTGTGTTATAGTAGTAACACTATAAGATACTTATGATTTATAAAAATAAAATCGTTGAATTAACGAGAATCCATAATTAGTGGTAAAATAAACAGTCATAATAAATGAGATAAATCACGTATTTAACCAAACTGATTTACGTTGTTTAAAGTTAATGAATCAATTTTATTTTGTTTTTGACTCGAGTTTAGGCTGATGAGTGAAGTCATCAAAACAGATATCAACTGGATTTAGGAAGTATAAAGCTTCGATGGCATTTTATTTACCAATATGTTCGTTTCGATTTGGTCGGTTGACGTTTTCTAATTCTTTTTTGGCTTTAGCAAAATATTTGAAAAGATTTTACTAATACTTTGGAAATCAATAAAATTTTATAATAAAAATCTTGAATCAATATTTATGATAGAAACAAGGTTCACTCTCACAAGATGAAATAAAAACCGGTCGATATCGTTCAATTTATAAAAACTTTTATTAAGAATAATTAATAAAAAAATGCATCTGATATTAATGTCATTCCCAGTCTTGCCCATACCTTTTTACTATAAACAGAGTTAAAAGATTTTCCTCTACATAAAGAATATAGCTGACATAGGGACCAGCACTCATGAACCATGACCTTATAATATTTTATCCATTGGATTATCTACTTTAATAGTAAATGTTCAATTTCGAGTAGCTATCATAAAAGTAATTATATAGGCAAAGATGGTAACTCCGACACAAATTAATATCTTCTTTAATACCTAAAAATAAAAATTATTTAATGTAATTAAATCAGGTAAATTGACTTGAAAGCATTTTTCATATAATATTCTCACTCGATCTTGCCAATCTTTGTTATAAATGCAATCGCGATATTTCATTCTGGAGAAAGTCACAGTACTGTACAGCGGAATCCATTCATTTGGAAATAACCAATGCAAAATTGTGTCTAAGTGTTTTCGAATTAAGAAAGACTTTTTGGTTACCAAATCACGCATCTAAAAAATGTAAAATGATTTTATGATGACCTTGAAATCTATCAACTTAAAATAGTATACGATCAATCTTACTTCCAAATAATTGTACATTGCCAAATCACAAATGGCATGGGCATCATCGCAGCGAACTTTAGTGAAGTTCGGAATGGCTTTGCTCAAACTATTATTATGAAAATCTAAAAGTTCACTCAAAACCAAAACATCCTCAAATCCCTTAACAAATTTAATTACATGTATTTTCATTAGTTTATGAGATTATTCAACAGCAAAATACAAGTAAAGTATTACTAACGGCATTCATTCCTTGAGCATAAAACGGTACCATAGCATGAGCAGCATCGCCTATTATTAAAGTTCTACTTCCGACATTGTAAGGATTACACTGAAACATGAGCATATTAATATTTTCCATTTTCAAATATCTTCGTCGCATAATTTTGTCTATATCATCACCTTAATGGAAATTAAAGTTTTTGGAGAAGTTTGAAAAAATTCTGATACTAATTTCTTTTCACCAATCAAGTCAAGTGCGTCGGGAAACTGATCCTTGTAAAAAGATATCAATTTTTCTGGTGTATCTAGAGCCTCAAAAGTTGCAAATGGAGCAAACACATTACCCGTGAATGTACCATCTTCATTAGGTAAAGCTATCATCATGAATTCACCACGTGGCCATATATGCAGATGATCTTTGCTCATTATAAACTGAAATTAGTTTGTCATAATAAGTGTACTAATATAAAAAAAATTAGTAGCAATTTTTTTATCAAGTCAAATTTATAATTTACAGAGTTGTCGGGACCAACTGGAAATGAAACTTCAACGTATCCATGATCTATGTATGTTTGGTTACAATTAAATCTAGGTCTTTTAGCCATTGTTCTTCTGATGTATGAATAAGCTCCATCGGCACCAATAATAAATTCTGCATTTGTATTTATTGTTTCTCCACTTTTGACACTTAAGCACGATAAAAAAATATATATATGAGGAATGTTTTATGATACTTTAATTTTTATTCATCATATATTTCAGAAAAAGAACTTACTCGACAAATTGTAAATGACCTTTCTCTAAATCTATATCCATCAATTTGTGGTTGAAAAATAAGCTTACGTTCGGGTATTTTTCAGCAGCTAAATTACGTTGACATAAATGCATCAAAGAAACAAATTTAATATTTTTTGATATTAAAGTTTTTAGAATTAATGACATCTGAATTCACAAAATCAAAAAGTATTGTAATCATTTTTGAAATCGTACAATAAATCAAACAATATTTATGTATATGAAATAAGTGTGGTCATATTTGTTTTGTATTTTGCTTTTGATATTCTCCGGTTGACTCCCACACACTAACTGTAGGCTAGTGATGTGGCGATCTTTTTTAGTCCTTTTGTGAAATCAGATATTTTCATATTCATGTGGCTTCCCACTACGGATTACTTGGACGTAAAAGTACACTTTTTACCGTTGGCATAACTATCACACGCATAGTATATTTACGTAATATCCTTACCATCTAAAAGAAGCCTGTTCAGATGAGATCTATTGACCGAATAAATGCACTGGAAAAAATTATATTTATAAGATACATAGGTACCAGATTTTGAATAAAAAAATTAGAAAAATTACATTTTTATGGACGCTATCATAAAGGATTTCTTTTAAACCTTTATCTTTTGAATGTAATAAGCGTCCTTTCATAGCGATCCCATGATGATTAACCACAGCATCTTCCAAATCGATCTGCCTTAAAGCTTCTCTACCTCGAGCAGATAAAGCCAAATCAATGCTCACGCCTCGAGAAACTTCTACTCTCATATCTATCATTTAATATATTTACTTAAAATATTGATTGTTTTAATTAACATCGTGATAAATTAAAATGAAATGCGAATAAAAACCTGATCGATATTCATAGAGTCGAACGTGGTGACCTTTTTTTGCGAGAACACATGTTACTAAGGCACCGACCTGGAACAAATTTTATCTGTCAATTCAAATTCTTAATGAAACAATTAGATTATTTTTATTATTCCTCCGAGTAAATGAAATTTGACGTGAACAAAAAAAATTATAATTCTCCAAATGATGAAATGTTGTCCAAGATATAAAACGATCGATTTATTTTTTCAACATGAAAGTATTTTGAATCATCATTGGGTGAAAAATTGAATACCCCTAATAATAATAACAATAATTCTTTGAAATAATAATTAACAAATAGTTGTTAAATCAACGAAAAGGTTTTTATTTCAAACTTATTTTTGGTTCTTAAAATTGAATTAAAACTAATTAAAATGGAATATACTTCATTTTAAAATAATTTTTTTATGTAATTTGAAGTTACACAATGTATTGCTAAAGAGAATACGATTATTATGAAATTATTTTATCAAATTTCGTTATCTCTTACGGAATAGGACAGAAAAGGTTAAACAGAAAAATGCAGATGTTACATTACATCGTGAAACGATAGTGAAATTTATTTAAAAAATTCTTATGCAAACTTGAATTTTTAATTCAGTATTTTTACACTGTCTAATCTAAATTCTAATTTGTCTTACTCGTCATTACTTTAAATGTAGATGGCATGAGTTATTGTCTAATAGTTGTTTAATTTTCATGTTATATTTTAAAAGCAAACGATCTTTTGTGTATAAAAAATAGAATTAAAAAACATGAAAATTGTGCAAAGTAAAACTAGAAATATACATTAAAAACGAATTAATTTACTTACTAATCCGCCTCCAACGACAACAACATCAGAATTTTGACCGTCACGCATGGTGCCACAGATAAAACTAAAGAAGCAGCATACTCCTCTCGAAACTGAGTCCTCTTATCTTTTTACCCTACCCGTTAGGGGAAGCCAGTTTATAAAAGCAAGAGAGTAAACTAATACCAAGGCAACTTTTCACGAGTATAGCATTTCATTACGTGTATCGAAGATCAGATTACAGTATTGACTTTTATTCATCTATAGGTTGCATTTTTTTAAATGAATAACATTCTACATCATTTAATAATACTTCATAAAACTGTTCAAAGCTCCAAATTTGATTTCAATTCCCAACCATAAGACTGTTTCTATTTTTTAAATGGGCTTTGCTCAACGGCTCAATTATTAGTATAAATAAATCCATTTGAATAAATAAGAAATGTATGTAAAATAAATAAATAGCGTATACGTAAAAAATAAGTTACTGGTACTTAACTTATTTCATCATTGTAGAGCTGATAACATTTGTTTATTTACTTTTTTAAATTTAGGCTCAAAAGTTGTATGAATTCAATTTAAGACTCAACTAACTATTTTTAACAAGCATCCATATGTGGTACCCACGTATTTTTCGGATTTTTATTTTAAGTTTGCATAAAAAAAACAAAAGTGACCTACTAAAATTACTTTCTAGATTTTATGAAAAGTTATCGAATGAAAATTTTTCAGTTTTAGTTATTGATCATTTAATTTGAACGAATTTGCTTTAAAAATAAATAAGTGCAATAAAAAAGGAGCCTTTTAAACTCATGCATAGAGAAGAATCACGTTATTATCTACACACCTTAGATTAATATTCTAACTTCTAAAACTAAATGAGAATAGTTTTTTAAATATTTCGTTTATCAGCGATTATTCTTGTGCGGTCAATTGTACAAAAATATTTGTATTCGAGTGAATCATTTTTTTTATTTAAAAACCGTCGCTTCCCCACTACTGTTCGACTCACGTGATGTATAATATTGTATTTGATACGTGCAGATATATGGAGCGTACAAGAAACACGGCATTGCAGCACAAGCCGAAAACGAGTGCTGTAACGAGTTGCATAATGTACCTTTGATGAATTTCACGAATCACAAAAGTAGCTGAAAGTATAAAGTTTTAGAAATTTAGAAAATTATTCCTGCAATAGACAACGATTTTTTGAAACTTGATCGCGTTATTTACTATTGGTTTCTTTACGCGATGGAAAACAGCACAGCGAATCTCAAAATAACTTGAAACTGCAACAAGTTGATCAGGTATCTCAAGGTCACTCGATATGCAGTCCATGAATTGTGATACAGTAACTAGAAAGATAGAGATTTTTCGAAATTGACCAATTCTTCAAGTATGAAGTAATTTCTTTAAAATAAGTTTGTTCGAACGTTATAAAAGTAGATTTCTATTTGGCAATCCATCCAAAAGAAGCTATTTTTCCAGCCGTAAAAGCATCCGAAAAATAGATTACCTCAGACTTTCAAGTGTTAGCAAGCGCATAAAATAAAAGCATCATATTTATCAATATAACTTTATGTCGTGTTGACTAAATAAAATCTACTTTTTGTTGATATTTTTTATTTTTTTTATTTTTTCCAAGTGTCTTATTTGACAGAGTACACGAACGGTCGAAGCAAATAAAACGAAACAACATGGTTTCAATCGTAACAGAGAGAGAGAGAACGCCGAGTGCAAAGACAAACTGGACGTACATTGGTATCGCTAACTAATCACCGCCACACGACGATTCGACACATAAACGATCGAGAGAAAGAGAAAGAGAGAGAGAGAGAGAGAGAGAGAGAACGAACGGGGAAGCTGGCGGGAAATTTCTCAGCGCACGGGGCTGTGCGGCAACAACCAGAAGAGAAGCAATGAGATGGTACATCGTCGTCGTTGTCAACGACGCACCGGTTCGCCTGCTACATTCAAAAATAGACTCTCTGAGGCGGCTTGCTGTTGATGCTGCAAGCTCGGGGCTGTGCAAGAGTGCCGTAGCAAACACGCCCGAAGCTTTAGTGTGGGCTAGTCAGTGCGGCGATGTCGACGACGAACGACGTTACGAGGGGGCAGCGGCGCCGGTGGCTGCTTAACTGCGGCTGCTACGCCCTGCTGCTGCTCCTGCTGACGGCGAGCTGGCCCGGGCCCGTCGGGGCAGCGCGTGCCGACAAATCAGTTACGAATTCAGCCACCAGTGCCAAGGACGGACACGGGTCCACCAAGTCGGGGGGCCGTCACGCCGAGCCCGTCATCGAGGAGGTCACCAGCAAGCAGCTCGAAAAGCTACTCAAGGAAAAAGATTATGTCGCCGTCTATTGGTGTGAGTACTCTCTCTATGCGGACCACTTAAAAATAACATCGTTTGCGTTTCGCGCCTCGACATGAAGCTCCTTGTAAAGCTCGCGAGCCAGTCCGAGCGAAATCGATCCCCTTGAAGCTCGATTGCTGATTTTTAATAACGCCTCGTCCGAGACTCGTCGCTGATAAAATATATAACCGATCGACTTGCGCTGCTACTGCTACCAAGCCCGCTAAGGCTGACTCGAGCTTCTGCTACTCTGTGTCGAACGTTCGCAGTCATTGTCGACTTGCAACTTCTACTAAAAATAGGTTCTCTTGAATCTTTCGCAAAAATACATCCTCTTCATGTGCTTCTCCTTCTTTCTAGTTCTTTCTCTAAGTCTCCGTCGATTCTCAAAGCTCGTCGATGATCGAGTCCGCATCTTTAATTTATAACTAATTGTTGGCGAAAATCTCGAACAACGGTAGAAAATTCAGTAGAGCCTAGTTGGGATTACGTTTCCGCTACGGGAGCAGCTTTGATCTAATTTAACTGAGATCATGAAAGCATGAATCATAATTATAACATCGCTGTTGCTAATGCTACTACAGCCACGTCTAATACTACTGCAACAACTAAGAATACAACTGTTGAATAATAACGTAAAGCAAGCGAGTTATACGCAATCTGCGTCTCGAGCTTTTACCTAAATTTATTTATCGAGGCAACTGTTTACAAGTTTTGTTTGTTTCAACGAGAAAAATGGCCTATTTATTCACTGTGATAATTTTAACGATGAACTTTTAGTCGACCGACAATAGTTTCCAAAATATGTATAGATATAGTAATTATAAGCAAGTTCAATGTATACAATGTACGCGTGTACAAACGCGAACATAACTATATTTACTACAACTATGAAGGGCTCGACCGAATCCATGTCACAGAGTAAATGTTTTGGGAAGAAAACGTTTCTTAAAAGCTATTGCTACACACATGACGAAAGAATGGCGTGGTATTTTGGTCGAAATACGCCCACGAAAAAGCGAAAGAAAACTCGATGGAATAAAAATGAATGCTCGTATGATGAATTGGGATAAATGAGCCCGTTGCGTTGCGATCTCAGGTAGAGGCGTTGGTGGACAGCGCAGTCGAGCCAGAATAGTCGAAAGTAACTGCAGCAGCCAGTGGCCGTGATGAAGCGCGAATGCGAGCTTGATAGCTCGAAATCATTGCCAACGTTAACTGTATTTATGCCGCAGCTTCACTTACTCTATGCACCTGGCCGTTGCAGCAGCAGCAAGTTCGATGAGCGCGCCAAATGGAGGGGGTCGCGTTAATAATAATCGCATATCAAATAGTCAGACAACACGGTACATCGCACTACGCACGCACGCGCACCCACATGACCTCACACGCATATAATACTCAGGCGCTTCGAGCCCGACACAATAATACATTTAACACGTCTCTCTCTCTCTCTCTCTCGCGAACGAATAGAATCGAATCGTCTTTATTAATTCAACCATTTGGCGTCTATTCTTTTCGAGATAAATACCGAAAAGCAGGAGAAATGACGTTGCTGCCCGTACTCTTCATGAACTTGATCATTTGATATTTCTCAATAGTTTTAAGGTCATCGGAGCTGAGCTTATTTCGACCGACGGCAAATATTTTACTCCTCGATTTCGATAAACGGCGCTTGCTTATTTTTTCAATAACACTCTAAACTGACAACGAGTTCCGTCAAATCGATCGTGCTTTTGTTTTCATATGCTGTTTCATAGCTTCTATCAACGACATGGTCCTCGACGCGGTTTTTAGTCGGGCGCCACTTTTAGAAAGCGTTCGGCTATTTTGGCTCAAGCATTGCCACCTCAAACACCACTCACGCGGCTAAAAATTGTTCTGAAAAACTGTGCCTACTTCAAGCTTTCATACCTGATTTGTAGCTTCCATTTAAATTGTTTCATACATCGTAATGCACTTTTAATCGCTTGAATGTTCTGAATTACGAGCAGCAAGTGCTCAATATAGACCAATATAAGACATTCGTTTGAAATCTAACAATATTAGTATTGAATGATAAACCAAACTTGAACATTTTTTTCATCAAAATATTTTCAATTACGCCGATATTATATTTTAATAATTTTAATATCCATTTTGATCTAATTGAATTTTTAATTAGTCAATCACGACCTGAGAAAAAAAGATGCATATTTTATAATAATATATTTTTAAAATATCAAAATACACATATTTAATTCATAACATTTGAAATATCATATCATTTGATATGACTCTAGTAACTTTCATGTAAAATCTAAATTAAAAGATCAAGTTATTGTCTATGCGACTTTTTTTCAAGTTAATGAATTTACAAGATTCTTTTTTTATTTTATTTTTGAATTACACTGTCGAAATAAATTTACTTCGTAGATTTTTTTTTCTCCGCTCAATTTTCAATAAAAATTTTTGCCATATTCTTTTAAAGTATAAGAGTTCTTAGTTTGCACTTTTTATAAATAAACAATTGAGCTATGTTTATAGAAAAAAATTATTTTCAGATGCCCGAAGTTGCACAACTTGTGATAAAGTCTTAGCGGAATTAGAAAAAATAGATGATGATACGGATAATTTTGGTGTTGATTTTGTTAAAATCAATGACAAACGGTTGGCCAAACAGTATGGTATTAAAACTTTTCCAGCTCTTACTTATTTTAGAGAAAAAGAACCAATCATTTACGAAGGTGAGTAAAATTTTTATTGTAACTTCATTTCAAATACTTTTGTTGATCACAGCCTCATGAATATACATGACGATAAAACTTATTAAAATTGAGGAAGGCAAATAAATTAATGAAGTATTTAATTCTAATCGTGAAAATCGCAACAGTCTCTGAAAGAGATTTTAAAGGTCAGCGCCCTAAGCTGACGAAATAATGCGACAAATTAAACTTAATAATTTTTTTGACCCTCGAAAATTCGTATAAACATTTTTTCTGGAATATAAGTTTTACTGGTTTTAAAGCTAGGACTTTATAATTAAAAAACTTATTTTTCATCTTACAGGAGATCTGATGGACGAAGAGAACGTACTGGAATTTTTGACAAGCTTAGAAGCAATGGATCTACCAGACCGAATCGAGGAAGTTAATGCTAAAATCCTCAATAAAATAATTGAAGACTCAGATTTTGTAGCTGTCCTGTTTTGTAAGTTTATAATTCATTATTAGATTAATTAATATTAATTTTAGATATATAAGATTAAAATCATAGGCATAATAAATGTGATTAATAAGACAAGTTTTAAATATTGTGCAAGTTAATTTTCTTGCGATATTATTAACGTAATAATTTTTCTATTTACTGTAAATATTGAAATATATTCAAGTTGACTCGTCAGAGGTTGCTGCATAACGACACTGATTGTATATAAACATTTTAATTCAGCTACATATCCTCTGTCGACAATACTTTTTTCGAGCTCGTTGTTCTGTTCTATTTGTGTGTTACAGTTATCTTGTGCGTTGTGAATCGCGAATTTTGCTTTTGTGAAATTTATATATTTTTCTTTGTCATTTTGAAATCGAATTTGACCGTATAGCTTACTTTAAATCGGGTGCAAAAAATACTTCTGAACTGTGAAACTCAATATGATTAGTTGGTAAATTTCAAAATTGATTTTCACATGTTTTTTAATCACAAATTATCTCATAGTAAATTCAACAATCAATGTAGTTTTTTACATAAAATTTAGTATTTACTCAGAATAATGAAGCAAAATTGAGTAATCTTTCAAATGGCTCAGGCTTCGCTTTTATTAATTTTCACCTATAAATATTTTCACTGAAAATGGCATTCAAATTATTTGAAAAAAAATAAACAAATGTGAACTTGTTTTCGCGTGCGCCAAAATGTATAATAGGTCCGGAATCGGAGAGGTGTGCTGGTTCTGATTTTAGTAAGTATATTAAATACAAGGCATTGTTAACGTTTGGCAAATGCATAGTTGCTTTGTAGATTTCAACACGTTATTCATTTTCTTCTATTGTACATGATCTTTAGTTTAACTATATTTTAGTATTAATTAAATGTACATTGAAGGAAGGCATATCATCATCCGAAGCTTAGTATACAGCTTTTGATTATGGCGAGCTTAAGATTGCTTTGCATCAAAACTACTAATATGATATTTATTTAGCGATTGCCCTTTATTTTTAGATATATATTATCGTTGTATATAATGTATATAGTTGTTTTATAAATGTAGAACTTTATATAAATGCAAAAAAATTAAGAATTACTGAAATAACAATTTTCTAATATATCTAAAATTACTGTATCGATTTTTGGGGATAAATGATATATAACGATTATCCGATACGTTATATGGTATGAAGGGATTAAAAAAAACCGCTGCCAATTTATTGGCAAAGAGCTTCCTCTTAAAAAATAATGTAAACACTACACTTCTATGTTAGCCAGAAGGCCGAGAAAAAAAAACTCATACAGACATTTGTTGGTAATTCAATGTAGTTTCCAAATATATAAACCAAATTGTCCTACGAGGTCTGGTTCAAAATCTCGTTTTCGAGCCTATCACAGAGCTCCCTCTACGAGGAAGCAAAAAAAACAACTTTTCATGTCGAGTCGTTAATTTTGAAAATATTCGGTGAAATTCTATTTTTTTGGTTTTAAATTAAAGTTTGACTACTCTGCTTTCATTCTACCGTGAAAAAAATAAAAATTCCTTCATTTATACATGAAAAAATCGAAAAAAAATTTTTTTCAAAAAAAACCATTTTTCCTCCCGATACAATGAAGCATAACTCTTTAACTACTCGGTGGATCCTAAAATAAGTTTTTGACGCTTCTTACGACACACAAATCCTTCAAAACGAGCCGAACAACTTCGCGCTGCGGGTCTCCGTTCAAAAGTTACACTGGTTCCAGACCACCAGACGTACATACACACACACACACACACACACACACACACACACACACACACACACACACACACACACACACACACACACACACACACACACACACACACACACACACACACACACACACACACACACACACACACACACACACACACACACACACACACACACACACACACACACACACACACACACACACACACACACACACACACACACACACACACACACACACACACACACACACACACACACACACACACACACACACACACACACACACACACACACACACACACACACACACACATACATACAGACATTTGTTGGTAATTCAATGTAGTTTCCAAATATATAAACCAAATTGTCCTACGAGGTCTGGTTCAAAATCTCGTTTTCGAGCCTATCACAGAGCTCCCTCTACGAGGAAGCAAATTTAATTCATCCGAGAGGACAATTTTATTTAATTATTCTTTCAAGGTGAAATGATCGACCATGTTTATGAAACTTGAATTTCACAGAAAGTTGTTGTTTCAGAAATCCTATGTATTTACCTTTTATCAATTTCGCATGCTGAATATTACCTTACATGTTTTAAATTTATCACAAAAGGATTTGATTGAAACAATCGTTTCCATTACTTTGACGCTCAGTGTAAGAATTTGATATCGATTCAAAACACAGCTAGTAATATACATTTAAAATTTAATACTATAATACAGTCAATATATTACACATGTAAAACAAAATTCTTGCGATCGTTTTTTTCTTTAAAAAAATGTTTCATCTAGAAAATGAAGAAACTCAAAAACATGATTTGTTTATACAATAAATAAAAGTAAAAATGCTTTGGAAACTATTTTTATATTTTTATTTTTTATTTGAAAATGGGACAGATAAACCAGAATGTAAAAAATGCGCTAAAGCTCTTCAAGAATTGGAAAATATTGATGACGAGGCGGATCAACTGGGAATTGGATTTGTAAAGATTGCAGACGAACGACTCGCCGAGGAGTACAATCTCGGATCACTTCCGAAACTTGTCTACTATAGACATCAAATACCAATCATTTACGAGAGTTCGTAGACTAAAATTAATAAACATTTAAAATCAGGGTAAATAAAATTAATCTTAATAAAAATAAACTTTTTATAGGCGAACTTAGCCGTGAAGAAGATGTGTTAGAATGGCTGGTAGCAAACAAAAGTACTGGCGACGAAGAGGATGTTATAGAGGATGTAACGTCAAAAACTCTTCATACATTAATTGAAAGCATCGATAATTTAGTAGTACTATTTTGTAAGAACCAAATAAATCATTTCAAAAAATGAATGAAAATTCGTAAGACTAAATTTTTATTTTATTTTAATAGATCATCATGATGATGAAGAATCCATGCAAGTTCTTTCAGAGTTAGAAAATATTGACGATGATTGTGATAAACATGGAATTCAATTTGTAAAAATTGATGATAAAAAGGCAGCCAAAGATTTTGGAATAGATGATATCCCAGGAATCGTGTATTTTGAAAAGCAAGTTCCAAATGTTTATGATGGTAAAAATTCGTAATATTTATCATTTAAATAAGTTTCAATATAACAATAATATACGAGTAGCATTAAATTACTCAATAATATTTTAGGTGATTTACAAAAAGAAGAAGAAATATTAGAATGGTTGCTATCGCAACTCGAAAAAGATGAAATTGAAGATGTCACTGACGAAATGCTGGATACTCTGGTGAAAGAAGGAAAAACTTTAGCGGTTCTTTTTTGTAAATATTCATAAAATTCAAATGATACTTAAAATTTTAATTCACACGAAATAACCTAATATTAAAAAATAAAATTTACAGATGACAATAACGACCGTAAATCTCAACGAGTACTGGCTGAACTTGAAAATATAGACGATGAATGTGATTCATTAGGAATAATTTTCGTCAAAATTGATAACGTAGATGAAGCAAAAGAGTACGGAATTGATAAGATGCCAAGTTTAATTTATTTTGAAAAGGGTATACCAACCGTTTATGAAGGCAATTTAGAAGACGAGGAAAAGGTACTAAAATGGCTTGACAGTCAATCAAAAAGTGATCACATTGAAGATATAACAGATGAAATGTTGGATATGGTCATCGAAAAAATGCCTTATGTGGCAGTTTTATTCTGTTAGTAAAAAATATTTAATATACATTCATAAGTGATATCTAATTTTACTAAATTATAAAATATAAATTGTAGATGATAAAGATCAGAAGAAAAGTGCAAAAATCTTAGCTGAACTTGAAAATATCGACGATGATTGTGATGAACATAATATTGCTTTTGTAAAAATTCACGATGCCGAAGAAGCAAAAGAATATGGAATTGATGAACTGCCTACTTTAGTTCTCTTCGAAAAAAAAATTCCACACATTTATGACGGTAAATTTTATAGATTCTAATAAACTATAAAAGTTCCTTCAACGTAAACATGCACAATTTATGTATTAAACTATTCTGATTTCAACTTATTTTTAAATTTTTACAGGAGATTTAATGAATGAAGATCAGCTATTAGGATGGTTACTGCATCAAAAAAAACATAGTGAAATTCCAGAAATAACCGATGAAATGATGGAAAAACTTATTGAAACTACACCTTATTTAGCAGTTTTATTTTGTAAGTCACTCAGATACTTATACACTACGCAATTTAGTTTCTAATGATCTAAAAGTTTCGATTTTAGTTTACGCCTAATTACTTATAGATATGAAGCTATTCGTTTAACACCATATAATTAAAAAAAATATTTTTATCATTTTATTGTTGAATAGATGACAAAGATGATAAACAAGACATCAGAGTATTAAACGAATTAGAAAATATTGATGACGATTTAGAAAAAGAAGGAATTGTACTTGTTCGAATGGACAACGATGCTGAAGCTAAAGAATACGGTATAGATCATCTTCCAACCCTCGTATATTTTGAGGATAAGATTCCTGCATTGTATGAGGGTGACCTTATGAATGAAGATGAAGTTCTCAAATGGCTCGTAGAACAGAAACATTCAGCAACTATAGAAGAAGTTACAGATGAAATACTTTCAGACTTGATAGAAGACCATGAATATGTGGTCGTTTATTTTAGTAAGTGTTTTATTCAATTACCTGAAAATTTCGCCTAAAGATGTGTTTTAATACTGATCTATCAATTAATAGGTGGCAATTGCGATGAAGGTGATGCTTGCGAAAAAGTATTACAAGAACTCGAAAATATCGACGATGAATTAGATGAAGCTGGTATTGTTTTCGTCACTACAGAAGATACAAATTTAGCCAAAAAGCATGGAATTAAAAACTTACCAAGTCTGGCATTTTTCCGAAATAAAGAATTGCTTCTCTTCAAGGGCGATATTGAAGATGAAGATGAAGTTCTATCTTGGCTTACCGATGAAAACACTCTGGAAATTCCAGGAAAAATCGAAGAAGTTAATGGAAAAATGTTGGAAAACATTTTGGAAGAAAATGATTATGTTGTAGTATTTTTCTGTATGTTGACGAACATTTATATATTCTTATAGAAATCTACTCCTGAGTATTTATTTGCATATTGATTTCCAGATAAAGAAGGCGATAAAAAAAGCCAAAAAATTTTGCAAGAATTAGAAAATATTGATGATGAATGCGAGGAGAAAGATATTGATTTTGTAAAAATATCAGATGAAGGCATTGAAGCAGAATACGATCTTCCGGGATTACCAGCTTTAGCGTTTTATAGACATAAATTTCGACAAATTTATACAGGGGATCTGATGCACGAAGAAGAAATTTTAAAATGGGTCCTTGATCTTCGCACATCAACGCCAGACGTAATCGAAAGTGTAGATCGGAAAACGCTTCAGGTACTCATTCACGACGTCGAACACCTGGCTGTATTTTTCTGTAAGATACAAATATATCCATTCATCTATAAACTTCAAATCTATAATTCTATTTTGAAATGTATTTTGTAAATGCATACTTACACTTTACGTGCAAAAAAATTAAACAAAATTGTTTTCTTTTGAACTATTTGAAAATCTTCAGCTAATAGAAATGTTTACAAACACACGTAATTGTCTCTATTAAAATTAGAAATACATGCAATATTATATTGTTTAATAAACACCATAAAGCATTTAGTAGTAGCTTATTCCTCTTTTTTACAGACGGCGATGATTGTGAGTCTTGCAAAGAAATTTTAGAAGAACTTGAAACAATTGACGATGATACAGATAAACATGGTATTCAATTTGTCAAATCAAAGGACTCAAAACTAGCTGCAGAAATAGGAATTTTTTCGGTACCAGCTTTAGTGTATTATGAAACTGGAGTTCCAATTATGTATGACGGTAAGAAAGAAAACTTTTTTCTCCTACTTTTCAAATATAAATTTTTTAATTACTTTAAAAGCTATAAATTTAAGTAAAAATACCTACATTTGGAGAAATGATATAGATTTCCATAAACTAACTAAGATCATCAAACTTATTGTAGATAATAAGTCATGATTAAGATGGGTAGAATCATTTTTCTGGAAAATATAGTTTCTAGAAAATGTTTTCATCTTAAATGTTTAATCATTTAAATTAATGTTTCCAAGAAGATCTTCATAATGTATACTGTGAAATTTTCCTTTCGATTATTCAAATGTTTATGATCCCTTGTTTGTAGGCAATCTTAAAGATGAAGACGATGTTTTGGAATGGCTAATCGAACAAAAAAGTAAGAAAATTTCAAAGATGATTATTATTATTACTGGAATATTATTCTTTGTAACTCTAATATCAATTCTGGTATTACCACCAGATTATGATATCCAAAAATGAAAAAATGTAACAACGCATAAATACAATTTTAAGGCTGCAGAAAAAATAATTTTAAATCTATATGAAACTTATAGTTCAAATTCGCGTTTATGATTAAAACGAAATCAGCTTTGATAATATTTAAATTTACGGCTAACTCCACTCTAAAAAATGATATTTTAATCATTTTGGGCATTTTTAATAAAACGCGAACATATTTTTATGGTTTTCATTAATTTTTATGTTTTACATGCATCGACCTCATCACAAAACTTCACCCGAATTCTCAACTAATTTTATTAAAATACGCAGCTTAATTAAATTAACCATAACATACAAATTATACAAAATTAAAATTTGTGAAACATTTTTTTCATTTTATTTCTACATAATGAACTTCATAGTATTTCTTACGGCAATGACCAGAAACAACACTTTCTATTTGCAAGTGAGATACATAGATTGTCACCACATTAAAAAGTAGAGTCAAAGACATTTTACAAAAAAAACATATTAAATAATATATTTTAAAGTATTATAAATGAAAATGTTCGTACTGTTCGTGTGTAGGTAGTGATGATGGTGATAGTGATGAGGATGAGGATGATAATGATAATGATAATGATAATGATGATGATGATGATGATGATGATGAGAATGGTGAGAATGATGATGTGGATGATGAGGATGAGGATGATAATGATGAAAATGATGAAAATGATGAAAATGATAATGATAATAATAATGACGATAACGATGAAGAAGACGATGAAGAAGACAATGATGAAGACGATGACGATAATGAAGACGATGATGAAGACAATGACGATGATGAAGACGATGGTAATGACAATGACGAAGACGGCGATGATGAAGATGACGATGGAGACAAAGACGAAGATGACGATGATGAAGACGACAATGGAGACAATGACGATGATGAAGACGATGATGAAGACGATGATGAAGACGATGATGAAGACGATGATGAAGACGTTGATGAAGACGGTGATGATGATGATGATGATGATGATGATGATGATGATGATGATGAAAAGAATAATGATAGCGGTACTAAAATTAAAAAGAATGGACATAAATCGAATGGTGTATCTAGCAATCTAAAATCATCCAACAGTAAAACTGCAAAAAATAACAGCTTGAAAACTGCAAAGAAAGATTCAAATACTAACGAAAAAAATATACATAAAAGAGGAGCTCACGGTTATAAAAATGTTAAAGCTGATAATAATAATGATGACGACAAAAACGGCAACGATGACGATGACGATAACGATGATAACTTATCCGATGAAGAAAACAACAGTAATGAAGCCGAAGACGACGAAGAAGATGATGCAGGTGATGAAGATGACGATGAAAATGATGAAGATAACGATAACAACAAAAAGATCAAAATATCAAGTAGAAAATCGATGAAGCGTTTAACAAGCCATAGCATAAACAACATAGAAGCTTTTGCAGGCAAGATAAGGATTAAATAAAACCAATATTCATGGTTATTGTTTTTGTGTAAAATTCAAAATTATTTTAAAGAAAACGCATTTTGGAATTTTTAACTTTCCAAGAAAAGACTACTTAGATTTTTATAATTAAAAATAACATTTAAGACAATATAAATGCGCCAAAAATCGTGAATAATTGTTTATTACTATAGGCTATAAGGAACATAAAGTCAAATTATTTACGATTATTACAGGGTTTGATAAGCTAAGAATTTCGTTGCGTATGCATGATTTACAAAATCTTTTTATGATTCTAACTCACTGTGAAAGTTTAAACTTATTACTAGTTGTACACTAATATTTATTTAATTTGACCTATACTAATTTTCAAATAAGCGAGGCGATGAATTTTCAACCCAGGTTAAATAATTTTGAATTTTTGACAGCCAGTCACCTGTAGAAAGCATTACGTTCAGAAATCTAATATTTTTATTTTTTATTCATGGCCAAAAATTATTTTTACTTATAAATTGAATTCAATCAATCGACGTGAAAATACTGAACTTGATAATAAATAGCTAAAATAGAATGCATCAAAATCAATGGTTAAAAAAGTTACAAATTAATTTTTTTAGCATTGTGGTCCGGTTTTCATTGTATTGTTTAAAATTATTTGCTATAATAATTATTACAACCAAACAAGTAAATTCCTCGACTTGCTAAGTGTTCGAGTTAACTAAAAGCATCTTTACACGATTCATTTGAATGCTATCGAGTTTGATTGCAACTTTAATGCTAACTTTTTAATTTTGAAATTACTTATATTATTATTACTATAATTTTCTACCATAAAGAGATTTTTCAAGTTATTTATTCCTGTGATAAATACATAATGATTGTCAAATAATCAATCTCCGTAATCAATACCTTTAGTTTGATATTTTTAAATAATTAACTTATTAATTGAGACAAAAAAACTTTCCATTTAAATAAGTCCATTTAATCAATGTTTACGTTAGTACTCTAGACCAAGTGTTAATTTTTTACAAGTATAAAGAGTAATGGTACCACAATGTTTTTTCTGACTATCATATTTGCTTACTACAGGCGACGGCTGTTTCTTCATGGGCATGGGAGCTAAAAGCGCGAAACCCTCCATTCCTTACGAGCCTTATCAATGCTGTCCCTCAAAGGTGGCACGTAACTCCAAGATTGCAAAGGTCAGCCCTATCGATAAACCGAAAAAATTGCAAGATAAGCCAAGTAAACATAATTTAAAGAAGGAAACAGAAAATTCAGCCAAATCTTTACAATCTGTACCAGCTCTTCAAGCCATAAATAAACTTTCGGCTAAAGATATTCGCAAATCCCAAAGAGAAGCACAAAAAAAAGAAGATAAATCTAAAAAAGACAAGAACAAAAAAGGATTTTTTAGAAGCGGTAAATATGATGCATAACAAAATTTTAGCTGAAAAGTCGCAAATAATCTTATCAACTTCTATATTTACCTATAGATTGAAAACGCAATAAAGCAAGACTTTATTACATGACTCTTGGCACATGACTTACCATAAAATTAAAAACGATTCAAAAAATGTGACAATCATTATTGTTACTTAATAATAACATGAACTGATAAAATTAGATTATTTCATAAGAGATTCAAAAAGAGTTCAATGTTATTTCTTACAGTGTACCGTACAATTTAAGAAGCGTCCATAAAGTAGTTTAAAAGTAAATTAATTCTCTTGTATCATAATTATTTTAGTTAATATTGATATGTAATATTAATGTTGAAATAAGTCATTTTGATACTTTTAAGTTTTTTTATCTCTTTTTGAATTTCAAGCGCTTTGCTTGTTTTTGAATTATTAACAATATTAATTAAATGTGCTGAATAAATATCTATATCTTTATAAGCGAGCAAAAATTTGAAGCTAAAAGATACTAAATGAATTTTTCAAATTCAACGAATAACCATTTAGCTAAATATAAAAACTCCAAGATAGAACAATCTATATCGGATTTTACAGTGGTTGCCGGTCTACCAAACTTCATCAAGATATAGACAGAAAAATAAAACAGGAGCCAATCATTCATCATTCTTCATCTGACAACTTTCATATATAGTTGAATATGCTTCTAAAGTCGATTCGTATATGCAGACGAGTTGTAACTTTTGAGTGTTTCAAAAGAGAAATATATATGTTTACCTTAAATTTATTTTTCATGATCAAAATCGAAAGCGACAGCTCCATGAAATTTTCGTTAATGCATTCACAGGATGAGTGAGTGAAAAATGACATTAATGTTTTTTAAACTGTATTTTTATATGTCGATACAATTTTCTGCTGAATTTTTTATTCTAAGAATAAAAATACGATGTAAACATCATTCTTGTATATGTGTTGCATCTAGCAATAACACAAAAACCAAGATATACGAAAAAAAAAATTTGTTAAAGCTGAGTTATCAATGTTAAATATTCAAGTATTAAACATTAGATAATATGATGAGTACAAAAGTCAAACTATCAATATACAAACATATTGCATTGCATTTTCTTTCTTCTTTAATTTGTAATTTATAATTTGAAATTTTGATATAGTTATAACTTTACATACATTTTTCAAAATAACATTAAAAATATTGCTAGCATACAAGCGGTTTGAAAATAGCAATGAGATAATAAATGAAAAATTGTGGTCAAAAGTTTTCTTTAAAAAAATTATAACTTTTTATATATATATATATATATATATATCCAGTTATATTCTCATTTTCTTTTTTCTCTTTCTCTTGAATTATAACGTGAACCTCAATAATGAATAGTAAATCAATCCCGTTTATATTACACATTTTCTTGTTTGTACATATATTTTATTATTATAATTGTTAACGCAGCTGTTACTTGAAAGTGAGAATAAGTGATAATTCACTTCTCTGTTACTATTATTTTTCCAAATTCAAATATATTATTATTAATAAACTTTGGATTAAATGATCAAAAGTTAACTAGAGAATAATTGCTTGATGTGAAACTTACAATAAAACATTTGACTAAAACATAAGGTTTTTTAGTACTCACTTAAAGTGTAAATGTCCCACAGTTAATAAATAAATGAAATATTTTCCACAAAATAGTTTGACTACTTTATTAGTAATCGATTTTAAATATATCATAAGACTTTTTATTAACTGAATGAATGGTACAGTAAAAAAACTGCAATTTACAAGAAGATAATGATGATAGAATTAATTATTTCTATTAACAAGGACATTCGATTAGCCATTGCCAAACATCTTCTAGAAATTATTATGAAAAGAAATTACAGTAAGATGTCAGTAAAGTGTGATTTTTTTATTTTTTAGCTAAATGAAATTTAAAAATAATGATTTTCTTCATCTCAGGTAATCTTCTCGACGAAGCTGAAGTACTGGATTGGATGACAAAACAAAAAAATGATAAAAGTATTGAAGAAATTGATCGGGAAACTCTCAATAAGTTCATTGAAACCAAGGAATTTCTAGCCGTCATTTTTTGTAAGATTATTTAATAGTTTATGTTAAAAAATTTTATCGATGATTTATTAGAATAAAAAATAATCTATATGAAGGTTTTGATTCAAAATAGTTTTAGATCTGCAATGATTGGCGCTTTACATTGATTTCGATGAAAAATTTTATAAATAATTTTCATTATTTCCAAAAATATCAAAATGTATTCTACTTTCATATTTCCGTGAAAAATTAGAACAGTAGTGGTCGTTTAAATTTTTGCATTACTTTTTGTAATCATCGTAAATTTAAAACAACGCACCCCAGCCAAACTAAAAACGAACATTTTTAAAACAAATTTTAAGGTTTTTACTGGATATATTTCTAAACAATTACGTAAATGTCTACAAAACAACGAAATTAAGATACCCGCGTGACTTTTTAGAACAATATTCAGTGGAAATCTTTGAATGGTTAAAAATATTCATATTTACTTTGGCTGTGCTCTCTTTGAAAATATAAAAATTTAACGAATTTACATAATTTTATATATAAACAGATAAAGATGACGATCCAGAAAGTCCAAGAATCCTAAGACATATTGAACTAATCGACGACGAAGCTGTAGAGTATGGAATAAAAATTGTAAAAATGAGCGATCGACTAATGGCAAAAAAATATGGATTCCGAAATCCACCCGGAATCACTTATTTCCGAAAAGGTAAATACATAAATTATGACGGCGACATTGACGACGAGGAAGAAATACTCGATTGGTTAACAAACCCAGAAAACATGGAATTAAATGATCATATCGAACGCGTTAATAGAAAAATGTTCAAGAAAATTCGCCAAAATTCTGAATACGTAGCTGTATTTTTCTGTAAGTCAAATTTGAATCAATATGTCAAATTATTTATTGTGCTTTATATGATTTAGTAAACATTTTTTTAAAATTTAGATAGCAATGATTGTAAACAGTGTGGTCGAGTTTTGAGTGAAATTGAACATATTGACGACGAAGCTGATGGCGCTGGCATAAATTTTGTTAAAATAGATGACAAGCAAATGGCCAAAGAATATGGAGTTTTTGCACTCCCTGGAATTCTTTTTTTTAAACTGGGCTCAAAAGAACCAGTTATTTATGCAGGTTTGATTTTTATTTTAACATTAAAAATACGCTGTGAGATAAGTATTCTGTTATCATTAAATCAAATATGTCTTGATAGGGGATCTTTATGATGAGGATCAAATTTTACAGTGGTTGATGACGCAAAAAGATCCATCAGGTGAAATGATTGAAGATTTAGATGGTGAAGATTTATTACACTTGATTCGAGAATCACAGTCACTTGCTGTATATTTTTGTAAGTAAATTTTCTTTTTTCATAATAGAAATTCGACGACGGGTTTTTTTTCAAAAGCGCGACAAATTTTAACTGCTCACTTCAAATATCAGCAGTTTTTAAAAATTATTTTTAAATGCGTATTATATATTCAAAATTATTGATCAGTGCAGATTAATATAGTGCTAAACTTTAAAAATACCGTTTTAGAAAAATAATTGCAATATATAGTACAAAAGAATACATGTGTCACTTGAATGTATGGTTAGAATGAGCTATATGAATTGCAATCTAAATTTATATATTAAACATATTAAACAAAATTTATACATCTATATTAAACAAAATTTTGTAACATGTTGGATATTTACAACAGATTTAAACAAATAGAATCAAGAAATTTTATTTGTTTTTTGAAACATACATCCTTTTTATCTGTTCGTGATACAAACTTTTGATGGAAACTATGCATACATAATAATTATTTTAGCTACTTAATATTTTTAACCATACTGCTTTTAAATTTAGGAAATCACTCGTATCACATAAGTTCAGGTTTTCGATCTCAGTGGTTGATTTGGCAAAAATTATGAATCATGATTCTTAACCTTATTATACCTATTATCCAATGACGTTTTCAGATTCTTATTATCTTGTGAATTTTCGAAGAAAATTAAAAAAAAGTTAGGAGCTTCAACGTGATTTATATGAGGAAAGCGTGACGTCACGGCTTTTACTATGTTTGTTTCGTGTTATATGTTTTACTGTCATACTTGGCATGTGAGGCGCGACACGCGCTCCTCGATTTAGATTCATAAATGTTCATAATATCTAACTTTTTCATTTTATACATTGTCATCAACCCAATTAAAGGATTTAATTTAGGGTCCAATTATGCACGTCTAAAAATTTTTTACGTACTAAATGAAATGTCAAATATTTTTAAACAACGTTAGTTTTCCCAGAAAAATTGTGATTACCGTGTTTCAAAGTTCGTTCGCTTACTCCCCTAAATTTACACTTTGGTCACATATGTACAAGTTTTCAGTGGGCTTTTAATACAGTTGAATAGTCATAGAAAGTTACGTTATGACAATTGTAGTCATTTTTTATAATTATTCTGCGAATATGTTCAAAAAGCTATTTCATGTAATGATGTCGTAGGGAACAAAACTTTCTGCGATATATGTCAATCAAAAAGCTATCGCAAGCAGAAACGGCATAAACAAGAACAGAAGACAACTGAAAATGAGACGAACGAAGAGACTACTGATGGTACAAGCATGACCCCGATATAGTTTCTCTGACCCTATGTACGCCCCAATTTTTTTTATTTTTTTTTTAATTTAAATTTTATTGTGAAAAATGTATGATTCATCCAAAATATTTATTTTTATCCTGATCACCACTTTGTACCTAAAAAGTCGAAACTTTATCTTGATTTTTATAATACACATAGAATATTGAACCACTAAAAATGTAGTTTGATATGCATGTAACTTGAAAAATATCTTCGATCATTGTAGTATTTAATTTAATTTCCATTCTCGTTAAAATTGAGTTCTTTAGTGTTGATTGCTTAACTTTTCAATCTACCCGAGCATGTACAATGTGAGCTGAATATTTCCACGTCAAATAATTATTTTTGATTATTGTATGATATGTCATATCGTAAACTAAGTTTTCACTACCATAGCATTATTATAAAATTAATCGTTTGAATCTACAGATACCGATGATTGCGAACATTGTGCTGGTATTCTTGAAGAATTAGAAAATATCGACGATGATTGCGATAGACATGGAATCACCTTCATCAAAACTCAGGTTAATTTTAATTCCATTCAATTATTAATTTTGCCAAAGCTTTGTTTAATACTTTATAAATACAATAGGATTATAAAGTCGCTGAAGATTATGGAGTAATGGATTTTCCTGTTTTGGTATACTATGAAAATCAAATTCCAAGTGTTTTCGAAGGAAATTTATCAGAAGAAGAAGAAGTTTTACAATGGTTAATTACCCAAAAAACCGAAGATCGTATTGAATTAATAACTCGAACTATGCTGGAATCGTTCGTTGAAGATACTCAATATTTGGCTGTATACTTTTGTAAGGAACATTTGGTCGAAAGTTAATTTAGTTAATTTAAAATCTAATATTTTCATGCTATTTCAGATAAACAGAATTGCTTCATTTGCGACGAAATTTTAGAAGGCTTAGAGAAAATTGACGATGAATGCGACGTTTTTGGAATACATTTAGTAAAAATACAAGATATACAATTAGCTAAAAGATACTCTATTAAAACTTTCCCAGCTTTAGTTTACTTCAGAAATGGAAATCCATTATTATTTGAAGGTCACTAGAATATTATGATATTTTTGTTTTATATAAAATAAAAAATAAAATTATGTTGATCATTTTCAGGTGATTTGCAAAATGAAGAATCGGTTCTGGAATGGCTAATCGACGATGATAATCGTGAATTAGCCGATGAAATTGAATCAGTAAACGCAAGAATGTTAGAAAGACTCCTCGATGAATCTCCTTTCTTAGCCGTTTTCTTCTGTAAGTTAAAATTAATACGTCCATAACTAGCCTTTAAAAGTAAAATATAAGACTTATAAAATTCAAATCTAAATTTCTTCTGCCACAATAACAGATGACGAAGACTGTCCAGAATGCGATGACATCATGGAAGCTTTAGAAAAGATCGACGGAGAGGCTGACTTGTTCGGGATTGACTTCGTCAAAGTTTCAGAAGTGGAAGCCACTGAAAAATATGGCATTATAAATGTACCTTCATTGGTTTACTTCCGAAAGAAAGTACCCCTAGCCTACGACGGAGATCTTACCCAGGAAGATAAAATTTTGCAATGGCTCACGTCCCAAGACGTTTTCGAAATCAAAAATGAAATTGAAGAAGTAAATAAGAAAATGTTAGATAAGCTTCTCGACGAAAATGAATATTTGGCAGTATTTTTCTGTAAGTGAAAGTTGAATCATCAATCCTCTACGGATTAGTTTATTATTTTCATTTTCAGACGAGCACGGAACTAAAGAAAGTGACGAAGTAAATGAAAAATTGGAGAATATCGACGGTGAAACTGATAATTTAGACATTACTTTTGTAAAAATGGCCGACCCACGATATGCAAGAAAGTGGGGTGTAACCAAACTTCCAGCTTTGGTTTATTTCCGCAAACGGTTTCCAAGTATATACAGAAGTAAGCAAATCAACGTAAAAATATTTACTTTTGTTTGACTTTGTATAATGGGGGAATTCAATTTATTTCCAGATGATTTGAAGAACGAAAACGAAGTACTGGAATGGTTGCGCAAAAATCGTTTTAGACAACCTGATCTGAACATATACATGTACATGCTGATAGCCGTCGCAGTGCTATACGCCATGTATACGTTTTTCTTATTAACGTGCTTCAAAACAGAACAACCAGCTCCTGTAACTCACCCAAAGCAAACGTGAAAAACTCATAAAGTATCTTATTCGTGACTAAATCGACATTGGTGATCATAACTGAATATTCCTTTGAACATTTATCTTTCTTTTTAAATTACTATGGGAATATTAAAATATTACCTTCGTTTGAAGGTAATTGAATTACGACATAATATGATATTCAACATAATAATGATGGTGCCTTTATCCGTTGTTCTAGTCAAATGTTTTAAGAGATTTGACGAATAAATTGAGTGTACCAATTATATGACAATAGTCATCTGCTGATGAATTAAAATTACCTCCTAAAAACGTTTTTTCATTTTTATTGAGTATTGACTTTTAAAAGTATAATATATAATTCGAGTGCACAAAATAAATCGAATAAAATATTGTAAAAGTAATTGGTATTGAAATAGAAAATATTCGAAACTATTAAAACAACTTTGGGACCATCACTCTGACTTATAGATTATACAGCTATTTTGTTCAAAGTTTGGTATATGAAAACTTAATCAACAGTTAAAGCTGTTAATTGATTCATAAAAAATTAAATGAAATGAAATAAGCTTTTCCTGAAAATCGATTAAATATAAATTATTCATTCATTCACACACAAGAGTACTGGAAGAAAAATACATACTCATACGTATGAAGTAGACTGGTTGTAAAAATTTAATTCCTTGAAATATCGTTTTCGTACCTTGAATTACAAGTTACTGTTATAATCGTTGAGGAGTCTTCTCAAAAAGGCATAAAATATTACTATAATTCAAAAACTTTTAATTTGTTGATAAAGAGTCAAAAGTAATACAATTTAATTAGTTGTTTTTCAAATATACTTGATTAAAAGTTATCTAGATTCTATGGAAATTCTAAGAGAATTTTTCAACGGTTTTCGCTACTTTTTCCAGTAACCTGATGTTTCATAGTACTTAATCGACAACTTTAATTAAGTCAATTTAGGATATAACAGCCGCTCTAGCATACTTAAATTTCTGTAAAATGGCACTAGTAAAATTATAGTTTTTGAACTCAAAATACGTAGTAGATATTTTCGATTTCATGTGAAAGTAAAGTAAAACTATTTATAAACCCGACTCCTAATTACTTGTTATTGGGCTTATTTTTCATTGCTTTTATTAGATGTCAGTAAACGAAAAAAAATTATAATTAATTGTCACACAACATGTTTTCTAATATAATTTGTCAGATACTTTGAAAGTAAACTATTGTCAATCCTTTGGGTAATGAAGAATTCAAATATTTCAATAGATATGAAGACATTTCTTTTGCAACCTACCGTCTTGAATTACAATTTTGTAAAACATAAGTGCCAATAATGCAGTTTTTATGAATGAATGGTTATACTTTCTGAATCTGTTACGAAGGATATGATTTCATAAAACTAGAATGAAATTTTTCGTGAGTATTGAGATTATATGTAATTTTTTGAAAAAATATACAAAGTGACCGAAGATATGTATATGAAATTCTCACCTTAATATTATCTTTGAATCTTATAGATACTAGAAATGTACACATGAACTTTTTGTTCATTTTTTGTATGTTAGAATGTAATTTATAAATATTTTGTACTTACAATTGCAAAAATTGAATGCATAATGCTAGATGATCTGATGAACTGATGTTCAATACTAGATTCAATGTCACACAAAGATCCAAATAAAACCAAAAACGAACACGACAACTTCAAAAAATAAGATTACCAAAATAATAAATATTTTACTAAAATTTTAAGAAAATTAAAAAGCGGAATGATTTAAACTTAATAAACACTTAAAATTAATTTCATTCAGAGTTTTGATCATTTAATTAATATTTCTTTGAACAATTTACATGAATCAATCCATTGTAAAATTTATTTTTGTGAAAAAATTTTGAATTATCTCAATAAATTAAAAAAAAATAAGCTATAGTTTATGCTACAGCTCACAAAATCAATGTACAAAGATTCATTAAAAGATTCAAAATATCTTAAAGATAGTTTTAGTAAAAAATATATCATGTAAATATACTGACACCACTCAACTGTATAAATGTCCAATAGTTGTAAGTTTGTTGACTACTGAAATAAACTTTATTTGTATAAATCTTATAAATGTATCTTTCATATTATGTAGTTGCACGAGATAATATTGATTAATAAGAATTGAAAGCAAATAAATTATTCATTAATGAAATATATATTTTATTGAAACCTGATGAAATAGATTGATGGAATTACAACATTCATAAATATTATAACAACTGATGGTTTATTTACGTATGAATGCATATTACGACTTCAGATTTCATTTATTGAGTTCAATATTTTGCTTTCTCATAGAGGAAGCTCTGTGATAGGCTCGAAAACGAGATTTTAAACCAGACCTCGTAGGACAATTTGGTTTGTCTAATGTTTGTAACAAACTTCTAAAATGAAATACGAAAATTTTCCTTTTATTTTTTTTTTTGCTTACGAGCAAGCCGATAGATAGTCGATTGATTATTTTGATGATAATTGTAATTACTTTATAATATTCATCAATCATAAATCGTATCTGATGATTGCCCGTCCTCCAATTGACTTTTTTTGACCCCCATTTTGCAGATTTGAAGCATACTTTATCAATTCATAAAAAATGAGTTTTGATATTTCTATAGATACTCGATCATCCAAATTACAGATCTCGAGTCACGTATATGCATTTAAAACATTATCACTTGGCTCAGATGCATGATTAACCCTCTGAATATTGCGACAGGTGACCAAAAACACGAATTTCCAGAAAACGAAAAAAAAGAAAAAATTTAACGTGTAGTATAGGAAAAAAGGCTTACGGAAATAACTGCATCTCAGTACAGAATCAACATTTTGGAGTTTTGAATAATCCAATGGAAAGAGGAAGAAAAATCCTGCTCGAAATTTCCATAAATAAAAAAAAAAATTTAATTTTCATAAATAAAATTTCCATAAAAAATTTAATTTTAAGGTGTATTATAAGCCCTTAACTGCAATGACCACAAAAGTATCTAAGAAATATTATATCAAATTTTAAAAATTTTCATTCATTTCGTTATTTCAAAACGATCGACAGCTTATCATAGACAAGAATACTTTTCTTATTATAAAATTACATTTTTAGTATATTATTAATTAAAATGCGCATAATTATAAGTTGAGACATTAAAGGATTAACAGCCTCTAAAGCCTGAGACGTTGGTTGATTTTTCGACGTTTTTAAATACTCTCGGAATTACGTGGTTAGTAAACCGAAAGATACTTTTTGCGCTATTGTTTCTTCGCACATATTATCCGTTCGTGTAAAGTAATTGTACACCTAAGTGAATGATATTTTCATTACGATCTGGGTATAATGTTAATTACATGTCAGTGGCTACTTATCGTTGTACAAAACTGTTTACGCTCAGTCGCTATTAATCATTTCCTGCTGTAGGAAGTGTTTACAATAATACCCGTTCAAGTCTATTGGTGAAAATAAGATTCGGTGTTGGCTACTCGAGGCATCTAATTTTGAATAATTTAAGGATAAATCATTCTAACGAAGCAATGGAAAGCAAAAAGGACTTAGTTAGGTATACACTTTTTCATGCATATCAAAGACATATTTTTAAACGATCGTTTCTTTAGCGTTGAAGAGGAGCATCGTGACAATTGGGAAGATGTAGCCGACGTGAGTGTTAATCCGGGGTTCTTGGTGAAAACTGAAAACTCTGAAGAATCATCGTCGAATGAGTCATCAGTGAGTCCATTTTTCAAAATTTTGTTCGGATTTCCACCATGAAAAAACTATAAACAATTTTAAAGACTCGATGCTGTTACAGGATGAAATTTCGATCGAATTGGAGACCGAAAATGTAAAACTTGAACCTAAGCCCTCATTGACGACCATCTGCCAAGCTACTGTAAAGGAGGAAAATCCGGGGTTCTCGGTGAAAACTGAAAAATCTGGTGAATCATCGACGAGTGAATTATCGGTTAGATCTATCTTTTGAATTTATATTCGGATTTAGACCATGAAAAAACTATAACACAATTTTAATTTTAGGCAAATCCCAATAATGACTCTATGGTGAAAGCGGAGCCTCGTGACAATTGCGAAGATGTAGCCGACGTGAGCGTCGATCTGGGGTTCTCGGTGAAAACTGAAAACTCTGAAGAATCATCTTCGAATGAGTCATCGGTGAGTCCATTTTTCGAAATTATGTTCGGATTTCCACCATGAAAAAACTATAAACAATTTTAAAGACTCGATGCTGTTACAGGATGAAATTTCGATCGAATTGGAGACCGAAAATGTAAAACTTGAACCTAAGCCCTCATTGACGACCATCTGCCAAGTTACTGTAAAGGAGGAAAATCCGGGGTTCTCGGTGAAAACTGAAAAATCTGGTGAATCATCGACGAGTGAATTATCGGTAAGATCTATCTTTTGAATTTATATTCGGATTTAGACCATGAAAAAACTATAACACAATTTTAATTTTAGGCAAATCCCAATAATGACTCTATGGTGAAAGAGGAGCCTCGTGACAATTGCGAAGATGTAGCCGACGTGAGCGTCGATCTGGGGTTCTCGGTGAAAACTGAAAACTCTGATGAGTCATCGTCGAATGAATCTTCGGTGAGCTCTATTTTTTGAAATCATACCATAAAAAAATATAACATTATTATAATTTTAGGCAAATCCCACCAATGACTGTATTTCGTCGCAGCAGAAGAAAGATGAGGATATTTTGATAGATTGTGAGAGCTCATTGGTGAAACTTGAACCTAAGCCCTCATTGACGACCATGTACCAAGCTACGATTGTAAAGGAAGAAAATCCAGCAAAAGATTTTAATAGAAAGAAGCTTACAATTTTAATAAAAAAAGGATTCAGTTACGATAGTAATCGTAAATTTACCGGAGAAGAAGCGACTTCAACAAGCCAAATGAAAACCACACACAAGGGCATTGGACCACTTGAATGTGAAATTTGTCATAAATCGTTTAAATATCCAAGTAAACTTAAAAGCCACGTTAATGAAGTACATGATAAAAAAAAACCTTTTCAGTGTGATATTTGCCATGAATCATTTGCACGAAAAGATAATCTCAAAATTCACATCAGTATAGTCCATGAACGCAGCAAACCTTTTGAGTGTCAGTTTTGTCACAAAGCATTTGGACTAAAAAGTGACCTTAAAAGACATATAAGTGTAGTACATAATCGGAGCAAACCCTTTGAGTGTGAGATTTGTAATGAATCATTTGGACAAAAAGTTACTCTTAAATATCACATCAGTATAGTCCACGAATGCAGAAAACTTTTTGAGTGTCAGTTTTGTCACAAAGCATTTGGACTAAAAAGTGTCCTTAAAAGACATATAAGTGCAGTACATAATCAGAGCAAGCCCTTCGAGTGTGATATTTGTCACAAATCATTTGGACGAAAAAGTCACCTCGCAATTCATATTCAGGCAGTACACCTTCGGAGTAAATCCTTTGAGTGTGATATTTGTCATAAATCATTTGCACGAAAAGATGGTCTCAAAAAGCACGTAAGTAAAGTCCACGAACGCAGCAAACCTTTTGAGTGTCAGTTTTGTCACGAAGCATTTGTACTAAAAAGTGACCTTAAAATACATATAAGTGCAGTACATAATCAGAGCAAACCTTTTGAGTGTGAGTTTTGTCACAAAGCATTTGGACTAAAAAGTGACCTTAAAAGACATATAAGTGCAATACATAATCGGAGCAAACCCTTCGAGTGTGACATTTGTCACAAATCATTTGGACGGAATAGTAGTCTCAAGAAACACATCAATACAGTACATCTTCGGAGTTAACCCTTAGAGTGTGACATTTGTCACAAATCATTTGGATACAAGCACGTACTGAAAAATCACGAAAAAGCAGTACATCTAAAAGAATGAGAAATTTGTCATAAACCATTTGGATATCGAAGTCACCTCAAATCTCACATAAATGCAGTACATAATGCTAATCTTAGAAATATGAAATTGATTTAAAATTTGTGATTAAACGGTTTATAGGCTATGTAATTTCAGACAAACATTGTCATGATCAATAAAGCTTTTGAAACGGTTATTCATTTGGTTGTGACTGTGAAATCCTTTTACTCGCCTTACGCGAACTCAAATATCATCACCGTCATATATCAAATACCACGCGTCTATTTTGTTCTTTAAAATACTGTTGTTTTTAAAGAACGAACTTGAAACATCCTATTTATCGGCTGAACATTTTTTCCAAGTAATTGCTGCTGCTCAAAAGATCCCCGCATCGAAACTAGAATTATTTTGACCAGTCTTCCAAATTTGACGCACGCGAAGATTTAACAATTGCAAAGGTCGATAAAAAAGCTCTATCTAATAATTTTACAATTATATTATACTTCTGTGTAGCGCATTCTATGTTAATTGAATGACTAAACATTTTTGCTTCCTCATTGAGGAAGCTTTTTTCAATTAAACTCAAAAAATAAGTGCTTATATTGCAAATAAATTATTATTGGATAGCATAAAAATTTCGACATGTCATAAGGATATGAAAATTTTCATTTTTCATATCATTGAATCATTCAATTTGCTTTTAATTGAAATAAAAATATAGGTGTTTCCTCAGAGACACACAAACAAAAGACTCATATAGTTCACAGTTGGCAAAAATCAGCTGTGTAAGAACAGTTGTACAACGTCTATATTTACACATGTAAACATTTTATTGAATAGTAAACAATTTAAGGGCTCTCTATACACACTCAGTCGATAAGAAGTGCGTAATTATTTTGTACCCATTTTTTTTATTCTCTGGTTAACCATTGAACTTGAAACTTCGTGGGAGTGATTATGAAACTTATAAAAAGGGCTCTCTATACACACTCAGTCGATAAGAAGTGCGTAATTATTTTGTACCCATTTTTTTTATTCTCTGGTTAACCATTGAACTTGAAACTTCGTGGGAGTGATTATGAAACTTATAAAAATGTGCCTATGGAGCCAGTTTTCAATTAAATGACCGGTACTTTCAAACAAACTTGATTTTCTATTATCCCCCTTTCATAACCTAAAAGTAACGCATTCTCAAACAATTAGTTAAAATGAATCCATTGAACATTTTATTGAAAACTAGCTCCATAGGCACATTTTTATAAGTTTCATAATCACTTCCAGGAAGTTTCAAGTTCAACGGTTCTCTAGAGAATAAAAAAAATGGGTACAAAATAATATCGGTATGTCGGTATTTGTCCCTCTGTATAGAGGAGCCTTAACGGTAGTAGTGTATTTCTAATAATTTTGAGCAGCGATTTTGTAAGATGAAATTACGTCGGGAAGAAGAAAATTACTATAATCATTATTTTTTAGAAATTTCAGTTTTTTTGCAGAGTTCAAATTTTGAAAATTGTTTTAATAGCATTCAAGAAAGAAAAATTGGAGTGATAATTTTTTTTATGAGGAAGTACTTTGCGAAGAAATTGGCAGCGGCTTTTATTTATAGTTTATGAAAAATAGTTGATATATCTTGCAAAGCATTAATAAAAATAACTATAAAATATTTAAAATTTTTAATTCATATAATTTTCTATACTAATAAAATAAATATTAATCAAACAAGTGAGATTGTATCCTTTCACCGTTTTTGTATGTAACTGTTTCTGAACTAATTCAATTCGATCAAATAAATTTTTAAGCATTCGATAATAAAATGTACGTGCAACAAATGATAAAAATACCGATAACACAATTTTCGATTGTCAGATAAGCAGCTGGCCTCTATAAGTGACAGAAACTGTCACTGCTTTTGGTATTATTCATTTGATCAATTCCGGCGGTCTCTGACAATGCAAATTTCATCTTCGCAATTGTAGACAACTACCTAAACTAACCTTTTGAAATAAAAAATTGTTGTTTACAGTTTTAAATATTGTTAATAAACTGTATCTTTTTATGATTCATATTTAAGTTTTGATCTGATGGAATTTCCCCTTTTATCAAGAAACCAATGCTTGCACACCTCAGTTTATGTTTCGCCTACTCTATTCATACACGAATCTCACCTCTTCTCTACGATGTATTTCGTCAGTCGTTTACTGCACCGTGTCTAGTGTCCACGTGCGTATACATTATCTTCACGTTCTCATTCAAAATCGTGAACTAGTATATCGAGAAAACATATTGCTATTTTTTCTTGCGCTAGTGACATTTGTAATCAATAATGGCTGAAAAACTGCCGGAATCGATTAACTTTCCCCTTGAGGAAACAGCAGTATTGGAACTTTGGAAAGAACTCGATGTTTTCAAAAATTGTTTGAAACAATCTCAGGGCAAACCACGCTATTCCTTCTACGATGGGCCGCCTTTTGCAACTGGGTTACCTCATTATGGTCATATTTTAGCTGGTACTATTAAAGATATTGTAACAAGGTAATTTTGAAAATATTAGTCATAATAATCTAAATCAAATATTGACAAATCTTTCATTGTATTTAATACTTTTTGAACATTTCTAATATTCATAACATTATCCACAAAATGTGATGTATTATGTTTGTTTTAAAATTTTAGGTATGCACATCAAAAAGGGTTCCACGTTGAACGAAGATTTGGATGGGATACTCATGGTTTGCCGGTAGAATTTGAAATTGATAAAGCTCTCAATATTACTGGTCCAGATGATGTAATGAAAATGGGAATAGCTAATTACAACAAAGAATGTAGAAATATTGTAATGAGATATGCCAATGAATGGGAAACTATTGTCAAAAGATTAGGAAGGTGGATAGACTTTGAAAATGATTACAAAACTTTGTATCCATGGTATATGGAATCTATTTGGTGGGTTTTCAAACAGTTGTTCGATAAAGGTTTAGTTTATCAAGGTGTTAAAGTGATGCCTTTTTCAACTGGCTGCAATACACCACTGTCAAACTTTGAATCTGGACAAAATTACAAAGATGTCGTTGATCCTTCTGTAGTAGTTTCGTTTCCTTTAGATGATGAGCCTGGAGTACACATGCTAGCTTGGACAACAACCCCGTGGACATTGCCTAGTAATCTAGCAATTTGCTGTAATCCAAACTTTGAATACATTGAAATACTTGATCACAAGTCAAACAAAACATTTATTTTACTGGAATCTAGTTTATCGATCATTTACAAATCACCTGATTTGTATACTGTGAAAGGAAAAAGACAAGGTTCAGATTTACTTGGAAAAACGTATGAACCAATATTTCCGTATTTTGCACATTTAAAAGAAAAAGGTATTTATTTATACTATATGACTTGAATTAGATTCAATGAGAGCAAGTTACTTATTACAATTAATTTTTTTAGGTGCATTTAGAGTGTTGAATGATCCATATGTAACAGCTGAATCAGGAACTGGAGTAGTACATCAAGCTCCTTACTTTGGAGAAGACGATTATCGTTGTTGTTTAAAGGCTGGTATCATTACTAAAGATCAAGAGAGCATTTGTCCTGTAAATAGTTCTGGATGCTTCACAGAACCTGTCACAGATTTTCTTGGAAAATATGTCAAGACCGCCGACAAAGAAATAATTAAAAACCTTCAATCTAGAGGTAGACTGATACATAGTGGTACAAGTAAACACAGTTATCCATACTGTTGGCGTTCAGACACACCACTTATTTACAAAGCTGTGCCATCATGGTTTATCAAAGTAGAATCTATAAAAGAAAAATTGCTGGAAGCCAGTGCTCAAACCTACTGGGTACCGGATTATGTAAAAGAGAAACGCTTTGGCAATTGGCTGAGGGATGCACGCGATTGGGCGATCAGTCGTAATCGCTACTGGGGTAATCCAATGCCACTTTGGATTTCCGAAGACAGAAAAGAAGTCATGTGCATAGGCAGTATTGCAGAATTGGAACGACTGACCGGCAAGAAAATTACGGATATCCATCGAGAGAGCATCGATGACTTGGAAATACCATCGTCGCGACCAGGCCAACCTCCACTACGTCGCGTTCCCGAAGTCTTCGACTGTTGGTTCGAATCCGGCTCGATGCCTTACGCACAAATGCATTATCCATTCGAGAACACGAAAGAATTCGAGGAGAGTTTCCCAGCGGACTTTATCGCCGAAGGTATCGACCAAACGCGAGGCTGGTTTTATACCCTGCTGGTGATCTCAACGGCATTGTTCGGTCGACCACCTTACAAGAATCTAATAGCCAACGGCTTGATCCTGGCGTCGGACGGCCAAAAGATGTCGAAGCGAAAGCGCAACTATCCCGACCCGATGGAAGTGGTGACGCGTTACGGCGCCGACGCTCTGCGTCTCTACCTGATCAACTCGCCGGTGGTGCGAGCGGAAAATCTGCGCTTCAAGGAGGAAGGCGTGCGCGACGTCGTGAAGGACGTCCTGCTGCCGTGGTACAACGCGTTCCGCTTCCTGCTGCAGAACGTGGAGCGCTTCGAGCGCGCCGAGAAGCGCAAGTTCGTCTACAAGCCGGACGAGCTGGTGGGCGCGGGCACGGGCAATCTCATGGACCGCTGGATCCTCTCGTTCACGGAGTCGCTGCTGCAGTTCATCGAGACGGAGATGAAGGCCTACCGGCTGTACACGGTGGTGCCGCGACTGGTGCACTACATCGAGAACCTGACCAACTGGTACGTGCGCATGAATCGACGCCGGCTGAAGGGCGAGAGCGGCCCCGGCGAGTGCGAGCGGGCCCTCAACGCGCTCTGCCACGTGCTGCACACGATGACGCGGATCAACGCCCCGTTCACGCCCTTCCTCGCGGAGTTCATGCACCGGCGGCTGAGGCCGCTGCTGGCCGCCTCGAGCGAGCTGTGCGCCGAGAGCGTGCACTACCTGCAGGTGCCCGCGCCGAGGCTCGAGCTCGTCGACCTGCCGACCGAGAGCGCCGTCACGGGCATGCAGGCCGTCATCGAGCTGGGCAGGCTGCTGCGCGACCGGCGCACCATGCCCCTCAAGTACCCGCTGCCCGAGGTCGTGGTCATCCACCAGGACCAGGCGGCCCTCGACGAGCTGCGCACCCTCGAGCCCTACGTCCTCGACGAGCTCAACGTGCGCAAGCTCACGCTCACCCACGACAAGAAGGCCTACGGGGTAAGCCTAAGGGCCGAGCCGGAGCACCGCAGCCTCGGCTCCAAGTACAAGGCCGACTTCCGCAAGCTCACCGAGCTCATTCGCCAGCTGAGCGACTCCCAGCTGCAGGACTTCCTGCGCCGCAAGTCCATCGAGCTGTCGTCCGGCCACGTGATCGAGGAGAGCGAGCTGCGCATCCTGTTCACGTTCGACGGGCCGCGCTCCGAGGAGCTGCGCCAGCGCTACGAGGCCGAGTGCCGCGGCAGTCTGCTCGTGCTCCTCGACTGCACCCAATCCGAGGAGATGCTGAACGAGGGCCTGGCGCGCGAGTTCGTCAATCGCGTCCAGAAGCTCCGCAAGAAGGCCAAGTTGCAGCCCCACGATCCGGCTCACTTGTACTTCGAGTTCGGCAAGGAGTCGGAGGCCGACCAAGTGGCCAAGGCCGTGGACATGCACAAGGACTTGATCGAGTCGACCACCAAGACGCCCCAGTTCCCCGTTTCCGCCATGCAAGCCGGCGACCCTGTTCTCGAAGAGGAAAAGTGCGATCTCAAGGGAGTCACTTTGCGACTGCTCCTCGTCTCGGCCAAAAATCAATTGGACAAGCCCAAGTACTTGCCGGAATCCAGCAAGTACGTCAACGTCGAGCTGACGAGCTCGCTTCAGCCGCGCTACGGAGCAAAGTCGCGCTACGCGACCCTCTGGCTGCAGGACCATCTACGTGGCGATGCACCTCTGAGCTTCGGCCAACTCAAGCAGGAAGTCGCTCGGGTATTCGGCATTCACGGCTGTCATTACGACATTTACGATTCGACTGGAAAGATTCTCAATGACAAAAGCGATATCTTGTCTTATCACAAGAGTCTTCTTAGCGTCGTCAAGACTGGTGAAAATTGCCCGGAATCGTCGAGGAAATTGGCCTGGCCTGCTTGCTGCTTGATGAACGTCTCTTACAACAAAGCCGGCAAAAAAGTCGAGTATTCAGTATTCCTAGAAAATCCTAAACAAAGCTACGTACTCGATCAAGGGAAAATTCGAGCCAATCTAGCTGGTGTACTTTCGAATTCCAATGTCAATGTGCCTAATGAACCGATCGACAAACTCAATGGTTTTGTGCTCAACGCTTGATGCTGACAACATTTTAATAGGAAACACTACGTTCAAAGTCATTGTTTTTTTCACGTTTGTTAATAACGAGCTTTTGTTAGTACAATTGGACAAGTCTTTAGTATGGTATAATTTACATGTATATTGTACGTATTTGAATAAGATAACAAATTGAATTTACAACTTTGAGTGTCCTTTCATTGAAGAATCAAAAACCTTATTTTAATCAACGAGCAGATATAAATATTTTAGCAACAAAAAAACGTTTACTACTGGTAATCTGTTTATTAAAAAGTTATACACGAGGTAACGTATCGGTGAGGCATGCCGCGTAATCTGGCAACTCATTGAAAATCTGTTTATATGACTAGTAAGTATCAAAGTATTAATACGATTGTAAAAAAAGAAAAGAAACTCAAAAACAAGACTAATTGATACGCTCAAGAGACTTGAGTCGAAAAATGTGACGCTTGAGATCGATGCGGCGTTGCATTATTACTACCCAAGTATATAATGCGCCTCTGCTCCTCCGGGTGTATGAGTTGATCGGTATTTTTCCAACGGTACTTCTTCTCGGTATCTTTGAGCTGTCGCTTGTCGATGTAACTTATGACGCAGCTCGTGGGTATCCAAACGATCGCCGTGCTTATTATCACTGCCCCGACAATATTGTCTTTGAGAAAACGCATCACTTTGTTAATGTTAATGTCCTCGATGATGTCCCAGAAGCGCTCGACGACGTCTTGGATGGTTTTTTCGCAGGTGCCCTTGTTGCAAAAGCCTTGAATGCAGGGAGTTCCGTCGGGCAGTATGTCCTGCGGATCGATCGGGAAGCAAGTATCGTTGAGCCCCATACGACAGCAGCGTTTGCACGCGTCTCCGGCTGCAAAAGCAATAAACGATAAATCGGCAAATTAGACACGATGCAAAAGCACGCGATCGTAGCAGTCAACTTACTCGTGTCGCACATGCAACTGGTAAGGCCCTGAGTTTCGCAGTAGGGCACGCATTTGCCCTGATGGCACTGTCCTCGCTCGAGGCAGCTCGTGCCGTCCTTCATGGCCGGCGAGCGCGGACACTCGCTGGAGGCGCCGGTGCACCTGGACTCCTGCTCGCAGGTGGCGTACTGCGCGTCGCGACACTTGATGCCCGGCCCCATGAAGGCGCAGTTCTGGCAGCAGGGCGAGTTCTTGTCGCTGCATACGGCGCCCTGGTTGCGGCGCAGCTTGCAGTTCTTGTCGCAGCACGCGTCGTTGTCCTCGGTGCCGAGCAGGCCCGCGTCGCACTCCTCGTCGCCCTCGACGCGCAGATTGCCGCAGAACGACTCCTCGGGCTCGCTGAAGCATCTGCCCGACTTGGCCTGCAGCACGTTGCGAATGGCCCGAAGACTGCACGGCGAGAATCGCTTGTTGTTCACGTCGTAGCCGCTCACGCTGTACGTGTACATGAGGTAAGAGCCACCTTGGCTCGCGCTTGGGCTGCATTCCTAAGGGGCGACAAAATCAATTGCACCGCGCTACCTTTTCACGTTGCGAGCGATTGTGTGTAAACTTACCGTTATGTCTGGATCGTGCTCCGATCCCCAATTATGACCAAATTCGTGAGCTGTTACTAAATCAGCCTCTCTTGTTATTACTCTTTGACCATAATGATTTCTACTCGAACTTAATCCCGAATTGAGGTACAAGGTGTATCCGTTTTTGAAGTATTCTATAAATCCCAAATTATTATTTCATTAGATTTCTTTATTGTTTTTTAAAATTAATTAATTTTTCTTAATTACCTGGTGTGCAAATACCCCCCACAGAATTTCTTCTTGGTGAGCCTACATACGCAAGACCTAAAATACCTCCTTCAAATTTTAAATCTGTAAATAGGTGTGCTAAGCAGAAATCTTTGTGACTGTACTCTCGACTGAATACCTTTGATTAAATGGCAAAAAGTTTCATTTTAAAAATTTTAATAACAAGTAATTAGCATCAAACCTAAATCGAATCTTTTTTACCTCCAGTAAAGTTCTTACATCCCACTTTTCTCGCACCATGTTGTAGTGATTATCGCCTCCTCTTACTCTAGTAGGTTCACTATGAACAACTATTTTTTTTATTACAAATCCCATCCCTTTGAAACCATCCTGTTCCTTATGATCTTGCCACATTGTATCATTATAGATTTTATGAACTCTATCAATTAGACTAATCTGTAAATTGATTATTACATTTATAATATAGAAAATTAAAATTTCCCCCTAAATTTATGAAACATGCATGTCATACTAAATAATTTATGGTTGTTTTAGTGCTGCTTGCACCCATTTCTTGATAAAATCTATAATCGGCTACAAGAAGTAATGGACATCTCGTTTTAGTTGGAGTATACTCATATGATTCCGTTTGCCTTCTGCTTCTGTTATGACTAGTTTCTTCAATTTTTAAATCTACATCTATTGGTTCATTGTCTTCTTTTATATAACCACAGGTTTTTGGAGCACCATGAGTATGTCCTTCTCCATTGTGATAATGTTCCCAACTTAGCTTGACATCAGATGCTTTATATATAATCATAGATTGATTGCTATTTTCTGGTAAATGCCTCCATGAAGGCTGAAATATTAAATAAATATTTTAATTGGATCGATTGGAAAATTCAATTACTTTTATAAAACTGTACATACTTCTATGTGATAAGTATCATCAGGTACAGAAATACTTCCTAACAAAATACCATCGTCATCTATATTAAGCTGAACATGTGAGTTCGATTCACCAAAGACTCTACCATGGTAGAAGTTATCATGATCTAAAAACCAGGTGTGATACAAGATTGTTTTAAAATGTTCATAAAGTCACTTTTAATATTTCAAACATACCAATGTGAACTGATGTTTCTCGTCCATCGCCATCAACTTCATATGCTTTAAATTTGGAATGAATTACTTCTTTTCTTGGTGTTAAAATCAATCGGAAATTCCTAAAAGAAATTAATGATGTAAACCTCTCATTTCTATATATTTTACATCAAAAGTATTAACATTAATAAAACTCACCGGCCGTGTGTGTAAAAATCCAATTCGCTTATTTTGTTGTAAGGATGATAACTATGTTGAGCTCCACGTTTTACAATTCTATGTTGAAAACTTGAAGAATGAAGTATTTCATAATACTTCAAATTTTTATGAAGTGCATCTAAAAAATCAATAATCAGTGAGTTTCAATCGCGAAATAGTTTAATTACATGAAAGACTGACCTGAAGCATCAATACAAATAACTAAAAATAATATCACGTATGTAAACCCTTCCATGCTGATGTTAACTTATAAAACGTGACACAACCGTTTTATTGTTCGGTCCATAATTAGAAATAAGATTATTTATTTTAATAAACTCATTTCACTGAAGATAGAACCATTTTAAAATGACGATGTTTGAATACCAATCGATTCAATAGAAAGTTTTGCTGACAACAAAGGAACTCGTCATAATTGTTGCATTTTTGTGTTTACACAATTTACTTGCTTATATGCACATACACGTAGAGATTGTATGCATCGTTCTAAGCATCATGTCGCCAAAACAATGATCACTGCTACTGGACGCATAACTTTCGAGGACATAATCCTTCCAAAACAACACCCGCAATGTTTAGGTCATGAACTCGAAAAAACTAGAACTACCACTGACACTTGACAGTTCTCAAGGCGCAAGTCGCTCAATACCTACCTGTCAAGAGTAGAACAATGCGTTCTGCTGCAACTGCATGAGTCTGCTCAGTGCGGGATAAAGCTGCGTAACAGAATGTAGCCAATCACAGACGGAGTTGAGTTGGATGCATTTCAGCGAAAAACTGCGATTGGTTCAACGAAACCGAAGAGGAAAAGGTAATGAATTTCGCATGAAAGTAATTTTGCAATTTCAAAAAGTTATTATAAATAATGGCGCGTCGCAGTAGGAATCCCTGGTTCTTATGCCCTTAAATACTAGGATAATCAAGGAAGTTTCTCATAGGGTAAAAGTAATTATTAAAATAAAATGTAGTTTTTTCAAGGATTTTCATCAGTTTTCGTGCGAGTGCTTATAATTAAGGCTAGTAAACGCAAACTGTTAATAGTTCGTAAAGATAATGAATTTTAATATAATACAATAAATGGTCAAAGTAAAAATACATTTGACTTTCTATCGACAATATATTGACTCGACAATGAAATAAATAAAATAAAGAAAAAGAATCAAATTAACAATCATTATTTAAAAAAAAAAAATGTGAACTTTGAACTAAGTTTACAAACTAAAAAAAATGTTTGCGAATTTAAAATTTCTCAAATTCATCTTCATAGGACAAAATAAATGGTTACTTTTGAAAATAAAAATAATATCAAAAATTTAGTTCTTTTAATTTTTTTATTAATGTTTTTGTATATATTTTAAACACTCGAAATCACATGACTCTCGACCAAAATTTTTTTTAAGAAATGGTACTTAGTGTAGAAAAGTAATTGAACAAAAGAGTTGATAATTTGTAATAAGTTTGACTGTTTTGTTTTTTATATGTGTATACATATTTACACACATGCATGTGTAAATATATTCAAATGAATGTATAGACAATCATGTAAAAATGTTAAGTGTTTATGAAGTTAAATCGAGTGTCTTTATTGCGATGCAATAGATCAGTAATGTCGTTCTCAATTTTATGATGACATTTATTTTCTTCATTCAGCTAACTTGATTTTGCAGCAAATAAAGGTGCAAAATTAACGCTTCACTTTTCAAATCTTCTCGTATTTTGAATAATTAACGCTTCAGTCCGGTGATAACGAAAGTCTCTATTTACATTCTCAACTGACGAAACGATGATTCAACATATCTCAATCGTTTATATATTTCATATTATTCAAGTCAATCTGAATAAACGTCAATATCGTCATCACCATTATTTATTACTATTATCAACATCAATATTACCATTATTATTTTTATTAAGATAATTACCATCATTATGCAAAATTCATTTTCAACTTTTTTGTTACATACAAACTAAAAATAAACAAAGCACACTTTAATACGACAACAACCAGAACGCGATTATTGCACCGATATCCAGGCTAATTTTTTTTCCATATTCAACGATCAACCGGGCTGAAGGTTAGTTAAGCAAATGCCCAGATATATAAATGAAAAAATTTGTTGTATCGTCTCAACTCGCTCGCAAACATTGTTGTCACTCGTCTGTTTTATAATTTTTTTTTTTTTTTTTTATAATTCTACTATATTTTGTATTATTTAACTGCCTTTTCTAAACATATTTAGAAGACAAGTCTTTTGCATGAGAAAAATAATAATAGTAAAAAGGTTTTAAAATTGTTTAAGTTGTTGATAACAACGAGGATTATTCGTTTCCCGAATAAATTCCATCAAATTTTGTGAATAAATTTTTTTAACATGATTTAGTAACTGTCTCTAGTTTTCGCTAAATTATGTTACTTTTTTATTGGATGTGCTATTGGCTGGCTGGTTGTATAATGTATAAAATTACATACTTATTTCTGAATGTATTTTTCCCACATCTCTGTGTATTTTTACTCTTCCACACGTACAGTACATAATTACTAGTTCGTACTTTGATTCAATACACAGGTGGAAATTGCATTTTGATTCATATGTTAAATTAATAATAAACTAAAAACATTTCATGTTTCATGGACAAAGAACGCTTTGAAAACATCATAAAATTCTATTTGATGATTCAAGTGGTTCCTCCATGCTCAAACGATCAGCACTTCCACTGAAATTTATAAATTTCAAAGTATCTTTGGGTTAAAGGTTGAAATTATTTTGCCAGGAATCTTGATATATCATTGTTCCAACACCCACAACTGAAAGTCTCAAATAATGCTTATACTATAAATAATTTGAAATACGCAGCAATAATTCATGATAAGTGTAAAAGTTAGTACACAGAAATAACAGGCTTTTTTCTATTCGCAGACAAAAATACTTATAAAAAGTGGCACATACACAATACTAGACAAAAACTCGGACAATACAAATCATCAAACTACCTTTTTTCTTTAATTCACCTTATTTTTAATAAAACTACTATTTTTTTTGTTTTTATCATAGCTAATTGATTTTTTTTATTAGTTGAAAGAAGTTACTATTTTCAAAGATGATTTTCACGCGACGAATTGGTATCTACTTTTTTTTCTTAAATAGTGTAAGTTAGAGCATTATAAAACGTTCAATTATCTAAGATATTGAAGTTCCAGCCACAGACTAAGTCTAGTGCCACTCATGATTTAAATTTGATAATTAATTTAATTAAGTTTTTTGTTTCACTCTGTTGAACAGAAGAATTTTACAAATTCGTCGAATAAATCTGATATAGTATTTTTCAAGATACTCTTTGCACGGACGAGGGCACCGACAATCTTAAGGTCGGTTGTTCATTAGTTTTTTTTATGGAGGCAACTTAATCAAAAAAACCAAAACCTCTTGCTCTACTAATTGATTATGAAGTAGTGATAATTTATCACCAATCATAGACGTTATCTTCTTCATCAAAAAATCATTTTTCCTTGGGGGCTGCTGACTTTTATTTAATTACCACTTTTCTTCTTCTTCTTCGTCATCTTCTTCTGATTCTGATGGCTGATCTGCCAACCATGTCAACCAAGCATTCACCTTATAGAAAAAATTAAAAATAGCATTAAAATCAAGAGAATACAACATAATCATACAATTAAAAAATTAAAACGTCAATTATACCTGGAAGAGAGCCTCGCCTTTCCCAGGATAAGCATCATTGATATCCTCTTTCCAGCGCATGAAAGCGTCTTCGTCGATAATTGAAAGATCATAAAGAGCTATGAACCAACGGAGTAGCATTCCTTTAGGGAATTTATGCGAGTAGCAAAATACTTGCAAAGAGTGTACGGCAGTGACCTGGGATTCGATTGTTGGCAAAAGTGTTTGCAACATTCTCTGATATTTGCCCAGCAAGGCTAATTCTTTCTCTTGCAAAGCTTTACTAGGTAAATCGTTTGGATCAACCCCTTCTGGGAATGTTGTTTCCTGTAATCAGAAAATTATAAATTCAATAATTAAGATAAACAAATAAATATATAAAAAGTGTTACTAAAAAGCTTACCCGAGTAATATATTTGAGCAAAACGGCAATGAGTGCGTTTATAAACGCAGGGTCAGAGTGATGAGACGGCTCAAGTTTTTCCTTGATCCACTTGTAAAAGGTAGTAGGCGAAGGATCTGCCTCGAGTTGTCGTCCCATATCGCCCTGAATTCTCAACAAAGGATAGAGGAAGGTAAGATCGCGGTCCTCAAGAATTTCACCGAGACGTTCCTTAGTTTTTTCTGCTTCAGGTAACTGGCTAATAAGGTTGATCTTGCTCTCGTTGAAAATTCGAGAGAGCACCTGCTTGCCTTGGCTCTTATGCAGTTGCTGCAGTGTGAGAAGAAATAGAGGATAGTGTTGACCGTTCTCCGTCACGGAGGCAAGGTCATTCAGCTGGAGCATTTGATCAACGATGGCTCGGGCCGTAAAGAGGGCGATGTGGGAAAGGACACATGGAACGTCTTTATCGGCCATCGAAGTGACGAGCTCCTTCCAGCCATCGTGAAATTGGTTGCTGCTTATTATGTTATCTTTGCGCAATTGAGCAACGAGATCGGCAGCAAGAGTGCGCTCGGCTTCGTTGCGCTCCAGGCAGTTGGAGTAGATGCTGAGCACGGCATAACGCAAAAAGCGCTCAGGAATCTTGAGTTCTTTCAAGGCTTGAACAGCCTTGTCCACATCATTCTGGCTAATATGTTCGTCGAGCATGGCATGGACTTTCTTCATAACTTCTTCCTTGGTCAAACCTTTGTCTTTGCGCTCTCGGGCTTTCTCGCGCTTGTCAAGAGGGCCTTGCTTGATAACAATGCTACTGGTAGCAGCGGGGGTTGGTGCTGCTGCTTTTGGAGCAATGGTTGCAAGATTGACAGCGCTCGAGGCCGGAGGTTGCGATTGCTGCTGCTGCTGCTGCTGATTCTGCTGTTGTTTGCGAATTGTCGCCGCACGCATCAGAGTAGTCTCGGACATACCACGGCCCGGGAACAAATCTATGCCATTGTCAATGGGGAGCTGTGGAATGATATTGGGCTGCTTGTAAGTCATCGAGTTGGCAGAGGGTCGAAGCGACACTTCCTCTGGTGGTCCAATGAGGATCTTGTTCTTGTTGAAGCGCGGGGCTTGCTCCTTGTTACCGTTGTTGTTGTAATTATGACCACCTCGATCGCCAGAATTATGCTGCTGCTTACCACCGTGTTGGTTGTGGTAATTGTTTTGCTGCCTATTCTGGCCGTAAAAACCTTGATTTTGCTGGTTGTTACCGCGGCCGCCGCGCTGGTTGTTGTAACCGCCGGATTGCGAGTCGCGCCCGCCGCCGCCAGAAAATCCATTGGGCCCGCCAGCTCCGGTGGGGCCGAAGGGCGAGAGCGCTCCGAAATCCGACGAGCTAATGGAGATGATGGAGCTAAAGTCGTTCATAGAGACGCGGCCCATGCGTCGGAAAAGATCGCTGCCGGGCCGGCCTTGGTCGGCGATAGCGTGATGATCGGTCAGGCGGTTGGATGGGGGTCCGCCGGAATTACGACCACCGTAGAAGTTGTGTTCCGAGTGTCGACCCAGTACACCTTGTCCTCCGCTCGGACGATGCTGGGACACATCGTCGTTATCATTGCGAATCTGATTGATGGGCATGGGACCCTCGGTACTGGTAGCTTTGCGCGGTACCCAGCCGTCCCGGCGCAGCTCGATGACGTCGAGCAACATGAATCGTATGCGAAGCGGTAGCTCCTGGCTCTTGGCCAAGCTCTTCATGCGCTTAAAGTACTGTTCCATGAGCTGTTGGCCCTTATCCGTGTCAAGGATACGGCCGCAGGTGCGCATGATCTGGCAGAGACACTCGATGTCCTCGGCTGGGTCCCCCCGGGATCCACCACGCCTCTTATCCAAAAGCTGTTGTATGCACTTGTGCAGAATCGAGTTACTGATGATCTCGAGCTTGCCGAGCTCGCCGATGAATTTGATGTTGCCGAGCATCTTTCTTTTGACCATCTGCCGGCGCTCCTCGTCCTCGGGACTAAGCTCGCCGTCCTGGCGCTCGAATGCCTCGTGGGCCTTGCTGCGGTTCTCGAACTCGAAGCGGCACTTGTTGAGCAGCAATCGCGTGAAGGTGTTGTCGTTCGATCGAACCTTGGCGCTCTCATTGTTGTGGTTGTTGCCGTTGTTGTGGGTAGGGCCGGTGCCGCCGTGATGGCCGCCCCCTCCAGCAAGTCTGGAGCTTCCAATCGCCCCATGTAGCTTTTGCTCGTTCTCAAGCTGCGCGGCCTCCTCTGACAGCCGCTTGCACAGCTGTGCATACATAGAACTGTATTTCGGTTCATCGAGAGCTTTTTCAAAGATCTGTCAACATAAATATAAAAGTGTGTTTATTCGTTCGGACGGTGCGGGCGAATGAATCGATAAACGAGCCGATCGAACGTCTCGTCGATATACGGATCGAGATATTTGGTTTACATAGATATACTTACCAAGAATATGACGCCTTTAAGTATTACATCGGAATTGAGCTCAAGGTTGAGCAAGTCGTTGCTCAGCTTTGCGAACTTTTCCGGTGTGAGCTTGTTGAGCAGGCCCCGTACCTTGCGGAAGATGACATCGTTACGGCTTTCTGGGGTGAGCGCATCGCGTCTAATAGATGAAGGAGGGATCCAGCGTTGCTCAGTGGATAGGGAGCGATTATCGTCCCTGGAAGGCATCGAACTATTTAGTTTCTTTGACTACTTTTACAGAAACACAACACAAGTTAGCTCAGGGAGTTTTTGGACGCAGATGTGAAATTGATGTGATTGATCTGTGCTTTGTTTTCCAGGAATGAGTGATTTTCGGATGGATCGATCGATGCAACAAAAAAAAAAAGGTAAATGAATAAAAACAATAATAAAAACGATTATCACGAGGAATGTAAAAAAGGACAGGAGACAGGTGTACGTGCACGCGAATAATAATATTCTGGACAATGATGTGTGTAAGGGGCAATGTGTGTGAGCAAGCTAGCAGGGTGGTTCTTTATCTAGGCAAAGACCCTGACCTTCCTCCCGAGACACGAGAAGCACCCCCCGGTCCTGTGGGGTTGTCCGTTGTTGCGCGTGTTTTGGCCCCCAGAACAACAAATCACAGCACGCAGTACTTTTGACGCCGGTGAGCTGTAACATGGAAGAAAAAAAAACAAGGAATTATTTTCAAATGGCTCTTCGCTTTGCAACGACGATCATCGATTTAATCAGTAAATAAAATGTATAGCCAGTTATTTTTCGCATTCGCTCGTAACGCATAAACAGCTTCTCGCTCGCTGTAACGTTCGACGTAACGTTCGGTAACAATGACGTTTAGGAAAGTAGCAGCAGCTAGAATAGCGCAGCGAATTGAATGAACGATCGGGAGAGGAAAATCCTCGAGCGCTAGTGTGGCTTTGATCGCAGCAGCAGTAGAGAGAGAGAGAGAGAGAGAGAGAGAGAGAGCACTACTTTTTTTTGTCAGAGTCGACGCAAATTAATGCAACTGCGGCGCGACTCGAGCAGTCGAGAGCGATGATGATACGTCATAGACGAAGAAAAAAATGTACTATCAACGATGTGAAGCGCAAAAGAAGTATGCCAATTGGATGGTTAGAGAGAGAGAGACAGAGAGACGAGGAAGTTTGGAGCGAGGGCAAAATGACTGTTCAGGCAGGTATTTGGGCGAAAAAGGACCAGGGAGCAGGTAAAAGCGAGCAGCTGAAAAACGTTGGCGTCCTACATGGCCCGTGCAGCTGTACCAATACACCAATAGCCACGGCACTCACACGTTTAAAAGGTATATACTCTCTCACGAGCGAGCTACTGCAAGTCCTATGCGACGTTTACGTTGGCGCGACGCCTTCCTTTATACCTAATGCATACAAATGTATATGCAGCGAGCGAGCGAATAAAAAGAAGAATGAAAAAAAAGTCGTCGACTCTCCGAGTATATACGCGGACAATGTACACTTGTGGGCCCGCAGAAGAGTCGAGTCGAGCCGAGAGATATAGGAGAGGATGTATCTCTCTGGTAATTAGCAATTATTTCATGTAGCCCTCGTCGGGAGGCGCACGCGCGCGCGCCCAACTCTCTCTCTCTCTCTCTCTCTCTCTCTCTCTTATGCACTATTAAAAAATATATAGGTACATGTATATACGTAGATGAAAAATTTTTGCACGACGACGAAGAGGTGTAGTCGCGTATATAGGTAGTATAATATAAGATGCACGGACACACACACACTCTCGCGCCCGCGCGTTTATCGCACTCCCCGCAATTGTGTACTGGCGAAGAGCTGCGTATCGCCGAGACGACGTTTGTGTATGCGCGAGCAAAACGACGAGACGACGACGACGAGAGTGTATCTATATACATGCACACCTATATAGCTATATATCGCGAATGGGTGTGCGCGCGCGCCTCTCGCATATGTGCCGCGTACGTATACGAGTCTTTTATGCGCGCGTGTGTGTGTGTGTGCGCGTATATAGCCGAGGTAAGATGGAGCTGAACCAATGTCCTCCATCTCACGAGTGCCCCGACTCGCTTTATCAACTATCCTTCATAGTTTGCTCGCTTTCGTACTGCATATACACGAGACAGACGCAGAGAGTCGCTGCTGCTCTCTCTCGCTCGCGAATAATTTTGCTCCTCGATTGCCATTGTCAAGTTTCGAGGGTATGTATCGCTTGCAAACACGGACGTGACGCCCGTGTCGTTGGTGTGTAGGAAGCAAAGAGGCAGCAGCTCTCTCTCTCTCTCTCTCTCTCTCTCGCACTCGCGCGCACGCACACACACACACACACACACACACACACAAACACACACAGGCACATAAACGCAGGGGCAATGTTATAAACGATGCTTACGTTTGGGCCGCTGTTGGTTGCTCCGATACGGTGCACTACTATTCGTTCGACCGATGCACACCGGGAAAAAGAGACTTTTGCCTGGCTTCGGACTCGTTCCCCGATAGTGGTAGAGTCGGAGAACGACGACGACGACGACGACGACGAAGCCTAACCAATATAAAACTACTCACTCGATCGGTGTGTACGAGTGGCCAACTCAGACACGCGCACACTCACACGGACGATTAGACAGAAACACAAGCAGCTCTGCCTATATAGTATAGGATAGGTGTATATGTACTGTATATATACGGGGACACGCACGCACACAGACGACGCCTACTATATACAGCGTTGACTGTATATACGCGACGACGACGAGCTTGGGCCGAGCGTGTGTGCACCTGGCTCCGATCGTTCCTACGTTACGACTACTCCACGCGACGACACAAAATATTATTATAAACAATTATATCACTGGCTTTACGTGTGTATATATATATCTTGTTGCTCGCTTACTTGCTTGCTTATATACTCGCTCGCTCTCGAGCGCGCGCGTGTATGTGTGCCTGTCTCTGTGTTTGTTTGTGTGTATATGCGCTTGAGTCGGAGCTTTATTAATGCGTATACGGAGCAAAGCTGCTGGTGGAGCAGCAGCTGCCTTAACACTACGAGCTCTCTATGTGTATATACGAGCTGTATGCTACGCACACACATATACGCGCACTGCACAAGTCGAGTGCACAAGCGGACGAGCCACAAGAAGCAGCAGCAGCACAAGCGACTTCTCTCTCTCTCTCTCTGTCCTTTTCCTTCCTCTCCCCCTTGCGGCCTCGGAACGAGTCGGCGGCCAAGTATAGGTGGCTTCGCGTCTACGCTCCCGTCACGGGACCATCATTTTTTTCAAAGTTTCATACGCGAATCGACCGGCTGCAAGCACACGACGTATAGCGATTGTGTATCCACGCGCGTCCAAACGTATATTTCCCTTTGCAATTTTCAATTAGCGAGTACCTAATGCAACGTCGAGAGTGCAGCGCATGACCGTCGCCCAACGCGATTCTTTTGCTGCTACGAGCGCGAATTCGCCTTGTTATTATCGCGTGCACGAACAAGAGTCGAGTCGGAGAGTTCGTAGTTCGTGCGTGGGTGGCTGAGGGTTATTGCCTGTTGGCGTCACGATCGCGACAATGAGTGCTACAACGTATATATAGTATATATCGCATCACCTGCTCATTCACGAGTCCCGCATCTATGTGTATGCGTATGCTGCTGCTGCCGTGTGTGTGTGTGTCTGCCAAATGCGAATACACACATTTACATACACGAGTAGCATTGTACGCAGTGCCTACAGGACATGACGCATACATGCGCCAATTCACTGCTTACAAACATTAATTGCTCAGCTGACGATAATAGTCATTCTGATGCATTTCTCCGACGTTGTTTCGTTCGAAATATTCTCGATACTCGATAGATTGTTGACGCAAATTTCGCTCCTTTCGATCATTCGATAGACAAGACTCGTTAGCCTATTTTCGACTTTGTAATGTTAGCCTTGAAAATAATGGAAGAAAGATGCATTAAAATGCGATGATTCGAGTCGAGCAATCGAATTTCTTTATAAACCAAAATAAAAACACCGTCGTTGAACGATGTTGTATCGGTCAGCAACAAAGAATAAAGGAAGACAAAAATTGGGCAAATATTTACGATACAAAGTATCATTTGCGAATATTCTCGTTGCACCATTAAAATTTGTTACCAATTGAAATACATTCACACGTGTAAAATAAATTGCGATAGAAAGATTTGCGAAGAGTATAGACGTAGAGAGGAAGAGAGCGAGACGTCGCTAGAGTGTGACGCGTTGGCAATTGGCAAATGAAGAAAAAAAGAAAGAAAGAAGCAAAATCATAAGGAGATGGCAGAAATCCGATGGCGACCGAAGGAATGTGCCGAGTGGCGGCTATATGGAAGAGAGCTCGTACGAACGCGAAACACACATATAGTAGCTTACATAAACTGGATAGATAGAAATCATTATCGACACTCGTTTGTTCCCATCGAGCGACAAAATCAGACGAAGAGAAGACGCGGCGGCGGCGGTCGCTCAGCTGCGAAAAAATTCCATTTCGGATACCATTTAATCCGTATAGAAAATTTGCAAACAAACGTGCGTGTGTGCTCGAAAAAAGACAAAGCCTCCGACTCGTGCGTATGCAGTACGGAGTCGTCTTGTGTTGCTTTGTTGGGATATTCTTTCATACTTGGATATATATTTCACTCTTTTCTTTCTCTGATAAACACATACATATAGGCACGAACGAGCAAGCGAGTCACACGCACACACCCTCACACACGCGTATATAGACACATCGGAGTTCTCTCTCTCTCGCGCGCGCGATGACACGCACACACGTTGGCTCTACATCTCTCTCTCTCTGTCTCGTTCTGCAAGTCTGTGAATCATCGTCTCTCGCACGCAGAGAGCAACGTAAGAAAGAAAAGAAAGGTTTCAAGAGAGGAAAAAACGAACTTGTACTCACGTTTTCGATGAGTCGAATTCAAGCCCCGAAGTCAGTTGATCCCGACCTTGGAAGCGTTTCCTGCTACTACACTTTTCTCTCTCTCTCTCTCTCTCTCACTCTCTTTCTCTCTCAGCTGCGACGACGACAACTGAGGTGCAGCAGCAGAGGCAGATTATGTACTGCCCCTGGGTGTCGCCCTATATACGCGTATGTATGTACAAAAATATGTACGTCGATTGGGCTTGTGTATGCAACGTGCGCAACTGCCTGTGCCGGCGGTTGGGCAGTGCTGCTGCTGCTCACTCGTATTCCAACCTCTCAAATGTATGCTCGCTGCGAGTTTTAATAACGGGAGCAAAGCAGAAGCAGCAGCACTTTGGCTTTAATCGGCAGCAGCAGATCTACTACTACTACACGGGCTACGCCGTCTAGAACACTTGCATTCGCGCGCGCGCGCCGCGCGCCACCACCGACGACGACGTCGTGTCGTGGAGCAGCAAGTTTATGAGCGGGGGTGGTACAGCAAAGTCTCTCTCTCTCTCTCTCTCTCCAAGCTCTCCCTTCTCTCTGTACAACTCCCTCTCTCTCTCTCTCTCTCTCTCCTTTCTTTACACCCGAAACGCGATTAATGAATGTTGTATATGCTCAACTGGAGCCGCGAATCGTCGTATCCCCGCGCGCAGCGCAAATCAACACGAGCGATGCGTTGAACTGGTGATTCGTGAGTCAGACGACGATGAGCGAGGACCACTCGGCCGCTTCTTTATGCTCGACCGATTGCTTTTAACGTAGGCCTATATTTGTGTATGTGCACGTGTGTGTAATTTTGTGTTTTTAAGGCCTTTTAATCGAGGGCTAGAATATTTAAGGCTAGCCTGCTTGTACTGCCCGCTGACATCCGTGGCCGTCGGCAATTTTGTCCGGCAAGCGTCCTCCTCTTGTCCTCGCCTCGGCGATTCTCGTCCGCACACAATTGTCGCCAATCTTCGGCTGCGCGGCCGAATTCCGAACTTGCAAAAAAATTATACGCGTTAGGAATGTAAATTATTTACCAGAGACGAGAGACAGTGAAAAATTGCAAATTGCCGCAGCAACGACAGCAGCGCTGCACACAACAGCAACAATAACAACAACAACTAGTAACTAAGCAAAATCGCAGTCAAAGCTTCTCGGCTTTGCCACCGCTCGGCCGTTCGTTTTTCGCGCTATATCCTGTCGAGAATCAAGGTGTAAACTGCAGCTTGTGTATCCACAGCAGCTTTCAACATTGTCCGCGTTGACTATTCATCGGTATATAGTAAATGTATAGCGGTACGAAAACTTTTAACGAATGACAGCCCGTCGAGCATTGAACGCCATCTCTCATTCGTGATTATCTTAATCGCTGGCCATCATCGTGGATCATTTGCTTTCTCTAATTCGAATGTATTGAGTAATAATTAGCTACTTTATCTATTCACCTGTTGGTATGTAAATATCGTTCAATCGGTATCTAATCGGATGCAGGTCATGTATCTAGTATATACGAGGATACTTAGATCCACGAGTAATAATGAAAATTTGTATTTTACGATATTCTTATAGGTAATATAGATTACAATTGACTCGAATTTGAGATGCGGAGCCTATTTTCTCGAATAGAACCGATTGTACAAATAAAAATAGCCAAAAAAACGTAACGTTTAAGCTTATTCAAATCGAAAGAACAAAACTACTCATTATGCGCTGTAACGATCGAGAGCAAGTTATTGGTCAATGTTGAATATCAATGAATCAAGTAAGAGTAAAAACATTCGCGATGGTAAAAATGAGTCACGAAGAATCTCCGCCATTCACGTAATAGCTCTCATCGTTGCAAACATCATCATAAAGCATAAACAAGAGTGTGCGCAAATCGCGCGTAAACAAACAATGCATCGATCTGTTCGATCGAGTTTTGGATAAAACATGTTTTTCAATCTCACTCGCGATAGGATTGAGGCGCTCGTGCGAATGTATGCTTTTTTTCAATCTCCTTTTGGCTTTTTAACTTTTTATTAATAATGCAAGGACAACTGGTTCTGCACCTCAGCTGCAGATTGTAACAGCGCAGAGACGCGTTCGATCGGACGAGTCGTGCGCGCGATCATCGGCGGGCAACTGGCAAGGGCCTCTCATTTTTCCTAAGTATATGTGTGAGTATATCGAAAAATAGTTGTCGCTCGAGTATCGTTGTCAACCGCGTGCTCGTATCGATTTTAATTGCACTGCTCGTTACTTACACTACCTGAAATACGATACTCGATATTAATGCGCACTTCGACATCATTGCAGCTGAAAATTCTTGTGTACTTACGTCGAAATATTTTGACATCTTTCAATTTTTAAAAAATAAATATAATACGAGTAACTTATTGAATCTTTTTATCTCGCAATGCTTCGGTTCAAACATGATGTCTTGAATATAATTACATCGTTAATTCTTTGAAAAGCTATATACGGTATAAACACATTATTATTTACTTCGAACTAAGTAAATATATCGTAAGGATTGCATTTACATTTGTCAAAATCGTGTAACACACAAACAGATCCTATTTTAACGTATAAGAGACGGTCCATTGATAAAAATTTCTCATTTTTATGCCACCTACATCTTCATCGAACGAATAAAAACAGTTCAATGACCGATTGATTCATGGCGTTTTTAAATTCAAAAATATAAGGCCTTTCGACTTTTTTTCACGGCGTATAACATAAAAAAAATCTTTAAACCATAAGCTATTAATCAATTACATAATATTGAGTGATACATTATAGTAATCGGCTAAAGATCACGCGCAGAATCATACCGAAACATCCGAATTATGTTCGGTACAAACATGTACAAATCCTTATAGCCTACGCGAACGATCGACGCATAGCTAAACGAATTAGTAAACAAGCTTAGAAAATCACAAGTCTAGATATTTTCCACTTGGGTGTGTTTATGTATGCAGTGTGCAGCGCACGATCCTAGGTAAAAGTATACACGTCCTATTATGCATCGCATACAAACTGTACGTATATATACGTTACGTGTACACAGCATAGGACGGCGTGTGCAATGTGCATTCTATTTCTCCCAGTCTTCGCACAATCTTCGGGCATGCATACATACATTATATATATATATCGCAGATGCGCGCGCAACTCACACCCAATTGCGAGACTTGCAACTTGCAAATAAAGTAACAACATCGCCGATTGCGCATAAGCCTATAAAGCACCGAGTAATGAGTACTGTCATCCGTCAGTGATCCATTGAAAGTCGCCCGAGTCGTTTTGCATGCTGTGCCTGGGCATTTTTCCGTAAAAACATGAAAAACCAATCTTGATTTTCAAATTTTCACTTTCTCTTACAACAGCTGTGATTTTTCTTAGTTAAATAGCTCATTTTTCCTGGCCAATCTTATGCTGAATCGTTTTCCACAGTTAGTTATGCTTATAAGTATATCATTTTTATAACATATATCTACTCGTTTTGCACATAAATCTGTCTTAAGGGACATTTAATTCACTAACATTATCGTCTATTCGGAGGAGAATTTTCGCAACTTTTTACAAATTGTTATATTTAACTTTATTTTCGCGATGTATTCGTGCGCTGTGCAGTTGAGTGAGATATTCTTTGTATGACTAATTAACCAATACACTCGCATAAAATGCTTGACTGTAATACCGAATATGTCGCTACGTACCATAGTACGTGTTTCCAGACATACATCATTGTTCGCACGCCAAAGTATCTTTCGTCGATTTTATCTGCCTATTAGTAAATTGACAATTTTTCCTTTCATATACTACTTGCTTAACTGTATGTAAAGTGCTGTGCCATAACTTTTTTATCAAGTGTAGCAGCAAGAGTTTTTTCTATTTGACACTGTGAGCAAGTTATAAATAAAATTCATTGGACTGTGAAAAAGTTTTGACAATGTCATGTTGCTTTATTAATTGTTTTAATCCTTTCATAGGTAACATTCATCATGGCGCATTCTTCCCATACCTATGGATCAACGGATCAAAGATCTGATCTGCCTGATGTAGGCTTCAGCCCTACAGAATTGTATAGTCTTAGTGAAAATATAACAGCAAATATCTATACTATTAATTCGAGTTACAAAACTCTCTCGCGTTCTTTTAAATTAATTGGAACAAATAAGGATAATCAGGCTGTACGAGATAGAGTGTAAGTACATGCATAAAAAGTTGCATTACGAGTATTAAAGTTTACTTGTAATTCCAAATTTTACTAATATGTATAAAATGATCGTTTTACAGGCATGAAACACAACTAAGTACTAATCAGTTAGTTACCATGACCAGTAAAAATATTGCTAGATTAACTGTGCTCATGAGACAAGGGGACAAACAACTAAAGTTACAAATTGAAAAATTAACCAGTGACTTTAAAGATGCTGTTCAAAGATACTCCGACATGCAAAAAGTAAGAGCCTTCTACTAATGCTATTCTTAATATTTTTGGATGAATCTGTTTGGATATATTCTTTAATGTTTTTATAATACACAATTATGATTCAGTTTACTGTTATTTATAAATATCAATATAATTTGATGATTAAAGTTGATTTCTTAATTTGGTCTATGGATTTTTACAGTCAATAGCTGAACGTATGAAGAGGCACATGTTAGTTGTCCCTAGCCCAGAAACAAGTGAAAAAAACAATCCTGATGATACTCAAGATTTGATTCAAATACAAGACGAAATAAAGCAAAGAGCAGAACAAAGGTGATTTTGCAAATACTTCAAAGAATGTCATAGCCACAGTGAAAAATCATTAGGCCCTTTTACCTGATTTGTTTTAAACTTAAATTTGGACTTCTACTTTTAATTTTTTCCTAAAAACACACACTTATAGCATATGAAGAAAGTACTCAGAGTAAAAAAAACATTCTTTCTATGTTGCCATTTATACAAATTATGATTAAAACAGACTCTTATCTATTAACATATTTATCTACATATATATAAATTGGTGGTTTATCTGTTCATTTCAGAACATTAGAATTTGATCATGGGTTGATATTGGAACAGGAAGAAAGGATAAAACAAATTGAAGGAGATATCTTGGATGTTAACCAAGTAATGCGAGAGCTTGGAGCATTAGTACATCAACAAGCAGATTCAATCAGTATGTGTTTTAAAAAAATTACTTTTGTTGAATTCACTTGTCTTATTTTGTTTTTTTATTACAGATAGTATTGAGAACAATATTGAAAATGCTCATGGCCACGTTGAGCTAGGAGCACAAGAACTCATTAAAGCTAGTAATTACCAAAATAAATTTCGTAGAAAAATTTGTATACTTTTAGTTGTAGCAATAACATTTGTAATTATTTTGATTTTGGTTATAGTATTATCCAAAAAATCTAGTTAGCATTTCCATGTACCTTGATTATATAACAACGCAGTACGTACCCACAAATGCATTATGCGAGAATGTAAACACAATGTATCAAATCAATTGATATTTTCTTAAAATTTGTAAAATTATAAATTTGAATCAGATACCTGCGTTTATTTGAGGATTTTTGTGGTATTATATTAACTACATTATTATGATAATGTCGAAAATTGATGCTTTAAAAACATTATGAATGAATTGAAAATTTAATTTTATAGAAAAAAGTAAAAGAGAGCATTTGATTATCAAGAAACACATTGTGATCGTAAATAAATATTATTTTATTAATCTAAGATGCATAAAAGATCTGGAAGTTTCTCGCGGGATTTTACATATTTTGAGTATTTATATTTTGCAATTACAAGAAAACTAATTTATTTTACATGAAAAACATCACTGGGATAAAGTATTGAAACAGCACAACTACAAGTTGAAAAATTTGAAATATTCCCATGTATTTTTATAACTAATATTAGTATTAATGTTATTATTATTACTATTATTATTATAAATGTTATTGTTATAACTATTATTAATGTTATATAATTATTGAAATAATTATATCATTTTTATCACTTCTAACGCAAACTACATAAAACAAAACTTGTTGAATTAAAATTTGTATCAATAATATCTGATTGAGTGAGAATATCAAATTTTTCAAAAGAAGATGTAACTTTCATATAATGACTTTACTGGTCAAATTTCGTTGAAATAACACAAAATTTACCAAAAATTGTATAAATTAATTAATTTGAAATGGCTGTAGTTAGTATGCGTAAGGATTTGTTATTTATATACATATATGAAAATTAAAATATGAAGAGAAGCAATTGCTAACAGGTCTCAACAAGACGAAGAATAAGAAATTCACGTTTTATATTAATTTTGAAAAGTTAATTTTGAACTTCACTTAATCTATACACATGAAATTTTGGTGCCGGAATGAAAATAACAATTAAATTGATCAATAAATTTATTTTTCAAGTATTAAGCTGATTGTTGTAAGTCTTCTTTAGTAATACAGATAGGAACATAATTTTGAAAAGATTTCATTTTCTCCTTCTAGTATGATCTATAAATAAAGTTAATAGGTAACTATTATAAACTTTGTAAAAAATTGTAATTAAATTGGTCTTTTTGTTGAAACTGAAACTTTTATTATGATTTTTTTACAATGTTCGATGATATTTCGATGCTGTCGAGTAACTATGGCCTTTTTGCCCTCACTCTGCGTTGCAACGTCGCCAAAAGCCCGGAGAGTACGTCATGGTTGGGCAATTTTTTCGAAAACAGTAATCTTTTAACCGATTCATTGCGGGTTAATAGAGTGACAAAATTTTGAAGTAAAAAACCTTGACAGTACTCGAGCAATCGTGCGGCATTATAGATCTAAAAAACGAAAAATAATGGGCGTTTAAACGAGGTAAATTGAAATTGAAAAAAAAAATGAAGGGTGGCATCGTTAGATTGATCTACCTCGGCGTGTACGTAAATGGAAACGACGTTATCCAAATCGAGTATCTTGGTAGTTTCGATTTCGCAAAAGCGCAGCAGTCCGTCGAGTTGAAAGAAATTGGCCGCGGCCATTAATTCCATGAGATCGTTGTGATTAACTTGGCGTCCGGTGATTCGACCGTGGTACAAAAATTCCATGACCAGCTGGGGAAAGAGAAAAGAAAAGTAGACGCGGAAGCTAAGGAGAGAGCAAATCGTCCGATGATCGATTACGAGTTACCTGAAAGATGTGATAACGAATGTCATTGATTTGTACGATAGGCGTCGTCGTCGCAGTGGCTCGATCGTTGGACGTCGTCGAGTCGAACAAGCGACGAAATCGCGGCGAGGACGTGACCAGGAGAATCTTGTGTCCGTAAAAGAGTCGGCCCTCGACGCGAAACTGCACGTCGCTCAGCTCGGGATTGTTGACGAACTTGGCGTCGATTCTGGAGTCGCTCGGGAACGTGGCGTTGCCGGCCGCTTGAACGGGCTCGATCGGCTCCCAGCCGTAGCAGGCGCAAAATATGTCGGCCAGCAAGAGAATCGTCGATTCCTTCTGAAATTATCAATCGATCGTAACGCGATAAGTCCAAGTCGTAATCGTACGCAAAAGGCTCGGTAATATCATTATACCTCGCTGAAGCGGAAAATGTCGCAGAGCAGAGGCAGGCAGTCGTCGACGAGGCAATTGGAGCAGTCGTCGAGGAAGACGCGCATAAAGTCGCGCAGCAGCCGATCGACGAGGGCGTCGAGCCGGGCCTCGTGGGCCGTGGCGAGGCTCTGCATCCAGCAGTGGAGGCTCCAGGCGACCCCGAGCGAGCGCAGATCCATGGTGACGTCGAGGTGCTCGTTCTCGGCGCTCTGGTACATGGCCTCCTGGAGGACCTTGAGCTGGGCCTTGCTGAAGCGCATCGGCGACTCTTCGCTCTGTTGCTGCTGTTGCTGCTGCTGCTCGTCCTCGGCCAGGATCTCCTCGAGGGACAGCACCTGCCTCTCGTTGCGCCTCGTCGAGAAGTTGAGCGGGTGCGACAAGAGTTGGCGCAGGACGTCGCGCTGGCCGTGCGCCGCTGCCACCGACACGGCGCTGCTGCTGCAATTGGTGCTGCAGTAGCCGAAGCTGTCCTGCTGCTGCAGAGTAGTCGCGAGGAAGGGCTGAGCCCCGTGGGCCAGCAGCAGAGACACGAGGCGGGCCTCGCCGGAGGCAGCCGCGGCCTGGAGGGGCGTCACGGTGGACTCGTCCTCGCCGGGCCGGGCGCCACCCTCGACCGAGGCGCCTCGGTCCAGCAGCATCTTGGCGATGGCGCAGTGGCCCTTGAGCGCCGCGTAGGTCAGCGCCGTCCAGTGCTGCGTCTCGCCGCCCGGGGGAGTCTCGACGTTGGGATCGGCGCCGGCCTCCAGCAGGGCCCGCACCGCCTGCTCGTCGGCCTCGAGGCAGGCCAGCATGAGGGCCGTCAGTCCTCGCTCGTTGAGCGCGTCGAGGCCGGCCGGGCTCGGCAACAGACCCGACGCCAGCGAGACGAGCTTCGGCCGGCCACTGGTCAGCAGTTTGAAGGCCGCCTCGAGGCTCAGCCGGCGCAGCACGCGCTCGGCCGACTCGGGCTCGTCGTCGCGGTAGTCGAGGCAGGAGGAGCTCGACTCGGCCAGGCCGCGCACGGGATGGTCGACGCCGGCCAGGAGCAGTCGGGCCGCCTGGCCGATGTCGTCGGCGTCGACGAAGCGAGAGTTGCGCTGCTCGGCGTGGCCGCTGGCGACCCTGAGCCACTCGCCGAGGCCCGGCAACGTCTCGTAGGCTCGCTCGTGCTCCAGCTCCACGTCCGCCTCTCCCACCGAGTCCAACTGAGAGCAGTGCATGTGATAGTGAAGGGCCCGCAGAGCCTCGGAGGTCAGCGGCAGCGGATAGAGCGGCTCCAGCCGAGCCAGCAGATGTCGAAGCTGTCGCACGGAGCCGACGCAAGTGGCCTGGAGCGCTTCCGGCTCGCAGCAGTCGGCCCGTGGGGGCTTGGGGCCCGGGCCCAGGTGGGACCAGGGCTGCAGCAGGCCGGCGAACTCGGGCCTCGAGGCCAGCAACCGATCCAGCCCCGAGGCGGTCAGGCGTTCGCTCGTCGTCGTCGTCGCGTCCTTGGCCAGCAGCAGCAACTCCTCCAGGAGGTTCTCCAGGGCGGCGGTGAGGTAGAGGGCCGCCTGATCGAGGACCATGCGGCCGAGCCGGGCCCCGAGCATCCAGGCGGCGAAGCGGCCCACCCTCAGCTGGAGGCCCGCCCTGAGGCCCCGAGGCTGGCGCAGCTGCTCCGAGCTCGGGGGCGTCGCGGCGAACATGGCGGCGGCTCGCAGGCACGCCTTGGCGCACGAGTCGGCCAGCCGCGGGCAGAGGACGATGCGCAGCGCGCCCAGGATCTGCTGTCGGCCGCAGAGGCCCAGCGGCTGGGAGAGTCGGCGCGCCTCCCGGCCGAGCCGCACCAGGCCTCGCTGCGCCAGGTAGGAGAGCCTCGGCAGGGCGTCCGGGGCCAGCCGGCTCAGCAGCGGCTCCGAGTCGGGGGCCGTGCGGGAGCCGTGGCGCAGCAGCCGCAGCACGTCCCGCTGGTCCCAGGGTGGCCGGAGCAGCTCGACCAGCCGAGACCTGGCCTCGAGCCAGACGAACTCGTCGTCGGCGGCTACGCTGAGCAGCGTCTCGGCCGAGGTATGGCGGGCCAGTCGTGCTGGCTCCTTGGCTGAATGGGGACGAAGCGAAGACGAGTAGGGCGAGCAGCATGAGGAGGAGGAGGAGGAGGAGGAGCTGCGGTTGGAGCTGGAGGAGGAGGGGACGAGGCTCAGTCGTTGCACGGCCAGTCGAACGTCTTCGAGGCCGGAGCCTTTCCAAGGCGGTCGTTGAGGACGCGACGGTCCCGAGGATGCTGCGTCCTGCGTCAGCGGGACGAGCAACGACGAGTTGCTCACGGACGGAGTCGAGGACGAGGACAGAGAAGGAGGAGGCCGACCCTGACTGCTGCTGGTTCGGTCGCCGGGATCGGACATGCTGGCGTGGCCCGAGGATCGGTTCTCGTCGGACGAGCTGCTGTTGCGCGTCCCGAAGCTGCCCCTCGCTGCTGGCCGCTAGCCAACAACAACAACAACAACAACAATAGCCTCGTATAAGTTATTATTATTTCAATTAGCCGTAACGAGAGGTAAGGGGGAGTAGTCGTGGGGTCGGAGGTGACTACCTGGGATGCTCGAAGATGCTCCTGTCGAGCGGATGCTCCGATGGAGATGGGTGTGGCCCGTTCGGTGCCGCATCGCTGCTGCTGCTGCTGCATCCCTGCGCTTCCCTCTGCTGCTGTCTTCGGTGCGACGAGCCGACGATGCTGCTGCGACGACGGCTCGGACGAACCCTTACTCGTCGGCGAGGCTCCGCTGCCCTCGTTCGTCCTGTGATTGCACGTACGGATTGTTTCGGCTCTTTTTTTATCGCTCGTTATATGTTATTCAATTTTATCGTGGCTTTAGTGATCGCGACAATTGCAAACGCTTATTGGCTTTTTTCATTTTTCCGTCTTTAAATGTAAAATATTCGCTCGGCTAGAGTCGAAAAGGAAACATTTTCGATACTCGATCGATTTAAGGCTCCTAATTGAAACTCGATCGAAATCGGCTCGACGAGTTGCGCGCTAATTATCGCGACTATTATAAAGTTTAAATTAATTTTTTTAAATTAAATAACATACCCTTTGACTCTCCAGTGCTGTACGAAACTCCAATCGGCCTCGTTGGCTGGACGAGGAGGCGCGACGACGTTGGCGTGATGGCCGAGGATGCGCATCACTTGCTTCCTCGAGGGCTCGAGCCCGAGGACGATCGAAGCCGCCGCCGCGTCCGTACCTCGAGGAACTCTGCGCTCGCCCTTGTTGTTGTTGTCAATCGCTTGGCTATCGGGAGAATCGTCGTTGCTGGCGGCCGGCTTGTAAGACGGCTTCGATCGCCTGGCCGAATCGCCAAAGTAGACGACCGTCTTGTGCTGTCGTTGGCGAGGTGTCAACAGCTCGTCGTCGAGCTCGGCCTCCTGCCACTCCTTGCTGGGCTCGGGACTGGCGAAGGGCAGCCGCCGACGGGCCGGCACGAAGTGCGTCGCCGCGTCGCAGCCGCAATTGCTGATGCCGAGGCCGGTGCACGTGCTGATCTCCTCCTGCGTCATCGTCTCGGGTGCGTTCAGCAGGTCGCAGCAGGATCTTCTGCCGCCTCTGGACTCTCCTTCGCTCGACTTGACTCGCGATTGTCCTTTGCTCTCCCGAAGCGTCAAACGCATCTTACTCGCTAATCGCACTGCACCGATTCGATCTGCCCCCGCGCGTGTGTGTAGTATACCGATCGACGTAGACGGGCATCGTCGTCTTTGACGCGAAAAAATGATCGCGCACTCGCATCGAATTTAGAAAACGAGACGCGCGTTTGTTTTGGGGCCGCGCACTCGAGGCGCTCGCTCGCAATTTACTGCAGCCAGGACGCTGCTTCACCTGCTGCGCGCTCCGTAGCTCTCTCGAGGCCGACTTCCTCCTCCTCCCCACTTCCTCCTCCGACGTATTCATTCATGGAACCCCTTCTGTGCGTATAAGAGCCACGCTCCAGCACGTTCGTGTTTTTGCGTGAATTTTACCACTGCTAACGCGCGCAGCTACCTTTCAAAAGGTGCAGTCATATATAATTGCCGTACGTAGCGAACGTACCCAGAAATTATCTTATTGTATCATATCTTACTTATTCGTCTTGCATATCGACCGTCCTTATACGAACGAGCAATTATTTACGATTCGATTGTTACTTTACGACGTTTTTCAATTTCGTTTCATTTTTCGATTCGGACTTCGTTTTACGCGCGTCTTGATAATACCCTTGCAAATGAAAATCACCCATGGCTGCGAGTTTCGTTGACCACTTGACCAAGAACGGTTTAGTCCGGTTCTTTTTGGTTGTTGTTGCTGCGTCGACGAGACTCGGAGTTGCGCGTTTTTTCTCGAGTTAACTGCGGGTGTGCTGTTTACGAACCGATAAAGTCGAGGAGACCCTATATCGTCATGCGTGACGCGCTCTTATAACTGACTCTTCGCAATTTGCTTTACCGTAAAATTTCCTATTCCTTTGTTTGCTCATTTTTATAACTTGCAAAGTCTTCGAGCTTGAGATTTTTTAAAAATGTGCAAAAAAAGAATAGAAAGAAATTTACCAAGATGAAATGTTCAAAGTCTCGCATATACCGAGAAATTCATTTTCTAAAATATCGGACAGTGTCTAAAAAGGCATAAAAAGTACCAATCACTGTTCACCATTTAATTTGGCTTTTTGAACTTTTTGAATTTCGATCAACAGTTTCACTTGTTGTATGCGAGTAAATTTTAATTTCATATACAACTTTCGATGTTGGGCAGGTTTAAAAAAAATACACGGATTTGTCAAAGCAACCACGCTGACTATAGCGCGAGATAAAATAGAGAAGAAAGTTATTTAAGAGATAAGAAACAGGAGTAGCTGTAGCTCTATTTCGGTAGACTGTGTATACATTGAATATACTTCAGTGTCTCGTGCGTGTGTTGTCATGAAAGTGCATGGAAAAAATACTTTGATCGCGGCTAAGGTTGTTGTAAACAATCTATTGTGAGAACGCGCACGATCGAGATAATAATGCCTAGATGGGAAGAGACTTTGGAGCGCGCGCGTGCGACTCTTGTCGCGTTATAGCGCGCAGCCGCGCACGCATGTATGCTATTTTTCAATAGAACAAGTGCAAGCGTGCGATTAATGCGATTAATAGCTTTTCCTTTCTCTTGCGTCTTACAGCCGATTCTCGACTTTTTCTATTCAACTCCTCTTCCGAAGAATATGTCAAAATTTTCCTTTTCTTTGTACGCTCGGCCGCACGCTACATACAGCTCGTGCCGCGTTCAACTTATCCGCGATGATTGATTATCGAAATATTTTCACCTGGCTCTCGGTCACAAGTGCGATTTATACATTTTTTTATTTAATTATATTAGTTCGATACCTTAATGCTATCTTAAATAAGATCCATCGGGCCACTTGCAAGTACATAAACCATTTTTATCCAGTCGCTTTAATTTTACTAAAAGCTCGAAGAAGCTGATAATATTTTCAATCGCACGCTGCTTGGTGCAAGCCAGCTTGCCTCTTTCAACGCTTTATACATCGGAAAAGCCGGAAAGAAGCAAATATATTTTGTCTATAGTTACCAGTGAGAATTAGATCTATATGATAAGGTTCCACCAATTTCATTCAGTTACTTTCTTCGTACTATTTTTAACCTGACTCTTGATGCAAAAGTCTCACTATTGTTCACGATCTAGGATAAAAATTTCAAGTGTAAGATCGAAATTAAACCAATTGAAGCCCTTGCGACCAATTAAAAATTCCTCGACCGTCGTTTTGCAAGACCAAGCATGAATAGTACACTCGCAACTATCCTACCAATGTTTCAAGATAAATAGTTTAAGGCGCAATTATAGAACTTGGAGGTAAAAACAAGCCGCGACAATTTCGACTTGATACTCGAAACGACGTAGAAAACCGAATAGACAAATTTTCAAGTTGAACGTGATGAGGTAATTAGTAATGAACTGAATCATATATATAGCTGCGCGAGATGTTTGTCTGATAAAGTTTCACACGAGCCGTTGAATTCCCGCGAATGCGAATAGTATACGTGACTCACATACTTTATAATGTGAAAATATATAGATCCGTTTGTATAAGCATGAGACGAAATTTTTCTCTGCCTTCGTTTCAGGTTGAAAGCGCATACCTGATATTGTACCTCCAAGTGCGAAGAGTCGCACGTTCCGAAGCTCGTACATGGCGAATTTTCACCTATACACCGTAATGGGAAATTTTGCCATAAATTCGTGCAGTGTGCTGGTGTTGAAAAATCTACGCTCTATTTGCTAGTGTGAGGCACTTGCAGCATGCCTATGAGTATAATGGGCAAATGTCATTATAGGCATTTGCGCTACATTTTGAAAAAGGCAATCGTCGAGTATTAAAAGGATAGGAAACTTTTAATACTAATAAAATTAGCATCATCGCGATAATCACATTTCGTCTGAAAAGAAAGCTTGATATTGATTTTTTACTCAAACCCGACGGAAACGTTCCTAGACATATAGTGATACTTGCACAATTTTAACTATAGGTAGTAACTTTTATAGTAACTTTTTTACTATCAAAACAATCAAAATTTTTAGTTTTGGAAAGAGCATTAAATTTCACATCGAAATAGGTCTGTGCGAAATTTTTTTAAAGGTTAAAACTACAAAAAAAATCACTGTGAAAACCAACAAAAAAATCAAGAATTTTGGTCGTTAATGGGTTAAGATGCAAAGGCCTATTCTGCAACTTTTCCACATTTTTTAGGGCTCATAGATGTAAATTTTATGTGGAAAATGTAGATTGACATTAAACTGTGGTTTATATAAAAAAAAATAACAAAAAGCAGTGAATTGGTGTATATTTTAGGTTGTTCGAAATCGATACGTACTTTCGATATGTATCAAAAATACGTATGTATTTTCAATAGGGTTAAGTACAAAAGACGGACATATTATCACGAAAATGCTATGAGATACGTAGGTATACTTGAAGGCCTCCCCCTAACTGCTTTAAAATGTGACCTATTGAAAAATATACAATGGTAAAAGGCTATATGGGAGGATCTAACAATAGGAAGCATGAATTAATAAATTGAATTCGTTTTTTTTAGTTTCTTTATTTGAATTTTATGATAAAAGTACAATATTTAACAACAGAATTAAAACATACACCAATTAAGCTTATGTCCATCACGAGCTTTGCTCGCTAGCCGCCACGAAAATGTGATACAAGTCTTCGTTCGTTAGATTTTTGAGGATCATGTAACAGCACTCAAGCGGCAGCCACTTATGTATCAGATCCCAGAAGGGATACAACGTCCAGCTCTGAAAAAATCTTCTGGATAATTTCTCGCACAGATGCGCGACGACGCACGCCTCAAATCCTTTTTCCCGGAGCATCGACAATTTTTTCTTGCTACGGGCGAACTCGAAGAATTCCTTGCAGGTGATTCGTTTCACTACCTCCTTAGGTCGCAACTGGAGCAGGTCGTAGAGCGAAAGACTCGGACTTATCATCGTCTCTTTCGCGAAGCTCGTGACCTCCTCGTGGTCCTGCCAATTAAGAACTTCAAGATCCGCCGACTTGACGAACAATTTGTACTTGGCAAACAGTTTCATGACGATCAGGGCGTCCGATCGGCTAAGCTCGTATCCTCTGGTCTCGAGGCGCTCGACGATAGCCAAAATGCCAGACGTTATTTTTATATTTATGCCGCTTTTAAATTTAATGCTCGCGTCAAGGAGACTCTCGGATGGGAAAACGAAGTTAGACAATTCGGCGCCGTGATCCAGTAGTACATCGACGGTGTTCGGTAATAATCTCGCTACGGCATACTGCAGTGGGGTCCGTCCGTACTTGTCCCTCGCGTCGATCGATGATTAACTTATTGCAGTAAAAAATAGGAAAAATTATAACTTTTTTCCTTTTACTCCAACAGGACAACACTGCCTTTTTTATGCATTTTGTATTTTTGCTAAAAAATCAGGTATCTAAAATACATATGAAAATGTTCAAATATTGGTTGCCAAATTTACGGAATAACAGTAATGAACTCTGGACACCTCCAGCAACGTAGAATGAGTACACTTTTTTAATTAATATTAAAAGATTTGATATATTGCATTGACAAAATATTTTTTGGTAATTTGGGTGACAGCTAATGTCACTGCATTTATAAAGCATCCTCGCGTCAAATGAGGTTTTCAATTCGAGGCATTAGTGTTATGCATTAGAAAATTGGGCATTCTAGCTAATACTATCTGGTTCTGAAGAGTTTTGGACTAAGAGTTTTTGATACGACTGATGAATCAGACTTTTACCAAAGGCCCATCTAGTGTCGGCAGATGAATCTACCAATCGTTCTTGGGTTAAGTTAATGATCATCGATCGGATCAATGTAGGAGTTAAACTGGATTTTTAGCTGCATGATCATGTCTGAAAATTGAATGTAACTTTAGAATGAACAATTTTATTGAAAATTTGAAAGTATTTACTTACATAAATTTAATTGAAGTGTCTCTTACATAAGATAACTCATCATTATCAATATAATCAGATATTGCTTTCAAGTAAGATCGTACTGCTTTTAAACATCCATTTTCCTTTAAAAACATTCCGCTATAAAAAAAACATTTCGCTGATCTAGCTATATCGGCTGATGGTTTCTGATTGATTGGTAAATCACACAATTTGTTATATTCTTTGATTGCTCTTGATTGATTACAACGGTATATCATGAGATAGTTTTCGTTATTTTCGTTCGCGTGTAATAATACCTCGACACACACAACCACCAATACCCCAATATTCATCCGATATAAATGTATTGTCTTCCAATAATCCAGTGTATAATTAAGAAGTGTACGTTTGAATGCGGTGAGTTCTGTTGGTCTAAGATATGTATTCACATATTTTTTCATCCCCTTACGAATGATATCCTTTAGAAGATTATCATCATCTAAATTTTCTTCTTCAATTTCCTCAGAAATTAAATATTCTTGCAAATGAATGATGACCACTACATTACATTTAACATTAAGATATTCTCGAGTTATAAAATGTGGACTTTTTCTTTTTATAATAGATTTATGGTTTACTGATTTCGATACGCTTAATTCAGGAGCAGACGTGAGTAGAATATTCTCGATGAGACCCATACGATCTACTGGTAGTTGAGCAATAATGACGTTAGCTGCCTTTTCTTTTCTGAAAATTATAAATTGTTTTTTGTGTCACCCCAACCTAAAGTAACATTTTACTCCCTCTGTATCTGAGCGAAATGAAAATGTTACTTTAGACCGGGGGATTCACAAAAAATTGTATTTGCATCTATGTAGCGAAAAAAGAAACTCTCAGAGCATGTGATTATCAGCCTCGGCTTCGCCTCGGATGATAAATTACACGTGCTCTGAGACTTTCCAGTTTTTCACTCCCTAGGTGCAAAATATACTATTTGAGTAAGAAATTATATAAGTCACTTTTAAAAAATGTACTCACATTACTGCAATAGATTTTGGTCGTATAAATTGCAGTTCGTCAGAGTCTATCTCAAGTCCTCTCAAATAATGTCAAATTGTTTTTAACAATTCACTTTTTTTTATAAACATTGGGCATTCAAGAAATTGTCTAGCTGCTATAACTATATTATCGTTTTGTTCAGTTTGTTCTGGAAAACTACACAGTAAATTATATATCTTTTTCGCTTTTAGGTAGCCACAACGATATATTTTTCTAAGTTCTTCGTGTTCTAAGTTTGGAAACAAAAGATACTCAACACATCCCACGAGAAGTACGGCGTTATTGATGCGATATAAATTCACAACTTTTAAATAATCTATTGTAAAAGTAAGAATTGTACTTTTAAACGTGTCGAAGTATGTTAACGAAGGTGGTTGGTTCACCGATCTTCTCACCCCTTCACTGATTATAGTCCTCAAAACTTTTTTATCCTGTAATTGTTCTTCTTCAATTTCGTTATCATTTAAATAATTTACCAGATTAATGATAACCTGAGCATTCGATCTTGTAAGAAAATATTTTTGATCTATTAGATTTGGCGGCATTTTTTCTATATGCTGAATGCTTCGATACCGATGAAATAATACATTTAAAACTGTTTGATGTTTGATGAATATTATTAATATTTTATTTATAATGGATTAATTAATGTTTCACAATTTGATTTGTGAGATCCGAAAACAATCACAGTTCTATTAATTCTAATTATTATACAAATATAAAATCAGACTCACGTCAACATCGTGTTTTCGCGCTCTCACAAATATTAGAGTACAAACACAACAGTCGAATAACACAAATACGAGAAAATAATCTTGAAATTTTTCTTGATAGATGATTTTGTATGCTACAGATAATATTTTTTATTTAAGAAAGTCAATGGCTTTAGTTTAAGGAGGTGGTAGGGTTTTTTCGACGGTTTCCGAGCTTCATTTTAATATTATTTTTTAGCACATAGTAAAATGGATTTATCTATAAATTATATACATTATAAATAATCATTTGAAGAACTTTTGGTTAAATTTTCAGCTCAAAATAGCGAAAATAAGCTAACTACAGCAAATTTTCTCACACAGCTGAAAAAAATGATTGCGGTGAACCCTGCAGCCGAAAATGTACTCGACCGATAATTTTCGAATTTTTCCCACTATTCAATTACATAAATTATGAGGTAATGACGTCGAGATATTTTGATAAAAATGATTTTTGAGTTTTTGGCATTATATTGAAGTCAAAAAATTACTTTTTCGAGAAAATGAGGGTAAAAAGTCATCGTATTTGTTCCAGGCGACAAGATGCAGGCGACAATTAAAATTTTCATTTCGAGGACTTTTGAGTAGTAAGACAATTTTAAACATAACTCGTGAGTTCAATGATTTAAATTGTATACTATATTTTTCTACCAATCAAAATTATTACTCAAAGGAGACCATACGAGATGCGGAAGATTAAATGTCCTGAAATTTTTTTGGGTTCTACTGACCTATAATCATGAAGTTTTGTATGGTTAATATAATCCAATAGGCCCAAAAATTCATTTTTCAAAATCGTATTGATATTAATTGAAGATAAATTAAAAAAACTTGATTTTCCAGCTGAAATTGATTTTTATACTTGACAAGTCTACTCTTTCGGAGATATAAATGTTGGCTCTCGCAATTGTTTATTAAAGGGTCGAGCTGGCCGAGAAATTTAACTCGTTCTTCTGCGATCTCCCAATTGACCTCGTCAATTGTTAAAAACAGTTTTAATTGTCTTGGGCCATAGTTCTATACACTCATAGAAATACAGTCGCTTAAAATGTTCAATACCAGCCCAACTTTCAGTGCGCTGTGCGTGCTCTCTTCTTTATTATCCCATTTTGCCATTTTTAATAATCAAAACAGAAAAATAAGATAGACGAAGATTATACATTATGCAAGGTATACTCGAGTGGTAAAACAGTCACCGGCGGCGCGGCCACCGCATGAATTTGCTCTGAAGCAAAAAAGCGATAGAGGTTACATCTTCTGCTCTGACTTTTTGTTATTTTATTAAGCTGTCATCAATAATTACTTCCCTCTGTCATCATGTCTACTCGATGGTAATTTTAGTTTTTGGTTTTTATGCTTTTTGTTGTCGTACTAAAGCAATTGTGTTTGTTTTCTTTACAGGTATCCCATTTATCAAAAAGGAAATCCACAGTTGAGAGTGTTTTTACCTAATTTCTGGCTAAAACTTGTCAAACCCGAATTGAAACATAAACCCAATGTTGTTGAGTTTCATTGTTCTATGGAAATGACTAAAGAGGATGTCAAGAATTACATAGAAAAAATTTACAAAGTTCCAGTTGTCAAAGTAAATACAAGAATAGCTTCAGGAAAGTGTGAAAGAAATGAATTGGGTTACGTTGTCAAAAGAGACGATGTGAAACATGCATATGTAACCTTGGTAAGATCATTTTCATAATTAATACTTTTTTTAAAAATGGGTTTTTCTTTCAATAAAAACTTATTAATGAAAATTTACTTCTAGCCGAGGTATGAAAAATTTGAATATCCACAATTATTTGATAATGAAAATCGTCTGAAAGAGAAAGAAAAAGATGATAAATCTTACAAAGAAGCAACAAGCGAACATAAAAATGAAATGGACAAACTTAACAAAACAACACCTGGATACTCACCTTGGTTCACCATTTAAATGTTTTTAAATACAGTCAGATAGATTATTGTTGAATGTGAATAAGAATAAGTCAATTTATCTACTTATTAGTTACAAGGATATTTTGATAAGAAAAAATTTCAAATATCAAATCAAAGTATGTTATGATATTTGGATGAAATGCTTTTATCGCTTAGTTAATTTTATTGTAAACATAAAGGATTGCATAAAAAAATGATAAAATGTTTAAAAAATATTATTGCTGTTTCATTCTGTTTGATTTCCTTTTTATTAAAATTGTCTGACTGAAAAATGACAAAAAATAAAACTTACAATTGATATGATTCAATATAAAAGATTTTTATTTGTTGTATTCAAATGTCTTAGATCTATAATGTACATTTTTGTACATTTGTTTAAAAAATTGTGAAAATATTAATCCTAATGCTATCAACAGTCTTTCAATAGAATTTTCATCGTTCTAAATCAATGAATGTGCAATACTCATTTCAGATACAAATTTGCATTTGACACAAGATATTAATGTTTGCTTTTTATACAATAATAGCATATGTATGTAACTTTTGCATACAAATCATGAACAAAATCAAATGAAAATATATTAAAAATAGATTTTTAAAGATGCGCCATTTAACTATCATTAATTAAATTTATGGCACAGTGTGTTTCATGTTCATCACAGGAACAGTTATTTTTTGCATAACTACATAATAAAAATTTGAATAGTAAAATTTTACTTCATTCAACGATTTAACAATTGAAATTTTAAAAAGAAAGTATTTATATCATGAAATCCAAAGTATAAATTATAATAACAGTTTTTGAATTTTATTTTATACTAAAAAATTTCTTATGAAATAACGATTTCATATAAAATTTGTACAGTCGTAAAAAAATTCCAAAATTACAATAAGAAGTAATTTGAGTAATTTTTTTAAAGGCACATGTTCTCCCTTGCGCAATCTTATTTCTAAATCATTTTTATCTACTAATTTTATGTAATTAATTTGATTGCCTAAATGAAGTGGGTCAATGTAAGGGAGAGCAGGATGTGTTGGCATCCAAGGTAAGTTGGCAAAATGGATATTTCTCCTTATCAATGGTTTGAACCGAAATAATGCGTACAAATACTAGATATTTTGATGTTAGGACTACTCATAGTATCATTCTCTATAAAGTCATTGAAGAGGAGAAATATTCCATTTTGCCAACTTTTCTCTCATGCCAACAAACCCCGTTTTGCCCTATATCGTTACAAATATAATTTGACATGACAATAATAATAATAATTATGATTCAATAGGTTGTTTTATACATATATACTTTTTTGAATAATTCTGTAATATCAATATGTACTCAATAAATCCAATCTATCTATCAAAAAGTTAAAAATATTTTACATGAAATTGCTTTTTAAATGTTCGAACTTTTGAAACTACTTTATCAAAAAAAAAAAAAAATAATTCTAATTTTAATCGATCTTGCTATAAAATGTTCTCAAATTCATATGAATTACTTTTTTTTATAAAAATACAATTATAGCATTATGTATAGTATCCAAAAGATTATATAAATTTTATTTATTTTAAGTAATTACTACCATTCATTGCACACATGCTTAAATTTACTTTGTATAAATAGTCTTTACATTTTATTTAAGATGCATGCTTATTTTTAGGCACAACGGTATTTTAAACCCCTATTAAGAGAAAGATGAGAGGCAAAATTATTTTATAAATTAAAATATTTGCACTATTTTAACGGTAAACTTTTTCATATCAAGAGACACTCACACACACGCACTTTAGACACGTAAATAAATACGTGCAAATATATATACTTTAAAAAAGAGTTCAGTCATCGGGAATATTACAATTAAAATTGTAACTCCGTTATTATTATTCAGTATTGTTTACCTCAAAGGGAATAATCATGTTTCAAAAATAGAAATCATGTTCCGACCAGTGTGTACGTTAAATGCATAGGATTCTTGTGCAATGTACTAAGTTAAAGGTTAATCGTTCAACATGTTTACAACGGAACTAAGGTACAGGTGATGGAGGAGGTGGTAGTGGACTAAAATATGTCGATGAACGTGAACTCGGTGACGGAGGACAGCTAATAGCAGCGTCACTCTGGTATACCGATCTCGGGGTTGGAGGTGGTGGAAAAGGCTCTCTTGGATTACCGTACCTTGATCGTGGCATTGGCGGGTAATTGCTATCTGATTCATCGCATATATCAGTACTACAAGGTGTGGGTGGTGGTGGTTGATTAATACTTCGATAATTTCGATAGGGACGGTAACGCGATGCATTGCTACTCGAACATCGCGTTGAGTTCGCTGTGGTCGCTGGACTCGGTGGTGGGTTCAACGTTTCTTGCGGGTAACCTCCGGCAGAGCTCCCTTGAGTTGAACTAGATGGACCTAAATGATAATCATTATTAATATATTAATTTGATTTTTATTTATTAAGGTAAGTACTACTTACAATATGAAAAACCAGTAATGTGACTGCGATCATAGCTTGAGCTTATGCTGCTGGCGTTAAGCGTAGACATACGCACAGACATACCAGGTTTTAAATCTTTACGACCATTTTTTTGACTGAGCATTGGCTTAGCCGATAGGCGGCCATTCTTAGGCGATAGCGGATCACCAGCAGAGTCATGCAAAATATCTGGCAGTTCTTCATTACCACCCATTTTTCGTCGACAGTAATATACCCCCAGTGCGGATAAAACCGTGACTATGACGACAACAATAACAGCAATGACGTAACTGCTTTTACCCGATTCCAAGATCGGTTCTGCAGCCTGACGATGACCATTGTTTACAGAAGCGCAGGCTGGAGTTGATTCATCGCTCCCGTCTGCACAATTGTCCCAGCCATCACACATAGCTATTGCACTAATACACATACCGGTTGAGACGCATCGAAATTGTCCCAATCGACAACAATTCAGCTCATCTTCGCCTTGGCTGCATTGAGATCGACCGTCGCACACTAACGAATTATCTGAAAGAGAAGGAAATATAGATTGAATGCACATAAATATATTGAAAATTTTAAAAACTGAAACCCACGAGACTTACCTATGCATTGTCCATTGTGACACTCGAAATGTACATCACGGTTACAAGGTGGGCACCCGAGTTCATCGCTGCCGTCGGCACAATCTCTCTGTCCGTCACATTTCCAGGTCTCAGGAATACAATCTTTCGAGTCTGTGGATTTGCTCGTCAAACACGTAAATTGGTCTGTACCGCACGTTGGTGCTAGTCTGCAATTTTTGCCATCATCGGATAGTATAAGCGACTGCGGGCACGAGCACAACGGACTGCCAGTCGGTCCTGTTCCAATACATATGTGCGAACAACCCCCATACTCGTGTAAAGGACTGCAAATATTAGTTTCCATATCCGAATTACTCGGCATCTTCACTGATATCATATCCGTTAGAGCTCGATTGTTCATCACGATTTTACGTCCGGAACCTGTTGTTTTATCTATTCGCTCAATCGTTTGACCATCGCGTTCAAACCTAGACATATGAGTACGAAGTGTGGTTAATCAATTTCCAAACTTTACATTAGTGCTTTAATTAAAAACGGTGACTTACCAGTAAAGATAATTAAAGAGAACTGATAAGTGCAGTGCAGGACCTGGCAGATTATTTAGAAGAATACGTCGATTTGATCCATCTAAATCTGAAAATTCTATTTGACGCCCATGAGCCCAATACACTAAATTGGCATTTGTGTCGACGGTTAAACTGGAAGGATTTTCCAAGTCGGAAGCAATGACGATTCTGTCATTGCCGTTCATCGAAGCTCGAAATACACGCATTTCGCCAATGTCTGTCCAAAAAAGAAGCCTTTTTTCCGGATGTACAGCAATATTTCTTGGTTTTTCTCCATTGCCTTTTACAACAACACCGACACTAGAATCAGAATCGAGCCTGGTCACATTAATAGCGTCGTTCATTGCGCACGACCAAAACAGTAAGCGTCCAAGAGGATCCAGCGCGAGATCGAAAGGATGACCAAGGCCGCCGGGTATTACGACCGTAGCGTGTGTGCGATTTTCCAAAGCTTTTCTAATGGAAGAACTTCGACCGTCCCCGGTACGAATCCAATAAATGTACTGAGTAATCGGGTCGAACTCAATTGCTCGTATATTTTTCAAACCTTGAACACGTAGACTAATGTCGGGGCAGTCGGTTGTATCGGGCAAAAAACGACCCATAACATTACGGAAGCTGTATACCATAAAGTTTTTGGGAGCTGTAAATTAAAAATTATGCTTTATAGTTAATGATTTTTAATAACAGTTGATCATAAAAAATGATTAAAATCGTACCGATACAAGTTTTATTATCGGCGGCTAAAACGTAGTGGGTCGGACAAGCACACCTGTGTCTTCTTGAAAGTGCATCGGTGCTGTTACCTGGGAGAGCAATACAAAGATGACTACAATCACCGTTATTGACAGCGCAAGTATTCCAACCGGGTTGACGGGATTTATGTACTACTAAGAGATCAGTTACAGATTCTAATTTGTCATGGATTTTTGTCCTATTTGCGCCGGTTGTTTTATCGGCTCGTTCAATATCACCGGTATTCCAATCGGTCCAATAAATATTATCCTTGTACTGAGTTATGCTAAATGGGTAGCCTATGTCTAAAGTGATAATCTTTTTACGCTTATTAGTTACGAGATCATAACTATCTATGGCCGGTGTGAATAGATCGGCCCAATATAAACGCCGTGCAGAATGGTCGATGGTCAAGCCATTAGTGCGACCAATGTCCGTCACGATGACTTGTCGATGAGTTCCATCTAGCCAGGCGCGTTCAATTCCACCAGTATTGGCCCATTCGGTCCAGTACATAAAGCCTCGCTCGGGATCGAGCGCAAGGCATCTTGGCTCAATTAGATCTTGCCAAATTAAAGCTCTCCTGCTGAAGCTCTCCAAATGAATAACCTCGATTCTTCGAGTACCGGTATCACTCCAGTAAAGATTATGGGCTATCCAATCGATGGCCAAACCATCCGGTGTTTCTAAACCAAGATCCACGACTTTTTCTACTTCCGATCCATTCATAAAGGCTCGGGTTATGGTTTTCAATTTGACATCTGTCCAGTAGATATGATTATTCGATATTTCAAAATCTAGGGCACTGTAAATGAAAAAAAATATCTTTGTATTAAAGGTCTGTGTCAGGAGTTGAAAGATGTAACGTACGAGGTGAAAAGAGCACAAACCTGGCGTCTTTGATACCAGTAATCGGTATAATGTTGTCGTTATTCGAATTTTCTATACTCGTGCGACCGATTTTGTCCTTGCGCGTGAAAAGCAAAAAGCTCTCGGGCACGATACAGTTGCGTTGATCGGCAGTAAGTTCGTAACCGATCTGGCAGGCGCAGACGTATTTGTTTTGCGGTCGATTGAGGCAAAGATGATTGCAGCCGCCGTTATTGAAAGCGCAAGGATTGGTGCCGTTGGGTCGGCCCCGTTGAATAGCCTTGAGGCCCATGACATTGGGAAACTGCTCGACGATGATTTCGCGATCGGCGCCGGTGAGCTTGTGCGCGCGATCGATGCTGCGACGCTGCCAGTCGGTCCAGTACAGATAATCGCCGAGCAGGCTGAAGCCAAAGAGATGAGGCAGGTTGTCGGTTATGACCTCGCGGCGCTCGCTGCCGTCCATGTTGCAGACCTCGATCTTGTCGGTCTTGGCGTCGCACCAGTAAACCTTGTGACGCTCCAGGTCGAGGGCGATGCCGTTGGGCCAGGCAATGTCCTTGGAAATGATGACGGAGCGCTCGCTGCCGTCGAGATTGGCTCGCTCGATCTTGGGCCGCTTGTCGTCCCAGTCGGTCCAGAACATGCGGCCGAGCTCGAGGGCGAGGGCGATGGCGCGCGGCTCGCCGAGGTCCTCGTGCACGAGCACCTTGCGGCAGGAGCCGTCGAGGCGCGCCACCTCGATGCGGTCGGTGCCCGTGTCGGTCCAGTAGAGGTTGCGCGCGATCCAGTCGACGGCGATGCCGTCGGCGCTCTTGACCTCGGCCGCCACCACGTCCTGCTGACCCGTGCTGTCCAGTCGGGCGCGCCTGATGACTCGGGCCACCTCGTCGGTCCAGTAGAGCATCTCGTCGACCGGATCGAAGTCGATGGCGATGGCGTACTTGATGCCCTGCAGCGGCAGCACGAAGTTGGTGTAGTCGGGCGTGTCGAGCGATATGGTAGATATCTCGTAGCGCTGGACGATGAGCAGCAGCTGCTGGGGCCCGTCGGCGCAATTGAAGCCGTCGAGGAGGGTCACGCCGGTCGGGCAGGCGCAGCTGTAGCCGGCCTTGTTGGTGCTCAGCAAGCAGAGGTGCGAGCAGTTGCCGTTGTTCTTGGCGCAGGGATTCTTGCCGGGAGGGGCCGGTGGCTGGCGTCGCGCGTCCCACACCTCGATGTCGCCCGGTATGTATTCGCCGTGAAGCAGCTCTCGGGGCTTCTGCTGTACCTGTTGTTGTTGTTGCTGCTGCTGCTGCTGTTGCGTCTCGCGATGAGACACGGACATCTGACCGACGGCTTGATTAGGCGCGCGCAGATCCAGACTGTGTATGCACCAAGTGCGCCAGTCGGTCCAGTAGAGCCGCTGCTCGAAGTAGCTCACTGCGAACGGGTACTCGAGGCCGCTCTCGAGGATCTTGCGACGATTCAGGCCCTCGTAATCCATGACGGCGATGAACTTGTATCGGCCGTCCGTCCAGTAGACCAGCTCGTTGTCGTAATCGACGGTGAGGCCGTTCGGCCAGAATATGTCGTTGGACACGAGGACGCGACGGGAGCTCGGCTCGCCGTCCATGTCGGCTCGCTCGATCTTCGGCACGTCGCCCCAATCCGTCCAGAAGAATATGCTGCGCTGCGGCGCCAGTGCTATGGCGCGAGGCTGATAGATCTCCGTCCAGAAGAGCACCTTGCGGTGGCGCCCGTCGATGCTCGTCACCTCGATGCGATTCTTCTCGCCGTCCGTCCAGTACAGCTTGCCCGTGTACCAATCGCAGGCCAGACCGTCGGGCGATATCATGCTCGAGTTCACCACGGTTATAGGGTCCTGAAAGTAGTGCATTTTTACATTTTTACTCGAATTAATGGGCCTTCGTGATAATGCGAGGTAAATTAATAGTTGTTTCCGTGCGTACCTGCGTGTGGGTGCCATTCGTGTGTACGCATTGTATCATTTCGAGGGCACTGTCGGACCAGCAAACCAAGCCCCGCTCGTAATAAAAATCTAACGTCACTCCGTCCGGCAAGTCTTTGACCAAGGTCGTTGCGAGCTTGTTGGATCTGGTGACATTGGCCACTCGTATATCTTTGTTGGTGGCGAAAAGTAGCGTCGGCGAGCCTGTGAAAATTCAAATTGACGTCAATTTCTTGCAAAGAATAAAAGTTTCAATGAGCGATCTTTTATTGCCAACGATTTTAAAAGCTTCAAAGCTCAGCTGTATGTATCGATACACGTTTAATAATGTAACATAATGATTTATATTTTTGAGTATAATTATAATGAAACGAGTCAGCTGTGAAAGACTAAACTCGAGCTTCGGTAGTTTTTAAGTGTCACGAAAACCGCGATTCATCCGAGCAGTCAATATTTTTAAATAATCAGAATATCATTTGTAGATATAATTATGAATTAATGTTTAAGCGGTCAAAAAGTTTGGCAAATAAAAAAGCAACGTTGGACGTGCCCTAAGGACGAACTCAAGGATGGCAAGCAAAATAACGATATGGATCGGGTACGAATTACGTAGAAAGCGCGTGATTAAATATATAATGGGCCTCACCATGGCTGTAGGAGACCAGCAAGGCAAGCACGACGAACGCCAGGAGCTTCGGTACCGGACCCATCATTTGTCGAAATCTTGTCATTGTTATGGCACTCGAAACTATGACGTATTGTCAAATCGCCGCCTGTTTTCGTTGCTTCTCGCGCTCTTGGCGTTGCTGGACTCGTTGCATTCGTATGAGCGGCATTCCCGACACCGACAAGGCATGATGCTTGGTCCGAACCTCCAAATAATCCGTGCGATTCAGACACGCGTGATTCGTAACTTTTTTTAACGCGAGAGACGATGTTAATTCGGAGTATATAGCCAGGCACTTGACACGATCAGCGGCGCACAACCTCTTCTTTTCTTTCTCTCGGTCGAGCGGCGGTCAAGCCGCAGGGCAGCCTCATACTTGCATGGCTCTGCGACTTACGCTGCTGTATAAGGTACTCGTAAGTATATGCACTTTATGCGCCTACATATACACACACACGCGCACACACAGACGCGTATACGAGTCGCGAGGTGCACGTCTTGTAGGTATATGTTATAGGGACTGCAGGCCGAGTCCTTCAGAAATCACAACGAGGTATACACACCGCCTCCCTCCCCCTTCTCGTCCAAGTTATACTTTATATACACTCGCGCACAACACACAAGTATAGAGCAGCTTCTTGTATTATCGATACGTCCTGCATGTGGACAATGGCTATTCACCAAGAATCTGTCCGAACGCACGAGATGATATTGACCACGAACACTCGATGTGGCATAGCTAGCGACAACGACGGAGCATTGGTTTTTGATCACTGTCCTGCGTGTACGCACTCCACTTGATTTACTTCTTTAATTCTTGCACACGATCGTCCGAGCGATGACACTTGTTCGCATCGTCTCGGATCTGATTTGACCAACGCAATTCGATGACAAGAAACAAAAGACTGCAACCAAAATCACTGTGCATATCATGTGCAGCACCTACACGCACTTAACGCCATTAACTTCGCTACACCTGTATACACATAAGAGCACACATAAGAAGAGTATACGGCTATAGCTCGTATATGGAGTTTGGGACCGACGACGACGGTGGAAAGTGGGAAGAAGAAACGATGCTGCGCAGAACGGAGTCGAGCGGCGAAGCGGGGGCGCCGGGGCAGTGCAGGAGAGGAGCCTGGGGCTGGGCTGCAGCAGCTATAAGCTGCCGCTCGTTGGCGTGACGCGTGGATTGCCGGAGATTGCGGCGGCGGCAGCTAAATATTATAACGCGCTCGCTGCTACTTGCAGAACTGCTATATATATATATCCTATATATATATATTTACCGTCAGCGGCGTGCGCTAACTAGCCAAGTGAGCAGTGTGTGTGTACAAATGCACATGTTCGGTGTTCGATCGTTCGAGTTCGTTGGCCGCCGACCTGCAGCCCTCCTTCGATTAGTTTTCCTTTTTTTTCTTTAATCGTTATTCACGCGTCTATGCAACTATGCACCGCGTGAAAAAATGTAACCATCGCGATACAACATAAATATTCCACTCGGCGCTCTCGATTTTCAATAAATTGCTTATGGATGGACGAATTTTCCAACATTTTCGAGCTTAAATTTTATTGACTCGAAAAATTTGAAATTCAAATAGTTATCCTAGATTAAAATTATAGTGATGAATACTTTATTTTACATTAAATTACATAACAAAACAAGCAAGTTCTAATGTTACATTTTAAATTCTTTACAAACAAAATTGAAAAATTAATAAACTTGTCTGAACAAAAATGATGCATAATACATGCACTTTTCAAACTGTTGGTAGAAAAAGTTGCAAAACTTTGTCGTTCGCTATCGAACTTTACACTATGCACCTACTGTAGGCACACCCTAACTTTGTTTTTTCACATTAAGATCAGATTCAAAATTTACTCACTTATCATTCGGGCAATTCAATATCAAAGAATTCATCATTGGTTAAATTGTCTGTTCAATTGTACTTAAAACGAACGAAATTAATTGAAGCAAGACGTAGGTTTTTAAAATCCTCTGTTGAAAACATGACTGCAATTTAGATCAAGTTGAAAATCAAACGTCTCAAAATGTTTGCAATAGCACTGAAATGCCTCATAGTTCCTAAAACGAGTTGTTATAGGTCTATAAACCTTACAATCAAAATTTCAACGAATGTTGAAATATTTCGTCAAATTCATAATGTACCAAAAAAACAATTTCAGCAAGGGCTTTTTCTCCATAGTGAACCAAAACTTTATTCAAAAAATTCTTTTTTAAATGGCACTAATGAAAATGTAAATAATATAAATACTCTCCAAATGAAAAAGAGGCCAATGAGAAAAAAGAAAATTCTTGAAGATGAAGATAGACCTGTGCCTGGAGTAAGAATTCATAAACAAGTATTGAGTAAATATTGAATAGTAAACATTAAATAATTATGTTAATGTTACAGTACTGGAGTGTTAAAGCTTTAGCAACTGCAGATGAATATGACTTGGAAAATTTGATGGAAGGTTTACTTAAACAAGACTTGTACTATCCTGTGGAAATTCAAACTCCTGCAAATCGTAATTGTAAGCATTATTTTTAGATAGGTACATAAATCTTGACTATTTTAAATCAAATTATGAGACTTATTTTACATTCATTACTTGCATATCATTGTAAATTAAAACAATATTTTCTTACATTATTGTAGCATTCCCTGATGCAATTCAAGCAGTGGCAAAGTATGAAGTGGGTAGTGAACCTCGAGAAATTTATTTTTTCCGTGAAGGTACAACTGTGATGTGGAATGTTTCTGAATTAGAGTGTAGTAATGTACTTCAGTTTCTCAAACAGTATGAAGAAAGTAGTTATTCATCAAAAATGGTTCAAGATGAAAGCGAAACTATGCTTTACACTTATGCAGATCATGGGTAATAATTTTTGGGTATATATTATGGGAGGTTGAATTTTGCACACAAACTGGTAACATACATTACATATTCTTACAGAAAACAAAGTCATATTCGAGATGGTAATATTCTATTGTCACATGATGCAAGCTTAGATAAATATACATTTTCAAATGCTATTTCTCAATCTGTCAAATTGGGAATATGGGAAGCATCTTTAGAGCAATATATAGAATCTATTGAATTTATAACTAATGATTTAAAAGCTGGACGTAAAATACGTATGACTAGACCAGCTGTATTAAGAAAGCAAGGTGAATTGTTTGCTCTGAGACACTTCATAAATCTCAGCTCTGATCTCCTGGATACACCAGATTTTTATTGGGAACGTGATGATCTAGAGACTTTATATCAGCAGATATGTGGATATTACAGTATTGCAAAAAGAACTAGGGTACTTGACACATTATTGTAAATGATTTTTCTAAATTAATTTAATAACCAAAATTTGAAAATTTATTTTTGCTTCTCTACAGGTGATGAATGAAAAACTCAACCATTGTGTTGAACTAGTCGAATTACTTTCTTCTCATTTAAGTGACAGGCATCATGTACGATTAGAATGGATGATTATTCTTCTGATCATGGTTGAAGTTGGCTTTGAAACTTTGCACTACATTGATCGTTACTTAACAAAAGAAAATAATACAGAGATTCATGAAAATAGTCATTAATACTGCTATAATTAAATTTTTATTCAAACTGTTACTATTACTACAATTTTTTTGTAATTGTTGTATTATAAACATAGATAGTTTTGTTTATATATTAAATCTAAATAAAAATGATTATTTTTAAGAACAACTGTAGTACCTGGAGTAACTTTGGGATATAAGAATCTTATTTTTACCAATGATTTTTCAAACAATACTCAACTGACTTGAACATTACCCTTGATTGAATATATTAATCATGCAGTAGGATATATACGTCAAATTTGATGTTTGTTCTTGTTAAAAGTAATTTTAATAAGATAGTAGTGTACGCATATAAATGTTATGTACTTTTGATTATTCTTTGTAAAACTTGACATACACTTGTGATAAAAATTTATAAATTGTTGATGTTCATATTTAGCGTAATTTCTCTTCAAACTGAAATCGTTTAAAAAATTTGAATCGAATACGGCAAAATGTCTATCGTTGCGCTTTGTATTTTCCATGAAAATTGCTACCATTCCTCATGAAAGTTGTTGAATAATTGTCAGTGGCGGCATGCACTGGCTCCAGTTATACAACGAAGCTCCAAGAGAAAAGAGTTCGGCAAAAAGCTCGTACCCGTACGTAGAAGATAGTCAGAGAGCACAAAAAATCGAGGTACATCGCAAAAAAGACATAATCATAAAACGTATACTTAGGTAGATTGTGCATAGGTGCAGGATATTGCTTTATGTCGTCGCATTTTATAAAGGCCTGCCAATTCAAACATGTATGAAAGTAATAAGGCGCGATTGTCATTAGCGCGTGGATTGCAGCGAGGAAAGCTTCATCGTGGATTGTGTAGCTACAGAGAGTGGGTATAGGCCAACATGTTTAATACTTGTAGTTGTTATTCAGGCATATAAGTATACAACAGGCAAATTGTGTGTCCAACAACTTCTCGCAGTCTGACTGTTGGTCGCGATCTACGCGCGTGCTCGACAGGTTGTCATAAACGACTATACATGTATACATTTATCGCAGTTCATATGCACGTATACAATATATAGTATAGATAGAATAGGATATAGTGTTAGTCGTTGTGCCTGTGCTGTGCTACAATCTACACGAGTAATATACACATGCAAGCGACGATCGTGTCAGTGTGAATGTATGCGCGCAATTACGAATGTGTGTTAGCGTGCGTTATACATATACTACAGTGTATAGTATGCGAGGCATCAAGAGTGTGTGTACTGTGTACTGTGCTGTGCTTTGAGAGGCAGAGCAGCGAGCGACCAGCCGCGGCTACTAGCGTCTATTAAACACGCACGCACACACATCGTCACACGGCGCCAACACTCACCTATTATTCACCAGAGACAGAATGACAGAGGCACTCCCATCATTACCGCTGGCAATTATTTTTCATTCGAAATACTTGCATTTGTAGAAACTCGAGGAGGATGAACGTCTTCGCGTCCAGCGGCAGCATCCAGCTCGTTATCAACCTCGAGAATCGCTAAGGGCCTGCGGAGAGACTCTACGATTCACACATGCCTCTGAGCATAAAGCCAGTGGATCGTCGTATCGCTCCAGGAAAAGCCCCAGATAAGTCGTAATCATGAGTAGCTGGACTGAAAGGATGCACAAGCGTGCCGCGACCCTTGGCAATGTTGTCACCAGCTGTGGTCATCCTTCCTCCGTCTCGCCTTATCCCAGACGACTCGAGAAGTTCGTATTGTTTTTCTACTTTTTTACGCTACCTACTTACGATTGTCTTTTTCTTACGTTGCTTACGCTTCGATGCTTGTGATCGTCGCTGCATTCTTTTCCAACCAAGTCAATTGTTGTTGATAGGATAAATCAAACTCTAACAATCTACTCACTTATTTTCTCTTATTGTCTCTTAGAAACTGATTGAAAATTAGATTCATGTGCTACTTGTTATTTTGTATTAAATTAAATAATCAGTTTCTCTTACTATTATTTCTCAGTATTGACATTTAGGCACAAAGCCACTTTTACTTACATTCATCAACTAATTGTCAAAAAAATAAACATTTTTAATCCATCTCATTTTCAGAGTCAAATTTGGTGTACCACTTGATGAAGTGTGCAAAAATGATATTCCTGGACCATTATTGGTAAACTTTTTTACCTTTTCTCAACTTCTTCTTTGCTACTGAAATAACAGCATTTTCAATATCTTATCATCTATTTATTCAGGTTCTTATATTGAAACTCAATAAAGAAGCACCACTTCGTAAAGATGTTTTTAGAGCTCCAGGTCACCAAGGAAATATGAAAAAACTAATTCATTTTCTTCAAACTGGAAGATTAGTCAATATGGATAATTTTAGTGTTTATACAATAGCTAGTGTTCTAAAAAAGTTTTTAAGGAAAATACCAGGAGGAATTTTTGGAAAAGAAGGAGAGCAGCAATTGTTTAGCGTTATTCAACTAGAAAGTATAGAACATCAAAGAGATCAGATTCATAAGTAAGATTTTCAATTTTTGATTAATTTATACATACACACATTATTTCATATTGTTTCATTTTACAGATTAATTACCTCTCTCCCTCTGTATACTCAACGACTGTTAGTATTATTATTTGGAACTTTCAGAGTAGTGGCCGTTAATAGTGAAAGAGCAAGAACTGGAATGACTAGTGAAGCTCTTGGAGTTTCTGTTGCCCCATCATTTTTTCAAAGCTGTGTCAGTGATGGTAAAACTGCCAAGATGGAAGATGTTTTAAGATTTAAGGTATGCTAATCTTTTATTATCAAATTGTATCTTATGTTAATCATTTTTTTCTAACTTAAAATATCACAACTAATGTTATACATCAGTACTGGTAGAATGTTGATATCATTTGCACAATTTACTTTTAAAAACTTTTTCTTTAAGCTATAAAATTATTTAATTCATTATGATATTAAAATTAATAATGAAGTAATTAGCACTGCTCATGGCATGAAACTTTTTTGTATTGAATAATCAATGAGCTTGAAAAAATAATTTAAATTTAAATTTCATTTTATTCATTTGTATGAATGACATCAAATATAATTGAATGAATCATTCACAATACACTTTTTGAATGAATCCATTACACTGTAGTAAGATAACATACTTTTATCTTTTGCTTTCAATCATCATCAGGCAGAAGTTTCCGTAAGTTAATCATACTACCATTTATATACTAAGTTAAAGTCATTTTGAAAGATTAAGAAAACATAACAAAATTATAAATTATTATAATTGAAATAAAATTGAATAGTATATGTTTAATTTCAATAAACTATGATATTGATTATCGAATGTTTAATTTTTTTCTAGGTAGCCACAAGAGTAATGAAATTCATGATAGACAATTTCGGGGTATCTAATTTGTTTGGAAGAGAAAATTATGAATTCTACGCACGAATTACTGGTAGAATTTTGAAAGTTGAAGAAGATTGGATATTCAGTTTCAGATACCCTCCAGATACTTTAGTATCTCGTAAGTATCTTTCATTAATTATAAATGTTTCAAGAATATATAAATGTAAACATGCTCTTTTATGTGTGTGTGTACATATATATTCATAAGTGGGCCCCTGATTTTTACATATTCTTTTTATTATATATAAATTGAAAATGCTCTGTAATAATTGGTATTCATTTTTTAAACGTAATTGCAACCTAGTTAAAATTTTTCATACTATGCTTCATATATCGTACAGGACAATTGTCTCTAGAGGCAGAGAAAACTTGGTTGCAATATGAATGTGAGAGATGGGGCCTGAAGTTTAATCTAGAATGTAAGTTGGCATTGTTTAGGGAAAATTTTCGCGCAGGTGTTTATAAAAAAATTTAATTTCATTGTTAAACATTACCATTTTCCAGCGATGTCACATCAGGAAGAATCGCAATCCACACCAGCATTGATTCATGTACCTGAAGCATTAGAGCTTACATCATCTCTTGGAATGATTCCAGAAAATACTCTCCTAGAAAGTTATACACGCCTTTCAGTCAGTTTAGAAGAAAATGGTTTCTTTCAAGTAAGAGCGAATACTTTTTAAAATTATGAAAAAAATTACATAATTGCAATATTTTTAATATTGATGAATTTATAGGCTTCAAGTAGATCCTCGAGCAATGGCAGTCATCACTCCCGTCACGCTGAAATGACACTGGATGAACTTCGGGCGGTAAATCGTTATGCAGAAAGTACAAAGAGCCTCAGCTATTTGCCTCAGGTAGGCGTGAGCGAAGCTTAAGCAAACTATTGATGCACTATTTAAATAATCTCACTTATCACACAAGTGCTTGAGTGGCTTGTAATTGTAATATATTACAAAGCACTTTCTGATGATTTTGCAACCCAGAATATGCTTCTAGTAGTATATTTCAGTAAGAATCTTTGGAAATTTTGAAATATGGACATTTTAAGTACCATCTTGTAAAAATGATGAATTCACTATAAACAAATAAGATTAACATTTGTAATTAAATTCAATTTAACATAGTATTTTGAATATTGACAACACTTTTCTATTTCGTTTTTACTTGTGTTCTTCATGCATTTCATAAAAAAGGTGTGTGTATAACTTTGCACCATTTTTTAAAGACACAGTCTTACTCATTATGTATCTTTAATTTTACAATTATGCACTCTTAAAAACTCATATCACTTTGCACTGAGATATAAACACAGTATTAAATGAGTGGATGAAAAGGTATTTTATTGACTCTTAAAATCTGCTTTAAATTCTCTTATAATTTTCTAATTAACAAAGTATTTGATAACTGATCATGTTCTTGACAAAATTTAAATCAATGGTAATTTGTTTAGATCTATTGTTTAAACAAAGTTAATCATGAGTTAAAAGATTAAAATAGACTGTTCAATACTTTTTATAAAATTCTTTGCGTTTTTATTATAATAATTTTGTAGTCTTTAGAGAACAACTGAATATTTGATTTTAGTTGTAATTTACAATGAAAATTGTACCAGTTTTGTTATAACTTATTTTAATCTTACTAAATTTATTATGATTTACTTGCGTTCGTTTTTCGATCACTTTAGTAACTACCACATTACTCTGTTTTAGAGAATTTAATGTATCTTAATTTATTTGAATATTACATATATTTGATAGCTTCTTTTAAACTTTTTATTGCTATCATGAGCGATTTTTAACCGATTAAGATTGAGCAAGCAGCTATGAAATTGCTGTTGTTATTTATAAATATTTTAACGATACTTTTGTATATTTGTTTTCAATTCGTGTTTGTTGAACGGTTTTTCTATTTTGTTTGTATACTTTTATGTAGTATTTGAAAATTAATTTAAAGTAATCAATTAGCGTTATAACCAGTTATGTGAGGCTTTTATACTTATTTATTCGCTGTTCAAAAAACATTGATGAAATTACTTGTGTTTTAATTATAATTAATCATGTGTAATAATGAACCGTGTTATGGCCTTTATTGATCAAAATAGTAGAATATTTATTTGTATATTTGTAAAGTATACGTATGTATCACAGTTCAGATAATATAACAATAATTGACACGAAAAATGCACCCATTTATTTTTATTTCAAATTGAATAGTATGCAAATTAGTTGGCTAGTTTTCTTATTTACACGAAGATAAAAAAAGTGTGTACATCAGTGGGTTACAGAAAAAAAAGGATAATAACAAAGTAATTTTAGCAAACTGAAAATATAACAAAAGGTTATTGTGATAATAGTAGAGTGGGTTTGGATATCGCAGGTTCACGAGAGGCAAACTGCTCGCATGCGGACAAGATCAGAGTGGTTTTTAACTCCTGTCGGGGAAAGAATTTCTGTGACTGACAGCGATTCTTCTGCACTTCATGTATTACGAGGTTCCAATCGGTCCTCTTCTGGCAATATCGGTAAGCCGTTAAATATTTTATAAAATATTGTAATATTGTAATGCTGCTAATAATTTAATGTGGTTAGAAAAACTTTGTGAATTTAATTGTGAAATTTAATCGAGTGGTTTTACTTTTAACAGCATCGGGACTGAGTGCAAGCGCCGAGTCGGTAAAGCGTCAAAGCGTTCGTCGCAATTCGTCGCGCGAAAAATCAAGACTGCAACGCAGCAGCTCCCGGCGCAATAAAGAAAATGGGGCCAAGTCAACCAGAAACAGCTCGGACAGCGCGAAATCGCGTTCGCTCGAGACAGTCAAAGCAAACAAGTCGGTTTCCAGAGTCAGCGTACAAGATCACCAACCTGCCGAAAAAATTCACAAAAACGAAGCAGAAGCGTCGCCAGAACAACTAAATCAGCAGACTAACAATATTGGACCGCAGGATTGCACCGAGATGGACGTACAGACGTTCCATGTCACTCTTACGTATAAGCCTCGTATTTAAAACGGCTCTTAATTTCGATCGACACTAAATTTCTTCTAATATTGAGACTGATGCTCTTGTACTCCTCTTTTTTTCAATTTTCAACTCATCTATTATCATTGATTCTCTTGCACCTGTGAAATGAATTTACTTTTTTTTATTAATCGTGAGTATGAATTTAGAAGCAATTTTTTCACTCTCACTTTTTATAATGATATTAAAAGGCATTAACATAATTCACCTAAATATTTAAGTAGAATGATTATTTAGAGGGTACACGAGCACACTTACAGCCAGTTTGTTAGGTGTTACATAAGTGAGTTGAACTATGAAGCCAAATTTTCTAACGAATCAAGTTTGTATATTATTATACAAGTCATTTCAACATAATTTTTTATACGTGAAAATTTTTATATGAACTTTATCCTTTATTTTAAGCCCTTCGTGTATATATCCTGGACCTCTAGAAATATTTGGAGTGTTCGGTATTTCTACTATTCCCAGCTAATTATATTTGATTTATGTGCGTATAGGTACGAATTTGAATTGTCTTATTTCCTCAAATTTAAAAAATAATTAATCCAACATCTTCAATCGCCCAACGAGCGTTATAAACTAAAATTCATTATTGATTGAAATCTGATTTTGGCATTCCAAACAATTCCAGAGCGATCTCTTTATTATCATAATAACATAAATTAATACAAGTATGAGGGCTTGTGAATAGATTCCACAATAAAACCGAAACTGTTACCAGAAATTTTCCGGTGACCTAGTAAAAAATTATGTCCTATGCAGCAGGTAAATGCATATCTTTTATCTTGGTCATTAAAAATATTTATCGGTATTTTCATAACGTAATTGAAAATTCTGCATAATTGGAAATTTTAAGTTTATTTTTACCACAAAAGAAGAGATTTAAGAAAAATGTGCTGAAAGTTTTGTACAAAGTCATTCAATTTCGAAAAAAATAAAACAGAAAACTATCTTAAAATTACTTAAAAATATGATACCTAAATAAATGTAATGTTATTGAAGTATGCAATCGACTGAAACTTGAGTCTTGAAAAAAAATAGGTATAATCGATCTAATTAGCAAGTCAACAACAATTTTGAACTTTTTTTCTTTGAAAGATTAGAACATTTTAGCACTGAGTATGGATAGTAATTTTCCTGAATCTTATTTATGTAAATTGAAGAGTAGTAGATAAATGCCAATTTTTGTGGGGTCTAATAAAAATATTTTCAACGTTTACGATTGGATGCAGAACAACTGATACAATATGTATAATTTAACATACAAATAGGATCTCAAAACGATAGGAATAGTATGAAATATTTATATTCGGACGTACTGCCGAAAACCTGAAAGAGAAAATATTTATTATAAATGGAAATTTACGAATTATTCGTTTATAACATACAGCGTGAGTGTGAACTAGTAACAAACATCGTGTCGAAAAATTTATATTAGTTAAAATTAAAATTGTAGATCAAAGATATAAAAAATTATTTCACTGTTTCTCTCGTTCACGAAAAACAGTCGAAAGTACTTCTAAAGGGAAAAGTTAGTAAATTAGTTATATTATTACAATTAATCTTTACTGATGTCGAGATTTGTCGTAATATTGTGTGTTGATGGGCAGTGGTCAAAATAAATTTGTGCACAGCACTAGACACTTGCAATTTTAGGCACAGGAGAATAAACTTTCTTTTTATTGTTAAACTAATGAACACTTTTGGTGCACTGCGCACTCTGAACAAAACAACAAAATAAAACACTTCAGATTGAAGTAAATGAAGAGAAGAAATTATTAAGAGTGAAAAATCTAATCAGTTGAGCTGCAATGGCTGCGTATTAACTCGTTGCCGGCTCGTACAAGAGTGAGGCAGGCGCGGCGCACGCATGATAGAGAGAGTCGACTCGTGCGCCATGGAATTCGCCTCATCCACGCCGAATTCCCTCTGTTCAACGCGCGCTCGGCCTGCCACTAGGTGGTGACACCTAGTTGTTGCTAACAAGATTCAATTGTTCGCTTATATGTATGGTCATTTTTAGTGCAAATCTTAGTTCGTACTAATGAATCCATTCCACTAAATCTACCTAAAACATTCTATACTTTTAACTTTTTAAAAACACATAAACATATGATTATTTATAATATGTTGTTATACACTGTACACCATTCCAAAAATATGCATTCACGTTTTATTGTCGTGCACTTTACAATATATTGTTTTTATCATCAAATAAAATTCATAAACATATAATCAGATCTATTTAAAAAAATTTTTATTGCTATTTTTTCTAAGAAACCATGTTTCTTACTATTTAATTAGACTTTCTTAAGACGTAACATTGATAAACATATTTTTCATGGAAACAATTTCTCGATGATAGAAATTTTTTAAAAATACCTCAAAATTATAATATGTTACACTATTTGAAGACAAATCGATGCTTTGAAATCAGATTTTATTTGAATTTCATTATTTCAGTAATGAGCTACGTTTTATTATTATGTTTTGAAAAAAAACGTATAAAGTCATAAAAATAGCAATTGCCAATTCCAGCTTATGCTAAAAAAACTGAAAGTTGACCAAAAAGTATATGTTTTTTGATGGTTTATACTTTTTAGATTTTTTAATTTCATAAGATATATCGCATTCCCAAAACCCTTTCAAAATTTCACTGCAATTTTAGTAATTATTTTTAAGCGTGTATAAATACAATCACTAAACCGATAATTAGTATAAAAATAATTTGACTATTGAAGTAGAGAGTAATTAAATTATATCAAATCATGTCTATTGAAAGTTAAATAATTTTAAATTAATTTAACTAAAAAAGTATATTATTGCAATTGTGTTCCACGAAAGAATAATTTCCTTGAATAAAATAATCGTTGAAATCTAATATTTAATATCAAAAACGTATAATTTTTTTATTTTTGAATTATGGCTATTATTTTTTTACAAGTATTATTACATTGTACCTACTTCTTACATTTTAGACTTTTACCATTTTACGAAATCATTTTTCACGATATTTTTGTGAATCATTTTCTAATAAAAATGTCTATGGACGTTGTGAAGTATTATGTTTTATATTTGAAACTATAAAAAGAGAGTAATATCAATTACTCGCATACGAAAGACTTATTGAAAATTATAATGATAATGATAATTATAACATGATAATAATTATAATAATATTTATAATGATATTGATAATAATAATAAGTATAGAAAAAGTTTTTTACAGTAAAATTACAAAAATATTTACTATTTACGTTCGATCGAAAACCGTTCGTCTTGTTTTTATTGATTATGCGATTTTTATAAGCTAATTTTAAAATGATTAACTGATATGATTATTACACGATTGTTTAACCATAACTGCAATGCTAATTTTATGAGTAACATTTTTAATTCCAATAAACTTTCAATTAAATTTTTTAAAAACATTTATTTTTAGAATAGTTATTTTAATATGTATTTGGATCTTAATCATTCAATTGCCGATAAAATAAGTGTACATCCCGAATAATTAAAAAGTGTAATAAAATGTAATGAATCACGAATAAAAATAAAAATACATATTGAAAAAGTGAAAACAGAATTGATTTTGTATGCATATTTCTTAATATTTACATAAATATATATTAAATTTAGTATTTTAGGAATTGTGAAAATACTTTAAAAATTTTTGATAGATCATGAGGCATTGAAATAAGCTTATTAAAGTTGATGCGATAAGTTGATTGGATTTGGATTGCGTCAAGCATTGATAGCTTCACAAAAAACAAAGGGCAAACGAGCTTATGGACGGTGTGGCATGAATAAAAACAAAATATTTGTAACAGATTACCTTATTTATAACAGACTTTTTTATGAAAAAAATATTTACAAAATTATTAAATTTTATTACTTCTTCATTACTTTTATAAATGTTTCACGAGGTAATGCAATATTACCTATCATTCTCATTTTTTTTTTACCTTCAGCTTGTCTTGCTAATAATTTTTGTCTGCGTGTAATATCACCGCCATACTAAAATTATACATTAATTTAAAATTATTATAAATTGTTATTTGAAAATGAATAGGTTTATAACTTACTAATTTCTGAGTGACGTCTTTTCTATAGGGTTTTAAGTTTTCTCTGGCTAAAATTTTTGCACCTACACATGCTTGAATCACAATAAGAAACTGCTGACGAGGTATTATGTCTAATAACTTTTTACACATTTGTTTTCCCTTTTCAGTAGCTTTGGTGCAATGCAAAATTGTACTCAGCTCTTCTACCAATGTTCCATTTAATAATACATCCATCTAAAATAAAATTTGAGTGAAAAGAATGAATCTTTACAACTTTAATTATTACATTGACATAAATTCCTGTTGATAAAATACCTTAACTATGTTTGAACTTTCATATCCATAATCTTCGTAATCAAAGCTTGCATATCCTGAAGAAATTGACTTTAAGGTATCATGAAAATCTATAATTATTTCATTTAAAGGTAAAATAAACTGCAGCATTATTCTTTCATTGTCTATATTTTTTGTGGATTTCTCTTTTCCTCTTCTTTCAATGCATAAAGATAACACATCACCCAGGTACTTGTCTAGATTATCAATAATTAATTGTCATTTTTTGATATTTTTACTAGTGATTTATAAGACTTACCAGGTGTTATTATGGTACCTAAGACCATTGGTTCAAATATTTCTTGAGTAATCACAGGATTTGGAAAATCACTTGGATTACTAAATATAACTTCATCTCCTCTGTATTTAGCAATATTTTTACTACCAAAAATTTTTGCTTTATAGGTGACACCTGGTACAGTAAGAACTGCTTGTGCATCATATTCTTGATCTAATCTTTGACTGAATACCTCCATATGAAGTAACCCAAGAAATCCTAGCCGCCAGCCTTGGCCAAGAGCAATGCTAAAAAGATGAATTGTTAATAGGTCATCATTTAAATTTTTGTGAAAATTAATTACCTTGATTCTCTTGTTACTGATACAGCACTATCATTCAAAGTTAATTTTTCAATGGCTGCTTTTAATGAAATATATTGTGATTGATCCATGGGATAGACACCAGCAAAAACCATTGGTTTAGCTCTTTTGAATTCAGGAAGTGCTTCTACTGGAGAACCTTTCGAATACAATGTATCTCCTATTTGAGCTTCTCCAGATGTTTTCATACCACAAATAACACATCCAATTTGTCCAGCAAATCTGTTAGATAATTTTTTTTATTAAATAAAAAAATCTTTAAAATTTGCATTGATCATAAAAAATGGAAATGTTACTTGCATCTTTGTAACTTTTTCTTCATCTGGTCTTAAAAAAAACAAACTCCTCACTTCATATGTTTTGTTTGTACAGCAAGAAATAATTTGGTCTCCAGTAGATAAAACTCCCTCTTTTACATATACCATAACAATAGCACCCCTGTATCGATCGTACCAACTATCAAAAATGAATGCTTTCAATGGTTTATTTCTGTCAACTGTTGGTTCAGGAATTCTTTCAACAACAGCTTCTAAAACTTGATCAATGTTTGTTCCATTTTTTGCTGAAATTTTAATGATATCTCTTTTTTCTATATCAAAAAGCGAATTTATTTGATTGACTACTCGCTCAGGATTAGCATTTTTTAAATCAATTTTATTAATGACAGGTATTATAGTCAGATCTCTACCGAAAGCTAGATAAAAGTTTGCCACTGTTTGGGCTTGAACACCATCATTGGCATCAACTAATAAAATCACTCCTTGACAGGAACTTAAGGAGCGATAAACTTCAGATGCAAAATCGACATGACCTGGTGTATCAATTAAATTTAATAAATATTCTTCTCCATCGTAAAAATATTTCAAAGTAACAGTTTGTGCTTTTACAGTAATCCCCCTTTCTTTTTCGATTTGTAATTTATCTAGGACCTGCATTCCAGAATTGACCTTTATAGCACCTGTCATCTCCAGTAGCCTATCAGCCAGAGTACTCTTTCCATGGTCAACGTGTGCAATGATACTAAAATTTCGAATCCTATCAATTGGAGTTTCATACTCTTTCACTTCCTTTTCATTGGTGCAGTAATGGTGTGATATGAAATTTGGGCACAAACTTGAGGAAAATTTCAATGATAATATAAGCTTTAACGTGATTTTTATGGTCAGTTTTTAAAATCATTAAAAAAAATTATTTTTACCTTCGTTTATAGACAGATTTATTGATTTGATTTAGTTTATGAGATAATAATTGTCTCAAAATAATTCTGGACTTCATATTGCAAAAGTTTTTATAATTATCTCAATAAATAAATGCGTTTAGCATCATGAATAATTACATTTACAATAATCTTTAAAGTGACAATTAGAATTCATTTGAAATTCGAATAAATTCATAATATTTCATAGTAGTATTTTAGAATTTTTTCGATACATGCTTTACTTATGTCTGGGCTTTAACCTTAAAAAAACAGCTGATCCGTAGCAGAAGCTTATAACTTTTAAAGTCATAACATAACATAGTAGTTAAAGAACAAAAATGACATTGAGTGGGTTAATCCGAACTATTGCATTTCGAAAAATTTTAAGTGTGCCCATTGACCCTTTAAGTGAAATTTGTGTTACCAATCAGACTTGTAAAATTGTTAGTTCTACTTTACTAGCAAGAAGATGTTTTCACAAGGAATCCGAAGATTCAAACAAAGTGCCAGAAAGAAATGCTCCTTTAAGGCCAAAAGTTAAAAAAGGTCTTACTAGTCCAGAAATAATGCTAATAACACCAGAAAATGAAGTTAATTCTGTGACTATGGAACACGCTGAAAAATTGGCCCTTCGTAGAGGCCTTAAATTGATTAAAATTATTGATTATGATACAAAAACTCAAAAACCTATTTATAAACTTATGAGTACTATGGAATTCTTTGAGGCTGATTTAAAAAATAAACAAGAGAAGAAAAAAAATAAAGATGAATCCAAGGAAGCTAAATTATTTTTAATGTCTTCTAAAATCTATGAGCATGATTTACACGTCAAGTTAAAACAAATGAAAAAATTGCTTAAAAAGAAGCATGATGTTAATGTTTACATATCTCATGATGGCAACCCCACAAAGGCGGTAAGTTTTATACCCTTCATTATTTTATATTTATATAACAAAATTATTATTAAATTTCTATACATTTTTATAGGAAGAAACAGTAGAAATCATTGGAAAAGAATTAGATGAAATATCAGTTATAAAAAATCGTGTTAAGAAACAGAATACCATAAAATTGTTTCTTATCCCAAAAAATGTCAGTACAGATGTTGAAAAAATTGAAAAAGGAGATAATTTAGAAACTGATAATGCTACAACTGTTAAGGTTTAAATAAAGCTTTTATGTATTATAGAAATTTTTAATTTTATTACCAATACATTTTTTTCATTATATATATTAAAATAATAACTTAAGATTATTAGTCATTTTTATTAGTAACGTTTGACATCTTTGATAAGTTTACTTTTTGCTTGATTTGTTTCTCAATGATATTAAAAAATATTCTATTTACTTATGTCAATAATCATGATTATTATCATTTAACTGATTAGTCTCGTTACACAATACACATTTAACTTATATTTTTCTTTAAACAAAGTTACAATTTATCAACATAAAAAAAATTTATTTTACAATATTTCTGTAAAAATAGAGTCAAATAAATAATTTTTATCAATACCATATAATACAATACAATTTGTTAATTTAACTATAGACTCATACCCAGTTGAAAAGATGTCGTGGATTTCTACGCTGATTAACCACGCAGATTCTGCGGGGATTCTGCGTGAAAAGTGTCGATTATTCTGTGAAAACGGATACGAGCGTGGAATTTAGTTTTTAAGAGATGATCATAAAATCGTAGTAGCTTTTTACAAAAATTCCACCCTGATTCTACGTGGAATCTATGCAGTATGCACTTTCCATACCGAATCCACATGAAATCGAAATGGATAATCCATTTAGAAATCCCGCCGTAATTTTTTTCAACCAGGTAGTTATTTCACTCGCAATATAATCAGCATATGGAAGTATAAAATAAATTGTGTGCCAAACATAATGTACATTTTTCACGTGAAAACGGTATTTTACGAACAAAATCATGGCACTGTCTTCCCAAGTTCATTTTGTGCAATTAAAATATCAAAAATGACACAAAGAAACGTCTGACTAACAATCCTGAAGATACATGGGAGTAGATTGAGTGTGTGCGTTGATCCGTATGAAAAAAAAGTTTGATAAATGAAATTTTTTTAGCAAACTGGTACGACGCAAGTTTCAATTTCAGCAAGTGGTGGACACAGTTGTCCAAATGGACCTCGAGGAGCTACGAGGATATTTCGTATTCGTCGACGTTGAGAAAAACCGCAGCTTGCGGTGCAACTAGACCATGGTCCCCAAGGACTCACTTGGCAGTTGATAGAGACTGAAAGAATAGCATTTGTGAATGTTATCTGAATGTTGAGAATTTTCGTCACAGAATTAAACTTACCTTCAGATTTGCGAGTAAGATTCGAAAGCTCTACATTTGATCGATTATCGAGCGCCCGCTCATTTTTTGTATCTTAAAAGTAACGATTTAGTTTAATTTATGATACACTTCAAGAGTTCTATGTTTTTATTGGATTCTTACCACATTCAGGCATGACTTTGTGACATTTTTGTCTTCTGATTAATTTGGTGGGGCAAAGCTTCCCTCCATTACGTGGATGAACCTATGAAAAATCGATAGTCCCGTTAATTAAATCAATAATAATTTCCGTCCATTTTGATTAAACAATTAGCCTCGTAATGTTTAAACACCAGGTAAAAGTAATTGTAAATCATAATATAGATTGAAACTATAAAACTGATCACGTATTATTGAAATTTATGGGACCATATAATAATGTTCAATGATTAAACTTTTAAATTTATTTTCAATAAATCTTTGTGTAAGAAAAATTCAAATGAATAATTTTCAAATTGAGTTTCTCACCAATATGTCTCGACTCATGGTCCTGTAGCCTTTGCAACTGTAGCATGGAGACCAGTTGCTCCACTCAGAAATTTGACAGTCAACTCCCATTCCGTAGTTGCTGCTTTTAGTTTCTCCACGCTGCTGTTTTTTTCTCTTCTTATTGGTACTTTCTTTACTTTCTTCTGTTTGCCGAATTTGTAATGATTAATTTTTTTTAGAAATTATATGACGAAACCGTAAATCCTTATAAATTTTAAAGCATTTATCATTTGTTAAACTTTATCTAGTATATAGATGTATATAACCCTCAATAAAATACTTTTAAACATCGGTATGAGTAACAATTAAACTTGATTTCTATAATTGAATGGCATATTATTATGTACCATATTATTCGCGATATAAATTTTAGATTCAAAGATGCGGGAAATAAATGAGGTATATAAAGCGAGCCGAATATAAAAAACGTATTTATAAATATAAATATATTTACATTACATATACACCTATATATATTATGATATGTATAAGAAAAAGTGGAAAAAAGTCGCACCGCATATTTTAATGTCGCCATTACGAGGGGCGACGTTGGTGACTGAAGCGCCCATTCCCTGATTATTCTTAATTGCACTATAAGTGACAATACTGCTCAGTTGTACTTTGTAATTGTGTATTTTCCATTTATCCAATGCTGCTTTGCATAGTTGTTAGTAGTTAATAATAGGCAAGCGGTGACAGCACAAAATAATTAATTAGTTACAGACAAGACTTTATATCATTCGTTTACGCGCAATGTCTGTACTGAAAAAAACTCATGAAAAATCCCCGTTTATGTTAAACTACGGCAGGTTCTCACCACATTTAATTAAACGTAGATCGCAAAGTTGACATTTTGATGCAAAATCATTAAAAGCACCATCAAAGAAAAAAGCAAGAATATCTTTTGGTTTTGCAAACGTGGGCAAATTAGAATTTTTTTCAGCAAAAAGCATATTTATCAAATTCAAAAATGATGCGACGGTAATGAAATGTTGGTGTTTAGTTCTCTAGCGTATTATTGGCACAGCAATGAAAAATGAACGTTTGCATGAAAAGCAATGTAAAAATTCACATGAGTTAAAAATTAGTAATTACAAAATCTGAACTTAACTCAATTCATTTCACAATAATTGAATGTTTTAATCTCGCGAACTTCAGTTCAATTAAAATTTGATGTATATGGCTAAGGGTTCTATTAAATAATAAGCTCTCGGATATTATCTAGGTTTTGTAGAGGAAATCGCGATACACATACCTAGAGACACTGTTTGGTAATACAGTGATAATGTATATTTATTTCAATGAAACAACTATTATCAGTCGAAAGACATTACTGAATCAATAAATAGTGATAGGGGACGAAAGCTGTATAAGGGATTGAATTCAATTTAAAAATAACGTCTCTACATATTTAATATTTAATGGCATAAAATGAATTTAGGTTTTGCATGAACATTTTTTACAAGGATTTTGAATACTTGCTTATGAATATTAGCACATCATTTAAAATTTTAGGTGTATTTGTAATTTTCGTTGAAAGATTTGCAATAATCCAAAAAACTCAAGCGCTATGTTTTTTCTTTATCAAGATGAGTTATATGTATTAAGGAAATAATTCCAGTTCCAATGTGATTTGGATGGTAAGCAATGATCGTATAAAATTTTTCGAGCATCGATGAAGTATGGCACTATAATATGCATTGCACGAACTAAATTTAACAGTTTTGACAAGCTCAATAAATTTGTACATGATATATGATATGAAAAATTACACGAAGACGATAAAGCATTGTAGTAAAGACACAGTGGCTTACGTGATTGATTGCATGCAGTTTGACATTCCTGCAGAGTTCTGAAATTGTTCATGTTGCCATTGCAGCCGGTGTAGTGAAAAACGACGCATTTTAATTTTGTTTTGTCATAATAGTATCTCAATGAATTGTCGTTGTGGCCATCGTCACAGTGACCCGCTTCTTTTGGCTCAGAACATATGACTACACACATGAGTAAAAAAAAATGTGTTATATATTACGTCCACATTATGTTTCCTTGCATACGTATGCAAGCAGTTAATTGAACGGATTTAAACACTCGAAAAATGGCCAAAAAGAATGAATACTATAATGTTAGTAAAGTGTTCAGTGAGAAAAAAATGTAACGCAAATGTAAACCTTTCTGTTGTTCTTTATCGAGCTCGCAGGACTCCGTAGCAGCGATACAAGTTGTCGTCTGGTACTGGCATTCGTAAAGTAATTTTTCCGTTTCGGAGGTTCGCCAACGGGTTGGTAAGAGCTGTCTCGAGCGGCTTCTAGTTCCACGACCACAGCTGACCGAGCACGGCGACCAGAATGACCACGACGAGTATTGTTCATCAACGCACTTCTCTTGCGTACAGCAACAAATTTATTAATTAATTAATTTATTCATTTATTGATCACAGAAAAAAAATTTAATTAATGAGTTTTATGCATGAATTTAGCGCAAATGCACCAATAGATGTAGTTACTCAAATGTATTAATTTGAAGTGGCCAGACGTAATCTAGGCTGGCTATCTAAGTGATTACAAGCAAATGGAGCGAGAACTTTTCGAGTGTGCAAAGAAATTCGCGTGAAATGAATTATTCGAATATTCAATGAACAAATTTTCTTATTCGAGATGATTAGATTGTCTAAAAATTACTTGATCAATATTGAAATGTCAAAAGTTTCAGTCGTCAATTATGTGTGATGTGAATCGATGAAAGCTCTTTTTGTTATTCGTTCGGCTTTTATCAAGTTTCGAGGAGAACGATGTATTGAAAAGCGAGAGAAAATGAAGTCGAAAAATGGTTCAGTCGATTGCCACCTCGGTTTGTATAGGGATTTTTAGTCGACGCTACTAAAAGGATCGGTGAAAAATAGCTGAACGATTTACTTCGACAATGAGAATGGCCGCTACATGTATTCACGTATCGAGAAACGTGAAGTCTAGTCTTTTGGATGCTACCTTGAGAGGCCGATGCGGCCGTTGCGCCTCACCGAATCTGACCCGCCAATTGTTCTCGCTCCCGTACTTGTCGATAGTCGTGGCATCGGCCACATTGTCGTCGGAATCCGAGCCTGCCTCGTCGGACTCGTCTTGGGTCCTCACCGTTTGCTCGTCGCCGGCGGCGGCTCCTCCTTCTTGGCCCTCTTCTTCGCCTCCTTGGCTCGCCTCGCCGTCCGTCTCGCAGGCCGGATTGCCGCAGTCGACCGTCTCCTGCAGCTTGATGTGCGGGTACTTGTAGCGGCACTCCTTGCGCTTCTTTTTCAATCGATAGTTGCGATCGCGTGCCTTGGGTTCGCGACCGCAGCTCTTGGTGCAGGGCGTCCAGTCGCTCCACTGAGTCAATGCGCAGGATTCCGGATCCGGCTCCTCCTCGGGACTGCGCGCAAAAACACATTCGGGCTTATTGCAAATCGCCTTCGTTCCTCCATCTCTTTTCTTACCAATCTAAGCTGTCGGGATTCCAGCAGGCCACCCGGTCGGTCAGTTTTACGTTGCACTGGTGCTTCATGGCCGATCGTTCATTTTTGAAGTAACGCTGACGCAGTCGGCTGCCAACGCCGCACGTTACCGAACAGTTTGTCCACTCGCCCCACTCGCCGACACGGCAAGCTTCTGTTCATTTGTCAATTTTTTTAATCAATTATTTTTCTCGCGTTATCCTTATACACAAAATTATTATCTAACACAGCTTTCACTACGATCAAGCTCGTACTACTCGAGTCCCTTTTAATTGCATCTTGACATTTTGTTACAACAACATTGCGATTTGTTCAAAAAGGCTTTTCCATTTCTTTAGCAATTATAAAATTTATTAATATCATCAATCATCGACATCATTAATAAATCATTAATTTTTGGCTGTCTTAATGCGAACGCGATTTCGCATTGAAAAATAAGTTATTGCTCATTTTTTATTTTTTTAATATTATTAACTCGAGTCAAAATTATATTGTAAAACCAGATGCAGCTTATAATTATTCAAATTATAAGCAATTACGTGAAAAAAAAATCATCTCGCTGCTATTCAAGCCTTTTTTACCGACTCTTCACAATCACTATGCAAGCAATCTTAATTTATGCTCAAGCGTTGGCTAATTTGAATACACTCGTGGCCAAAAAAAATTCTGTGTCAGGAAGTTACAATATTTCTAAAGTAGGAATATTCAATTTTTTTGTCATACTTGAAGCTTTTTTTTTAATTCTGATTAGACTGGAGCAAAAGAGCAACGCTTTCGAAGATAATCTCATAAGAAACTACGGAGGTTGGAAGCATTGGTTTAAAAAAGCTCTGTATACACGCCTTCGTTAACGACTGCAACTAAAAAAGTAAGAGCAAATAAAAGTGGGAAGGATACTTGCTACGATTGTCAACGGTTTCACTATTAGCATCGGCTTCGGTATCACCTTCGCTGCTCTCGGTCACGTCGAGACGATCGCAGTGCTTTTCGTAAATGCGTTGACGCTTGAGATATAGCCGGCCCATGGGCTTCATGTCGATGGCCGACTCGTCGTAAAAGGGCGAGCGCTCGTCCGCCGGCCAAGTATTCGTTATGCGTCTGATAACGTCTCGCGGTTCCGTTGGCGAGTCCGATGCCTGAAACGATCGATAGTCCTCGAAACTCTTATCGATTGTAAAATCATTTCGAGGTATGCTACGTTAAAAATGATGGTACGAATGCGAACCTCGTAAGATAGACCGTTATCGGTGCCGGCATCGATTGGGTAAAGATTCAGTTGTTTCTGATCGACCCAGGAACAGTTATCCAAACACAGCTCCAGTCCGGAAACTCCCAAAAACCAATCTGGGGATGGATCTGAATGAAATATTTGTTTAATTAGTTTACCTTCTTTCGCAATTGAATGAGTACGTGTGTCGTCACGAGTCTAGTCGCAAGTCGTTCAATTCTTACCGATCATTGAAACAACCGACACAAGATGATGCTGTTGATCGACTCGGAAGACAGCAAATGTCTTGCTAGTGATGTTTGGAAAGTTGATTCCTCGAGCTTTAATGATTGTCCTGATGTGCTCGCTCTATAACAAAAGCGCAGTAATTAGCACGAATATAATAGATAGCTATTAATGAATCCGTTATAGTCGATAACCTGATTCTTGAGCTCGGACTCGAGAAGACGCGTGTTGCCGTTCTCGGCCACGAGTTTCATGCCGTCGCTGGCCGGCACGTCGAGCTGCCAGAAACGGTAGGCGTTGGTGTGCGAGGCCCCGATGACGTCGGAGAAGCGCGCGTTCCAGGGCTTGGTGGGGAAGCTGCGCGGATGGGTGTATCGCGACCAGAGGCCCTCGAAGGCCAGCTCGTACTTGGCCTCGTCGCAGGCGCAACACTCGGCCAGCACCGGTCCCGGCTCGTCGATCTTCGCCTTCGGATCCTGACAGAATTTCTGCTCCAACGTGCCGTCCATGTACCACTTGGATGGCGTTTCCATTATCGAGACTCTGAAGCGAGTAATCGTGCGAGTGCCTGCCGATTTGTATTACAGTTTGGCAAATATCTCATCTTACCGGAATATGACGCATCCGTTGCCTTCGCCGGGACTCGTCCAATACGCCGACACGTTGTCCTTGGCTACTTGAGACACTTGAATTATCGAGTCCGGACAGTCCTGCGAAAATCTTGACACTTGCTCGTCGTAAAGTTCCAAAGTACCGGCGGGTAATATTTTGTCCTCGTTCTCCACGGTCAAGAAGAAACGTGTGAAAGTCTCGCCGTAATCGTCTTTCACGAAAACTGTTGATCAACGTACGAGTACCATTAGAAGAATCTGTCGCTTTCCAGTGACATATTTTTATATTTTTAATCGTGACATATCCATATGTTAACATATCCAGATGTTCGTACACGAGTGAAAATGTATTCGAGATGAAAAATGCCAATTAAACATTTGGCATTCAAGTTGTCATAAAAGACGAATAGAAAATTTGTATAGTTCGGCTCACATTCTTGAGGGTGGCAATTGGAATTCAGCCCAATACGTACGTTGTTTGACGATTATTTTATATTATTTTTCAGCGTGCGCTTGCACATAACAATAGAGTGTGACAATTACTCATAGTCAGCAGGCGTAAACAAATTTCGCTTCAAAAAAATTTGGAACTTCCTTGGAGCAGACAGATTTACGTCGTGCAGCAGTCGAGGATTTCAAATTTTCTTGTAGCATAACGAAAACCCTACTGCTTAGGGTAGATTTTTTATTTGTTTCGCGAAATTATACATTTCATTAATGAAGTGGAGCATTTTATTTTGTGCCATGCCATTGTACCAAAAAAATTACAATAATTTTTTTGTCGAGTGACTCTGAGTTGACAGAGTTTTCAAACGTGTTCTGAGGTCCACAATTTTCAGTTAAATTAAAAATTCAAAGCTATTCCGACTATAGTCTCCCCCCATGACACAATATGGCTTCTGATGGCTCTGCATTTCTCGCGAAAACAAACAAGTGAGTTATAGACTCGCGAAATTCATTAATTAGGTGAAAAATACGATTAACATAAACTTACTTTGGTACTTGGTTGAAGGCATAAAACTTCTATATTCATCCGTTAAGTTGATTTTCATTAGGTGAATGCGATAAGTTTCAGCTACTTCGTGTGGACCTTTAATATCGTCCCATTTCTGTTCGCAATGAGCCCGGACTTGTGTGATGTTCACCAAGCACCACAGCAATACCACTCGAAGAATCAAATACTTCGGAATCATTTCTCTGCGTGAAAATTAAAAATTTAATGAGCTCGATATTTTTGCCCAAATGAAAAATAAAAATTTTCTACTAGTCAATATTTCAGTTCTTATTTAAGTACGTAATGTATGGATTATTGCGTTACAAAATTTGACTCATATCAATAAAAAAATTTCAGTTTCGACAATTAAACATCACTGGAACATGTTCTGGTTAGGAACGAACATGAGATCTTTTCTTAGCGAAATAAATTTTTTGAATTATGTAATGAACTTTTTTATTTACTTTTTAGTTTATTCTAGAACGAAACAATGCTTTTTAATAAATAACTTTGAGTGCAACTTTATGGCTGTGTACAGGTTCAATTTTACTATTCTTTTCGCCTCATTTGCGTACTTAAAGTTTGTCATCGACGTGCTGAAATTTTTATCTGATCCTACATTTAGTTTATGTTCTCATATTTACATGACGCGAGATCATGTCTGCGTTTATAAACGGCTGTTGACATTCATCTACACTTTGCAGGTCGGATTAATATAAACTGCAGTTTCGTAAATGTTTGTAATTGTCGTTCAAAAGCGTATGACGCGCATATCCTTCATAACTGCAGCAGTTGAATTTTTTGATAAAAACTGTTTCTTCCGATGGATTTTCTCGAATCGAATACAAATTTACGATTGTTTATTGCAGTCTGTTAATAAATTACGAATAATACTTTTTTTGAAAGTAAGAATAAAGAAATGAGATAAAAATGTTTCTTTTTTCCCCTTTCTTATTTGATCGAAGCTTTGCAGCAACATATAATCCGATCAAGGCCAATCCAATAATCCGTGACAATTTGATTTGCATCTTCAAGTCAGAAAATCTTCTCACTTGGAGATGATTCACAGTTTTGGTAGGGAAAAACAAAAGAAGGCCTTTTTTTTTAAATCGAATATCAAAATAAAAAGACAATAATTAGATACGGCAGTGATGAATAAGCTTTGTACAAATTATTATAAGGTCGATCTGTTGCAGATGGTTAAGTGTTGGTAGATCGAAGATTGTTCACAGCAGATAATTGCGGCAAGCGATGGTTAGCCGATATGAATATACTACATATACATGACATAGTTATAGATATACATAAATTGTTTTCAAAATCCATACCTGAAAGTATGAATAGCTTCTAGAAGAATATAAGCTACAAACTTGGACTTACAAAACTTGCTCGGAATTTTTTCAAACTTGAAGCTTGCGATGATGAGGTGTTTCTCCGAAGCTGCACGAAGACGCGTAAGCATTCTTACTGTACTCGTTGCCTTTCATTTTGATCGTGGTAAAAAAAAAAAAAAAAATTACTTCATACCGAGCTTTACTTGGCGCGATTTCGTTTTTCCTCGCCGAAACCTATTCCGATCCGAAATTACGTACGTTCAAAGGCGAGGGCGATAAAAATGTTAGTATTGTCGGATAGTGTGCATAAAACTATCGATTAATCTCACGGCGAGTGGACAAAATATATTTGTCGATGCAGACCTAGCAATGCATCGACCTAACAAAGGGCAGAGAGGCAGAGAGGCAGAGAGCGAGAGAGAGGGATGAAGCTGTATAGCAACCACCGGCTTGAGCTCGATAGCTTGACTGAGCGTCGCGCGGCCGAGGCACAATGTGCCTGCGACGACGACACGGCTGCAGCAGCACGCTTGCACGCAAAAACTAGAATTGTCCGTGTGTACGCGCGCAAGCGCCGCTTAAACTAATATCGTGCTACGTATATATACTCTATGCGAATACCATGATGCACTTTGCGTACAGCTCTTGCGAATGGTAATAAAAAAAAACAACACGACCTTTCATTATCAATTCTCGAGCTTTCAGCATCACTGAAAGAAAAGCGACGTATGCTAAGCACGAGTCAAGACTATTTCAATCAAGCGTGTCGTATCGAACAATCTCGATATACGGCACGCGATAAATATTTTTCTATTTTTTCTGATATTACAATTAACAAATTCCAGTTGGTTGATTTTTTTTGTACATTTTTATTTTATCCATTTATTATTTTCATCCGTACCCCTCAAGCATTTGCTAATAATTGAGGTTCGCAAGATTCATAAAGAAAAAAGATTATCAAAATATTATACGATGTGAAATTATTGTTTATTTAATAAATTTAAGTGAATAATTAGTTTGATTACAGTTGATGAACATTTTTCAAGATTTTCGCAAGCCCAAAGAGCTCTCACGGCTACTTATACAGATACCGGCAAAGCACGAGAGCTTCGCTTACGAATGTTTTGTTCCAGTCCCTTGACATTCGATACTTCATTTTTAACATTTTAACGTTTGGTTCATTCGCGCGTATGCTCGAACGTTTTCAAATGTTTTGACTTTCAGCAATTTTTGAGAATATTTTTACAAGACTCTCTGTGTACTTTGGTGAGAGGACACATTCTGCCACCATTTTCTGGGTGAACCTGGAATAAAAATTTCATTTAATTACACAAAACCATCGAAATATAATTTGTGTACTTTTAAAGCGCAATCTGACCAGAACGGTTTTTTCTCTGCTCCTAAAACCAATGCAGCTTTTGCAATCGGACCAGTTGCTCCATTCGGACATGACGCAATCAATTTTTTTCCCTAAAACATTTAAAAATTAAATTATTTACTGTTATCTTTGTAATGATTTTTGATCATTAGGCGTGAGAGCTTCATCGCGCGAAAAAACTACAAAAGGAATACTTTTGAAAATTCTGTTAAGATTGGATCAAAATTTTGTTTTTTAAATAATAAATCCTTTAAAAAATGCGAATACCGTGAATGATGCATTTGTGAGCACAAGCTTTGTTGTCATTAAAACGATTGTCATTGCCACCACAGCCGGTGTACTTGAACGGCAGACACTTGGCAAGTTCATGATCGTAGTAGTATTTGTGCGAGTTGTCGTTTCGACCGCCCGGACATTGTCCACTGTCGGGCGGCAAGAAACAAAGACCTGCATAAAGGTTTAAATCAATTGAAAATTTTTCAAAGTTTCCAGTAAAATATGTGATATAATTTCAAATACTTGGTCTAGAGCTGCGAGATGAGTATAGGTACGATGAATTTAAGTCATTATTAAAATTGTCGTGCGTTTCTTCTGCATGGAGGGCCGTGGGAAAATCTTGACAAATATCTTTTTCGAACAAACACGCGCTGTAACCGTAATCCGAGTCGCCGTCCAAGACATCCAGATGCGCCCTTCTTAAATTTTCCTGAGCAAATTTAATAGAAATTGCTAATATAGGAGGATTAACATTTGTATCTGCATTATTGATTTCTTCGATTCACCTTGATGGTTCGGTGACGGAATCTGATCGCCTTATCTCGAACTCGCCTGCAGGGGCTCCACTCGGTCCAGCTGCTGTATCGATCATCGACGCAAAGCTGTGGACAAAAAAAACAAAGAGTTCAAGAAACATCGCAATCGGTTCATCGTTCTTCGAAAGCGAATAATTATCGACTCACGTAATTGTCTTCGGGGCAAGGCGGATTACCGCAGTCCGCTTTTTCGACCAATTCTATCTTACCGAATTTCTCCTGGCACTGTTGGGCATTATCGCGCCACTTGAACGAACGAGATCGAATGATAGTCTCTTGACCGCAGCTCTTCGTGCATTTTGACCATTCACCCCAGTCGGTCACTGCGCAATCATCCCTCGACAACTCCCTCAGGCTAATGATTATTAAATTATTCTTCGCATTATTTATCGACCTTGAATTCTGTCATATTTTATTGAAGTTCGTTACCATTTTGGTTTTTCTCCTTCGCAAACTTTTGATTCCTCTAGTGGAACGTCGCAGAGTCCGATTTTCGATTGTTTGATTAATCGACGCCTTTTCATTGTTCCGGCACCGCAGTCGACCGAGCACTCGCTCCATTTGCTCCAGGCTTCGGTACAGTCGTCTTCGCATTTAATAAATAAGGAGAAGAAATTATGTCAACTATATTTTTGCAACTGTATTATGCAAGCAAGTAATTATATTTTAGCATTGATTAGGATTTTTTGAATTAATTTAAAAAAATGTAAAGTAGTTATTAACTACCACGAGGTTAACATTTAGATTTTCATCGGAAAAAAACTTCGAGATAAATATTTGAATAAATATCACGAGCGATTGAGATAAATGGAAATTGATGAGCTCCATTGAGCTGTTCATGGCAATGAATAATATCGTTTAACCGTCTATTCCCCTCGCACCACCCACTTGCAGAAACTGACTGCTCGGAAGAATAATTATTATCGGAGTCCGTCAAGCAGTCCTGGGCTGTATCGATTTAACAGTTACTTTGATAACTCCACATCGAAGATGTTATCTCGATAATTACCTTAGCGAAGCGCGCTGGTAATTTCGTTTTGCGAAAGTCTAAGAAGCCGCTATTATGCCATTATCGCGATCGAATGTTTTTTGCCGCTTCACCGAGCATTCGAAGCGCCAAAGATAAGGATAATCTTCGCTGAGAAATTCGCTGTTACGGAGAAAATAGGTACTAAATTATTATGCTCTTATCGCGTTTGTGGACCAACGAATTTGCACTTTTTGACCCTTTTTGCAGGCAAAAAGAATGATTCCGTTGATAAATGAGATTTTTAGAGCTAAAGATTGCGACAAGAGTAAATCATTGAGCTTACCTATGTGACTGCTTGAAAGACAACTTTTCTCCGAGCCTCTTAAACGAGTCAAGTGAATCCTTGCCAATGGCCGTATCTCGTGGGCATTATTGGTTTCATCGTAAAAAGGAGATTGTTTGCCATTTGTTTTTACGGGCCATGATGAATTTATGTTCTCGATATTACCCTGTGGCTCAGTTTCTTCTCCTATGTCCTTTTTTACGTGACAAATTTGGTGATTATATTTACAAATTAAATTTATCAACGTAGTGGAGCTTGACAAATTTTTTTTGTCAACTTTTTTTAGTTTTTTAACCTTCCTAAAAAGTCGGATTGATGCAAGCAAAAATCCAATCTATAAGCTTTCCAATTTTAAAATTAGTTACTCGTGTGGCTAGAAAATTATGGCAAAATTGGTGTACTGACTAGCTGAAAAAATTTTGGAAAATTTAAACTCTAAAAAATATTTATTGTAAAGGGCCATTGATCCTCAAAATAATTTGCAAAGTAAGACTGAGAATTTTCGTAAGAAAAAATTTGCCAAGAACCACCAATTTATCATGACACGATGTTTACACAGAAAAATATTGATTGAAAAAACGACAATAGAAACACTCACTTCATACCACAATCCATTTTGCACTCCAGCGTCATAAGCATAGAGATTTAAACTTTTGCTTTCGATCCAACTGCAGTCAGAGCGGCACAACTCCAAGGCCGAGACGCCAACGAACCAGTCCGGTGAGGGATCTAATCGAACGAACATGTCCTCACATTTCATTGAAAATTATAGTAATGAAATTAGCACTTAAAAATATTCCTTACCTATTTTAGCAACAACTGATAAAACGTGTTGCTTCTGATTGACTCTGAGTAACGAATAAGAAGTTCGACTTTTGTTTTGATAATTAGTACCCCGGAACTTTATCAGAGTATTGATTTTTGCAGACTATTGATGGATAAAATAAATAAATTAGTTAATATCAATGAAGATAAAACGAACAAGTTAGTCAACGATTATGTAATGACTCAAAGTCAACTACACTACAATATAGTTAATAAATGAAATATTTCTGTACATGAGACTTGAGTTCGGTTTCCAATTCATGCGTGTGACCAGTTTCAACGAAGCTTTTTAAGCCTTCGGTGGCCTTTTGGTAAGGCCGCCAAAACGCATAATCTTGACTGTGCGAGATACCAATGACAGTTGGAAAAACGGCGAGCCATTCCCGGCGTGGAAAATACTGCGAAGTATGTATTAATCGATTAAAAAATATCCGTGTGGATTATGTAAAAAAAGTAACGGGAGTAGAAACGAGTCGAAACCTTCGGATGAGTGTATCGCGACCAGAGGCCCTCAAAGGCCAGCTTGTACTTGGCTTGGTCGCAGGCGCAACAGCTGGCCAGTGGCTTGCCCGGATCGTCGAGGATGACCTTCGAATCGGGACAGACCGTCAAATTGGCCGTGTGATATCTGAGCTCCGTCTCTTTGATCGCTGCCCTACTCTGATACGTGGTCGGATAATTGTCATAAAATAATAATCGAGGAACGAATAATGTCGTCGTTATATATAGAAATTACCTGAATTCGACGCAGTGCTCGTGACTCTTCGGGCTCTGCCAGCCGATGCTGAGGCTCTGCTTGGCCAGCGAGACGGGCCCGTCGACCACGCGATTGATGCAGTACGGCCCGTTGTGGAACTTGGACAGCTCCCTCTCGCTCAGCTCCAGGCTGCCGGCGTTGCTGTTGCTGTTGGCTTCCTCGTCGCCGAGGCTCCACACGCCGAAGTAAAATTGCGTGAACGTGTGACTCTTCAGTTTCGATCTTATGGTCACTATGGTACAGAGAATGCGGATTAGAACTTTATAACGATGATTCTTGAAATTCGCATCGATATAGCTGGGGAATTATTACTCACCGTTGTAGCGGGCGTTGGGAAAATAAGTACGCAGAGCTCCGCTCGATTTGGAAATGGATAGTTGAATGGTGTATAGAGAATCGACCACTTCCTGCCCCGTCTCCATCCAAGATACTTTGCAGTTGTCGCTCGCCTCGACGTTTGCAAACAAGCCCGACAACGATTGAAACGACAACAATCTTAGGAACGCAACGATGGAAAAATATTTTCTGATGTCCATTTTGTTCGATCGTAAAGTCAACGATGAGATCGGGAGCCTCCAAGAACGTAGGGCATTTATTCAAAGCTCAAAATTTGAGCCTCGTCGATTGTCAAAACATCGATGGCTTTTGTGACTTTTTAAAACTACGCTATTTTACCAATTTTGTACATGATAAATCTCATCATTCGATGATTGCACAATTATTATTAGAATAGAAGGAGCAATTTTCGGTCAGCACAAAATGTCAAAGATGAAAAGTAGGCAAAATCGATCGATGCTTTCGAAAGAGAAAATACGAAACGCTTTACGGTAGTGTGCGGAAGACTGACTGAAAAGTCCCGACAATGGACAGCGTTACGTTACCCCCTACCACGAATAATACCATGGCTAATTTTAGAATTCACGCGCGGGAGGCTTTAGACATTTTTTGCTTTTCGATACACATCCGTGCACGCTTAAAGCTCGAATGTCGGTCAATTTTCTCAGCTCCAGCCTCCAGTGCGCGCGGTTACTACACGACTTGCCGCGCGTAAAGTTTTCTATCGAAAAATCTCGACTATTTTTAGCGCATCGAAACGTGTGCCTACGTTAAATATGTCGATCGCGTTGCATACGAATAAATCGCAGGTCTATATAGGTAAAAGATAAAACCGAAAGCTCGACGAGTATAAGTTATCGTTCGGTTTACAAGTTGGCTATATAGGAAATGTTACGGGACGATGCGCCTAAACGGCCAAAATATTATTCGAGGATGCGCAAGAAACCAGTCGGATAAATCGGATCGATGAAAGCAGGCACAATGCGAAATGAAGTAACCTGCTAAGAATCTACCGATAACTTCACATGTTTTGCCGTGGTCCGCCTGGATCGAGTACTACGAGGTTATAATTAAAAGTTGTTGAGCCACTTGCATCAACGAGGGAAGCATCAGCTACATGCGTTAAACATCGGCAAAAAAGCACAAGCGACGATTGCATTGCTCGAATGATGGGATTGGTCGGCGTACGTAGCGGTGTCTAGTACTCGAATTTTGGGCATACGTATTACGATGTCCGCGTAGGCGTCGGCGGCGCATTTGGAATTGTCGCTCCGGTCGTCGTGTGGTGTTGTAAATATCGCGCTCGTGCTCCATGTCAGGGAACAAAAAATTGAACGGTGAAGTCAAAAGTAAGGAAAACACTTGTTACGTTATATACGTGGCCAAGGACTCGCGAAAGCTCGCGCGGAGTCGGTCCGAGGCAGCTAAATTCATGCGCGATTGCAGAGACAGTAGGAAAAAGTATGATACCCAGAGGGTCCACGGCGTTAAATCAAGGGGCTAATGCAGACGGGGATGCGGCAGCAGCAGATGGAGGAGGAGGAGGAGGAGGAGGTTGGAGCGACGCCAACGTAAACTCGGCCGAGACGACGGCGGCGGACGATAAGAGAGAGTCGAAATCGTCGTCGAGCCTGGCCAAGGGCGCCGCCGCCAACAAGAGCCAACTGCCGTCGCTCGGTTACAACATGGGCCACGGCAATCAGAAGCGGGTCCTCGAGAACCAGTTCAACACGAAGAAGAAGCGCTACATCACCATCAAGCGCGACATCGACGACAAGAAGAAGTCCTGGTTCGCCGTGTTCGAGGAGCTGCTGCAGCTGCGCGACAAGATACTGGCGTGCGGCGCCAAGGACCCGGGCAAGCTCGAGGACCTGCTGCCGCCGCCGCTGCCCTGGAACCCCTCCGCTACCGGTGGGCGTTCGGAGTCGAACGAGCTCGAAGTAGCTCGAGCCAGGGCCCAGGACGAGCAGCTGCCACCTCATGCCAGGTCCAATGATCAGCTCACGGGCCAGCTCAAGGCGATCGCGAGCAACGTCACCGAGGCGGCTCTGGCCTTTTGCAACGAGGTACTGGACAAGCGAGCCGAGATCTACTTTTGGCTGGCCAACATGAAGTCGCCGAGCCAGGACGCCCTCAGGCAAGCCAAGACGGAAAAACGAAACAAAGAACAGCTGGCTAACGGATTGGAAATTTAGCTTCGCCGAGGAGATATCGAACCAGCTGGAGGTGTACCAGACCGACAGCAACGCGTACGGCGAGCAGCTGGAGCGGATCAGGGCCGAGCAGCAGGTGAAGCTCTCGGAGCTGCTGGGCCAGCTGGAGGCGCTGCTCGCGGAGCAGGCCAGCCTGAGGAAGGAGCGCGACGACTACAAGTACCGGGCCCAGGCCTCGGCCGAGGAGATCGAGCAGCTGACCCGCGAGCTGCGCCAGGAGAAGGAGAAGGGCCTGAAGCTGCGGGGCCGGCTGCGCGAGCAGGAGGCCAGCGCCAGCAAGAGCGAGGAGAAGCTCGAGAAGACCAAGGAGCAGCTGCGCCAGCTCGAGCTCCAGCTGCAGGAGCGCCAGAACAGCATGAAGAACAAGGTGAAGGAGCTGTCCAAGCTGGAGAAGAGCCGCGAGCTGGCTCTGGGCAGGGTCGACAAGCAGAAGGAGGCAGTCGAGCAGAGGCTGGCCAAGCTCAAGGAGGACTTTGAGTTCAAGGAGACCGAGGCCAAGACCATCATCTCCGAGTACAAGAAGCAGGTGGAGCAGCTCGAGGCCCAGATAGCCACCGAGAAGACGTCGAGGCAGGAGATCGACAAGAATTTCGACGAGCTGAAGAAGCGATACAACCAGCTGGAGGACAAGTGCAAGCAGCTCCTCGACTCCAACGACATACGCAAAGAGCCCATCGCCATACCTGGTATATAGAGCTAGCCGCTGTTTCGTTTGAAATTAATAATGACACGAGCGATGCGAGATAGGATTGGACGAGAGGCAGCACTCGGACTACGAGATCCAGCTGTTCAACGAGCTCAAGGAGGTCCAGCGCAGTCTCATCGAGAAGGACCAGCTGATTGAGAAGTTGCAAAACGAACGTCAGGAGATCATATCCTCGGTCAAGGAGGTTCACGTGAGTAAAGAGCTTACGAAAAAAAAAAATAGATCGATTCGTAATATGGAAAAATCTGCTCTAAAGGACGAGAAGAGCGGCGGCGATTCGTCGAAGGAGCGACTGACCGCCGAGCTGCTGAAGCGCTCCAACGAGCTGCACAGCGTCAGCGGTCAGTTCCACCAGCTGCAGAAGAATTACAAACGAGCGTGAGTATATTATATATTTATTATACGCGAGAGATCGATAATTCCTTTATTATTATTATCGCGAGAATGGCAAATGCGAAAGGGGCGCGCGAGCGAGAAGCTGGAAAGTAAGAATTGATTCGAAATATCGATAAGAGCAAAACGTGACTAAGATGGAGAAAATGGGATCTCGCGTAGCGCGTCGCATCAGCTCCAAGAATCGCAGCTAGCTGCTACTGCTGCTCGTAAGTGTATATAAGGCATAATGGGAGCTTTCAGCGTTAATAGTCTTCCATCTTTGCGCTCGTTTACTCCATAGACGTTTTTATATACATTTTTTTCTCGCTGCGACGTACATATTCTCGGAGATCGCGTGCATATTCACGACGACGCCATCGAAATAAGCCTCGACGCGAGAAGCCACACGACGGCACGATAACGTAACGTAATTTGCTCGAAATAAGCACTCGATCGGCGTTGCGTGAAAACTTTTTTCTTTCCACCGCGTAGAAATTCTTCGTACAAATATTTCGTAAATATATCTGGGTAATTATTTTGGGGGACACAGGCAGACGCGAGTCGAGCAGCTGGAGAAGAGGCTGGCCGAGCTCGGCCGGCTGCAGAGCAAGCTCAAGGACAGCAGCAACAACAAGGCCCAGTACGAGGCGCAGCTGATGCAGCTCCAGCAGCAGCTGAGCGACGCGTGCGTCGAGCGGGCCGAGCTCGAGGCGCGCAACCAGGAGCTCGAGCGCCAGTGCACCCAGCTGCAGATGCAGCTCGAGCACCAGAAGCGCCATCTGCGCGATCTCAAGGTGCGCCGCGAGCTCCAGCAGCTGCTGCATCCGAGCGGCGCCAGCGAGTCGGCGGCCGCCGTTCTCGGTGGCAACTCGTCGCACAATTTCCACCACCAAATCAACGCGAGTCAAATCAATCATCAGGACTCGTGCGAGCAGATAGAGCAGCTACGCGCCACTCTCGAGACCAAAGAGCTTCAAGTGGCCAAGCTCGAGAAGCTCGTCAAGCAGCTCGAGAAGCACGAGGAGTTCTCGCAAGCTCAGCGCACTCGACTCGAGGCGCGCATCGCCAAGCTCGAGCTCGCGCTCAAGCAAGGACAGCAGCAGCACCGGTCAGTCTTACTATCCTCATCCATCTTTTTCATGGCTAATTTGTACTTCATCGTTTTGGCCTGACTTGCTCTGATACTTGCTCTCTGCCTGTACGACCGATCTTGTGATAAAAATCGTTTTTGTAACCCCGTATATTTTAGTCGAGTCATTCGATGATTAATTAATCCGAATTACAACCAACATCTACGGCGTCGTGTATCGATCAAATTTCCCGCTCCGGCGCTTTCACAGTAAAATTTTATCAAAAAATATTTCTATTAATATGATCTCGACTTTTTTTTTCCAGATATTTATATGACAAACAATTTGCATTTATTGAGCTATTCAGGAAAAAAACGGATACAAAAATACAACGATTCTATAAATTGTACAATTTTTTTTCATTAAAATCTCCTTTTTCTATCCGAAAATTCCAAATAACTCATGTTATTGTATCCCATCAACCCCGAAATAGACTTTGTGAAAATTCATAACTTTCATCGAATTTTTCAATAAAACCATTTCAAAACTTATCAACGGTTCAATTATTTCAATTGCAAGATGATTTTTTACAAAAACGTTTTTTATATGGATGAAAAATATTTTATTATTCTCTTTTTGTTTTCTCTATCAAGTACTGAGTTTTACTTTTTTTCTAGGGACAGAGGCTTCAGCTTCATTAACTGAAATAACTGCAAATGTAACAGTAACAAGAATGGACGTACTGAATAAACTTATTTTTCTTATAACTTGTAGAACTATTCATTTTATTTACATTATTTAATTCATTTACATAAGAGCTAACTTTCATCGTCGTCTTCACTGCTGGCTGAATATTCACCTAATAATGAAAGGCCACTTGGTAATGGAGGCTTGCTACACGAAGATGAAGCGCTATTATCTGTCTTAGTCTCAGTCTCTTTTGACTTTGATTTTAATTTAATACCAAACTTTTGTCGCTTTTCTTCAAGGTTTACAGGTGGTTTCGACTCATCAACTAGACTCACACTTTTTGCAACCTTAGGAGCAGGTTCCAAGTTACTTTCTTCTATCTCTATTGTTTCTTCTTCAACAACTTTACCACCCATTTTCCTTTTTCTAAGCATGGCTTGAACTAACTTTTCATCGTGTTCCTCTTGTTCTTTCAACGTCCTCATTTGTTCTGGAATTGGGTTGTACTTTTCTAACATTTGGTCATAATTTACTTGTTGTTGACGTTTATTCAAATCTTTCAATTCTTCTAAAGATTCTAGCAGCTCCAGTTCTTGTTTGGATTGCTGCGTTCTTTTTTCCAAGAGTTTCATAGGATTCGTGGCATCGTCTTCTTTCTCTTCATCTTCTTCCTTTTTGGCTTGCTCTTCAGCAAGTTTGAGGGCCATGAAGTTTCTTGTTGCGCCAGCTTCAATCTCATAGTCAGTATTTTTTGGATCCGTTTTGAAGGAAATTTCTTGTAAGCATCTTGTGCATTTAATGTAAAACCTATATATTCTGATGCCCAAATATGTATCACCTTCTACATCTTCTTTGCGAGCATTGAACTTTTTACCCTTATAAATGTACTCTCCACATGTAGCACATCTCATATTGAATGGAGCCATCAGTCTAACTGTATATTGTCGGTTTTTCTCCAACTTCATACGAGGTATTTTGGCAGGATCAAAATCCGGAGGGTAATATTTCTAAAAAAGAAGAATTATGTGTGTTAGTTTTAATTGAATAAGTGGTCTCTTATTTAATTGAATTTTTCAAGTAAAATTTTAATGGAAGAATTGTAACGCTCAATCGAATACTTACGTTTAATACTTTTCGTTCAGACATTTTTTTGGATGAGTTATTTAACTTGTAATACTAAAAGTAATAAACTTATACTGGTTATTGTAACCTTATTGACAGAAGCTTATTGTCAAACAAACACGACTGACTGAGGCGGGTAACTGGCGAGCTCTATAGTGAATAGAATAGAATAATCGGCACGATCTCTGCCGACATGCAGAATTACATTATAGAAAAGCAGTGAGCACGAAATTCAAGTTCGTCTAAACATGTAATTTACAATATTTATTGTACAATTTTTTTTGGAATTTAGTAAATCAAAAATATAATTACAAACACAATATTAGAGTAGTAATCATATTTTAATTCTCATAGATACAACAAAAATTTTTATAATGGGGAGTTTTCAAATTGTCATGAAATTGTCACTTTACCGACTTGACTGGCGCAATAACAAGTGCATACGCATACGACTCTTATATATTCTTTAACTGTAATGCGTCGTAAGATGACAGTATCACACACGCCACCACGCTGACTGCTGCACGCATATCATAACCAAAGTGCGCACATTTTTTTTCAATTCAGTACCGTAAAAATAACATAACCAAAAAACATTCGACGTAACATAAATATACCTGCTTGTTAAGGTGAGTAAATAATCTTCATTTTACATCTCATACATTATTTATTTTATCTACCCCGTTAATTTGAATGTTGAATCAATATTTCGAGAATAATAGTTTCAATAAACAATCGATTCTAATTCTAAAACCACCAAAAGGTGAAGAATTAAACAAGACTGTAAGTAGGCGTGCAATATTTTTGACATAGCAAGCACAATTTCCCGCGCTTTTTTATTGTTTTTGTTTATCATAGGTAATAAAAACATATAATTTCTTGTTATTATTGTAAAACTAAATGTCATTATTACTTTCATTTATGTAATTAGAATCTATTTATTTCAATTACTCATCTATTCGTATTTTTTATCCAGTCTTCACTTCGAATCAAAAATGGTTGAGCCTGATAACCAAGATAGCAGTAGTGCTAAAGAAGATACTAATAACGTGGATACGAATCCTCTGAAGAGAATCAGAGAAGAAATAGTTGATGAAGTCTCTACTATTTCACCTAAAAAAGCTAGAGTAGAGCAAATTGTGAATGATGATGATAAGCTACCTTCAGCTTCTTCTGATAATTCAAATGATGTTGATACTGATATGACTAAATCTGAATGTGATAAGTCAAAAAAATGTGAAAAAAATACTATGGAGTTGGAAGAAATTTCTCAAACAGATAAAAACGATTCAGATAGCAATGAAAAAAAAGAAATTGTAGAAAAGACTGATAGCATTACTGATTTAAACTCAGGCAGTAATGAGGTGAGCAATGAAGGTTCTACGTCAGAATCGAACGAGAAAAAAATTGAGAAAGAAGTTGAAAATCCCAATGATTGTGCAAAAGTGATTAACGATCAAGGTGAAAATAATGTTGATGAAGGTGAAAAGAAAGAGGAAAGTTCTGAGACAAATGATAATGAAAAGAGTATTCAAGATCAAAATGTAGCAATGGAAGTTGATGAAACAAATAATTCTGAGCCAACTGCACTTGAAACAGCTATCAGTGATGATCAAACTAAAAAGAATGATGGTGATGATATTCAAGAAGATGCACAAAAAAATGAGGATAATCTCAAAAATAGTTCCAAAGAAATAGGAACTGATCCAATGATCACTGATAATGAACCAAAAGAAGATAGTGCACAAAATTCCATTAAAATAAAATCAATACCTAATAAACAAATTATAAATGGTATTGAATTAATAGTTGAATGTGCAAGTGACAATGAATCCATTGAAAGCAATAAAAAAGATAATGATATTAAACCTAGGAAAAATACTGTTATCTTTTATGAAATGCCAGTTGAAGGTGAAGTAGATTGTACATCATCTGAAGATGAAAAACAAGAGCCAAAAGAGAAAATAGCTGAAGATGATAATAATGAAACATCTGAAAATAATTCTGAAGACTCAAATAAAAAGTTGCAAGAAGAAAAAGATTCTCAAAAATCTGTTAGTCCAAAAAATATTTCTAGCGTTGAAACTTCACCTAGCACTCAAAAATCACCCAATTCAAAAAAATCACCTGAAGGTGCAAAGTCATCCAGCCAAAAATCGCCTACAGTTGAATTGTCATCTCCTCCAAAACAATCATCTCTCACTGAAACATCTTCCAGTCCTCAAAAATCACTGAGCCCCGAAGAACCTCTTGGAACACCAGAGCCACCACTTAAAAAAAGAAGAGGAAGACCCCCCAAATCTGCTAAAAAAATTATTTTAAAAAAAGAAGTAAAACATCAAGAACAAGTTGAAGAAAAAACTGCAAAAGATGAAAAAGATGCAAGTCACAAAAATGATAAAATGGATATTCAAGAGAGCAATGATAATAATGAACTTTTAGTAAGTGACTTATCAGGTAGTGATACTGAAAGTGATAAAATTGAAAAAGCTGATGTAAGTGTTAAATTCTTTAAATATTTTTTTTACTTGACATGTATGTTTGATTAATGTAATTTTTTATAGGAATATTATATCAAAAAAATTGAGAAATTGAAAAAACTCATAAGATTAGCTGGGATTAAATTATATAATTATAAAATTATATGCAGAGATTGTAAAACTGATGCTGATAGAGCAAAACGTTTGCAAACATATTTAGAAGGAAAAGGAATCCAAGGACGAATTACAGCAGAAAAATGTATACAATTAAAAAAGAAGAATCAAGAATTAAAAGTTAAAGAACTTGAAAATGTAGCAATTGAAGAACCAGATAAAAGCTCAAACGTATCTGAAGGTATGCATAAACTTGAATCATACAGGCAATTAAGTTTTTTGTTAGCGATTTTTTACAAATATTCATTTTTGATTATTTACAGGACGAATGACAAGAAGAAGCAGGAGAACAGAAGAGCTACATCAAGACACAAAATAAACCTCACAATCAAAATTCAAAAAAGGTGTAGACAATGATTAATATTATGACTTTAAGACTGCAATCAAAATTTAAAAAAGATAGTTATCTAAAATGTTAAAAGTACAAAAAAGTTTATGCTCCTAATACAAGAAAAGGAAAAACACTGCTTTCCACAATTGAGTTAGTCCATGGTGTTTTTTCTTTTCTTTTAGAGTAATGTTTTTGTAACTGATTCATAAGCTTTAAATGTGTTTTTATTCTCTGTTGTACTTATTTCGTTAAAATAGTGTAAAAACTATTGAAATGTAAAATTGATCTATTGAACTATTGGAAATTCTTTAGTTATTGAAATGATGATTGGAAAATATTTTTCATTATGCATAAGTAATATTTTTGAAGGGTTTAAACGAGGTTTATGCAAAGCCGAATGACAAAATTTGATATTCGTTGAAAGTATTTGTTATAATAAACAAAAAAAATTATAAAACATTAAAGTATCTTATTAAAATGTACAAAAATAATTTTTCAAACAAATTATGAATAACAATTTTGTGATTTATCGACCCATCGCCTTGCGGTGCAAGTACTCGGCTATGCACTCCTTGCTGCACAGTATCTTGTCGTCTTTCACAGCCAGCTGTCCCTCCAGCAGAGACTTGCGGCAGGTAGCGCAGCAGAAGCACGTCTCGGTCGCGTGGAAATTCAAATTCTTGATGGCGATTCCCTTCTGATCGGCGGCGATGACGGTCCTGCAGGCGGCGCACATCTTCGCGTAATTGCTCTGATAGCAGGGCAAGCACAGCGGCCTGTCGTTCTCCGAGACGTACTGAAGGCCAGCCAGCGGAATATCGCAGTCCCAGCAGCAGAAGTGCTTCACGTGATAGTTGTGACCCTCGGCTACGGTGTATTCCCGAACGAAGATGAGCTGTCGAGCAAAAAAAAAAAACAAAAAAATCAAAAACATCGTTACAGAAGCCGACTACAATATCATCTTAGGGCATCGTTTTCCTTACCTCGTCGCAAGCGAAGCATCGCGGAATTTCCAAGAGTTCGGCGAGATCACGGGCGCAGTAGAGATTGCCCTTGTGCGTGAAGTAGATGAGATCGACGAGGAGCTCGCTGCAAGCCGTGCAGGTGAAGCACTCGGGGTGCCAGACGGCGTTCTTGATCTTGTCGGCCGTGACGACGACGGCCCCGGAGACGATGCCGGCCTTGCACTTGTAGCAGTGCCGGGCCTCGCTCGTGTTCATCGTCATGGCTTCCATGCCCTCCTGCAGCTGCTTGATGTTGTCGGGATTCTGTTGCACGAAGGTAGCACCACCGCCGACGGTCTCCTCGGGAAAGACGGGATTGTTCAAGAGCTCGGACTGTATCGTGCTGCTGTGCACCGGCAGAGACGAGCTTATCCGAGCTTGCAAGTAGTCCGGATGGTACGCGTTCGTCGTTCTGTTATTTTCCGCTCTATTGGACAGGCCGGAGATGCGTTCGGGATCGAGTCTCGCTTCCTCGGAACTGATCGACACGGACGGGTAAACGCTCGAGTGTTGCAGCGCTCCGTGTATCACCGGGCCTCGAACGTTATCGCCGTTGTTGTCGTTCGAGCCGCCTTCGTAACGTTGAGCGTAATCTTCGAAGCTGCCTGGATAATTTCCGTAAGCGTCCGCGCTCGAATTTTGTTTGCTCGGTTGCGGCGAGGCACGATCGAGCGGATGAGTTTCCGATCGAATTCCTCGCGCCGCGAGTCCGCTCGAATTTTCCAGCTTGTTTCCGGATTGCGCCGCGGCGATTCTATCGATTTGGGCTTGAACGTAATCGGAATTAGGTAGGGTCGTTGTTGGATGATGATGATGCTGATGATAATGATGATGAGCCGCTCCGGTTCTGGCCGAGTCTTGATCGGCCATCATCGCTCGATTGCGAACGTGCTCCAAGTGGCTCGGGCTCGCAGCCCCGCCGTAAGCGTGAACAGATCTGCCGTGAGCGGCTCTCGGCACGTCATCGAGTTGCTGCTGAAGACGATCGCCGTCGCCGCCATGATGCTGATGGTAGTATCCCATCGGGCTCTGCTCGTGACTAGCTGGCGGATGCGTCGTCGTTCGCATCGCGTCCTTGATCGGAGTGATCGGCCGATTCTCCTCGCTCGGCGCGTAATTCGGCAGCAAATTGGACTTTGCTGCCGACGTAGAGTATGGCACTTTGGGAATGAAACTGCTGGGGGTGCGTAGACTCAAGCCAGCTCCGTTGTTGTTGGACAGGGACTGGCTGTGCTGTGGACTGTTGCGCTGCACGTCCGTGGCATTGGCCGGTGTCATGAGCGATTTATCGAACGGCTTGATGATCGAGAACTGCACGGAAAAACGTCATATAAATGGCCATTAAAACATAATAAAAGGTGACATAACGGTACACGATATTATACCTTCAAGACTCTGCCTTGGCCGGCGCAATTCTTCAAGTTGTCCAGGTACTTGTCGAACTCCTTCCTCTCCTGCTCGCTCAGCGCGTCGCAGGCCTTGTGATCGATGTCGTGCAGCGGCAGCTGCTTCTTCAGCTGCTGCCGTCTGACGGCGGCGCCGGCCGAGCTCGCGATCGGCCACTTGTCCGCGGGCAGCGACTTCATGTAGTCCGCGGCCAGCTCCTCCGTCGTGTTCGGCGGAATCCATTCGAAATTCGTCGGAGGACTGTGAGGTTGCAGCTTCTGGTTGATTTTCAGCGCTAAATTCGGACGAGTCCAGTTTATTGTAAACGATAGGTATATGAGCTCTTTGACTTGTCAAAAAAAAAAAAAAGAGGAAACTTACCGAACGATCGATTCTTGCGATTTTTCGTATTGGGCCCGAAGAGCAGCTCGAACTGGGGAAAGTCTTCGTCGTCGATGACGTGATCGTCGCCTCTGCACTTGCATATTTTGCAGATCTTCCGCCAGAAGTGCAGCTCCAAGCCCGGACAGGCATCCTCGCAGATCAGGCACGGGGCGCCCGCTCCGGTCTCGTGGGCCAATTTCGGCTGAAAATCGATTCGAAGATCGTTGAACGAGGATATCGATCGGGAATGATTGAACAAAAACGCCGAGTCGATTCAAATGGCGCGAGAGCGAACGATACCGATTTTTACCCAGACGATTGGTTGATTCATCGACTCGAAGCAATAGAGTCGTTTATTTGACTAGAAATAGTTTAGACGCTCGCATGAATCAACAATTGGTTGTTTTTTTCACGCGGGAGCAGTGGAGTAGGAGCATAGGATTTTACGCGAATTACTTCTACCGGTCGACACATAATAACATCGCGCGTCAGTCCAAACAAAATGCTGACAGACGATGAATTTCCTCGGAACGTCAACGAAATAAAAATAATCATTTACACGGAGAAACGTATACGCAGCATTCGTATCGATATAATATAAGTAAGTACAACGCAGAAAAAAGGGAAAGCATCGGTCGTCGCGCACTCCGAGTAAAAGTTCTTATTCGAAGAAGCGCACATATCGGAGTCGAAAAAAAAAACATAAAGAAAGAAGAGAACGAGAGAGAGAGAGACAGGGAGACCGTGCGTAGGGTACCTATATATAGGTCGAGAAAGGAGCTATAACAAGGATGTGTGCGTATGTGTGAAATAAATTAAGGCGTAGCCGCGCATCATCGAGCACACGTGAGACTTGTGTATACATCGAATGATGACATGACACATACCTTTCGCTTGCGATTCTCCAACTCGAGCAACCATTTGGGTTTATCTTCCTGCGCTTGATCGCACGACATGACGTTGATAATAATATCGTTGTACAGTCGTTGCGGTCCTACTTCTCGTACGCACCAAATATGCACACACGGATATCGTCGTTAATTTCGTTCTTTTTTTTTTACAATTATTTTATATCGCCGACACTCGACACTCGACACTTGTTACATCGATCGCGATCAATCGTTATCTTATGCGTGCGATCCGCCGCAACGGCAGCAGCGACAGACTCGGCATATCGGCCTAGTGCGCGAGCAGCAGTGACTACTCAGCGCGCGACGTTCGGCCACGCGCGCGACTCCAGCAGGACTGACTAAACGCTATGTATATCGACTCTCTGAATCATCGTCGTCGTATTGTACAAACATAACACACATCTTTACGCACGAATTCGGAGCTTATATGAGCGGAACAATGTGTGTGTGAGCTGCTTTGGCACCGCACACATGCGTACACATATATAACGCAGAGTCGCGCGGCGCCCGCCCATGTATTTGTAACGAAAACATATATACTACGTATGCGTTGTTGTATGTACACGCGCGTGCACACACGAGCCTTTTATAAAGAAAGAGACTACTCGTCGCTTGGGGCCGATTATACTGTATTTTCAGGGTGAACGGCTTTGTGTGTGCATGCGAGGCGTCTCTCTCTCTCTCTCTCATATATACTAACTCGTATCGGCGGCAGCAGCAGCAGCTGAGCTCGCGAGCCAATGGCACGCGCATATTATATGCTGATTTTTTTTCCCCGCGTCCGTGCGGAGACACACATGTATATAATACGATCACTGCCTGTTATGCTAAAGGCGAGAAACGACCGACAGATGCTTCGATATGTATGGGCCGGCTCTATTGTCTATTTAACTTGCCCCGAGAATTTTTGGCCCTATACGCTGAGGTATAAAAGCGACGATGACGCGCTGCTTTCTTTCGCTTCCTTTTTTCTTCTTCTCGATTCCGCGAAGGTATTTTTTTTATACCTTTGACTTGGCGTTTCGAGCACCTCGCGCTTGATCGCCAATTTTTCCACGTCCCGCGATCCTAAGATTTTTATTTTTATATATTTTTTGCACTCGGAGAGATGAGAAATTATTTACGAAACGCTTAAATAAAACCTTTTTTTATTTTTATCGATCGATATTTACATATTTACAAATTCGAAGATATAAAAATTATGGTTCGATAATTTACAACAGAGATGCATTATTTCATTCCCATAGCTTCTTCGAATTCTTCATCGGTTATCTTCTTCTTTTTCAACTTTTTCACCAACGCGTATTGATCGGCCAGTTCTTGAATTTCGTCCTCCGTGAACTTGATCTTTCGTTTTCTTTTCTTGCCGATGTCTGGATTATTGGCTTCGCGTCGCTTTTGCTTATCCTTGCGTAACTTTTTCCTATCCTTTTTCTCGACCTTGTTCTTCTTCGCCTCCGACCAAGCTTCCGTCGGCTTCATGTGCTTTTTCTCCTTTCCAGGCCAAACGCCCGACTTTTCGTATGTTTTCAGCTTTTGCAGTCGCACCTTTTCTCTTTCCTTATTTTTGTACGGTATTGCGTTCAAATCGATCTCGACCTCTTCGAAATCGGACAGATCGCGGTTCTTCGTTTCTGGCATACGTGGTACTTTTAATAATCCGTATCCCAAGAACAATTTACCAAGATTTAAATCTTTCAATTTCAAAATTAAATAACACTCGTGTTTTTGATATGCTTGAATATATGAGACGACTGCTTTATTGGCTTTGTCAAATATAAGCCTGTCTGTTGTTTGCATTTCTCTCATAGTTTTCAAACATTGTTTGACACTTTCATCATCGACACTAATATCTAAAAGATTTAGTTCTACTTTTTGGTTTCTTTTTATAAATTCAATGTAAGCATCTTCGCTCTCTGAAACCAATAAAAGTGAACTACCTTCATTTCCAATCCTAGCTGTTCTTCCACATCTACATAAAAACAAATTCACATTTTAGAGTTACATAATAAAATTGAAAATAATGAACAATGTAAACTATAAATATTAACCTGTGAACAAAACTACTTGCTGTTGAGGGTGGATCATATTGAATGACCCAATCAACTCTTGGTATGTCAATTCCTCTTGCCATAACATCTGTACAAATGAGAAGACCACTTTCAAGCGTTTGAAATTCTTCAAAAATCTTGTGTCTTTTGTGTTTCATTTTCCCATGTAATGCCAATACTTTTATTGAAGAGAACATTCTGTAAAATAAAATTCGACGTGAACATTTTTATTCCTTATGATTTATGACATTTTTAAAAAGTTTTTACTTACGTCTTCATTACTTGACCAAAGTAATCTACACATGCACAAGTTGAGAAGAAAATCATGTACTTCAAATTTGTTCCTTTAGTTTTTATGAAGTTAACTGTTAAAGCAAGTTTTTGATCAGGCTCAACAATAGAATAAAAATTAGTTAAATTAGATGGCGTTGAAAATTTTTCATTTTCTTTTATGGAAACAAACGATGGGTTTCTTAAACCAGCTCTGATAAGTTGTTCCAATTCTTTTGTTTGAGTAGCAGAGAAGAGACCAGTTCTACGTAAACGAGGAAGAGCACGTATAATTGTATCAAGTTGATCTGAAAATCCCATATCTAATAAACGATCAGCTTCATCCAACACCAACAATTCCTAAAATAAATAAAAATGTTCTTGCTACTCTGATAATTCATAAAATTTTTGAATTTAGATTGCAGTGAATTTAGAACTTACCAAAGATTTTGCAGCTTGTTGTAATTTGACTTCTTGATGACTTGATAAAATATCAAATAATCTTCCAGGAGTAGCAACAATAATATTTGTACCATCGAGCAATCGACTTATATCTTCTTGCACTGTTGTTCCTCCAAGTAATAAAACTTGTTTAAGAGAAGGTATTTCTTCTAAAAATTGGGCAAGTATTTGGCTAATTTGAATGGCAAGTTCTCTAGTTGGAGAAATAACAATAGCCCCAACTTCAAACTCTTTCCATTCTTCTGGTCTTTTCTAAAATTAAAGTAAGTTTAATTCACATACTGTTAAATAAAAAGTAATGTAACTTGATAACATACCAGCATGAGTTCCAACAACGGTATTAAAAAAGCTAATGTTTTACCACTGCCAGTGACAGCTTCTGCAGCAACATCATGACCAGTAAGAAGTAAGGGAATAGATGCAGCCTAAAAGTAATAGCAATATTTTTTTTATAAGAAATGAAAAAATTTTAACTTTTTAAACTGTAAAAAAATAGGCGGTTTGATGTTAAAATACCTGTACTGGAGTCATTGTGTGAAACTTCAATTTCTTCAATGTCTTCAAGACAGGATCACTGAGTTTGACACTCAGTTCTTTCCAACGTTGCATCTTGATTTTGATATTTCTTTTATTATTAAAATCTAAAGCTTAGTAAACAATCTATTCACGACTAGTGTCACGTGCGATTTAAAATGACAATTGCTTAGTAGGTTATGACATGGCAGTTGTGCCGCGAGCGTACGACTTTTCAATCAGTCCATGTGCTTCACCAACACATTCATAATTCAGCTCTGTGTGCGATGCGCGCGGCGTTCATTCACAGAGAAAACTTCTAAATTCATTTCAAACTTTGTCTTAGTATTTACCTATCAAATCGAGTTTATACATGATCAAAATAGGTAAAAAATTAAGTGTAGAAACAAGCGATTATTTGCGTTAAATTTTAGTAAAAATGAGGAGAATTTTTACCGGCACGGAATGAATGGCACCTTGAAATAATCTTTATGTTTTCAGTATCCATTTGTTTAATTACAAGACTGCCTTTACGATTGACTGAATAATTCATACGTATTACTAAAAATCTATAAATGAATTTTCCAGAGAAATGTAGTACAAAGCAAATTTATACTTTTTTATGTAGAACTATCAGCTAAATTATTTGTGTTTATAAAGACTGATTAGTTCCTATTTTTTGTTAATTAATTCATTTTATTTGTGATCATAGGTATGGAGATGTTGGAAGATGTACAAAAATAAAAAGTTCTTGAAATTTGGTTCTTAGTGAATTTATTTGATGGTTTTTTAAATTTTCTTTTGTTTGATGATAAAAAAATTTCAGTTGAACAGTACCATGCTGTGACTTATCAAATCTTCATTCCCTCACTTATTCTATACACACGACTAGGTGTAAGGCCGTACAAGATTGATTTCTTCATCCACATATTTCACATAGTTTTGGTAATTGCACTCATACAAGAACAATTTTTGAATTTTTTATGAAACAATAGGTTATACCCAAATTATTGTAAATATCAATTTTTAACAAAATTCGTGATAACATAAAAAGTGAAAGAATAACCGGAAATTTTCTATGAATACATTTCGATCAATCATTTTAGCATGGTTTAAGAGAAAAATGAATGAATTTTTTTTTCATTCACGAACTTAATAAACAAATATTTTCGGATGTATATATTATATATATATTTATATATTTATTTATTTATGTTAGTTTTAATCATTTATAAAAATTCAGAATCGAAATCCTCTGTATCTAAGGAAAAACTCACTTTCCTTCATAAATTTTTTTTTTACGCGCGATATATAAAAGCATCACTCATTCCAAGCATTTATATTGACATTCAACTTCGTAGAATAACATAGTTACAGATTTGATACTATCGCTGCGCGCAAGCTTCGTATCCTCAATGGTGTCATTCTGCGAATAACTTGAAATAGCGATATCATCATCGTTCGTATATTTTACTATTTTTTACGTTTGATAGAAAAATCCGCCATCAATAGTCCTTCGTTACCACTTGCATTTGTATTTGCATTTGTATTTTTCGCAACAAAAAATTATTTATAACAATCGCAGAGCAATCGTTCCCGTTGCTCTAACGCAATATACGCTTACATTAACATCTTGGTAATCGCATTTATTTCGATGCGTGAATGTTCATTTGCTTACGTTAATGTTCTTTGCTTTGAAGAATAAAGCATGCATGCCTTGAATTCCGTCTAGTCAATGTCGTTAACATTAAAACAAATAGTACTTTTCAATTTTCTTCGTACCCCCAAACTTCTTGGAAAAACGACTTTTTTGAAATTTTACATTCTATATTGTTTTCTAAAAGGCATTTGAATCAACTCGTTTAAACTTCGTTTAAAATCGTCAAGCTTACAGTTTATCCTCGCGGTTCTGAGCGCCTTGAACTTTTTCTTCACTTTGGCATATGCAGTTACTCCTTAAATCGAGAACAAGGCTCGCATGTGTTTCATATCAATCATCTTCATACATTGCCTATTTTGATATTATTCTGCTTTTTTACCCATATATATTTGCAGAATAAAATGCGAAGGAAACGAGAAAAATTGATTTCTCAATATCAACTTCATACGATGCAGTTTTACAAACTGCGGAGTTGAATTAGTTTATCAATTGTTTATTTCCTAGTCACAATAAAAAGTCACTCTGAAGAGTCTTGATCACCCTTGTTTGGAACACAGCAACATTTTAACGATCACTTTATGTTTAATCTTTCCACAGTAAAGTCGCAAATGTGATTATTTCAAGCTTTTTAAGCTTCACCGACTTTTTAAATTTTGCGCCCAAGAAGCAAACGGTTGAATTAACAATGAGGAAGAATTGATGTTACCAATTGCTATCGATAAAGAAGCTCTAAACAGTTAGAATAAGACGCAATTATAGAAAGTATAAGTGAAAAATGTTACCGGCCTGATTTAATGCGGATCCTAATATAGGGTATTTTCTAAATATGTAAGTTGACAATGGTCACACTTTTTAGGCATCAAGCATTTATGAGTTCATCGCATCAACGATTAAGCTCTCAGAAGGAGCTAGTTAGTTTCATGAGTGTCGTTCGAAAATTCTACTAAGAGTATCCTTGTCGACGACTGTCTCGAAGATGCTGTTGCTGTCTGCCCAAACGGGCGTGGGACTACTGATTATGAGGCATTATGACGGGGAGGTTCTGCTGTCCAGGTGGTGGCTGGGGAGACGGTATGTATTGAACGTGTTGTGGTGGTATGCTCATATGAGGAGGCATTATGGGGCACATAATCGGATAGCCCGCAGGAGCTCCATGTCCTTGTGGAGGGGCCTGCGCATACGTTGGCTGCGGCGTGCCGCCTGAAAAATTAAATTCCATAAGAATATGTCCAAATTGTTGTATCTGATTAAAATATAAAATTGCAAGTGAACATTTATTTACCGGGTTGATTGTAAGATTGCGAATGCGGTTGATTAGGATTTGCTTGTGTAGGTGTTTGGCTTTGCTGCTGCTGACCTACATGCGCATGTGGATGATGAGGACTCATGTAGTGAATACTCTGTGTTTGTGGTCCGGGGGATTCTTGAGGATGATGATAAGGGGTGGCAGTCAAGTGAGGCCCTGGATGCGCGTGTGGAGGGCCTGGCACCATTCTAACCATCTGGGCTCCATAAGTTGGTTGACCCGAGTATGGTATTTGGAATGGTGGATGCAGTGGTGCAGGAGCCAGCAGCGGTTGACCCGTAGCTGCTGCCACTTGCATTTGTGATGCTACATCTGGAGCTCGGTGCGGCATCATAGGCACTGTTAAATAAAATATAAATTAATTAGTTGAAGAAAGTTAAAATTGTTCATTAGTGTTATGATATCTCAAAGATTATCATATTTAGAGAAAATATTGTTGACTTACCGAATATTTGTTTGTTTCGGTACCTCGTGACCTGTTGAGCAGGTTGCTGTGTGAATGCTGTAGGGGGTTGACTTTGCATAATGAAAGTTGGCATAACTGTAACTGCAGAAGCCATTGTAGCAGACACATACTGGGGCGTTTGAGGAGTGTGTGGCCTGCTTGGATTTGGAGTACTCGGCGATCGCTACAATGAGAATATTGTCGTTAATCATTGTACTTTTAAAACAATAAATTTCAATACGTTGAAAAAAATAAATACTCACGGGTGTAAACGGTTTGGCATTAGGGTTAAACTCCTTAGCATTTGGATTGAGTGTGGATTTTTTGAGGGAATTTGCCACTTGATCAACACTTGATTGGTCTGCAGGTGATTTAGAAACAGGCACTGCAACCTGGGGTGGTGGTTGATTTTGAGTAGCTTGAGAGCTAGGCGGTGACGCCTGTATCTGTTGTGACGGTTGTTGCATTTGTTGCTGTGGTTGAGGAGGACTTACAGGCTGCGTAGGCGCCGGAGTCGATGGTGCTTTATTCGGAACAACCAACTCTTCTTGAACAGGAACCTGATGCGGTGGTGACTGTTGTCGAAGAGGCTGTGGTTGTTGGTGAGATTGTTGTTGCTGCTGCTGTTGTGATTGTTGTGGCGGTTGTGGTGGAGGTGATTGCTGTACCACTTGTGGGGGAGAATTATGTGAATGTGCTGATGGATGATGAGCAGGGCCCTGTAAAAAATTTTATATTTTGAAAATGAAGTTATGAAATTGATACAAGACGAGACACACATTTTGAAAAATTAATGGAAGCTAAATAAAATTTGAATAGTTTTTATGATCGATTCTTCATGTAAATAAGAAATAAACATGAAGAAATGAGATGGTTAGTTATAATTATGAATTGGACAGATCACAAACATTCAAAAGAAAAGAAACTTAAGTTATTTATAAAATTTTATTGTGTTAACACATTTACATCACAAAATTGTTTGATCATGAATAAATATAGTTTTTCAACAAAATGATCAAACAATAATAATTATTTAATAAATCTTTGGACCTGATAACTCATTTTAAAGTTATTGTAATTAACTATATTTTAATTCAAAAATTAATTTGCTGAACTTGAGCATAAAAAAATATTTAAAGAAAGTAAAACTATTTTCTTAACCATTTATGCAATACTTTAATCTTAAATCCTATAGAAGTCAAAATAATAACTGAATAAATTTTAAAGCACTTTTGTTTTTGATTTAAAATATAATCTAGCCAATGGTTGATTTCATAATTCAGATTTAATAGATATTTCAATTCTGAAGTTTATGTCAAATTGATTATACTAGATGTATATTTGCATATAATTTTTTCACTTTTGTAGCTTTCTTAAACTGATTTTGGATTATTCTTCTGGAGACTAGAATTTATAAGAAATAGAAAAAAAAAAAAAAAATTAAATGAAAAATAAGTACTTAAAAGAGAAAGTTAGTGCTCATGCAAAAGAAGGAGCCCCTTTAATATTGCAAGATCTTAGTAGCTAAAAAAATTATATACAAAATTGCTATTAAGAAGTTGCAGAACTTTTAAAAAAAGTAAATCTATAATTATATCATTATAATGAACGTCCAAATCAATATTAAAAAAACTTAAAAGTAAAGCAGTTTGTCAAGACCCAAAAACATTAGGTACTCATCCTTTAGCAAAGCAAGAAAAAATAATAAATATCTTACCATCGGTGGGCCTTGTGAAATATGCGCTTCTTGAGGATGTTGCTTCCTACTATGGTTTGGAGGAGCTTGTTGTGGCTCTTGATTGGATTGAGACTCGCCTAATTTGAAGTCTTGGGCAAACTGTCTTAATTCAGCATGTTGATCATCACGATTTCTCGATGCATTAGGTTTTCTATGGGATAGCTGTGGCTCTTTTGGATGAGACATCATTTGTTGTGTAGATGCTCCGTCAGTCACGTGTTGCTGAGACTGTTGTGGTTGAGTCACTGAATGTGTGGTGGTAGTTGGAGCTGGCTGAGGTTGTTGTGTGGCAGGTTGCATTGGAGCATGTGGAGAGGGTTGGGAATGAGGGGGGCCGGCATGTGCTCCTGGGAATGGAGCAGGGGGAGCTTTGTCAGATTGATAGCCTTGTTGCCTTCCTGGGCGTTCACGTTTTTCTAGACCCATTTTAACCATTGGAGCCTGAGAAGGCTGCGCACCAGAGAATGGTGCTTGAGGTATATTTGATGCTACTTGAGATGGTGGCTGTCCTTGTGACATAGCTAAAAAATAAAAATTATTGGTTAGTAATAGTTTGAATTGAATATAAAAACTTTTATAGTTTACAATCAAAAGTTCTAAATTAAATAGTTAATTTAAAAAATAATTTGTGCGCGCAACATCATAATTTACCATCAATTGCAATATCGCATATATAAATTTTTTATTCAGGTTCAAGTATGATTATATTAAAATAAAAAAAATTCAGTTTTACAAGCTTTTTGTAGAACACCGAGACTAATTTAAGACATACCACGAACATGGAAAGGAGCTGTTGTAAATTACTAATATATGATGGTAATTGAAAATGCTTTCATTTTCATAATCTTTTCTAATTGATTCTTATAATTGAGATATTAATTCTAATAGAAACTAATTGAAATTTAATGACCCACTTACTGAGATACTGATTTGATAGTTACTTACCAGAGACACTTGTTGGAGAAGGCTGTGAGCTTGGAGGCGGAACAAAAGGTGGTGGATTATAAGAAACCACAACGCTAGGTACACCACTTGGCATTCCACCTATGGTCATTGGAACATTGTGTTGTTGTGTTACTGGAGGATGTGTCTGTATGCTGCTAGTTGGAATGTTGCTCGTCTGAGTAGTAGTGTTAGGAGCCGAAGCAGATGACGGTGGCGGTCCCTGATTAAAACTTTTACCAGAAGCTGAACTAGGGGACTGTGGTGGCGGGGTAGTTCTCATTAGCTTGCCAGCATTCCCATTTTTCCTTCTTGCTGGTGGGACATATTTGCCTTCGCTGTTACCGGGTCGAGACTACAAAGATAAAAAATAAAAGTAAATCAGATAATGTATAATTTCATAATTAATATTTAATACTTATCCTAGAAAAAAGGTTACTTACAACTGCAGCGAATCGTTCTTCTTCATCGCCGTTTTCTAATTCTAATCGAGCTCTGTGATCAGGTTGTGATTCAATTTCACTTGCAATTTCAGCTGCTTTCTTTTCTTGTTCTTTCCAGTCTTTTGTGTCTTTGCGCTGCAAAGTAACTGTGTACTGGCTCAAATTTGGCTCAAATGTAGTTTGAATACCAAAAGTTTGCTCATTTTTTCGGAACATTTCATTGACATCCCAACCATTCTAATGCAGAAGAAAATATTTAGTTAAATAATTGTACTTTTAAAAGAAACTAAAATGGATTAACTTTTTGCGTTCATAAGTTATACTTACAGCACTACGATCCAGTTCTAAATTTGCTCCATTTGATGAACTTACTTCATCCCAAGGTTCGAGTTCTCTCTCTTTTACTACACCATTGAATTTACTAATAGCTGTGTCTGTTTGGAATGTGTCTCTTGTAGCATATTCTAGATCAACATTATGCGCAGAAATTGTGATAATATCATTTGGTTTAAAAATTAACTTTTCTACAACGCTGTCTACAGCCATTTTGCCTGTATTATCTATTTTATGAGCCATTTCTAAAACAACTTCAAATTGACTAGAAAAAGTTCTGAAAACTCCCTCATACATAGATCCATTTTGAGTTTGAATCTGTAGAATATCAGAATATTAAATATTACATCATTTTTTCAAATAAGATAAGAATCAAGATATAGGATAATTTACCTGAACAAGATTTCCAACATTGCTTGTAATAATATGCATAAAATGGGCATTATTGTATACCCCATCAGTAGTTACATTGCGCTCTTGAGGACCCCGGGCCCGCGGGGATCTGAATTTGTGAGTATTCATATCACTGAGAACGGAGTATAAATGATTACAATGAAACGATGAAACGGTATCACCAAATTTGATAGAAAATAAAACCAAAACAATGCAATGCAAAACAATGCAAAAGTTGATTAGCGAAAAAAAAGGTTTACCTTGGTGGATTGGAACGGTTCTTTCTTTTATTGTTCATTCTGTTGTCGTAGAAGGTGTCGTCACCAAAAGGTGGATTCCTGCCGCCTGTCTGTTGGGGGCTTTCTGGTTTCCTAGTAGGGACCGGAATTTTGACGACTTTTACAGTGACTCTCTAGAGATAATAAAGTGTCCTTTGAAGGCCTGAACTCCTTCTGTTAGTGAAATCTAGTGCTTCTTGGATTATTCAACCAAATCAGTTGTCTCGAGGTTAATCGCTATAACCGAGGCACAGAGATCGGCTTGGATCTGAAATAATAAATTCAAACACACACACATGAGCAGGTGATTACGAGATCGAAGCCTTGGGGGGCTTTCGTGCGCGAAGAGCTATTTAATTTTTAAATGCCACACGTCGACGAGAAAGCAACGACGACGATGACGTCGACGGCGATATTTCGTAGGAAAGAGTCAGGCACGAGCGAGGGGCGAGTCGCTTACCTGATTAAAAAAGAATCCTCGATACGAACGGACGTACTATAGCATCTAAAGCGGCTCTCGAGGTTTCAAAACGAGAACGGAGAGAAATAGAGAAAGGTGAATAACAAGCTCTAATGGACAGCAGAAGCGGTATATATCCGTAGCTCCGATATCCGGTATACGCGCGTGCTATGTGTGTATATCGTATTATATATCGTAATTACAAGGCGCCGAGTGCTACACAATATAATATAGGCGTTTTCTGGTGCAGGCGACGATCGGCGTACGATTGGAGATGCTCAATTGATGTGCTGCTGCTGCTGCTGCTGCTGTGAGAGACACAGCCACGAGTATATTCGAGGATTTCGTCCGTTCGTGTGTCGTTAATAAGAGAGCTCGCTTGGTCGCGCGCGCATGACGTAACGCTGGCTATCGCGCATAGCGCGACTCAGCAGCGCAGGCAGTCTCTTGGCCTGTGCCTCTCTCGAAACGACCTTTCTACGCTCGCGTTACAAAAATTGCGTGCGTGCGTGTGTATACAACACAACGCTCGGCACTTTCATCGCTGTCTCTCTCTCTCTCGCACGTATGCACGTTACAGCGCGCGGCGGTGAATGCACCAGCAGCAGTAGCGTACTCACACACACACACACACACACAGGACGGTCAACAGGACATTGCCGTTATAGAGCTGTTATACGCGCGAATGTGTGTCGGAATGCGCGTTCGCGAGATTATTTCGCGATTAGTCGGCCAACTTTTCCGCGGTGCTTGGCACATCGGCGGAGCACGCGAACGAGGTTAGATTTTTCGCAAAATCAAAGTTCGTCGACTTTGAAGGAAGCTCCTTTCATCGTATCATCATTGTTATGATCGTACATCAAAATCATGCACACGTCGAGGAGTCGTATTTCTCTACGGAGACGATAGAGTAGGGGGACACGACGACGAGGACGATGCGGGCCTGCTGCTGCTTCTCGACATGCGTATATAAAGGCGAGACAAGCGATAGAGAGTAAAAGGGGCACGATGTCGCGCGAAAGCGAGGGAGCCTCGCGCGCGCGCGAGGCCATGTAGCCGTGGCGAAATAAACACTCGAAAACGACCGAACGAGCGCTTGTGTATACTACACTACGCTATAGTCGCTAATATCGTGGTGTACATAAACGTAGGGCAAAAGAGCAGCCAAAAGGAGCCGCGAAAATTGCGCGCACATGCGTTATGCACATTATAAAAGGCAAAAGAAGCGCGAGAAAAGAGAACGAGATGGAGAAGTCGAGAACAGGCTGCTGCTGCCGTTGCTCGGGACCCCTATAGTATACAGATAGCAGCTTATATTACGTGCTGCTGCCAACATAATCAGAGAGAGAGAGAGAGAGAGAGAGGCGCGTTCGTATACGCGTGAAAATTGTCGTATGTATCATAAAGACGACGCAGCTCACCTGCTCTCGATCGTTTCGGAAATTTCGCTCGCTCGTTTCTTCTCCTCTCCTCTCCTCTCTTAAATACTGCACTCGCTACGACGAGGAGTCCCAAATGGAGAGACGTGGTGTACACACATACAACGCACTACCAATGCGAATCGCGACTCGGCCAATGGACATGTATATATAATGGCTTTTCATATACACGGAGCGCGCGACGAGAAAGAGAAAGAGAGAGAACAGACGTGTCACACGACGGATTGTAATACGAGTATAGTAGCAATGCGTACATATACCACAAATGCTCATGCGGAGAGAGAAACGAACGTGTGCGCGATGTGAAGTGACTGCTGCTGCTGCTGCTGCGGTTCGCTCGCACGACACACACAGACACACACACACGCACACACGACGACGGAGTCTGGACTCGCGCTTACATAGATGGACGCACTGCAGCGCGCTCGCTCCGCGCGTTATATATACCTATATTATATTGTACTACGTACGACGACGACGATGAGGATCGATGCACTTTCCCAATCTATGTGCATGCGCTGCTCTCTATCGCTATTGCTCTCTTGCTATATATACATATACAGCTAAACAACAGTCTCGATATATGTATAAATACCACACGCATACACACACACATAAGTGTAAACGCAGACGATCGAGACGAGCGCGCGTTGCCAACGCTAACTATATACGCGCGTATTATTATAGCGTCCCGCAACGTTGACTTAGCTTATTATATATTCTCTCTGCTAAACACCAAGTGGTGGTATAGCAGCAGCGGCTACTGAGCATGGCAATACAACTCTGCGGACGTATGTAGTGGTGCGCGCGAACCCTTGGTATTGTTGTTACGGATTACCCCCCACACACACACACACAAACACACAGATACAACAACGTGGCGTCGTTGCCTCGGCGCACTTGGAAATATTTATTTATTTATTCGTATCGATATACGCACACGCAGTTGAAGGCAGGAATCGGAATCGACGACGAGCATCCGAGCGAGCCAGCGAGCGACGACGCGAACTCGATATCTTATTTTGTATAGGTACTATTATTGTTATATACCTCTTGTATTTTTGTTTACGTGGACGTTTATCAACAACAACAACGCACCAACGCACGTATAGACACACACGCGTATCACTGGTACACACGATGAGCTGGGGGGCTATTCACTCGGAGAGATAGAGAGGCGGGAGTACACATAAGAGACGAGGACAGCTCGATCCCTTACACTTACTACCCGTGAGTCGTCGACTTGCGCGGACTACTGTACTTTGGCCTTTACTATAATGCTTCCTAGCGCTTGCCAAATGCCACAGTCTTTCTGTCTTGTTCTCTCTCTCTCTTTCTCTCGCGCATATACATACGCACATACGTGTGTGTGTGTATACACTATTACACACAGTATATAGGTACAGCGCTGCCTCCTCGTAGGCGCGCAGAGACTCTCGCTCGTTTCTCTCTGTTTTGTATATAGCTTACCTTCTCTTTCGCACTTATTTGGCAATGGCAGCGGAGCCTGCTTCAATACGTCATATATAGCTATACACGACTGGCAATTGGCGCTCGTGTCTCTCTGCAGTGCAGTGCTGTATATATATACGAATACGAGCGGCGCGCACCTACCTTCTGCGCAACTGTATTTTCTATGGAATATTCTGTGACCGACGAACGACGACAGTGCGTAAAACTGCCCGAGATGTGTTGTATAGCAGTGTGTGTATCGTCGCGGCGGGCAAAAAGTAAAAACACCGATGGCTGTGAACTTGAAGTGGCTTTTGCAATCATTTGCGCGCGCCACAGCTGCGAGTTAAACTGCAAGCTGATGTATGGTCCCCTTCGAGCTCGAGATATCCATTAAAAGATCGTCAAAGAGAACAAAGGGGTTTTGTCAGATACAGTCCATTATTTTTAAAAAGTCATTTTTACAAATCAACGGAGAACGGACAATCATTTTTTGTTCGTCCAAAAATTCTTCTTGATCGCGCGATGAAAAAACGCGACAGTCGCACTATGCGCCGCGCATACCGATACAAACGCACCCTTATTCCAGCTACTTTATGCTGCATTCTTTGATAATTTCGCTTGACTGCATACCTATATATATTATATATATGCGTGCGTGCGCGCGAGTCCACACAGCCGATAAATGCCGTTAAGCAATTGCATCCGCGCGCGCGCCTGCAAAACAGGAAAAAAATCGTCGTCGAGTTATGCTGCGTGTATCTATGTATATACCACGAGTTCCGCTACATTGGCTCCGCATCGGCGACAAATCGAAGCGTATAAATAACACTTACTTGTGCATCGCTAAACTCGTCGAGAGTTAATTTTTGATACTCGCAGGCTGGAGAGAAGACTCGACGCAAGCAACGAGGTGGTCGAGCACTGGCGTGACTCATTTTGGGCGTTAATGAGACGCACGAATATTATTCATCGAAATCGGATGTACGAACGATACCATTTCTTTCGAATTAATTTCATATTAATTTGAATATCGCCCAGTAGCAACTCGTACACCTGCCTGCAATCGAATATAAGATCGGAAAGCTTTTTATTTATTTGAACATTTCGTACATTTACGTTGATAAATCTTAATGAAAAATTTCAAAATGATATTTACTTTCCAAGTGGAAATTGTTAAAACTTGGTAGGGTGGATGACTCTTTGATGAATCATACGAATCGTTTTCCGGTCGCATTCAACAAGAGGAAACTCTTCCAACATTTTTGACGCGCTACAAAATCTATTGTTCTTTGAAATTGAAATAGATTTTGTAAAACATTTGTTTGGAAGTGAATGATTCTTTTGTTGTATCAATGATTATTTGAATATTTTTTCATACAAATAATTTATACGATCGAAATAACTCGAGATAAAATGAATCACAAATTAATGATATAAGAATACGTGATGATGGATAAGACCGAACTGATAATTTCTCGAATCATTAAAAGTATTTAAAGTATCAAAGCGATACTTTCTTTTTAAAAAGTACAAACTTTCGATTAAAAATCATTTATGAGGTTGGTTAATTGGTATTGATCTCTCTTCCAGGAGCTTTAATAAACTTTCAACAACAGTTCTTCTTCGACATTATACACATGGATCATTATTTTTCGCAGTACAGCGCAGGCACTTATCAGGCGACAATTCGTCTTCACTGCCAATCGGTACTTATCTCTAATTTTGCATAAAGATGATCGAAATCGTGCCAGGTACTCGATGCATATTTTTAATGAATTTTCACTCTTAAAAATATATTATTGTTTGTTATTTGTTCGAACGAACAAGTGTAAAAATTCGCAGAACAATCGTCTGTGTGACTGTCATAATATACGTCTGTCACTTTCGCACTCATGCTAAATGAAAATACCGATTACGTTTAGTGAACGGCGCTTGAATGATGCACTACATATCCGATGTAAAAGTGGCTTCACACCTTTCGGTTGGGCATTATATCTATATGGCTTCAACATCATTTGAAAGTACACATTTCGAATGGTTTATTTTCTCAACAATAACATTGCAAATCAAATGTTGTGCGAGATTTCCCCATTACCGCGTATCAGTTCATGAACATCGAGGATCTGACGACAGGAACCAGGTGACATACGAATGACAGCATCCCTTTAAATATTTTCTCTAGCTGTCGAAGTTTTTTACATTTAATTATTTAATTATCTAATAAATGGCTAACACTTTTTAAGGACAATTCAAAATTTAAACCAATTCATGGTACTAACATGAATGAGAACCAAGTTGATAATGAAAATCCGCATGTTATCGATGCAGCAAATAAAATTGAATTAGCAACGAAGAATGAAAATGATCTAACTTAGAAAAAGATGTGTAACATTTTTAGATAAATTGATGTAAATAATATTTACAATATTATTAATGTACAGACATTTTCTAGAATTAAAAGCTTAATTATTGAAATTAGAAAATGGTCAATCTTAAAAACACCCGCATGAAGTATTTCTATGAAATTGTGCATTTTTACAAGAAGAAAATGTTTTATAAAAGTATATAAACCGTAAAAAGAATAACAAAAAATAAATCTTGCACTTATGCTTACCGAACCCTTTTACCCATATACATAATAAATGTAAGACTGAGAGTGTTATGATTTAATGAAGGTACTTATTTGGAACGTATTATTTCAATAGTAATGCAGTTTTGGTCAAATCTAAATCGAAACCATAATATCAAAAGAAAGTTGAATGATAAAAACAGAGGGTATGCCGATATATCGTGAGTTGATATACGAGGTTTCTTCTTTCAAGTTGCGTCTTGTTAAATGTCATACCCAATAGATGGAGATCTCTGCTTGAATTTTCTGAAATAAAATAAATTATACTACGTTCAAGTAAAAGTAGTAAATTGTAATTTACAATTATATTGATCATGAGTTGCGTTTAATTAATTAAATTAGACAGATCAATTTCTCAACAACTGGCAAAATTACCAACAATATTTGGGGACATCATTTGTACAGAAAATATGATAATATCAAATATCCAAGATTATGTAAAAATAAAATAATCTCTACGGATTGTTAACAAAAAACGACAATGAGTATCATCGCTAAAAATTATGAATCAAGGATAAAATGATAAAGCGCCAAGTCAAAGTGATTTCCTCAGGATGTAATAGTTATTAAATTTAAGTTTGTAAATCACATAGCAGTGCTTATTGTGCTTGAAACAACTTAATCTCCAGAGTTAATTCGAACGGGTATTATTAAGCTAAGCTACTTTCATGTGTTTGAAAATGAAAAAAATGTTTCAATTGAAAAAAGTCATTTTATTCTCAAATAATACTGTATATTATATTATTGTTACAAATCTTAATACACGCTACTATGCACGATAAAATTTGCAATTCATACGGGAAAATTTTCTTACGCTATCTCATATAAGACAAACAAACAAATACATAATCATCGGAAATTACAATAGTCTGAAAATATTTTATACAATTCGTCTTGTTTCATATGCGAGAATGCTCAATGCAGACTGTTCCTTCTCGATCTTTCTCGCTCGTCGACATCGTAAACAGCGTTGAGCTTCCGCACGAGGCTCTTTGTTCGGTCAGTGATAAAGCTATCGACTTGACCCAGCACACTGACCAACTGTATCATCTTCTCGAAGCCGCGGTTTATCCTCTCGGTGCGCTCCATCTCCCATTGCTCGCGCGTCAGCGGTATGCCCAGGATGGAATTGCTCGACGACGCAGACGACGACGTGTCCTCGATCATTCGGGAGATTCGCCTCAGCAGGTCGCGATCGTCCTTGGTGAATTTCGTCGCCGAGTCCTCGGGCGCTGCCAGACCGCAGCCTACCTTTACGATACAACGACAACAACAACAACAAAGGAAACTTTCCATTAGTTCGTTTTAATTTTTTGGACCTGCTCTTTCCGTATATAATAATGCAAAAACTCGATTCGAGTCTATCGAGACGCGACATTATGCAACCGGTATATATCGATTTGTTAAAAACATCTCAAATTGAATATTTAACGCTGCCGCATAAAGGCTGTATATCGATACACAAAGGTCACAAACGAACGCTTAGAATATACACGCGGAGCGTGCTTATAATCATGTTTACTTACTGATATTAATACTATCGTAAAAAACGTTGCGATTACGGAAAACGCCATTGCCAATCGCTTCTAATGAGAGATGCGTCGAAAAAAAAAAGAATCGAGCGAGAGATAATGCGCGATTTTTGTCGAGAGAAGAAAACTCGTGAATCAATCGATCCTGAGCATGGCTAAAGTTGACTATATGTATCAATGCGAGTTCGACGAGTCCGACAATGCGAAATTAATGCCGATTTTTGCCGGCTTTATATATCGAGCGCAATAAGTCAAAACGAGCCGTCATCAGTAATTCGAGCTGTCGCCGAAAAATGTCGCGTCCTACATCTTGCGTTATCGATCGAATGACATTTTTGCACTTTATATTCGTTATTAATTTTTTCGAAGCTCCTTGAAAGATCGAAATGGCAGTGCAACGGTAAGGAACAATCGACTATGATATTCAACTCGAGTATCTCGAGGAACGATTCAAGCCGATCTCTCGGACTTGATTTTATTAGCGCAATGATGTTTGAGACGTAAAATTTTATTAGGTCATCGGTGTCATCAGCATTATAAGTGAGCGAAATTAGCACTCAATATAATAAAAGAGCTGCGCGCGACTGAAAAACCGCTGACTTGGTCCCTTGTATATCGATTACACATCTCTCTCTTTCTTTTGCGCGACGGTTCGCGTGAACGCCAGCCCGAGACATTTTATAATATGACACATGCGCGTGACACTTGTTGATGATCCAGTTAGCGTCTCTCGCGCTGTCTTGAGTAATAAGCGCAAAATTAAATCAGACGTCGGTTAATATTGAGAAATTACGAAATAATCAATCTCCGCCAATTTTATATGCGTGTGCATATGATAAAAATGAAGAAGAAGAAAAATAAAACTTTAACGATCGCCGTCGTCTGTATATTGTGTGCACGTATAGAAATTCCAATTCTCGATAATCGATTATCCAATATACATGCACGTTTTATGTTTTTAGCTCTCGATATACGTCAATGTACGGATGCGTCTTACGCGGAATCGAGGACTTTTCGTAGGTTTTACGTTATTGTATAAAGTTAGCACATGCGAGAATTCGAACAGTCCTCTCGTGTACGTATACGCAGAATCGAATGCTCGAAAATCACCGCGAAAATGGAAATGAAAAACTCGAAAAGTAATTTTCCGTAAATGCATGAACGTTCCGTAAATGCATCATTTGCCCTCACATAAGTTTGATGCGTATATAATATATAAGAATGCGGAAGAATATAATTGATACGCTACTCGTAAGACGCGGATCGAGCTCGCTGGCAAAAGCGGAAATGGCTCTCTCTCCGTACGTGCGAAATTAATCATTGTAGACGATAATGTTTGCGCGCGCCGCAATGGCGTGTTATATATTTTGACAAATGTTCGCACACACAATGCCTTAGCTGCGCCGCTATCGATGGCCTTTTTTTTGTTGTTATCCTCGGCCGAGACGCAGTGGAAGAAACGCAGCCGCAAAAAAGGATGAAGTTGCGAGCGACGCCGGTCTTGCTTTTGGGACTCGCTTTGGTCTTTTTACTCGCCCAACGAGCGCAGGTAAGCGCGCAACTCGTACTATATCGACGCCTCTTACGAAAAGTAGGTAGTTTACGTGTTAAGTTAAATGTAAACTTCCTACTTTTCGTAAGAGGCGTCGATATATTCTCGCTGCAAAAAAATATTAATAACAAACATTTCGTCGCCCATAGGCAAAAACAACGACGAATACTCGTGCCGCTGCCAGAAGAGGTCCCAGAGCTCCTCGCCACTTGTCGCACAGATCGAGACCCATAATCATCGAGCACGAAGAGGAAGACGAGAAAGAAGACGACGACGACGACGACGACGACGAGGAGGAGGAGGAGGAGGACGTGGACAGCCTCGAGTGCGAAGTCGACAGGTGTCGTCGGGTCGGCAAAGTGGCCAAAAAAGCGTTTCGGGGCTTCGTCAAGGTGTCGGATCTCGTCTACAAGTGGGTGCCCGTCATCAAGGATCTGCTGAGACGGCCCAAGCATCATCGCCATACCGAGTCATTCGTCATACCGGCGGAATTGTGCGACTGCTCGGACGAGTGCGAGTACTATTGATCGATCGTCTATGTAGTTTTTAGAATTTTTGTACGGATTTTTTTGTAATAATAAAAATTATTCACCAAAAACCATTTATTGAAATTACTGCTTAATCGAAGTCTCTTATTTATGATTCATTTTTTATTTGCGTTGCTTCGTCGTTGCAATTATTACGTTACTTTTTACAGTTACGACGAATGAGTAAAAAAAAAACAATAAAATTTGAATCGTATACAGCACACGAACTTGCTTTTCATCTTTGAGATGTTTCTTCTCTCTGCTCACGATGTAGATGGGAATTGGTAAATAAGATAAGTCTCTCCAGATTTTTTTTGTCAATTATTTTTTTTTTAAAAACGTATCAATGCTTGATATTTTATTATCAGAGATTCTCTCCTCTCCTCGGATCGTTCGGCCCGAGCGCTGCGAATTGCACGCATTGTCGGATCGACGCCTCGGGAGCTCGATGTAAGATTACAAAATGCGAATAATAATACACGTTCGTAATAATATAAGGCAGAATATTCCGACGAAACAAACAATCATAAATGGACTCGATGGGAAATATCATATGTAATTATGAGTTTTACAACAAAAAGAAGATTCGAATAATATCACATTGTTTTGGTATCTCGATGCTATTTCGTATGGAACTCGTTGAGTTTATAATCGAGTTATATATAGTATTATTAGATTTAGTCTTTTTTGGCGGCTGTGGCGGCGCTCTTGAGCTGCTCGTTGAGGCTGTGCGTGGCCTCGACGGCGATGTCGACGGCCTTCTTGGTGAACGAGGCGATGTCCTCGCGCACCTGGCCGCTGTTGGCCTTGAACGCCTCGGCGATGGTGTTGGACTCCTTGACGAGGGTCTCGACGCCCTCCTGGAACTGCTTCTGCAGCTGGTCGGCCGACTCCTTGGCGTTGGGTACGTTGGCGTTGATGTCCTCGACGACCTTGCTCAGCTTGCCGCGCACGTCCGTCCACAGCTTCTCGAGCTCGGGCGTCTTGCTCTTGACCTGTTGTTGTTACGCGCAAAATTAGTAACAAAGTCGAGTCGCGCGCGACGTAAGATATTAATTTTAATGAATACAATTGAGCTAAATTACCGGAAGCTCTCGGGAGCCGAGAGCTCGAGAGTTAGACAAAAAGGTGTCGGCGAACACACGATTCGATTATACAACGCGCTCCGTTCTTTTTTACGATCAAGGAAAACCTATTTACGACCGACAAAAAAAAACAAAAACAGCGCAAGAAGAAAAATTACGACGCATTAAAGAGAAGAATTGTTGTACTGACCTCCTCGGAGACGGTGCTGATGTAGCCCTGAACCTTGTTGACGAAGTCGCTGCTCTGGGTCTTGAGGGTGTTGACGACCGTCTCCTGGTCGGGCAGATTGAGCTGGGTCTTGATCTGGGTGGCGAGCTCGTTGATGTTCTTCTGGGCGTTGCTGATGATCTCGGCGAGCTGGAGCGGCTGCTGCACGGCCACCTCCTTGTCGCCCTCGGGCGCTGCCCAGCAGCTTACCACCAGGCACACGGCCAAAATCGCCAAGTACTTCATGATGATATTATTATTGGTATAGCGGGGGTGTGTGATAAAAAAAACAACACAGTTAGTGGTAGTAGGCACGAGACACGCGACTCTCTAAGCGGCAGATTTGAAACTGACACGGACGCGTCGGCTCGCAGGAGCCTTTATAGGAACTGCGGCTTATCATCGAGTCTCACACAGACACAGACGAACACTGGCAAGCTGCCATTTATCTATATACACATATAATAATGCTGTCGTCTTGGCAGCGGTCAAGCATGGGCACGTGTGCGCCGAGCTCTTTGGAATATAAATCATGAGACACTGCTCCCCTATATACATAGCTATAACCGCAAACGGACAGTATAGACGGAGAGACATTTAATTTTCGCGAAATATATTATTCGCGACGTATTCGTTGTCGAGCGTACACTGACTCTATTGCCTATTGTGCCCCGCGATACGAGAAAGTAAATAGGCGCGAGAGAGAAGATGCCTGGCTTTTTGCTGAGTAGGCGTTTTTCCGACGGGGGGCTCTTTTTTTGCATGATAATGGCCGAATCGTCGTGAATCACTCGCGATAGTTTATTTTTACAAAACAGACGTACACACGCACACAGCGAGCGAGGAATTATATTATATACGCGAGCGGAGCTTTCGAAAATTAGTGCGTGTCATTCGTCGGCCTAACGAGAGCTGAAAAAAACCCCGTGTATATTATAGCACAGCGATCGGTATGATATTCTCAAGGGTCTTTTTGTCTCGCTCTTTGTCGAGATTCGTGGATGGGACATATGTTCATCGATTAAAATTTGGTTTTTGACTCGTATATACGCGAGATTCACAGGCTTATGTATGTCACCCTAAATTTTCCGAGAAGTTCTTACCAAGCCGAAAAATCGATTCTGCTTTTTATATTTCGAGTCTATCGGCTGATATTTACAGACGCACTATGCTTTGTTCGAAAATAAAGGATGCTCGCGATTGGAAGATGATTCGAGCAGGAAAAATTTAAGTTTCCCAGTCTCGCGGTTACGGGCTGCAATTATTTTACACAAAGTATCCGACTGCTCTTGAAAAATATAGACATTTTTATTCCTTGATGAAAATGATACGCTCCGCGTTAAGTACTCATTACAGGCATTATACTCCCAACGTAACAATCACTTAACTTGTTTGCTTATAAGAGTCGCACACACACACACATGCATACACTGCACGCAAGGCATCCTTGAAAAACATTTTTTAGTTGGCCAAGTGGATCTGATTATTTAGAATAATTTTTAAATAAATCATTTGCAAAATTTTAAATATTGAGACTCATCATTTTTAATTGATAAATTCTATCTCTTCATCTTTTTACAAATGTGCAATATCTCTCGATTGCGCTAATCGGCTTCGACTTTTATAATCGTAGTATACATTGACTATTCTTTCGTTCATTCATTATTTATAGGTTTGAAGCTGCGGGGAGAAATTTCCATGAAAACGCAGCTCTTGAAACTGCACTCGATCGATGAAGCTACGAGGCACGAAAGCAAGACCGTCTTATTTTATTTTCGATACGAAGCTACAAGAGTCCAAAAATACAGCATTATGCAACTCGATGATAAAAATCGTTAATGGAAGTGAATTTTCGCCCATGTATAATATATGTGTGCATGTGGTATGCATAATAACGAAAGGAACTCATTCTGTTATCGGTATAGTATACGCATGCGAAGACAAATTTAAGTGGCTTTTTATCAGTTGATTCGTAATGGCGCTGTGCTGCTCGCCTATATACAGTACAACGAGTCAATGAAAGCTCGATTCTGCACGCAGTCTTCTGAGATTTTGAGTCAGCCTTGGCAAACAGTACGTCAAATAAAGGTGCCTTCTTTTCTATGAACGACGTATGATTATTTTCGTCAAGGATTAGATAAAAGAGTCAGTTTGGTTTCATAATTATGTAAACATATAAATTAACAGAAAAAAATAAAAATAGTGTATCGTTTTTGCCTTTTTTCACTAGCTATAGACAAGGAATGTGCCGATCTTCAAGGTTCTTTTTCTTTTATCAATTTGAGCAGGATTCGGTGGATTTGAATTTTTATAAATCAGTATTAAACAATTTGTTTTTAAATTAATATTTTATTCAAACAATAATAACAGCATATTTGTTGAATATACTATTTTTTTTTATAAATCATAACAAAAAACATTTTGAAAAAATTAAAATGCCTAAAGAACAATCTTTCTATTGTCAACATAAAAAAAACAATGAAACGTCTAGCTAAGAAGCATTTTCAATCATTGCATCGTCGTTTAAGCGGATGGAGCGGCTGGAGCGGATTTTGGGATGATCTTGGATGCCTCCTCGGAGATCTTCTTTCCAACGGAGTCGAAGAATTCCGATCCTTTCGACAAGATCTCGTCGAATTTGGGCTTGGCGTCGTTGAAGGCTTTGGAGATGCTGTCGCCAGCGGTTTTCAGTGCCTCCTCGATGGAGTTTGGCGTGGTGACTTCTTGTGGGGCTGGTGCAGCGTATGCCTGTGGAGAATTCACGCAAGTTATAGATAACTAATAAATTTCAACTTTCATCGTAAAATATTTTGGATCGATGAAGTAATAAACTTTATTTTAGAGAATGATTCTTTCTTTTTATTAAAAAGAAAACGACATCGCGCAGTGTCGAACTAAAGATTTACTTGAAAAAATGTTTTAAATCCTCGATGAAAATCAGTCATCGCGATAAAATTGTACAGTAGGTCTGCGCAACGAAAACAATATTACGCCGAACTGTTTCTATTGTTCGACCGATGTGCATGACTCATGCGAGTCTACATACGTATACCGTGTTCCCATCGATCGTCATTCATTAAAACTCGGCAAAAACAAAATACACGAAATGAAAAAAAAAAAAAAAAGAAATAATTCAAAGTTCATGAATAATTTGAGAAAAGTCGTCTGTTTTTTTTTACCTGAGCCAAGCACGCGACGACGAAGGCGATGCACAGAGCTACGAAGAGGTAACGAGCCATTATTGCTGGATTGGTTATATATCGATCGGAGACTCTCCTGAAAACTATCCGTCTACTTTGATAGATCGCGAGCAACTGAGCAAACTTGGATTTCGAGTCGCGAAGCGTTACTATACTCGATTGTAAAATCACAGAAGTGGTGATACGTTGGCTTCGGGGTCGAAGGCCAAACACTCCGCCTCGCACATACACACATGCTCTATGTGCCTTCGCACACACATGTGTGCGTTTGTTTCTCTTTCTATGTGAGTATGTGTGTGTGTTGTGTGGCCAATACACGCACACATTGCTCCGACTCATTATACATTCGACGTAATCATCATTAATTCCCCTCCGAGCAAATCTCGACAAACTAGAAATCTAGTTTCAGTTTCGTACAAAAACTCGAATATCCCGCTGGTGTAATGAAGCCGAAGATGATGCGATGACGACGATGATGATGATGATGGCCAAGACGAAACCTCTGCCACGATAAAAGTCCGAGTTTCCAAATAGAGAGAGATTTTTTAGCAGATGATCGTTTAGCAATATATATGCGTTCCATATATTGCCGAGTGAAATTCTTGCATCTCAAATTTTTATTGGTCGAAGAGAAAAAAAAGGAAAAGAAAGAAGTTTTTGATTGCATAAAATTGAGATAAGCGACGAAAATTGTGCAAATCATAGCCAAAACAAATCCAAGAAATCGTAAATAAACGCGAATACAAATACATTCTTTTTGCTCTCCATCCCATTATGCATCGTTGAATTTTTTTTCTAATTGATACAATGGAGTCTGCGGAAATGTTTATAATTGCCGGTTCGTGACAAGGATCGTTAAAAGTCGAAGAATACACGAGACAAAAAAAGTAGTTCTACCGTTAAAGCAGCGAACGGAGTGTGTTTTTTCTTTCAATTCGCTCGCAATTAAACCGTCTTTGTCATTTTTAATGCTCCCTGTTTAAATTTTAAATTGAAATAATTATTCGCAAACGCAACCGATTCTCTCGACGCAATCGTTTTTATTCAAAAAAATTACTTAATACTATATTTTACAAATGATTCATCGTCGCCTTGTCGGAGACGTCGTGGTGGTAGTCGCGACCTCGGACCACTTGGCGTGACGCGCCTGGATCCTCTTGAGCTCGGACTGGCTGGACGAGTGGACCGTGTCGAGCACGCCGAGGACCAGCTCGATGATCGGCCGATGCTGGGCCAGCGTCTCGCGCTGCACGCGCACCGGCATCTCGATCGAGCCCGAGTCGTCGTCGTCGCCGCCGCCGTCCTCCAACTCCTGTCCGGCCTCGTAGTCTCTCGCTGACTCCTCCGACTCGAGTTGACACTTCGATTCTCCGACTAGGAGCAGCAGGAGGGCCAGCAGAGGTAGCGATCGTGAAAACTTCATCTGCCCAATTTCGAATTTATCATTATAATATCGTCGTTACGATCGTCGTATACAAGCAATCCGTTTACCTTATTGAATATTTTGTCGTTGGAGGCCTCGAGGAACGCAGCTGGTGCACGGGGACAGACTGTTTTGATGGCCTTGTTTTTATACTAAATAAAATACGATCCAACTTTTTGACGATCGAGGCGCGCGCGCGCCTGAAATTAATAAATTTTCACTTGCACCAGCAAATTCCTCTGCGTTGCTCTGGGTTAATGTACCGCGCGTCGGTGCATTTTTTTGGATGAGTAATGCAACGGCTCGTTTCCAACGTGTCAGCAAAATTAAAGGAAAAAAAAAAGTTGTAATCATCGCGTTAAATCGAAGTGGGTCGTACTTCAACTATTATATGTATACTAATCGATGTAAATAAACAACAACATTTTTCTTACGTAAATAAAAACTCTTTATTTCGATGTGCGTATTGTTCAGTCTTACAAAAAGAATAATATCTAGCACTTGGACTGGGCTTGGCTCGAGGATCCCGAGGGCTCGACCAGCAGAGTCACGCACGGGCACTGCCGCGCCGGGTCCGCAGTTTTCGCGCCGCACTCGTCCGTGTCCTGGTCCATGCTCAGCACTTTGATGGCGTACTGCAGCGGCGACGAGCAGTTGAATTTCGGCGCGTCCCTCGACACTTTGGCCGGTTCCAAGACGTCCTCGTCTTCCACGATCGGCTCGCCGTCGTCGTCGTCGTCCGAATCGATGGGTCGAGCCTCGGCCTCGTCCACGGGTTCCTCGACTTTCGACGTGTTCGGGCTGTTATTCTCGCGCAACTTCTTCGACACGTCGTCCAGTATGTCCTTCAGCTTGTCGATTATGTCGCTCACGTCCTTGTTGAACTTTTCGATGTTCACCAGGGACTTGAGCAGACCCGTGAGCTCCTTCTGAATGTCGGGACTGTTGAACACGGACTGAATGGACAGCGAGGCTTTCTGTATGGCGTCCAGCTGCTGATTCACGGCTGGTTTTTTATTATCCTCGGATGTGTCGCTCTTGTTTTTGTTGCTGTTATTATCGCCTTTGACGGAGGCCAGCAGATCGCTCAAAAACTTTTCCACCTCGACCGTCGCGTTGTAGATGCATCGGCTCATCGATTCCAGCTGTTTCTCGTCGTTGCCGGGAAAAGCGTCCTCCAGAGCTCTCTGAATGGCTTTGAGACTAAAGTTGGCCTCGTACGTTTCGCGCTTACTCTTTACGGTGCCGTTATTATTGCTCTGTGGAATAATTATATAAATCGAATCAAGTTTCGTTTCGATTAGGTAATTTTTTAACAATGTGCAAGTATAAGTTTTGTATTTACCGTATCTGATCCGCATGGCAAAATAGCTGCGGCTTCGCTCGTAGAGTTATTAGTTCGATCCTCGATGGGACTGATTGTAGTTTCTCGTTCGAGAGTACTCGAGGGTTCTAGCGTAGTTATTTCTATAATTTGATCGTCGATCGGACTAATCGTAGTTTCTAGCTCGAGACTGCTCGAGGGTCTTGTCGTGGTTATTTCTAAAGTATCGTTCGACGAACTCTGACATAGCGCCGAGTTGATTAAAAATACGAGCAAAGCAATAAAAGTCGCAGTCCGAGACAGGACCATCGTCGAACTGTGGCGAGTCATTCCGCGACTGATAAAAGTCGAACTCGGCCGGGGATACTTTTTATAGTCAACGTAGTTTGGTTTACGTCCGATACGTGCATTTTACGATCAACATCGTCGGCTCTCGTACCCAAAACGATGTTCCATGAATGACGAGCGTATTTTCATTTTGGCAAAGAAGCCGAATTTTGTTTTGAAAAACAGACGCTCGCACGAAATAAACACCGATGCTAATTTCCTCGTTCGCTCGTGTATTATTACTTTTCAGGAAAATCTTGTAAGTTTACTCGTGCAGCTTTATCAAAATCACGACAATTCTTATCGACCGAGAGTTTTTCATAATTTGTAAAAAGCGATCGAAAAAAAATGCGAAGTAATTTATAAAAATGTATTTTTTGATCGCTCTAATTGATGAATCTCCATTTAGTCATCAGCTTGTATCGTTCACAGTATTACCAAACGAGAGTATATTTTATTCGAGTTAAAAATCATAATCTCTTATGCAATTTTTTAAATAGTTTTTTTGTTTTTTAAAAACTTTATCATATAATAAAATGATAATGAACTGTGCCATATTATAAAAGCATGATAGAAGCTCGCATCTCATTATTTTCAATGAAATCTTGAAATATAATTTATATTGATCATTTGTTTTTTATTATTTTCGTAGTTAATGACTTTGATACTTATATATGACCCGATAAAATGAAATTAGGTCATTATTCTAAACTGAATTGTTGTTGCATCATTTGCAACTGAAATTAAATTTTTGAGCAAATCCATTTCATAACATTTCATTAATTTAATAAAACTCTAAATATTTGCTTATGTATTTTTACTTTTGTAGCATTTCTACCAATTTTTTATGCACTGGTAACAAAATGCTACTCACATTTAATAATTATGTTAAATTCGAGTCAATTTACTAATGAAAATTATCTTGAAAGAGCAAACGAATCGAATACTTTTTCCCGAACGAAATAATTGCATCGAGCGTTTCAAATCGAAAGGAAGGATTTTGAGCCAATGAATAGAATGATAATTTTGATGAATTGAATTATTTAATTTATTAATTAACGTATTAAACTACATTTTGTTTCGCCCCGTGAAAGAGCGATGACTAATTTACAATTGTGTTCCTAGAAGGTGTGTGCTCGAGAGCAGCTTTTTTTCAGCAGTGTCTGCAGCACGGGTGGCACTTGCGAGCGCAGCGTCCGCCGAGACGGTGCGAGGCCTGCAGCTTGACGGGCACGGCCAGGGTGCACTTCTTGCCGCCGAGGACCTTGTGCTGGTGGCCGCCGCAGCCGCTGCCGCATCCTCCTCCGCAGCCGACTCCGCCTTGCTGGATGACCTGGATGCAGGGCTTGCCGATGACCGAGGGCACGATGCCGCCGCAGCCTTGGTTGCAGCTCTGGCTGCAGGTCTGGGTGGAGGCGTCGATCTTCTTGGCGCATTGTTTGGCAACGAGGATGCTCGGGACCGAGCCACCGCAGCCGGAACCGCATCCGGAGTTGCAACCGGAGTTGCAGCTGGAGCCGCATCCGGAGCTGCTGGCACCGCTGCATCCACCCTGCTGGACGAGCTGGACGCATGGCTTGCTGATGACCGAGGGCACGATGCCACCGCACGACGAGCCTTGGTTGATGATGCATCCCGAGGACGATCCACCGCATCCGGTGTTGCATCCAGAGTTGCAGCTGGAGCTGCTACCACCGCTGCATCCACCCTGTTGGATGACCTGGACGCATGGCTTGGAGATGACCGATGGCACGACACCACCGCATCCAGTGCTGCATCCAGTGCTGCATCCAGTGTTGCAGCTGGAGCCGCAGCCGGAGCTGCTAGCACCGCTGCATCCACCCTGCTGGATGACCTGGACGCAGGGCTTGGAGATGACCGACGGCACGACACCACCGCACGACGAGCCACCGCATCCGGTGTTGCAGCCTTGCGACACGCTACCGCACGAGCCCTGAGAGATGATCGAGCTGCAGCCCACTACGGCAGGCTGGACGCAGCTGACCGAGCTTCCCGAGCACGAGGAGGATCCTCCGTTGCAGCTGCTTGAGCAGCCTCCCGAGCAGCCACCTTGGCAGACCTGGGGCACAGCGCAGGGAGCAGGCACGACCTGGGGAACCACGATGGGCATAGGCGAGCAGCCAGAGTTGCCGTTGCAGTTGGAGTTGCAGTCGACGCTGCAGCCGGTGTTGCAGCTCGATCCACCGTTGTTGTTGTTGCAGTTGGACTGGCAGATGGTCTCCTGGACGCAGGTGTCCTGGCACGAGGAGCCACCGTTGCCTCCGCAGCCTGAGTTGCCACCGCAGTCACCGCCACCGATCTGGGCGGTTTCCTCGACGCAGACGAGCCGCTTGACCTGGCCCGTGGTCTGGGTGCCTTGGGAGCAGGTGGTGCCCGTCTGGGTGCCTACCGAGCAGCTGCTCACGCCTGTCTGGGTGCCGACGTTGCAGGTGCTGGCGCAAGTCTGCGTGCCGACGCTGCTGCATCCCGGCTGGGTGCCTACAGGCAACTGTGGGAGAGAGCAAAATTTTGAGTCATTACCTTTTGATAATTTTGTATTTGAAATTATTTCGCGCAAAGGAGATCACTTACCAGTACTTGGCCGACGTGGGTCTTGATGCAGTGGGCATCGCCGCTCGAGCAGACGATCGCGCCGACCAGAGCCAAAGTAAGGGCGGTTTTCAGGGAAAACGTCATCTTTGTGCTTTGTTACCGTGCAAGTATTACTTTTTACTATACTGTCTAGATCGCTGGCCACCTCTCGCTTCGTGGCAATTCGGAAAAGTCGCCGGCTTTTTATACTCGATTTTTCGGGCCACTTCCGTTTTTGATAAAGTCTCGAGGAAGGCCAAACTTTCCTGAATCGAATCCATGGCTCCGGTCACGATCACCAGCCCCTCCTTGCCAAGGCTCGCCGCGCGTGAGATTTTTTCGTGCTCTCGTCGTCTTACTCATCGTCGATGCGCCGCGCGATGTTTACACGTCGTCGGCATTCCATGTCGTTTCCTCGATGTTCCGTGGATTAATAGGTAAACAACACGAGAGCGACACTTCCACATTTTCGGGGTGTTGGAAAATGCGCCGTTCGACGCTCGAATTAGTTAGTTAGCCCGCGGGATCGATCGTGGCCGATACGCGAGTCATGGTGCAGGTAAGTGCGGCGGCATTCGTGCGTGTGTTTGACTTCGATCGTCGATCGACTTGTAAGCTCGTGGATCATTTTTTACTTGATTTATTATTGAAATGGTTTGATCGTTTAAATGATTAAAATGAGAGTATTTAGCTTTATTTTTTTTCGCCTCGTTGTTACATATTTTATCTATCCACTCGTACATCGGACTAATCTCAAACATCAAGTATTTTTTAACACTCCGTGCGTAAAATGGGGTTTTGCTAATCTTTCAGTGATACAAAACCACATTTTACACGCGAAATATTAAAAAATATGGTATGCAACTAGTGCGTGAGTAGGATGACTCACCAGGAGTCTTTTTCCAGGGGCCATTTTCTTCACGCATTTGTTACATAATATACTAATTTGATTGCTTTAATTTTCATTCTGATAATTTTTAATAATTAGTTCATTTCAAGAGCAGCCTAATAAATAGTTAACATTCAACTCAGTTGCGTATAGATTAAGAAGTCATAAATGTGGTCATAATTTTCGCTCTGTGAACTTAATTTTTGAACATTTACTCGATCGAAACATCGTTAGGATAGATTTATAAGTATGAAAAAAAGTGATCTCAATTCTTTATAACGAGATTTGTAAAAATATTTATTTAAAAAATAGATCGTAATAAAAACTATTGTACAGAAAATAGATCGAATTTAACAGAAAGTGTCGCTGTAAATATACATGCAAACGAGCGCGATGATTCAGACGGTGCGTATATCGTTCGGCAAGGTATTTGAATTGCAAATCGATCGTTTTATATTTCAAAGTAGCTGTTTATTTCATTGCGCATCGTGGCTATATTCTATTCGAGTACAAAAAATAACATTCATAGAAAAATATCTAGGGGTTGGGAGTATTTCATCGTCGAGAGCCCGATCAGCTCTCAGTCACGGTCGTAGGACCTTCGGCCGTTGGAGAAGAGCTTGGCGACGAAATTGGCCGCGTCGGCGATGACCGTGGCGAAGGTGGACTCGTTGCGCTTGGGTATCCTCATGATCCAGTAGTCGTTGTTCTGGCCACGGCTCGACAGATGACGGCGCACGAGCTTGTAGCGTCTCTGCTGCAGATCTGAAGTGTCAAGGGAGTCGCTCGTGCTGCTGTCGTCTGACGCGAGCTTTGATGCGCTCGAGGAGGCTGGCTTTGACGGGCTTTTCGGTGCTGCTGCTACTGGTTCCTCTTGCTTCGCGGACTTCTGTGCCAGCTGCGGGGACAGTCTCTTCTTCAGACTCGCCGTTTTCTTTTTCTTGGCCACCGCCGCCGCTGTAAAGCTCTTTTCCAAGGACGATAGAGTCAGTCGGGTGTCGGGGCCTTCTAACGGCTGCTGCTGCTGCTGCCTTGGTTGCTGCTCCGAGCCGTTGATACGCCGGAAGGTCTTTTTGGGGACTTTTTTGCTTGCGGCTGGCGATCGGGCTGCAATATAAACGAGTCGTAGTATTAATCGTCGTGCAACGTTTTCCGAGAAAAAAAAACTACGCGTTCCATCTCGCAAATGAGTAGTTGCTAGCTACTACTCTAGCTTACTTTGCAAAAAAGTAGCTCGCTATCATTGTCATATGCATGAATTACATTTGTCGATCGCAGAAATATTGCAATTTGTATCATCCTCGCTCTGCAATTTTCCCGGTCTTTTTTTCTTTTCATTTTTTTAATATCGTGCATTATTAAGCGCGCGGAATTTTCCCGCGCGCCGATTTTTAGCTGTTACAGCACTAATTCGAGTCGCGCGCGCGCATTTTTATTTCCTCGAAACTCGCGCGCTTATATGTTTTATAAATAAAATGCGCGACGTACGGTGTATCGTCGTTGTCGCGCGGCTCGATTTAAAAATACACAAAGCCGCGATATTTATACACACAACGTTAATTATTATGACCGCGGCGTGTGTGTATGTCACGGCGGCGTATGCAAACTCGAATGAAACGAAGCTTCGTTAAAAAAAAATTTTTCTCTTTGTATTTACCTGGAGGTGGTGGTCGTACGGGCGCCGCGTGGCCGTTTGTCGGATTCTTGATCCATCTTTTGCTCCTTTCCGTGACGACGTCGCTGCTGCTTGACTCGCTCGGCACCGTTGTTGACGATTCCGCCAACTGCCTTAGTCCGCGCAGCCACTGGCCGAGAGGTCGTGGTGGCGATCGCTGCGGCGGAGCCGATGTTGTTGTTGTTGTGGTTGTTGTTGTTTTTAAGGAGATTTTTGATGCCTTTATGGCTGTTGGCACGGCTGTGCTTGACGCCCGGGTGGACTCGTCCAAGCGGCGCTGTCGCAGATTTGGCGATCGACGGAATTTCTTTGCGAACCCTTGGGTGCTGGTCCGGCCGGCGAGCTGCGTCATGCGCAATGGCTCCGAGTCATTATTCGCTCTCGCTTTTCAATGATTTATACCAGAATTCATGTTACACATATACCGAGATTCATTTGAATTGATAATAAAATATTACTTCCCGAGTGCAGATCGTTTTAAAAATAATGGATTATATGCGAGAAAATTCGGTAATCGTTACGGTGTACATCATGCGCGATAACTAAAAATCAATGGTACCTTTCGTAGTCGTCGCCGGTTCCGAGATCGGTTCGCTCATTCCCTTGGCAGCTTCGATCGGCTTGGACTTTTCGAGCGTAATGGCATTGGGCGCCGCGACCACGTACAATATTATGGGAGTCGGCATTCGCTTGTCTTTGTCACTGGCTGCGTTGTTGTTGTTGGTCAACGATCCGCTCGTCAACAATTTTTGCAACTGCTCGAAATCGATCACGACCGGCTTCAACGTCGTCTCCGATTCTTTCTTCAGTAGCTCCTTCTTCTTGGCCATTCGAGCGACGTTGGACGGAACGACCGAGACGCTCGAGATCTGCTCGGATTTCGGCGAGCTGCTCTTGGGTAGAACGATCTTCGTCACGGCCTCTTGTTGTTGAGCGGGCTCGAGCCTGAGAAAAAAGTCGCACAGAGTCAGCAAAATAAGGTCGACGAAGCTCGGGGATACAAAAGGCTTTGCGTTTACCTGATGGTCGTGCGCAGCTCGTTGCCATTGCCAACCTTGAGCTGGCATCTGCACGGCTCCGAGACTCGACGAGCAGCCTCTTGGCGATAAATCTGAGCACTCGAATGATCATTGTTACTTCTCGGCCGCGGCTGATGATGATGCTGCTGATGATGATGATACTCTCCGCAGTCTTTGCACGTGGGAAAGCTGCTGAGCACCTCGTCGGCGACGTAAGCGACCTTCGTCGCTGCAGGCGGTGGTAAATTTGACACTTGGACCACCGCACCACCACCCACACCTGCACTAGCACCGGCACTACTGGTGGCCGCGTTGGCCGCGCACCGACAGTGCTCGCAGTTGCATACTTTTTCCGACGATGTGCCGCAAACGAAGACGACGAGGCAACAGAGCAGCGAGAGATTGCGAATCGTGGAGGCCCTCATTAGAAAACGATTGCGACTTTGTTACACGATTGTATTATATTGATAATCAACGAGACACACGATGTTTCATTTCACACTGATCGAGAATGACGGCGGCGGTCGATTATCCGAGCGCAGGCGTAATCGCCGAGAGAGAACCGAGAGCGGATGCGACGGGCCAAACACCCGCGACACTTCCGCCTGTCGATCGGCCGATGTTTTGCCCGCGAGAGATCAACATTCGACGAGGAGGTTCATTGAGCTTTTTCGTTTATTTTGTGTTTGTTACACGAGCGCGCTCGATGATTTTTTCGTTATAATATGTGTTGGCTCCGATTAGAGATTCGATTAGACGTCGATTGTAATGAGATTCGTTCGCTGACTTGTATACCGGGTGCAACATCGATTTCATTCGTGGATGCGTGCCAACTCGTTTAACATACAAATTTCTCGCCCGTGTCCTCGATCGGATTTTACACAACTGTTTTCACTTTATATTAATAGGGTCAAACTTTTACATGATTCTAATCAGCAAAATATACATTTTTTAGGCATTTGAAAGTATTTCCTTTCACAACTTTTATTTTCGCTTGACAATAGAATCGTTTTCGTAGGATACAAAAAATATATCTCTCGGTACGCAGAGATCAAATATGTACAAAGTATTTACATACTTAAAATTAGTAATACAGACGACTATTATTTAAAGAAATCAGCGGCTCGCTGTCTCTGTGGTAAATTCAACAAATTATCTGTCAAAATAGGTGTTTGGATCTTTGCTCCAATTCCATGCCTATTCGATCCTGGAGTGTTCACTCTAGGAGTGTTCGGTGTCCTGATCCTTACTAGAGGAGACTTCATGGGAGTTCTTTGTGGAGATGGAGTTATAGGTACGCGTAGCTTCTGAGTTGCCAATCTTCTTGCAGCTGGTGATATACTATTCAGTCTGTCTATTGTTGATCTCGGAGACGGTCTGTAAAAAGAAAAATTATTTAATGAATATATTTGCTTACAAAACGATACATCAATGAGTCAAAGATATTTACGTTGCAAATGATTTTCTAGCAGCATCCAGAGCTTTCAATTTTTTATCTCTGTTTCTTTCTCCAGCTTTCTCTGCCAAACGCATGGCTATTTTTTCACGTTTTGGTGGTTCTGCTATTTTGAAAGAAGGTCCTTGACTCGCATGTAACAGAGGAGTATCTCCACCATCCAATCGGAAAGGAGTACCTTCGATTTGACCCCAAGTCATGATGGGACTGTCTGTTATTCCATCAGGCATTGGACTTGGTAACGGAGTACCTAATATAGAGTACCCGTTAACTCTAGGAGTATCGGTTCTAATTATTTCTTTTCCATCAACTCCAATTTTTCCATCGTTAGCTTTAGACTGGCATTTAGCAATCTCACTGATTGCTTCTTTATTTTGTTGTTCATTGAATGGATTATGTTTTAGTCTGGTACTTGTGTGAACTATTTCTTGCTTTTTTTTAGCAAGTTCAACTTGCTCTTCTAGAGTTAATTCAACTCCATCTGGTATGTACATAATGTAATTTTTATTTTTGTAGGCCCATGTATCAACGTTTGGCTTAATTGATTTTTGACTTGGACCATTTTCTATGGCTAAGGTTTGACTACTACCATTTTCAATTGCAAGAGCAGCCTCATTTTTATAAAGCCAAGCATTATTTAACCTGTGTTTTTTTTCATTTTCAGCAAGAATGTCTTCAAAGCTTGCATTATCTTCGCTTGTACTTACAGCCAAAAATTCATCCAATTTGAGCTTTTTTTCTTTCTTTTCAGATTTACAACTACTCGCATTGGACTGTCTGGATGCAATCGAGCAAGGCGTATCGCTAGTATTTTCACCATGAGCTGGAGTATCGAACGTTGCAGGACTGGGTAAACGTTCAGTTCTGGGTCCTCCAAAGCTATACTTTTCAAAGAGCTCTCTCATTTTTTTGACATCATTTTGTCCTTCTGCATCGAGAAATTCATTTTGAGCTCTGAGTTTTTCCAGGTCTGGAAAGAAGTCTCTTTCAATAATTTCTCCTATTTTTTCGATATAAGTGTCTTCGTCGTAAACCACTTTCTTTTTTCTCACTGCGCGACCAATAGGTGTTTTAAAAACTGACAGATCTTTCAGATTTTTCACTTTTTCAAGTGCAGCAGAGCCAGGTGTCATGCTCGGCGAGCTTGGTTCAGAGCTCAACGACGGCGAATACATGATGATTCTTCAAGTTTGTATCTTTCTGTTTTAAACTGCGAATGTCAACACACACGATTTCAATCGTTTTAAACGAGAATCAAGTTTTTTTTATCAAGAATATGCAACACTACGAAATACGCATTATCAATCACAACTCGCAACTAACCAAAACATAAGGGTTAATTTGTAATGCGTGGACTGTCGTCTGCTCGGTAAAGTCTACATTGCGCATCGAGTACTGCGCAAGACATGCGTCATTTAAATTTCAGGTTGTTCAATGAGTGGCGTTGCAGACCAGACTGCAGTAACATCTGTCATGTGATAATCAAAGGCATAACATTTCAATAAAATCAATAAAATGAATATAAAATGTAAATGTTACAATGAGTAAAATAATGTTTTTTAATAAATTGTAACATTCGATTGATTTTATAGTGCTATGTCATACAGACAAAAATATCATGTAAAATCGACCAAGTTTGAATAAATTAAAAATTGTTGTTTAAACTAAAATAAGTTTCTTTTTCAACCGATTTCAATTGAGCTTTATCCTTATTTCATTTTAGCTGCCTCAAATGGTTTTCAAGCGAAACAAGCATAAGATTTCTAGCATTATTTTGAAAAGAAAAATTGTTTGAAACTATTTTTGTTAAAAAAAAAAAAAAAAAAAAAAAAAAAAAAACACGGAGATCAAAGTGTAATGGTGATTTTTTAATTTCTCGATGCTCATACGGCACAATCGAGCGAAAATATCAAAAGTTATAAATGGATTTCCAAGCTTTATAACGCTGCGCCCATATAATACCGTTGACCAATAAACACACTTGCATCGGTCGATCGGCAGCAAAGTTATGAAAACGATTTTTGCCAGAAGTGCTTCAGTCTGCACATTGCATAAATCGCGAATACGTAAACAACGGCGCAGAGAGCCGTACATTCGTTGGTTTTTTTTTTTATTTCGAAACTCTCGTACTCGCGCACAAGAGCTTACTCGACTCGCCGAGCCAAAAACATGGCTCTCCTCTCCGTATCTTTACATTCGTGAGATTGAAAAAAAGTAAAGGCAAAAGAAAATCAATTTGCAATTGGACTCGCGAGTCGTCGTCTCTTGCAAGCTCCACGCGAGCTTTCGATGCATCGGGGAAAAGATGCAAATGGGCCCGATAAATGACAAACAAATTGAACGATGCGCCCACTCGACGCTCGAATGATTAATACATTACGGATCGATTAACTGGATGAAAAATCGTTTTTTAACAACTCGATAATACGCAACGACACGGAAAAGTGTATATAGGGATGGAGGAAGATGTCAATCGTCGCGTTCTCGTGTGCGTGGACTCGCACGCGTTACAACTTGAAAAAAGTTACAAAAGAAGAAAAAAATTCTCTTTTTCTCTCCGATGGCGTCTGTGCCGCGGGGCGAAGACAGACAATGAACGAACGAGCGTCTGCGCCTACGTACGCGAGGAAAAAAATTCCTCGGTCTCGAGCATAATTGCCCGTATATTCTTGTATTTATATCGATCATCCGCGTGAGCACACGTGCGCGTTGCTTATTATAAATAAAAAAATTAGGAGGACGTTAGCTCTAAAAATAAAATCTAATGAAGTCGTCTTTTTCATGGCAAAAGCTCCATGCGATATGCGTTTGCCGATTTTTTGCCTCGACAATTTTACCTTCGACTCTAATGCTTGTGGACGTCCCATGTGAGAATGTTCTGCCGGCCCAATGTTAAACCAGTATTGAACGTTCAAGCGCCGATATTGGCAATCGGTAACGTTCCGGTGTACCAACAATATTGGTTTGATAATCGCGATCTTACTTTGGGGACTGATATTGGTACGATACAGCTTACCGTTGTTTGCTCCTGACAAGCCGAGTAGGAGAATGCTGAGCTATAATTTTTTCAATCCATCAACAATAATAGAGCCCGAGTTTTAAAATGTTTGTACAAGAATATATTATTTTTTTAGTCAATAAAAGATAAATAAATTTATTAATATTTAAATAGCTTTATTTATAAAACTTATAACTTCGAAACTTCAAAATTCAATATTTCAGTTTAAGATAAACATTTTAACGAAAGAACATATAAATTATGCATTTAGCTTTCTCGAACGGCATTGTTCGCACTGCTCCGCTCTGTTCTGCCTCCTTCTCTGTCAGGAGCTCCAGAAAACCACCTGGATGTCTTCGACTTCACGATACTCTGGTCGATCCTATAATGATTTTCTATGACCACTGAAAAAATATTAAAAAAATTAAACGATTCAGCAACAATTACAAAAAATTGAGTTGAATTAAATTTTACCGCTTATGCATTTGTAAGTTTGCGTCATGCTGAAATTTTTTTTAGCGACGCCTCGCACCGGTTTCCCACATCCGCTGTACAATAGTTGAACTTTTTTTACTAATATTAGTTCCAAACATTTTTTTAGGGCAATTTTAAAATCAGTCTCTCCGTTGGCGATTCTTTGCAATCGCAACGTCTAAAAAATACAAATATAATATTGTGATTTACACCGAGAATTGTATATTAGGAAAACTAGTTTTTAAAAAAATGTTTGTCTTTACCAATGCATCTCTTTTTGCCGGATTATTTTTCAACTCGTCTTCAAATTGTACAAATGGTACCAAATCATCAAATGGCATCGCCGGAAGATCAAGCAGTTGTGGAGCGTTCAGAGTTTGCAGCTTAATGAACTCTTTTATATCGTACAAGATGCTTTCTTGCATTTTTTTAATGTTCTTTTTGATCCCCTTTTCTATCTCCTCGATATCTTTTTTTGTTGCGAAAATTTCTGGGTCCAAACGCATGCGTTTGCTTGAAGGCGGTTCACATGATGAGCTTTCCCGCGAGGACGTATTTTTTTTAAATTCAGGTGCACCTATGACAAATTTTATTTAAAAAACAATAAGCTCTAGAATAATCATTGAACATAAATTTACCTGAATTTGCATCGGCTTCTAAGCCAGCAAAAAACCCTGCAAGTGACGACTCATCGATAATGATTTGAGGAGGATCCACAACAACATTTTCTGCTCCATCTTCATCGTTGTCAGTAGAACTGATGTTCGCGGTTTCAAAGGATTTTCTTAATCGTTTGACTCCTTGCTCATGATTTTCTGAAAATCAATAAATCATGAATTGATTTTAAACGCCCGAAATTATCGTCTAAGGTTATAACTGAAAAAGCAAATATCGCATTGAAATGAAAAAATCACGAGTTGCGTGAAGCGCTCTAAATCTTTTTTTAACGATAGATTAATGAAGCGATTGATAATGAATTTGAAAATAACTTACTCGCTTCCTTAAGCACATCTACTTCATATCGAACCCATTTCGCTCCTGGTTTTTTTTCTTCTCGAATCCATTTTTCCAATTTTGGATAGTCTTTTTCGTCAGGATAAACGCAAAACCATCCCGAGTCTTCATAGCTTAGCCAAGAAACTGGTACTAGCTCGGTAGATTTTAATCCATTGGGATTTTCCCAATTTTTGAAAACTACGACAGCAAACTTACTATTTTCTTTCAGTGACATTTTCGCTTTGACGGTTAATGAACAACTGGGTTATGTAACATAAATGAATAACAAAACAGAAATCGTAGAAACAAACAAATCAGAAATAATATATACTTATTTCATCAACTGTATATCAATTATACAGCCGACGGAATATATTATTAACAGTGTACTGAATTTTACATATGTAATAATTCAAAAATATAAGTTTTGTTATCAATATTTAGTTTTATACATTTTTTCAATATATCATCGCACGAGTAAATATTTTCTTTTTTTGAGCTTTTTTTCACGAGATATACTCCTACAGCTGAAGATGCAATGGGGAAATCGAATGCGTTTTCAGTGTAAAATTTACTTGCTTTCATCTTGAGCTTTTTTTCTTCATAATAAAGCTCCTTTATTTCTAACAAATTTCCATTGCTTAATAAGACCACATTATCTGGTTTGATGCAGCGAATTATATTATCTTTGAACCGAAACTCCAGCAACTCACAATCTGTCTCTTCACTCGTTAAATATTTGGAAGAAGCTACGTTTTTTTTTAAGATTCGACTGAAAACGTACCGCTTGTCAATAAATTTTTTTCCCAATTGTTGCATTTCAAATAATCTCCGAGTAACTTGGCTGAGGGGATTATTAGGAGTCCTAATCAACTTGCTTATCTGGCCTAAACAGTTTTCAAAAGCGTAGGCTGAAAACGACGATAAAGGCAGACCAACATACTTGACATCAGCAGCCACATGATTTAAATTGTGAAAATTCATCACCTGCGAGCTTTTACCAAACATCGTCGGCATAATCTTAAAAAAACCTTTGAGCAATGTATCAGCAAAATCGGCGTATGTCAAAGCAAGCTGCTCGTTGAACAAAATTCGGCAGGCAACAAACAGTAGCAGTAAAAATTTATACATGGCTTTGGAAATAAATCTTTCAAACAACATGGGCAACGTGTAACATAAAAGAAAGCCGTATTGAGTGGCTTTCCAGTGAACATAATCTTTTAAGTTGAATTTTTTTCTCTGAAACTCTTGAGTCATCCCAAGTTCTATTTCTGCCAAAATCTCTTCTAAATGTTTCTTTTGCCTTGAATTTAGTTTTGTCCTTTTATTTCCATCAACGAATTTTTCGAAAATTGACTTCATAACCCCCAAATGAAACAAGTGCATGGGTTCCAAAAATACCTGCCTTACAGGGTCGAAGCCAGGAATCCTTACTAAAGGAGAAGTAACATCGGGTTTATGATGCTCGGGTTGACTTTTATTCAAAAACGAGTCTTTTGAACGCTCATTTTTACCAACGATATCGTATATGCGCCTCTTGTCTACACTTCTACCTTTTGTATCGCATCGCTCACAAGCATAAAATCCTCCGTGGCCTTTCACATACTTGATTGCAGCTCTCGCTGGTGTATCACAAGAAAATCCTTTTAAATTGAAAATATAATTTTTCGTAGGCGTTTTCAAACCGTTTGTAATAAGATGAGCAGCTTCGTTAACAAAATCATCTAATAAATCTTCCATAAATTTTGGTTTTGAATCTCCACAATATAAAGCTACTGCAGCAGGAGTACATGTAAATTCTCGGTGCAAAACTCGAATCAAAATCGGCCAAAATTGTTTGCTAGAGTTTTTGTAAGGACTCATACCATCTATATTAACTAGAAGCTCAATTTTTTCATCGTCGTATTCACTATTCTCTAGCATTAGTAACAAAATTTTTTCAATACCGAAGTATGTATATAATCCATTATTACCTTTCGCTGTCGGTACAATAATGACTGTGTTTGAACATTTTTTAGTTTTTAATAATGTTTCCGCTCGAAGAGGTAACTTTTCTTTGACTTGATCGTGAAGTAAATGCAACAATTCGGTTATTACTGAATTTCTCAAAGTAAATATGTTGTTCATTGCCCACATCTGAAGCTTTTCTTTGAGAGTCGAATTTTCAGAATAATTTTCTAAGTGCATCTGTATATAAATAAAAAAATTTACATTCATTTGCTATCAGAAATGTATAAATAAAGCTAAAAAATTAACCTCATTGTTGCTTTTTGATGACTCATCTTCTTCATTTAAACTTGAAGTTTGACTGCTACTTGACGAATCAAATGTAGTTGTTGAGCCTGCTGATTCGGAGCTTTCAACTCGGTCGTCATGTGCTTCTATACTTTCATGTTGATTATCCAAGATTTCTTCGGGCAGTTCATGTTGTAGTGGTGGCTCAAAAACACACGGCTCGTTAAACTTATTGCACGCAACTACTTCCTTCGATTCTTCACTACACAACGAACTATTTGTACTTGAGCACTTTTTTCTTTTTAAAGCTCTAAATTTTTTTACGTGATAGTAACTTGTGAACATTTTTTTTACTCAAGAGAAACTATCACTTTAACAAATTCTACAATGGGTTATGTTTATAAGTGTCATAGGATGCACGTGTTGTTTTGTTAACGAGAAACCCGAAGTTTGACGATAAAAAACTGGTAAACGATGTTGGTCGAGTAATTGTCAGTCAACATTGGCCCGTACTTTCATACCGATTTGGGAACAATACGTTGGGAATACTGGCATATTGTTGTATGGCGCCAGGTTTGAACCGATATCGGACCAGTCGGTCAATACTGAATATTCTCACATGGGGTTGTTTATTATATAGCGATCGAAAATCAATAAAAATGCGACTATCATGGGTCGATGTCACATCCAATCGATACATTATACGACTCGTTCGATCTAGTGTACTTAGACAAGCCGAACGCGATCGTGAAATCCGATGCGCCGAATTGCTATACGGACGCGTGGCACGCGTCAATTATGTATATATTTATACAGTCTAAGAGTCGAGCGATGAGCATGACCAGAAAAAAAAGACTCTTCGAAGGGATAACAGCGTCGATGAGTGAAGCGGCGGATGATACAAAAAAAAAAAAAGAAGAAAAAAAGAAAAGATCTAGTAAACCCGAGCGAGTGTCGGAGGTGCGATTTGACGAGCCAAGTATATACACGCGCACGAGCGATCTGCCCGGAGCTCTCGTCATAACATAACTTAGTCAAAGGAAGAGAGAGAAAAAAAATAGAAGGAGAAGAAGCGCAAATGGCCCAAAATGCGACGACGAATACGCGCGTCTCGATGTATATACGAAAAAAAGGAGCAAAACACGAGAGGAGTCGAGCTGCAAGTTCAAATGCACGAGCGAATAGCCAAAGGTATTATACGACGCGTAAAGTGCGTAAATAATAAAAGAGGCCACGACAGAGTGATTAAAAGTGCGAGGTGAAAAATAAACAGAAAAAAAAGTCGAGAGATCCAAAGAGAGACGAAGTGGTATACCGAGACGTTGCGTACGTAAAAATTTTCGCATGAAGAAAGAGAGAGTAGAGAGCCTGGAATCTGTAAATCTGTCATTGAGAACGTATTAAAGCAGAATTGCCAGCATCACACGCGCATCTTATAAGTGTATATACCTCTCGCACCCTCGCTATATTATAACTTATGTATTATTATTATATATCTCCGAGCCGGATAGTGGAGCTAATAAAGCTTCCAGTGCGAGACGACTCGGACGATCGTTTCTCAACATTGCATTCTCGCAATTGAAACTTTATGCATATTGAGAAAATTGTAAGTTCGCGATAACTATGGTACTCGCGTATATAAACTTTTTTGACCGGTTCAAAACTCAAACTCTAAAAACGAGTCACAATGCGGTACTTCAGATATATATCAGCACGCGATCAATCAAATTTCATTGGAAAAGGATGCTCGTAACTACGCGTGAAAAAGAATCCGATACTCGTGTAAGTGACGTTCGGTGGTGTCCCACTGATTAATGTCTTTCAATACGCAACGAGTACCGAGAGCCCAAATTTAGAATAGTCGATAATTAATTGGCCAGATGATGGTTGCGGCTCGTCAACTACTAGCGGCGGTTTAGAATATTATGATAAATCGAGCGATCTTCACGTGGTGTGGCCACGGTGGTAAGGAGCTCGGCTCGAGACGTGGAAACTGGACGTGGAATTTCACGCGTGATATACGATTCGAGTATAATGTTTCCGGTTTCGTAGCCGCGAGCTCGATACGATAATTTGAAAATTTTGCAAGCATTGGTTTTGATTTTCGGCGATTTTTTTTTCGCATTATATATGGTAATATACAGCGTCGAACCAACTTCGGAGCAGCTGCGATATCTTTCTCTTTCTTGGATCTTTGAAAGCTGCAAGCACGTATTCTCTCCCTCTCTCTCTTTCTATACCGCACGAGCTGAGTGAGATGCCAAAACGATGCTCTGCTGCCCGCGACGATGATGTTTTTAGAGTTGCTTGTATAGCGTTTGCCACTTTATATTACTTGGAAGCGCTTGAATAAATAAATTATTTACGATAGCTCTCGAGCGAACATTGCAACGCTTCCGACGTGCCATTATTATAAACATTTCCGAAACTCGTCTGATTTTTATATGCAAAAATTGCGAACCCAAAATTCAATCGTACGATAGTTTTGAAATGTATACCATCGGGTCGATAATCTTATATCAATAGCGATTCGGTGCAAAATGTGCAGGTCGGAAAATCTGAAACACATCCGCTACATTGACTCCAGCAAGAGCTGCTGCTGGGCTATATTAACGATCAGTGGGCGAAGATGCAAAAGATTGCCGGTGTATATAGTTCCACGTGTACATTATATATAGCTGCTGCTGTTATAGCCGTATATACGAGCGGCGGCGAAGCGCTGACGGATTCACGGCGAGCGCGTGTGTACTTGCTCAGCCTTTAAAAAGCTCTCTCTCGAAATATGCCTCTTTTTACTTCCCTTATAGTCTTTGGCTCGCACTTGCCATACTCTTCTCTCTCTCTCTTTAATAGCATAAAAGCAAAGTAGGAAATCCTCGGCGGAGAGTTGCCGTTGCCGTACTCTCGGATTTTATGAGCGATGAAGTGTTGAAAGTCGTAAGCGCGAGCCCGAGTATATAGCTCGACAGACTTCGACGTTTGCTTTAGAGAAGCTCTCGACTCTCTATACGCTCGGGCGAATTTATTATAACGCAGTGGGCTGCCTTCGTATTATTTCAAGTGTGTTTTGACTTTGATCGCTCGTTCTTTTGAAATATTTCTACCAGCTATATAGCTTATTTAATAAATTAACTGCGCTTTGGGCAAATTGTATTTATTATAAACATCGCGCGGGACGACATATGCGATCGCGACGAATTGGCAAGCGATTTATATTCGAGAGACTGAGGTCTCAAGCTGGTGCCGCGGCAGGCGGATCGTGTATACGTCAATTTGTCGAAAATATAGAGCGAATATAGGTGCAAAGGTGAGATATGCGTCAATTGTTCATCGATGACTTTTTTTGTACGTTTGGGCTAAATTAGACGGAAGCCAAAGTTCAGCGGTCGATCCACGAGAGATTTTTGATCGGAGCATACCGTAATTGCCGTTGATATAGAAATGTTCGACGTTATTAATGGACTAATAACTAGAAAAATGATCGTTCAAAACGTTATAAAATACATGACCATTGATGGATTTTTTTTGCGAATTCTCTTTTCCGAACGTGTTATAAATATTAATTGCATTTTGAATTACCCGAAAATGACAATTCAAGTGTTCTGAAACGTTTAGACCAGTTTTCAGCGACTTTGAGTACGATAATCCCACTTTAAACCTCTACCGCTAGATGGCTAGTACCTTTGAATGTATAAATCTGCAAGTGGCAAAGTCAAATTACTTGTATAAGTCAACTGCTTGCGTCAGCTCAATTATCAACCCATATTGATATGTTTCTGCTACCTGGCTAAACCAATTATTTATTGTGTATGGCTAGTGATAGCATGGGCGCCTGAACTACTACAAAATATGTACAAATTTAAAAGTCGTGCTCCGCGCGTATTTGTATCTACCTCCGCAATAATGACATATTATAAAACTAAAATTAACATTAGCCATGTCTCATCAGACGATCTAGAGAAATATCACTCGATTGATGCTTGAGCAGATACTTGCATTACGAGCTTAAAAAGTACAAAACTTGACTCTTCCGATTCTCTAGTTGGCCAAAAACTAGCTCAAAAAAATGTCAATCATTTCGACTGCGGGGTAAGATATCGTAGCGCGATGATACATAGGCGCGCGAGCAAACGGAGTCGAAAGCCGCTAACGAACGTTGCAGAGGCTATATATTACGTATGCGCGGCCAATTAGTCGATGCCTCGTATTTGCGAGAGAGATCGGCTGCTGCGTGCACTACATATTATATATTATGCCTCTCTTGGAGCAGAGGCGCGTAACATCGCTCATTATAATTCGTGCAGCTCATACACGTGTGTATTTTCTTCTTCTTCTTCTTTTTCATTTCTCGCTCGTTCACGCGCTCGAGACACAAGAAGCGCCCCATATATATGGGGCAAATTTCCTGAAGTGTCCTAGCGCTCTGCCGCACGGCATTTTTTGGCCGAATCACTCAATTTCTAACTCGCTGTAAAAGTATCAAAACGCCCCTCAAAAAAATAACTAACTAATGATTTTGATAGGAAATTTCCTCAGCTTTCTGATGGCGAGGTCTGATTTTCCGGAATTTTCCATTTTCCCCTCGGAAAATGCAAGTAAACATTCAAACTCGAATATCTCGAAAAACGCCACTTTTTTTGTGTTTTTTATTGTTTCAATCGAAAGATGAGGTCTTTTTACATCGGACATGGTAGTTTTCAGAGTGTATTTTTGATGAAAACTAAGGAAAATACGAGAGGTTTTAGTTAGCGCTCGGCCGCTCAGCGCGATTTCGAGCCTTGCGCGGCTCGCTGTAACTTGTAACTCTCTCTTATGACATTGTGATTTGGCTGGAAAAATTATTAAACATATAGTTTCGATAGGAAATTTTGTCAGCTTTCTCATGGTGCAGTCGGATCTTTCGATAATTTTCATTTTCACCAAAAAAAATGGACTTCAAGGTCTATTTTCTACTTTTTCTAATGAATATGTGAATTATCGAAAAATCCGACTGCGCCATGAGAAAGCTGACAAAATTTCCTATCGAAACTATATGTTTAATAATTTTTCTAGCCAAATCATAATGTCATAAGAGCGAGTTACATGTTACAGCGAGCCGCGCAAGGCTCGAAATCGCGCTGAGCGGCCGAGCGCTAACTAAAACCTCCCGTATTTTCCTTAGTTTTCATCAAAAATACACTCTGAAAACTACCATGTCCGATGTAAAAAGACCTCATCTTTCGATTGAAACAATAAAAAACGCAAAAAAAGTGGCGTTTTTCGAGATATTCGAGTTTGAATGTTTACTTGCATTTTCCGAGGGGAAAATGGAAAATTCCGGAAAATCAGACCTCGCCATCAGAAAGCTGAGGAAATTTCCTATCAAAATCATTAGTTAATTATTTTTTTGAGGGGCGTTTTGATACTTTTACAGCGAGTTAGAAATTGAGTGATTCGGCCAAAAAATGACATGCGGCAGAGCGCTAGGACACTTCAGGAAATTTGCCCCATATATAATGCAGCTATGTGCGCGACTCATTTGTCGAGTCGCTTTGATCTGCGACGACGACGACGACGACGAACGCCGGAAAATTGGGTAGATTTATCGTGGCGTCGGCGGACTGTGCTCGCGTGGCGCTACGATATTATCGTATTTTTTTTTTATTTTGACACGCGACGAAATAATAACGTCGAAGATGCGCGCGTATGTATATAATTATACTCCGCGTGAACCGCGTGGCTGGAACCTGATTAAATCGAGCGAGATGCATTTTTGTTGCTGATGCCAGCGCGTCTTACTTTTGCCAATTTCATCGCTTGGTAAATGTGTGTGTGTATGAAAACCTTGAGAGCCGAAACGAGCTTGCGTCGGCACCTTAAATTGCGATGAAGAAATCGATGAAATATTTTTTCCTCCCACTTCTGTATGACTTTGATCAAAGAGAGGTAAACCTCGATCGCGCACGATATATAAGCTCTCCGATTATTCGTAATCTTGCCATACTCGGTTTTACGTTGTGGCCAAGGTAGGGTACATAAATTCGATAAAAATTAAAGCCAGCACTCGACGCTTTGTCGGGATAATTTGTCGGGAGATAAGTCTCACTTTCGACCAATCGTAGAATCAAACGGGGAGGGCGCGTAGTAGCAACACAACTGTGAAGTTCACGGATTATAGATCGGACAAAAGCTCCGAGGCCGAGAATCGAGCGGTCGCGATCTGTCGTCGAAACGTCGAGAGAATAAGCATACGCTTCAAAGTGCCAATGGGTGGTCCGCTCGTAAAACTCCGAGACACGTTCGGTCGAAGCTTTCCAGGCGCGAGCGAGTATGTGTATATACTCGCGCGCATATGATCGCGGTGTAAGTTCGAGACGGTTGAACGAATAAAGTACGCGATTTACTATGCGTTTCGATCGCGGGAAATACTCGAGTGGGCGCGTGTGAAAACAAAACTCGGGCAATTGGTAATCTTTCCGATCGTCGTCGTCGGGGGTGTGCACTCGGCAAATTGAAAGGGAGGACACTTAACACTTCCCAAACGATTAATACATAGAATTGCGTGCCAACGAAGATTCGCCTACATATATATAAGCAGGCTCGAAAGGATATGTCGCGCACGAAGACAAATTTCATACATAAAGTCTCGAACGCCCTTTCTTTTTTGCGCGCCAAAAGGCTTTAGGAGATACGCGATCGTAAAATATCGCGATCTCTCTAGCATCGGAAGCTGCTGCTGCCGCTGTCGTTCGAAGAAAGCTTCCTGCGCGGCTTGTGCTGCATGTGCGATCGTTTTCGTAACGAATAAAAAAAAAAAGAAGTTGCATTTCTGTATACTCGTCGCATCAGCAGCAGCAGCAGCGAAAAGAATCGTGTGTGTAGATTTTACGAGCGTATTAACGGCCGTCACGCCGCGAGTCGATCGTTGCAGTCCGCCCTACTATAGCTGTAGCGTCAGTGTCTCGATGTTATTACACACGTGTGCACTCGTATACATAGTTTTTATATATATTATACGTTTAAATGCGAACGAAAAGTAGTGCACTGAGAAAAAAAATTCATTGATTCAATGAAACGTTTAATTGAATACAATCTATGAAATAATTTCATTGAAATAATCTTTTTTTATTTCATCCAACAAAATATTTAATTGTTTTTACCAAAGTTTCATGAAAACAATTAAATATTTTGTTGGATGAATGAATTATTTCATAGATTGTATTCAATTAAACGTTTCATTGAATCAATGAATTTTTTTTCTCAGTATGCGAAAGGATCGCGACCGATAATGAAACGCAGACTCGATCGGCTCGCGTACTTACGCGCTTTACTATACGATTTACTTGCCCGAAGTGTTTACCATAAATTAGATGTTTTTTTTCTCCAGCTTCTAATCGCTGCTTTTGCTCGTAATTTTTGAGTAAAAAAAAAAATAAATAAAGAACACGCGCGCAACCCGTATGTTCGGCTCGCGCAACGAGAGCGATACTACTGTGCTTCGGAATATTACTCGTGTATCATAGCTCCCCAGAGTACCGTATAATGTTTTGGACGTTGAGCTTTACGATATCAATTACGTCTATGTACACGTACACGTACTCGTGGGTGTGCGTAATGCATTTTAACCGCGAACATCTCGGCCTAGATCACTACTACTACGACTCGTCACATAAATTGCGCGACTTTTGAATAACACACGTGTTCGGCGTATATCAATTCGAATGGTTTCGCGCTTGATTTTTATTGCGGAATCGCGGTCAGGAGGGGCTCCCCAAAAAACTATACACAACGATTCGTAAAACCGAAAAAATCCGTCACTCGGCCGCCCGTCTCAAGTACTAGAACTACATAGCACTGCAGGCACGCAGTACGGTTTCGACATTATCATCGTTATGCTACACAGCATCGAAATACGGAGTAATAGGAGAGGAAGGAAAAGAAGGGGAGGGGACGCGGCGCGTTTTTAAGTATAGAGACACTAATATGTTTACAGAAAACGACGGCACACACACGAGAGCATCTAGTAGTAAGATATACATAAGTTGTCGTTTTCACGCGTGCAGCAAACGCATCAATCACAGCTGTTGCAGTTGCGAGCTGTGTGTGCGGCCACGTGCAGCGATTCCTCGAGCGCGTGGGTCTTCTTCTTTTTGTCGTTGTTGTTGTCACGATCGTTTTTTGCGATTAAAGCTCGTGTCCTCCGTATAGCTACACGCGCGACGTAGGCGATAATGATAACGATCCCCACTTGACTCTCGATCGTCTCGAGTGCGTCTGCTGCCCAACGCGAGATGATTATTGCCTTTCGAATTCGTGGACTGCAGTTGGTATATGATCAAGGATTGGAATAAAAGAAGTGCATTTTCTTAGATCTATATAGATAATTTATTGCTCGAAAATAATTCGATAAAATTCGTCGATTCGCAATCGATTATAATCAATCTTTCCTTTCTTCCGTTAAAAATTAACGTTATTCATACAAATTTAGCCGTGCGTTTCGCACTCCGTTCTGGCGAATTTTTTGCGCGTCTCGCATAGATCTTGGCGCGCAAGCTCTCGACTTTTTTTACAAACTCGCGCGAGTCGAATAACTCATGCGCTATTACGTTCTATGAATCGGCAAAAGGCTTCCCTCCCCCCGCCGTTCCGATGATAATATCGTTAACATTCGTACAGGCTGCAGTCGCCACACTCTCTTGGTCATTATATGTATATTATTTCGTACATGCGTCAGGCTGCACAGACTTACACCACACACAAACGCACACAAACACTCTACGCTCTCGCTCGATTCTGCGCGCGGCCGTCTCGGAGCGGGTGATTTATTGCCCTCCCGACGAGGCACTTTACTCTTCTCTCCTATATACGACGTCGACCCAAAAGAAATAGGTTAGCGCGTCTTGGGTCTCTATAATATGTACTTTAGGCTCGTCGTCGTATTCCTTCTTTTTTTTGTTTTTTTGCGCCGCCGCCGAGTTTGGCACTTAACGCGACTTTTACAACATAAATAGATAACGCACACGTACGACGCGTTGCGTATTCATTTGCTCCCCATAGCTACAAAAGGTACTTTGTTACTTACTCTCTCTCTCGAGGTTTCGCGGGCCTCTCCCTAAACGCCGCAATCGGCGCGATGTGTAATGCTCGTAAATTACTCGGTACATCTTTTGCTTATACGTACACACACATAACTATACGTTATGCACATTTAAATGTTACTAGTAGTAGTAGTTGATCTACTCGAAAAACTAAGTGAACAAAAAAGGATAAGGCACAAAATTGAGAAACGGCTTCGATTATATTTTTTTTTTCTTTGGTTTTGCAGCTGCTTTATGCGATGGTATTTCATGATATTTGGTACAATCAGTTTGTGTGATAATAATAATAATAATAATAATTAACTTTGGTGCGATCGAGTTGTTAGGTATATGAATAATTTCGATTGTGTAAATATGTATAACAAATGGCACGTGTAAATAAATTATGTCACAGATTCTATAAAAAAAAAAAACTGCGGCGCGTATATTATTTTAATTTGACTAGTTAACTCGAAAATGCCTTACTCCGTAGTCCGTCCATATACTGCTTGCTGCACGCAACGAGAGTCTCCTAAAAGCACAGTACACTAGGATGCACAAAAAATCCCTTACAAACTATCGTAGTGTATACAATGACAAACGACTTATTTTATACTTATCTATATATAAATAGGATAAGGCACACAATCACACAACGATAAACTTCATATATTACGTAAAGAAAAACCCCCCCGAACTTGTCTTAATTTTAAATTATATACATCGATGGTCGATACGGCACCCGTGCGTAATGGAAAAGAAAAATACTGCTGCTATCGAGGGCCGTAGAGAGCCGCCGCCGTCGAGGGATGGTGATAGTGCGGCGGCCCCGTCGTCGTCGTCGTCGCCGTCACGCCGCTGCTGCCCTGCGGATGATGATGAAGATGATGATGATGATGGTGCACCGGCGGCGGATAGGCGGCCGCCACCCAAGCGGCAGCCGTGGCCGGGCTGCTGCTCGCGTAAAACTGATGATGCTCCTGAGCGGAGACGCTGGGCACGAGAGCCACTCCGTTGCTCGGATAGTTAGGTTGTTGTTGTTGTTGCTGCTGGTGTTGTTGCGTCGGACTGTGAGCCAAAGGTCGATGATGCTTGCTCGAAGAGGAGGAGGAGGACGGGGAGGACGAGCTGGAGCTCGAGCTCGGAGGGGACGAGGACGTCTGCACTTGAGCGATCTCGTTGCCAGCGCCACCGCCGTTGACGCAATCGTCGGGCTCGCAGTCGCGGAAGCCCTTGGCGAAGGGATTGCTGGCGATCTTGAGCTGGGTTATGCGGTGATTCTGGTAGGCGGTGACGGCCGTGAAGCGAGTCTCCGGGAAGCAGAAGGTCTTGAAGTTCTCGGTGCGCGGGTCGGGCAGCGAGCCCGGCGGCGACGGGGCCACCACCACGTGGCAGCGCGGCTGGTAGCGGTGCATCGAGTTCAGTATGATCTGCAACACACGCACAAGCATATTATATTTTTACGAGGCGTGTAGTAGAGAAAAAAAAAAATTCGACGCAGCATCGAGTCAGTGCCAAAACTACGTAAGAGAGAGAAATTGAGAGAGAGGAAATGTTTGGCGAATTTTACGATCGCGTTTACGTTTTATCTCGAAATTTAACGATCGGCATATCCTACTTGAATAAAAAAGAGGCAGCAGCACCTTGTCGACGAGCAGCAGCGTCGAGTGCGTGGGAGCTGCTACGTAGATGCGCGCTGCGCATCTGTCGCGGAGCTTAGAGAAAGAGAGGAAATTTATCGCGTCGAAGAGAGACGCAAAAGAGTTATGTATCGCTGACGAATTATATAGCTATACGAGAAAGATTGCGATTCACGAAATTTATATCTATATTTGTACGTTTGTTTGTTTCGAAGTAATCGATCGAAAATCGACCCACTGGTCCATATTATTTCTCGCGTACTTGAAACATTAACACCTTCTAATTAATGAAGGCTTTTCGTTCGAAATATACGCGCATACGGATACAATTAGACGAGTTTCCAACGAGATGTCGTATACTTTGCCGTCGTACACACAGTAGTATCGGGTTACGTCGGGACGCGTCTCGATGCATGATTTATTGCGGGCGCGTCGACTGTGTGTGCGTTGTTGCGGTAAACGCGCCGCGCACGAATCGCTGTAGGAGGTCGACGAGGACCCGCGCGGCATCAATTTGACAATCCCAACGAGATGCGGCTTTTTGAATGACTAATTGGCTCCGAAAACACACGGATAAATGTACGTAAGAATTTTCTCCTTGCCTTAAGCTTGTAAGGAGTGTCTATACGGCACGCGTCTAAACCCCCCTGTTTATATCTCGAGAGCAGGTCTTTACGATTTTTCTACTGGCCAAACAAAAAATTAGTATTTAAAAATCGAATCATTGTTACTCTTCCTATGCGAGTCGTTAAACTGCGTGCTTGTGTAGCCGCACTTACCGATGTGTTTTGTTTCTCTCTCTCTCTCTCTCTTGACTCGCGACTGGGAGTATAATTTTCGAAAAATCATAATTACTTTGGCAATTAGGGCCAGAGCGCTGTTATAACCAGAGCTCGATGGAAGCGCGTGTGGCCCTTGTCAAGCTGCGCGTCACATATCATATACGCGACGAGCCAAAAGAGATAGATGTCTCGCGCGCGATGTCAAATTCTGACGTACGCGATATTTTTCTCTCCACGCCCCCCGTTATTTTTTTTTCTTTTTCTTTCGATTTCGAGCGCATACGATACGCTTAGCGTCTCTATATGATACACATATCGTAAAGTGTCAATTATAAGCACCACGATGTAACCGAGAGCCCGAGAGTTTTAATTATGCGAGAGATGTGTGTTTTGAAAAAGCTCGAAAATCAAGTCCCGGCTAGAGAGACGCTTTTTGTTTTCTAAATATCTCGACACGGGCTGCTGCTGCCGCTACTCGACAAATTGGCTGTGATTTAAATGAAAAACAAAACAAAAAGAAACGACAAACTATACACACCCACTATCGGTAAGCGTCGATCGAAATCCTGCGTTGCACATGCACGCGAGCTCTCGCACAGGCAGCTTGCAGTTATACACACAAGCGCCTGTCGCGCAAAAATTAATTCGGATAAACATCTCGACGGTTTGTAGCGCTCGCCCGGCTCTCTTTTTTTTTCTCGGAAGATTCACGCCTGCTCCTATCTCGTACACGTCTCTTTCGTTGTAACGCGCGCGCGTCTTCGTCGTTCATCTTTCGGCCAAAAATTTACCGTACGCGAGCGACATTTTTGTCGGAACTCTGGAGCAAGAAAAAATGATCGATGCATCGCTGTGTGCTGCTATGCAGCGGTACAGTGCGAAGTATTTCGGAACGAAGAGGAAAAAAACAAGCGTAACGCAAAAATTTAAGGACGCACGATTCACTATACTTTTCCGGACGATTTCAACAAAATTTTATAAAATCATCCACTCGGGCGGTGACGGTATAGCGGGAGAAATTCTTGGCGGTTGCAATTAAAAATAATCCCTCCTCTAAAAGTAGGCGCCAGCGCGCGAGGCAATAACTTTATGCGACGATGCGAAGCTCGCCAAATGCAAAATGCAAAATATGTGTGAGCTGGGGTGGCCGTCGCGTAGCTGCGGATTTCTCACGCACGATTGAAATATAAATATATCGCGCGAGTTCCGCGCGGTTAATTTACTGCGTTTAATATATAAGTTTTATATTATGCACCAAAGCGCACACGTATATCCTCGCGATGCGACGCAAAAAAAAAAGAAAAAATTAAAATACACACGTTATTAAGTCACCGTCGTCGTCGTTAGTGACGATATAGTCAGATTCACGTAAACGACAAACACATGCTCTATATAACATGAGAAATAGTACTGTGCAAGGAAGGTAGGCGCGCACACGATCGAGGCCCGGCCGTCGGGGGGATCACGCGCGCATATGCAACTGTGGACCATGCGAAGCTACGAGCTGATAAATCTCCGCTGAGAGAGAGTTGAGGGAATTTCTTACGCTCATATACCAAAAAACGAAATAGGCGATACGAGAATTCGAGTAGCAGGGCGAGAAGAATTCCGTAGCAATCTCGAGTTCCAAGAAGCTGCCGCAAAAATATAATTACGAATTTCTAACTCACGTGGCCGTTATCGTCGAGCTGATTGTTGGTGAGCTTGAGCTTGTCGAAGGATATGGGCTGCTTCATCCAGTGGCTGCCCGTGGCGGGACTGTCCGGGTGGACGTGTATGCGCGGCGGCGAGACGGGATCGGCCCTACCCGCGACGACCCAGGCGCTGCTGTGGAAGGCGTAGCGGTAGCGCTTGTCGTCGCACGGCACGAAGTCCATCACGAGCAGGTACTCGGTGCTGGGCTCGAGGCCGTACAGCCGGCACTGGAACGTGGGGAACATCCGTCGGCCGGCCTTGGTCACGATCATCTCGGTGCCGAGCTGATGGAACTCCTCCCAGAGCGGCCGAGCCTCGAGGGCCGTGCCGGCCGTCGCCAGGGCCGGATGCAGCGGCCTCAGCTGCTTGGCGCTTGTTTCTCCGCCGTCCTGCGTAGCGGTTCCCGCGTTGTTGCTCGCGTGGCTACTGCTGCTATTGTTGTCGTTGCTGTTGTTGTTGCTGTCGTTGAGGCTGATTCTGCCCGTGGTCGATGGCGAACCGTCGCTCGTCGTCGGATTGTTGATTGGCGTCGGTGGCTTCTTGCAGCTCAAGCCGTTGTTGTTGTTATTGTTGTTGTTGTTACCTGCCGTTTGCAAACAAGCTGTAACAGCGGTACAATTATAGCCGAGGCGTACGATTTTTTCCCCCTTCTCGAGCTTTCGTTTATATACTCGTATGTTATTGTTTAGACTGGACAGCGCTTGAGCTTGCGGATCGACCGTGAAATCCGCGCTTTGTAAATGGACCGTAAAAATAATAATCAATTGGGATCGGCGAAATCGATCGACTTCCCGAAGTCTGTGTATCGGATATAACTAAATGCAACGCTATCGTTGGATTCCGCACTCGCGCGAACCCGAGCAAGACGCCGTTACCGCAGTCAAGAGGGAGCTTGCGGTATGCTCAAAAACAAAAGCAAAACAATTTGGAGAGGCCATTTATTTTCTCGTTTGCAACGTGATGTACTCTCGCGTGTACGACAATGCAATCGAATCAAAAAGTAGTTGCGCTCTAACTACGGCTTTTCGTTCTTTTGTCTCTCTCTCTCGATGAGACTATATTTACCCCGAGCGAAACGAGCGAGGAGGTGCCTCGATGACTATTTGCTCGACTCGCGATAATACTTAATTTGCCTTTTTTTGAACGAACATAACCGGTGGCAGTGGCGTGAATATAGGCTTCGTGTATCGGTTGCGAAGCTTGTATTACAATTTCGTCCCATCTTTCGTATCGTTTATCAAAAAAGTCTTTTTCCGTAAAAGAAGTGATCGATTCAAAATGAAAGCCAAAAAAAAGCCAACCAATCGAGCATCTCCGAGTTCTCGGGCGCATAAAGCTCGCGCGGCGATAAAACTCGGTCGTCTATAAAAGAATCGAAGCGAATAACAACGGTCGAGCGTGCGCAACTTTTCGAAAGCTCGAGTTAGCTACTTTTTTGGCAGCCGAAAGGATTCGAGGCCCAACGAGGTCGGGGTGAAGAAAAAAAACATCATCGCCGACTCCGCGTTAGTTATACTTTTTGCTCGCGGACTATCGTGTATACACGCCGGATCCCAAAGTGCGAAAATATTTATCCGAGCGCGTACGCGACATCCGATACAGCAGCAAAAGTCTATGCGCGAGCGAATTATTGCACCGGTCGATTTTTCAAGGTGTAACGTCGAACGTTTCTAAATGCAGATATGTAGAGGGGCATTGTGCAATTGTTACACGCACGTACGCATACGATAATGTAATCCGTTATGAGATTGAGCCACCGATCGTTTTTAGGCTTGCGATTGCTCAATTATAGCGTTGTGCCGTACCGAACGAGAACTGCACAATCGCGACAGGGTTATATCCACGCCAGATCGAAAGATGCGTCTCGCACTTTGATATTAGACAAAAAAAAAGACACGAACCTTCCATTTGTTGCATCGGCGAGGGTATGTGATGCTGCTGCAGTTGTTGTTGCTGCTGTTGCTGCTGCTGCTGAAGCTGCAAATGATGATGGACCTGAGCATGATGGCTGATCCACGGCTGCTGATAGCAGCAATCGCCCGAGGACTCGTGTCTCTGCTCGTGATGCTGCATCCTCGTGCGTCACTGCTTTACCGTCCAATTATATTTATGTACGCGGCACTTTTTTTGTTGTTGTTATCAAACTCACCCCCGAAAAACGAACGGATCGACGGTAGTAGTAACGACGAAAGCGTCGCGCGCACAAAGATAAATAAATAAATGGAAGAAACGATAGGTCGAGTCGGAGCCAGAGAGCCGGGTAAAAACGTCAACGACTCTGCTGCGATCCACGGAACAGCGTCATATCACACCCTCCTCGGGCTCGAAAGAATTTCGGCTAATCATCACGTGTGCGCAGTGGACCACGAGCTGCTACCGCTGTTGCTATGAATAAAAGTGCCAAGTTTATACTACGTGCGAATTTGCACGCTGCGACGCACGTCGTCGTCGTCGTCACAACAGGGTTGCGCGCTATCAACGTCACAGTGAGAGAGGCGAAAAGAAAGAATCGATCCTCGACTGCACACACACGACTGCGTGTTTGACGCGCGGAGAGAGAGAGTAGAAGCGCGACTAGATCACACGCAGCCCGAGGAGGAGTCGTTATCATCGCTCCGTCATTTCTTTCCCTTTTGGGTCGCGACTGCTGTGCCCCCCTTCCACCACCACCGCCACTACCAACTTTTTCGACGAGCGACAAGCCTTTCTCGAATGCGTAACGTGAACGGATGCACACCCGCGCACTATACACAACGATACAATATCTCTATACAGATACATCTCAAAAATTTGAGCGCGACGACGACGATTGCGTATACGGGGCTAGGAGGAGTCTGTCGGCACCACCCACGCAACTCGCAAATATACCTATATAGATATAGACGCGTATCTATCGCAGAGCTCGCGGCACATGCTCGCGCGTGAGCCTATGGTACTGTGATATTATACAAGTGGGGGAGCAGCAGCGACGGCGGCGGCATCGGCCTATTCTCGCGCGAGCTTTTCGACGCGTGCGTGGGCGGAGCTTTGGCTTATACGGCGCGAGCCGAGAGGCGCGATTGCCCGAATTTTCTGCGTATCTCGCCTGGCATTTCAAGAGCGACGAGAGAGAGAGAGAGAATTTTGCGACTTTTTGTACAATTGGATTTTTCGTCGCTTCGTTGTAACATCGTACCTTATTCTGTTTCGTCGTTAGTGCTACGAGCTTTTCATGACTTGACCTGCATTTTTTGAATTTCTTTTTAAATGATTAACCTTTTGTAAGGATTGTAAAAAAAGTTTCAATTGAAATTCAAAATATTTAAATACTGTAAAAATCGTAACAATTAAAATGAGTTGTTTACCGAGGTGTCAGTGACCCACATCAATTGGTGTAATGATTATCGAATTGAATCCATCCTCAAGTACAGAAAGACTCGAGATTGTAAACAGACCCTCGTAAAATCAGTCAAACCCAAACGATAATTTCATTGGAGTCGTTATAAAATGTATCACTTGAACATGTATCGCTCCAACAGTTCCCATATGCGTTCACCGATAAGATGAAAATAATTACAGTTACTCAACCGCTCGAAGATGTCGGGCAAGGAAATTTATGAAAAGCTCGAAAACAAAAGCACGGAGCAAGCAAGAAAACGACGCCTTTGAACTAGCATAAATAAATTATAATAATTTCTTTTTAAAAATTATCACTCGAAACCGTGTAAATCGTATTAGCGCGCACAAATATCCGACGACAGATAATTTAATTGTTGCATTAAAAAAAAAAAAAAAAAATGATTAAGCGCTGACGGTCGAAACGGTCTCGGAACACGAAATAAATCGTTCAGTGGCCAATGAAATGTAAATCGACGCTCTCTCGCGGGGGGTTGTAACGGGTGTGAACGAGATACTACACAAAAGGTGCAGCAGCAGCAGCACAAGGTGGGGCGTGAAAATGACGAGCTCGGTGCGAAAATCCGTCACACACACACGGACTAAATAGGTGGGGAGGAGAGAGAGAGATGATTATACATATCAGCGCTTGCAGAAAATGCTTGAGTGATTGGCTAATTCGCACGTTGTTGAGTAGATGCTTTAGCGATGCACGCAGCGCGGCTACATAGTGTGGCCCTCTCTCACACACACTCGCATGCACACGGGGGGGCATCGAACGACTCTATACTGCTTGGGTGAGAAACAGCGATCGGTCAGATTTTCACGCTTCGACTCTCAATCTTTCGCTCAGCTAGCGAATTAGTACATCGTCGTCGTCGTCGTCGCCGCGTTATAAGTGCGAATTGCAGCTTTTCTTCGCGCCACGCAGGCGAGCTTGCGCGCCCCGCACGCTGCTGTATCCGGATGTTTGCGATCGAGCTTTTTCGTATCGACGTTCGATATTCGCTGAATTTTTCGATGCGGGATTGGATTGATTTTAAAAATCTTCAATTTCTCAGTCAACGATTGATAATTTTTTTTTCCTCGAAATATTACAATCGTGCGGCATTCCGTATATATTTATACTGTTTGATTCTATAAATGTAAATTACGCATAAATTGCGCACACCGCGCGGTGCAGCTTTTTCTCGAAATTTATACATCACGTAAGCGCAGTCGCGCGTCCATGTATTTCAACGCCTTGAAAGTTTATTCCGTTGCTTTTTCGCGCACGATGCACCGGAGAGCTTTATGTATTATTTTCTCCGTTTGCCTTCCATATCGACGATACAGCTCTATACACGTTATATATATAAACGTGAGCGCGTGCGGCGATCTATTCAATTTGTTGGCCGGCGAGCCAAAAAGGCGGAGTTTCGATTCGTCGGACGCATGCGAGGCAGAGAGAGAGAGAGAAAGAGAGAGTAGCCACCCAACAAATTACCGAGTTCTCTCTGCGCCCGAGCCAGAATATGCACTTATGTAAAAGCTCTCGAGAGCCGCAGCAGCAGCAGCAGCAGCTATTCCCGACGACGTGTGACATTATAGGCGCATTGTTTTCCCTCTAGATAGCTTCTCTCCGTAGTCCGAGCTGCGATACAACCGCAGGAGTACATTTAGACCCGAGTGACTCTAATTTTTCGACTCTTTTTTATTTTATTCTCGTGTACTTCTTTACTTCCTCTCTGTATAGCGAGAACGCCGACAACGACTTACTTTTATTATATACGCGCGCATAGCGGCTCCGAACTGTTTACTGCTGTTCGAGTCGGAGCTCGTATAAACTATACCAGTCGTGCGGTGCGCGGAGCGTGTTGACCTTTTTTAAACGCCCAATAATGAGGTGCGAAGAAAATTCAACGGGGCCGTCTTGTTATATTTTTCGGAAACGCGGGTGCTTTTTCATTTTCGTTTCTCTTGAAAATTTCCTGCGCGTGTCGCTTTTGAGATTTAATCGCGCTTGCCTCGCCCTGTACGAGCACACATTTTTTAAATAAAAACTGATAAATAGCCTTTATAATAATTCTAGTAAATTATATCGGTGTCACTTTTCGGCTATAGGTAGACTAAATTTTCGCATCGTTTCAGGCTTGCAGACGGTTAATTAAGAATTGATTTTGCATCGATCTTTATGAGAATTTGAATCTTAATTAATCGTCATCCATACGATATTTTACTGTAACTATTGCAGTAAGATTATGTCTGTTTTATAATACAGAAATTGAATTAAAGTTATAATATGTAGAATAACTACTGTAATTAGGAGAATACTAATGAAATTGATGCAATTATAATTATTTGTTTCACTTGTTCGAGTTTATTACGCAACGGGGGTGGGAGGTTGTTAAGTTTGCAACCCAAGCGTAGCGAGCCGTGCGGGAAGAAGCACTTTCGACACACTGTGATAAAAATGTGCTTTTTCGGGTTGCAATACAAACTCTCAAGCGGGGAAAGTTTTATTCTTTCAAATGATCAACGAAAAACCAAGAAACAAGCGTAATTCCGAAAAATTATGAAAATCATCTCGCAATCGTCTTCCAACCCAAGTCTGCTGTTGGTGGAAAGATAATATTCTTAACTACGATTGATACCTATCTCATAATAGCACTCCGAATACCAGAAGTACCCTAATTCGAATTACATTTTTTTATTTCTTTCGTGCAGATGTATAAAGTAGGTGCACTGCACCTAGCCGACATGTCTTAGCTGAAAATAAGGCAAATTTTAACGTAATGAACTTGTTTTAATTAGATTTTTTTATAAAGATTATTTTATAAAATAAAGTTATAAACAATTTATTATTATAAATAATTTTTTTGAAAATTTTTTTACAATTTTTTTATACTTTGTCGGCTAGGTGCTTCTGCACACCTCTTGATTTGTCAAATATGAATGTCAATTTTACAAGTACTGCAATTTTAGTCTAAAATATTGGCAAGGAGCTTCTTCATAAATAAGTCTATTAATGAAAGGGTTTGGTTATTAAAAGGAAAATTCCTATACGACCATTTTCATTTTCGTATACGAAAGGGCAGAAAATTCGAGAGATCTCTAGAATTTCGTGCACAAGGCCGAGAAGGAAAACATACATACAGACATTTGTTGGTAATTCAATGTAGTTTCCAAATATGTAACCACAATTTTCCTACAACGTCTGGTTCCAAATCTCATTTTAAAGCTTATCACATAGCTGCCTCTATAAGAAAGCAAAAAATGAAAGGTAACGATTTGACCAGAGTCAAGGTAAAAATGAGAATTGTCAGAGATATTTTCAGAGACTTCTAATTCAAAGTTGTCTGGAGAATACCATAAGAAGTTGAAGGTGAAACGCAACTCTTTAAAAAAAATACTAAGCACCTAGTTTAATTTTTTAAATGAAAAATGTTTCAAAGGTCTCCCGTTTTAAATTATTCTCACTGATACAAACTTATTAAAACTCGAAAAAAGTTGTACACCTAAAAATCCACTGGTGAAAATCAAAATTTTAAAAAGACTCAACGTCTGCCATCTGTCGAAGATTCGATACACTTGAAAATGAGTCCTCACTGCAAGAAAGCTTTTTTATCGGCATGAATGTTTTTTTTTAATTTGTGCAAATGACTTATCGTTACGTTATTTCACACGAAAAAAAAATTTCATTTAGTTTTATTAAACACGCATTCCTTCATCAATGACGATAAAAAATATTAATCCATATTAATCGCAAAAACATTACTATTTCTACTTCAATTAAAATTTGCTCTCGTCGAGTGTAATTTTTTCTATTTTATGAGGAAGGATAAAGTAAAGACAAAATCATTACAAATGTCTGTCCTGGATTTTTTTTCAGTTTAATAGTGCCTTTAATTCTCGCTGCGCACACCACTTACATGCAGTCTCAAGTTTTCGCACGTTGACATAAATCATCCGCACACATTACGTCCTATTAGACTTCTGACAAAGTAATCGCCGCTTTTGTCTTTGTACGCTTCTCGTCTCCTCTGTGATTATATCATGTAATATACACACACGCACACATGTGAGTACAATCCATAATTCTTGCAACTGTACAGTTACGAGTCAAAATTATTTTTTACCATCTCGATTTTTATTAAATTATTTAAATGTGTGCACTTTGCGCTCCGGCACGCCACCTAATAACTAGTCGTAATTTTTACGAAGTATCATTGAAACTCTTTTGCAATTGTATTTTTCATATTTGAAAATTAAGTCGATACAATCAAAAGCTTATTTTAAAAAAACTTACTAGTATTATTACAAGATTACTTGGTGTACCAAGAGAAACTAAATTATTGTTGCTGTTTATCCCTATATATGTTCGTTTAGTTTCACTAAGGCGTAAAAAAGCTGAGAAAAAACATATTTGAAAAGAGAAAAGATCGGTAATACAAATGTTTTAAAGCTATCCTTAGAAGAATTATTTTTTGTACGATAAAATTTTTGTTTACATTCAAAATTTCATTACAACTATGTATATCATATGCTAAAAAAAAAATTACAAATAACTAAGTCGTCACATTAACAATATTTAAAAAAAAGATTAACGATGGAAAAGTAATAAATTATTTGTATAAATAAGTTCGACTTCTAAATGTTTGCCTTTTCACAATAATATTGTAATTTTTGTTAAAGATTCATATCAACGGTCGTATGATTTTATTGCTTGTAATATGAAAATTTGTTGTATAAGATTTCAAGTCTTTTCAATCAATCGCAAGTGAGCTTTTGTCATTTTAGTCGTTTTAACACTTGCTTTATGCAGAAATTGCTTTTTAGTGCGTTCCACGTGTAATTCTTAAATTGCGTTGTCAGCGATTTTTTTGATACCCATCTCCCGAGCATATGGTTTTTTTTTTCGTTAATTATATACTTGGTCATTTAGAGAAAATAGTAGCAAAATTTCGAATTTGTTAGCTTGACAGAGTGGCAACATTGATTGATTTCTTGCTTCAAATTTCATTAAACATGATTGGAAAGGCAGAATTCTGGAGAATTGTTGAACAGGATAAGAAGTCCGGAAGACTGAATGAACAAAAAAAAAACGAAAGATAAGTCTTGAAATCGACAATAGAAAGCTGAATCTGAAGTACTGTAATCGTTGAATTCGAGCCCGCTCGATTGTGATCAATGAGTGTGTAATGAATAAATGACAGATTATGTTTTGACATGAATTTTTATTTAGAAAAAAAATGTACAATGATCGGGAGCTAGAAAACGAAGTAGTTTGTGTTATTAATAATTGTTTTTTTCTTAAAAAGAAAAGAAATCTACAATTCGTCGCTGCTGATGGTCCACAATGATGTTTCGTTTGGTTTAACGCAACGACATGAGCAATGAACGAAACTACTTCTACAGTGCATAAAAAAACTCAATCATTAATGATTCCTATCATCATTTGAAAATCAGAAAATAGACTTAATTAATTAATCTACAAAAAAAATTTCGCTGACAATGAGAAGATAATGGACGCTGTCGCTTAAACATGGTCCATTCGCCACTAACTAAGTTTATTTTAATATGTATACAGTTATATATCGATAATAACCGAAAAAATTCCAACAGATGCAACTTATACTTCGCGAACACGCACTTATTGTTTCACTGCACGTTTTGGGATCATTCGCGCTATTCTTGTTAGTGAACGCATTATTATTTTACTCCACTGCAAGTGGATTTGTTTTTAGTTGGGCCTGAGCGTATTAAAATTTTGTGCGAGTGAAACAATAGGGCCTTGGCTGATGATACTTAAGAGATGTTATAGTGATACCCGCAACATTTTTACATTTTTTATGGTGACGAGCAAAAGAAGGTTTCGAGGAAAGAAGAAAAAATACCTTCCGATGTTTTCTCTTACAGCAAAAAAGAGAAGATTCGTCTTTCTGAGAAAATTCATACATTAGCTCGCAATTCGTTTGAATCTTCTCTTCCTTGCAAACGACATCGAAACCATGAGTGCCTTTAATCGTTTATATAAAGGGAACTACACTTCGAATACTCTTCTGTACAACTAGACAAAAATTGTTCATAATCATCTTTAGCGCTCTATAATTTGATCACTATTATTTTTATTCGGTCATCTAGAAAAGAATTATTTCTCTACCTTAGATTAGACAAAAACTATACAAAAGCCTATAGGCTTACCGAATTTCATCATCCTCGCGCTCGATATACACAAATTCTAATCGTCACGCGTACAACATATCTATGAGCTCTTTAGAGGCCGCATTTTCAAATACAAATTAAAACTAAAACAATTTTCATGATTGTAGTTCCGACTCTATCGTGCTTTTTTCGGCTTCCTCGTTCATGTAATAAAACTTCAAATCAACACTTAAAATATTTGTCAGTATTTCTTTTTCAAATACATATACAATGACGAAAATAGAGTTAAGTCATATTATTGTGTTCAGTATGGATGGCTTCGCGCACATAATTACCCGCATTTAACGAAATCATTTATTCATTTTTTTAAACTTATTTTATGAATGTACTCGTAGTGATAGTTCTTTAAATAACTCTTTCTTACAAGGACTCAAGAGTTTTTTTGCCGAGAGGTGGATGGTAGGATTTATTGGGACGGGAGCTGAAAGGAGAGAGATGCCTTAAGATCCTAAGCGTCGCGTTCGAGTGAATTTAAGACGACAGTTTCACTTCTTTTTGTTTTTATTGTTGGCACCACGTGGCGGCGTCACAGGTCTTCCAGCGTTTAGACCGCCGTACGTGAATTTCCTTTTGTCGGCGGGTTTCAGAATTTGGAAGCTGCACATCAATGTCTCATCAACAGACATCATGGCACCAGCATTGTCGAATTCACCGCAATAATTTGGCGCCGAGAATAACGTTACCAATTGCCTTTTGGCAAAGAATTCATAACCATCTTCTACGACCTGTTAATAATAATTTTTTATGTTTTAGAAGGGACATTTATATCCATAATCCACATTATTTTAATATCAATATTAAAATAATGATGTTGGTAAAAACTAATTATGAAGTTCAAAAATTGAAAAAAAAAAGTTTAAAGGAAGATTTTAATGACAATTTAAGCCTGAAGAATAGTTTTACCTGATGAGCACGACATATCAGATCAAAATCGTGTTTGTGAAGAAATTTGGCAACTACTTCGGCACCAAATGTGAATGAAACGCCACGGTCGTTCTCTCCCCATCCCATTGTGTCTTTATCAGGATCTGACCACAGCAAATCACACAAGAGTCCCTGATCAGGAACATCAGTAGGTCTCATGATACGTCTAATTTGTTCCATACTCTGAAGATCAGGACTAAGACCACCGTGACAACAGAAAATTTTCTCGTCAACAATTGCAGCTACGGGTAAACAGTTGAAGCAATCTGTGAATGTCTTCCACAGCTTAATGTTGTAACGACGTTTACCTGATATTAAGAAATAAAAAGTTGTCATAATTCAAAGTAAATTATTTGTTCTTGGTGTGTAAGATATTTAATAATGAAAAAATTGATAATATACTTACATTCATCATAAAAGCCATATATCCTATTAATAGATGCACATTCATGATTTCCTCTCAGTAGGAAGAAATTTTCAGGGTACTTGATTTTGTAAGCAAGAAGAAGACAAATGGTTTCAAGTGATTGCTTTCCTCTGTCAACATAATCACCTAGAAATAGGTAATTACTTTCTGGAGGGAATCCACCATACTCAAATAATCGGAGTAGGTCGTAATATTGTCCATGAATATCACCTAATGGAGGTAACATAAGAGGTTAATGGTTATGTTTAATGTATATTTTCAAACACAATACCAAAAATGCTTGAAAAAAACTCATATTGATAAAAACTTACCGCATATTTTCAGGGGTGCTTCAAGTTCCAAAAGAATTGGTTGTGATAGAAAAATTTCACGAGACTTAAGGCAAAGCCCCCTGATTTCTGCTTCTGTCAACTGTACATTTTTGCCTGGTCGTGCTCCTCGGACTGTGAACATAATAAAAATAATTAATGCGTTATATAAAATAAAAATATTGTAAATATTACTTGTTTGAGAAAGTTGCTGACAGTTGTGATGATAGTAGAAATAAAATCATTAAGTAAAAGAGCATTGTACACATTGATAACAAATCTTATCTCAGCAAAATAAAATTACTAGTTTAGTTTCCATGATGCTACAGAGACTGTTCTAATGTAATTTTATTTCAACAATTTCAATATTAAACTATGATAGAGCAGAATCATCATTGAAGTTGACTGCAGTAGCAAGATACAGGAAAATTGAATGAAAATAACAGATGGTTAAAATTATTACAGAAAGCAAACAGACGCTGAAAGCAAAGATAAACTGCTCTTTTTATTATGTTGCATTATTGAAGCAATCAAATGTTGAATAAATAATGAGCTGTTTTTCAATGTGGCTAATTAAGTAGTTACACAGGCATGAATTGGAAGCACAGAGTAATTGCTTGAAGGATAATATCGAGTTGAATGTTTCTTTGGAGGAGAGCTCGGTGGTCTGCAAACAAGCAAAGAATTGGACATAGTGCAAACCTCGAAACGAGGCGTTTGCAAGTATACTCGGTCAGAAGAATTATGTCTGCTTGCTGCACAAGCAGCAGCAGCAGCAGCGATGGCGAGCCGAGAAACGCATATGAAAATGTAGATCATCGAAATTATCTCTCTCTAGCAATAATACGCTCGATTGCCGTGTTGTGTGTAGGTGCGTGAGAATTGCGTAAGAAAATCATATCTGCAGAATGCAGTAGCAGCAGCAGCGAGTGTGTCTGGTTTCTCTCTCTCTCTCTCGAAAGGTAATGCCCTCGAGAAAGTGCCATATATAGGAATGCGAGGAGTTTGCGTGCCCGTGTGTGCTTCTGTGCGCGCGCGAGAGTATGCTGCTGTGGCGGCCCCCCCAAGGGCTTTTGGTGCCCTTGACTCGACGAAGCGCGTCGTCGTGTGCACACACCACCACATGCCATCGGTCAACGCTTTTTTGTCGCATTGTCATCATATCGGTTGATTTACAGCGCGCGCCCGAGGTATGCGACAGAGACGGACGGGCAGAGAGAGAGAGAGAGAGAGCGAGAAATTCGCGGGCACGAGGGGCGACCTGGCTCATAGCATAGCATACGATTTTGATCGAGGAAATATACGTGCAGAAATTGTTTCTCGCACTCTCGACCATTATATACGTGTCTCTCGGCTTGATTCTCTCGGAGAAACGCGCGAGAGAGACCGACGACGATAATAATTGAATTATCAATCTCTCTCGCCGAGCGTGTACGAATGCGCGCAGATATGGTTGATGATGTGAGAGAGAGAGAGAGACCAAAAAAGATGGAGCGCGTACAACAGAAAGCCAAGCTTTATACATTATAATACGCCGAGAGCGAGGCATACATAAGCCAGAAGCAAGAAACGGCCGAGCGCGTGTGCTGCTCCGTGCTCCGTGTTGTCTGGCAACATGGGTGCTGCTGCTGCTGCTGCGCGAGGTGTGGTTCTCTCTCTCTCTCTCTCTCTCTCTCTCTGTTTCGCGCGTGCAAAACGACGACGAACATCGCCAGAAAGAGAAACACGCACGCACGCACACGAGAGCTTATGCGCGAGGCGTCGTACATCAACGTCGAGAATGGCTATCGGGAAATTATACAGAGCCAGCCTTAATTATTGGTATACGCGATAGCCGTGTACGTGCCCGCGGTTAATTCGTTGTCGTCGTCGCCGTCGCAGGCGCAGAGATGCGGATACGTATACGCGATACTATATAGCTATATAGTATACGCACGCAAAGCCTCTCTACTACGAGCACAGCTCTCCGCGTCCGCGGGATGGTGGATGTGCTGCTTCGCGCGATCATAGCACGAGGAGGAAGAGAGAAGGAAGATGTAACGAAGCCAGTTATATGAAGCAGGCAGGCAACCTTTTTTTTTCGTTAAACCCACACAGGCACACACAAACACGGGGCGATGGTGGCAAAAAAAGAAAAATGTATAAAACGGAGCTGTTGTGCGATTACTCACCTTCCAAGAGCCGGGCGATGATATTATCGATGTTAAGTTTGTCGGGTTCAGACATCGGGCCGGTTTTGTTGGGCTATCTGCTGCGCTTGACGATGATGATTACGGTGTGTATCGACGTCGTCGACGAAAGTGTGTTCACACGTTGATGATGATGATGATTGGCGATGTCAAACGACGCGTTATCGAGTCGCGGTCGTCGTTCGGCTCGGCTCGGATCTCTCTCTCTCTCTCTTTCACTCTCCCTCACTTGCGCGTATGTATGTATATAGAGAGTTGATCTCTTTTACGTATCAACGCCGCCGTACACTCGTTTCTCTCTACTAAAACGCGATCGTCGCTCTATGCTAGTTTAGAGCGCGGGTATATCGCACTCTTCTCGCGCACACACGCACACTCAGAGACACAGGCACCGATCTGAGCAGAGAGCAACAGTAGCAGTAGCAGCAACAGCAGCAGCAGCAGCAACACAGCAACAGCACACACACGGCCTGTGCAGTAGCAGCAGCAGCAGCTTAGAAGCTTGAGGCTAGCAGTACCACAGGCCAGCAGCAGCACCACGACAGGCAGAGCCCCAACGGATGACGAACGAACGCGCGAGGAGAGCGACGCAGCAGCAGCAGTTTTACGAAACGAGCGAAACCTCGCTCCGTCTCTGTCTAGCTCTTGCCTCGATCGGTGTTTCCGTCCTTGTTCCAAGCACAGTCGCGAACTCGCGCGCACACACGGACACGCTCGCACTTGATACAAACACACAGACGGGCACTTGCGCGCTCTCTCGTCTATATATACTCGTATAATGACTGCACGATATTGTACGTTGCGCGTTGTTGTCGTAGTAGTGGTAGTAGTACTATGCTACTACTACGTTGACTACCTTGAGAGGGCCAAGTGGGATGACGTATTTCGTACTGTTGTTATGATTATTATGCTGCTGGTCTCGTGGACGACGACGACGACGACGCTCTGCGTGTTGTATTATTGGCGCTTTTGCGTGCTTCGTCGGGCCAGAGAGCGGACTGCAGCGTATATTATTATGTAGCTATGCGTGTTGTTAAAGAAGGTTCTATCGCGCGAGCGAGCCGTTACAAAAATGCACCCAATAAGACGCCGCCGCCGCCGCTCCCTCTACCGCATATACATACAAAATGCGCACCGATGTCTTTTCGCAAATGGCGAACCTCTTATATCTATATAGGTATTGAAGTGTGTATACGGTAGTGGGTACTCTCGGTGTTCGATTCTCCGATTATGACGAATACGCACTCACACAGAGGCGCATCATCGGTGTGTGCGAGTATCGTCACAGCAATTTAGCATTCAGAGCGACGTATACACATACGACAAACATATACACGTATACACCGCGACATATAGTAGTACCGTACTACAACACCGAGAGCGCACCTCTACACATGTCGTCATACAAGAGGAGGAAGTCGGAGCGCGCGCGCATATCAACGTCTCTCTCTCTCGCGCGAATCGCTGTGTGTGCCGCCAATACTTGTCTGTCTTTCCGCGTCTCTCCCGCCGTCCGTCCGTCTGTGCTGTGTAGTGGAGCTGTCGAGGAACGCAAGCGCGCCAACAACTTCTCTATTGAGTTACGACTCCGATCTATATAGATATATATGTAACTGTGTACCCTCTTCTTGCTCTTTTCAGCTCCCCCCGACGATTCGCGCAGTTTTAAATCGTCGCGTTTTAAGCTATATATACAACGCTTCGATATTTCGTGTAATGTATGCGCGCGACTTTTTGCTTAGCTGCAATTTGCTGCAGGCAGTCTGCTGCTGCTGCTGCTGATGTTGCCGCACTGCTGCTCGTTCTCTCCGTCGATACTTGTTTTTTTTCCATTTATTGCGGCGCGCGTATACATGGAGGGCGAAAATCTCCACATTTTCCCCATTTAGGTTATAAATTCGACGAGCGCGAGTAATTCGCGTTCCGCAGCTCTGTATATATTTGAAGAAAGGAATCCATCGGCGATTTGGCCGCGGCGCGAAGAAAATGATCTCGAGAACGTGCGTATATAGGTAATACACAATGAGCTCCGATTATTTACGTCGTGGCGGCCGTTGCGGTTTATTTGATCTCGCTCGGAGAGGCGCTGAAGATCAACAACACTTACGAATCGGAGACGCGAAAAAACCAATCGATGCGCTGATTCACGCTTTTATTATTGTGTACGCGTGGAGCCGAATTCTGTATAGCTAGTACTACTGGTCATCTCGTATTTATGCGTACGGTGACTGATCTATTTTTCAAAAGTTCATCGAGATCTAGAGACATTTCCAAGTTTGACGATATCTCAATAACGTTCGAATGACACAAGACGGTTCGCGTAATTTCAAATTTTTTCCCGTTTAGAACGTGTCTTTTGAAAATATACGATACGCAGACGAGTTGAAGCGTATCAAACTTCCATAAAAATGGCTTGGAAAAAAAATAAACCGTTAGATCATAACTAATCTTTTTACACTAGTTTGGACGTATCTCTGTACAAATTATGTAACACAACATCGATTAAAAAGCAATGATCAGATATATTTGATGCGAGTTGAACCAAGTATGAATTTTCCGGAGTTTTAAAGGGATCTGCTCCGAAATACTGCCCTTTAAATTTCGCGCTCGATTCTCGCAATTTTATCTACGCGAAGTTGTGCAATGTCGGAGAGTCGCGATTTAAATTCTTCCGTTGCTAACTTCAGTTCAGTTTTGTGTCGCTTTTACCGTTCACGACGCTTGTCTATTGTTGTATATTCCACTCAATTGTACAGGGAAAAAAACCGTTGGAAAGTTTATCTATCGAAGTTGTGTACATACATCACGGAGAAATTATTTTTTTTATTGACAAATAAACCATAAAGATGCCAGAGATCGAGGTGATTTACTTATCGATATAATTTTACATTTTCAAGTGCACGATTAATAATGATTATTTCGATAAAGCCGTTGTTGAAGTGCCATTGTTGTTTTCTTTTTCTTTTTTTGGTATTTAAATACATCAATGTTAGACAAAAATATTTAGACATTGCTTTGAATGGAAATGAAATAAACATGATACTAGTGAATTTTAAATTAAATGTGCAAGAAAATTAATTTAAAATTTCATCATATAATTAGGAAAAGGACCAAACAAACGAAAATGAAAATGGAAGTGGAGATGAGTCCACAGATCACATTGAATCACCACCCCAATCTCCAACTCCTATTGAACCTATAATTCCATTGCAAGAAGTATCCAACAATGAAGAAGAAGAAGAGGAGCTGATAAAATTGTAAGTAATGATTTGTTTTTAAAATTTTCACTTCATATTTAATGACCATTTATTTTTATTTAAAGGAGAGCAAAGTTGTACCGCTACGACACCTTTGATAATCCTGCTGAATGGAAAGAAAGAGGCACTGGTGAAGTTAAAATGCTTCAACATAAAACAAAAAATACTGTCAGAATTGTCATGCGTAGAGACAAAACACTCAAACTTTGTGCAAATCATTTTGTATGGCCTTGGATGGAATTAAATCCCAATTGTGGAAGTGATAGAGCATGGGTATGGAGTGCACTAGCAGATTTTGCTGATGACACTCCTAAGCCTCAATTACTTGCCATTCGATTTGCTACTACTGAGAGTAAGTTATAATTAACTTTTCATATAGCATTAACTTTTTTTGTTGCAATTAATGCAAATCAATTTATGCATTTAATTTAGATGCCAAATTGTGGAAAGAAATGTTTGAAACAGCAAAGAAAATTGTTGAAACCAAGTGTCAAGCTTATGTTGGAAGGTCTCACGAAGATGGTGAAGTTGAAAATGCTACAAACAAATCATTTGGTGATACTACATCAGACAGTTTACACGAAGATATAGAAAAACTGAAAGTTTCTGAAGAAGAAACAGCTGCTAAATAGTTAACATTTTTGAACCATTAATTTTAGTTTTTTGAAAAGATGTTTGTCTCATGTGTGGAATCAACATTCCTTTGATTTATTCTAACGAAACAGCATTAAAATTTTTACATGAAATATCAACATTGCAGTTGATTAATTTTAGAAAAAAGTTGTTAATACAGTTTTGAATCTACCATTTTGTGTGTCAATGTATGAGTGCTATTTATGCATGTATTGTAAATGGTATCTGTGATTTTTAAAACAAAATGTATGCAGCGTCATACAAAGAAAGTAAGATGTTCTCTGATCTGCAACAGACGAGTCACAAAACTTACAGCTATTTAATGTAAAAGTACATAATAATAAATAACAATGATACTTTTTAATTACGTATTTTAATACTGTCAATATTTCATTACATTACTGATAAAAAGTTTTTATCATTAAGAATACCAAAAATATATCACAAATTGATGTAGAAATTCGGTCGACAGTGCGATTTGCACATTTGAGCTTCTTTTTTTTTTGGTGTGACTTTTAATTCGAAAAATTCGTCACTCATTCTCACGAGTTCAACTATTTATCGGTGCGCGTCTCAGCCTATATATGGAATGTGGGAGCGGGGGAGCAAACGACAAACTTGCTTCAAAAAAGTCCCCGCTTTGGTTAAAAACTAACAACTACTTACAAAACGTTTAAAAATGCACTCGAATCGTATATCACACTGCGGAATAGCACGCGAACAACTATTGTATATAGGTTTTGCATATTCATTTATAATTCGTCTCTGTGCGTGAAAGACTGCAAAATGTTTCTCTTCTCCTCCATGGATCGTTTCTTGTCCTTGGACAGTTTGCCCTTGAGCAGGCCCTCGATCCTCGTTTGCTCCGTCTGGACGAAGACGTCGCCCCGCTCCAGGATTCTCTCCATCGTTTTGACGTAGACCTTGGCGGCGGCTCGGTAGTCCTCGGGCAGCGTCTCCTCGAAGACTTTGGCCTTGTTCAGAATTTCCTGCGCGATCGACAAGACGTTTCACCAAAAATATGATCACGATTCACGCTATATACAAGTGCATACCCGTCTCTCTTGCTCGCCACCGGCTCTGAACTCCTCGGCGAGTCGGTCGAGCTTCTCCACGCAGCCGGGCAGTCCGATGTACATGCCGGTCTTCTTGCGCACGAATCGCTTGATGTTGTCGGCTGTGAAGTCGGCGTCCTTGTCCGCGACGAAGCGCACCGGGTCGGCCTTGCCCTGGACGAACAGCAGCAACTGCGGATAGTCGTCCTTGCTGACCTTGTAGCGCTGGGCCAGCTCGGAGTTGTCCTTGTTGCCGAAGTCCTTGACGCCGACCTCGGCCACGAGCAGATCCAGCTGGTCCTTCATGGTGATGGCGACCTTGCTGAACTCCTCGTGCTTCTCGCCGTACGGGAAGGCCACGTCGAATTTCACCACGGCCGCTTTGAACTTGGGCACGACCTGCGCGGCAACAACGAAACGGGGATCGAATTCGTTGCAACGAATATTATATATAGAGTCGAGCTTGATTTTTACCTTGTCGAACGTGTACTGATTGAGCTGTACGCAAGCTCGGCAGTCGTCGGCCGCCGACAGTTCCATGTCGAAGCACAGGGCCACGAAGAACCACAGACTCGAGAGGAATAACTTTTTCATCATTTTGGCTGCTGGTAGATGCCCAATTTGTTTATAAAAATTACTGATTGCGCATGTAAAAGCTCTGAAAAGAAAAGTAACGCATTTTTCTTAATTCCTGAACGATTGTCTTTTTTCTCATACTAAATTTACCAATAGGAAATTAAATCGTCTTTAAATCTAAATCTTTCAGGCCGAGCTTTTTTACAAAATAGAAACATATGTTGTCGGAAACGCAATAAAGAACTCACAGTACAGTCACGCTGTACGATAAATAATGCATCGTCGTTGCGCGCCTCCGTGCAACGTGAAAAAATTGAAACAAATAAAAGTGTAAAAAAAAAAAAAGCTCGTGCAAGTCGATAAAAGCTCGTCGCGCGCTCGAAAGCATGGCATATTACGATGCACGAGCTTTGCGCGTCGTCGTCGTCCGATAAGAGCGTGTATGGCGAGCAATGGTTGTGTATTATTATGGATGGATATGTATACGGCAGCCGCGTAGCTAAGCTGCGAGTTAATATACATACATGCGATATTACATACTTCTGCACATGTGTAGTGCACGAGCTAACGACCGGTCTACTTTTTCTCGAGCCGATATATCATATGTATAATGCGAGAAAAAAACGTGAGCCTAATTATTGATAAGCTCGCGCGAAAAAGTCTAATTTTACCTGGTTTAATGGAAAAATTGCCATTCAAATGAGAATGCGGCTGAAAATCCGAGCAATATTTTTTAACAGAGGTTACTGCGAGTATTTAATGAATCTGTCGAAGTAGAACTTTTCTTTCAGCTGTAACCTACCCCTCGAGTTTTCGACTGATATACACGGCCACCGCCACGCGCCGGCAATCGATGCTCCCGAATTTTCCAAGCCAAAGCACGATAATCGCCACTCACCTGTATCGAATTTTAAGGACGATACCTGCTGCAAAAAATGACGCAACGCCAACACTGCTAATACGTGTGCACGACAATTCGCACCTGCAGCTTCGTGCCGGGCAACAAACTTTGCGTATTATACAAGCGTTGCAAATGACTGCACACGGTGCACAGCCGTCTGTCGTGGCGGCGGCGGCGGCGTACTTGGCAGCAGTGAGATTTGCGAATCACAGCCGTACACGCGAGAACACCCGCACGTTTGCGCGCGCATATTATCCTCTATGATAACACAGAGCTGTGCATTCGAGGCGGTGTTCGGAAAAGAAAAAGTCGCGTGAATATTTTGTTTCTAGTTGTTGTTATTGTTAGAGAGTATGTATGAACCAGTTAGCAAAACGACTGTCAAACTTAATAAAATGATATTTTTGAAAAAGTTTATGCGATGAAATTTATTAATTAAACATACTAAATGCATTTACAGCAATGCTGTTTTGAAACAAATAATTATTAATTTTTAACAACAATGAGAATCAGATTTTTTTATTTGTGATATATGTGGAGAAGAGATACACAGAGTATGATATTAGATTAAAATACCTTTGCCAAAAAATTATTTTCCAATTAAGCAATACTGTTTACATATAATAAGTATACACAGATTTTACTCCACACACATAAAGTTTAGTTTTTACAATACGATATGCGTTTTTTTTTTCATTCTCCCATCTTTTACCATATCATACTCATATGCGACTTAATTGTAAACCCTGTCCAAGTGCTATTAAAAGATATAGGTTTTCATGTGAATGTTTACATCGAAAAAGCTTGAAATACATGATACATTTATAAATTCTTACAGCTAATCTTTATTATGCGCCAAATAATTATGATTTACTTGTTATACGAATGCCCAAGATTACATGTCAGAATAGTTTGTGATATAATTCACCTTTGTAATGTATTAAATTTTCATATCAAACTAAGCTAAATTTGTAGTTAGAAGTCCTTTATTTTAATTTTTATTACTGAATCTTTTGCGACGTATGTCACGTTCATAAGTTTTTAGTTTTTTGTGCACCTGCTTAATATGCTTCTGGACTTGTTGTTTATATCCAAATTTGTTGTGACATATATTACATTCGTGAGTCTTCAAATTTTTATGAACGATATCAATATGTTTTTTTAGGTAATATCAGTTGAATGACTTATCACAAATATTACAATTGTAACGGTTACTTTGACTATGCATCGGTTTACTTGGGCGAATCTTCGCGGCTTCAGATTTCTTTATCATATCGACTTCTTTCACAATCTTTTGCTTGATTTCCTTATTTTGAAGATTAAAGTTTGTACAAATTTGACTCGCAACATTGTCGACAATTTTTTCGCCAACTGAGCCCGAAACATCATCGTAAATTATTATATCTTTAGTCTTATTATTTAAAAAACTATTTGGAGTCTTCAAGTCTAGTACTGCGCTATTCAAAAAATTTGAGTTTGGATTCTCTTTTTGGTTTTCAAATATGATTTGTATTTCCTCGTCAAATTCGTTTTCAATGGCACTCGAGACTTCCTTTCCAATTTTACCGTGAATTGTGATATCTTCAGACTTGTTATTTAAAAAATCATACGTCTCCAAGTCAAGAGTTGGAGTATTTAAAAAATTCAAGCTTGACTTCTCTTCTTGGCTTTCAAATTTGTTTTCCACTTTCTCAGTCGAGGATTCCCCTTTCATTGAAAACTCACCAAACCAATTAACCTGTAGAATATTAAAATGGATGTTAGTATTAAAAATCAAAGTCAATTATAAAGAGACACATAATCTTGATAACTCACGACACGATCGCATCTAATCACGTCATTTTGGAAGTTTATAGCATGATTGTATGAAGCCATGTCCTTTGGAACGAAATTATTTTCAACATCCGGTAATGTTTCTTCGGGCTCTTCTTTAATTCTAAAAAGTACGACACATTCAATAATTTATTTTTTATATGGAGATAATATAAAGTAGAATAATAGACTACAATTTTTTTGATGTAGTTGATCTTATGCATTTTACTTAAAAATAAATTTTTTTTATGTTTACACAATAAAAAGCGAGTTACGAACTAAAAGAAGATATAAAAAAATAGTAAAAAAATAAATAATAATATTTTCGAAAAATGAATTACTGGAGAGATTTTTAATTACCTTAGAGGAAAGTAAATCTCATTGGTCGATTCCATTGTTCACTATTGAATAAGCCACTTGATGCAGATTCGAATTATTGCTTGTTATACGAGGATTTCAGAATATCTTCGATGGATGTATGCTGATATGAATAAAACTCGCTATACAGATTGGCAGAAAACTTAGAAAATTATTGTATCGGCTATGCGAGAACGGCAATATTGAAATGTTTTTGTTAAAATTATGTTTATTTGAATCAATATATCGAGTCAGTTACTGTTGGATATAACGATAAAGAATTGCTTGCAATTGTTATACTCAAAGAAATAACAAGGAACTATGCATACTTCGTTTAATCAAAAGGAAACTTTCGAAAATCTATCGTATAAGTGTTTACTGCGTGAAGCGCACAATACGAATGATTCAAGCGGTGTCGCGCGAAGCTGTAACAGGCGAGATAAGGGTTTCTCCCTCTTACGTCTAGATAAAGGGTACATAGCGCCGATTCTGCCCACGGGTAAAAGACCTTCAAAGAATTAAAAATATATCGCCTTGTAGCTTCTTGAAAAATTAATTTATGCAATGAAGGGTTACTTCGAAGTTCAAAACGAACTGAAACAAAAAATCATATTTGTGCGATACAGCTAAATGAATTTTGCCGAATATAGCCGTGAGCTTTTTACCCTGACGTAATTAAGCTGTAAGCAACCTCAGATGTTGTTAGCGACTGACAGTTTCATGTCAAAAAAGATGGCCACAAAGAACCATCATCTCAAGAAAAATAATTCTCACATTATTTTTGCGTTGTTTGTTACTAATTTCACGTCTAGAAGCTAAAAAAATAATTAAAATCTGCGCTGATTTGAAAACGATATAATTTCCTTCGCATGATAATTTTACAAAAAGGCTGATTTAAACAACGTGAAAACAAGCGCTAGTTATTTGGCAAAGATTTTAGTGTCTAATAATGATGAGCGTACAAATCGTTTTTAATCAAGGGTCCATCCCATGTGCGAATATGCTAGCTCGAGTTGTACGCCCCAAAGACATTTCACGCCTCTTGCAGGAAAAGGCTCTCCAATGTGTCGCACACATTACATCATTTACACTACATAAGAGAGAGAGAGAGAGATAAGGAGAATCGGCCACCGCCGATGTTCGTGGTCAAGTTTCTCTATCTGTCTCGACAAGGATTTAATTATTGTGCCGGTATATAATTTAGGTACTGTCACGCTGGACGTAGATGTAAAATAAACATTTGGATACAACACGCGCACGCAGTTGATTAACACATACGAAATTGCTAGCTGCTAGCTGCAATGTGTTTATGAAATGGAAAAAAATGAAGAAATTAATTAGACTCCTGAACTCTTGTAAAAACTATATCGAACCTTGTAGTGAAAAAATAGTCTGTTTGGGCACTGGAGTTTTTCAACTCCTTAATTTTTGTTTTAATTTTTATCTGTAAGATTAGTTACTTAATTACATTTACAATAATCATCGGTACCGATCTTTTTTCTCTAGAGCCGTTATATAAGGAGAAAAATCTAGTGAGATGTTTATGAACAGCTAACAAACTTAATGCAGTGACGATAGAATTCACTTAGTTACTAGGTATTTCAGATTCGAATTCATGATAATAATTTCTCAATTAAAGTTTCTTTAAATTCAATTAAATTTAAAAAAATTATATTAAATTAAACTCAATAAAAATTTTTTAAACTATGATTTTTAAAGAATCATCAAATCTAGAATTTGAGCCCGGAATCTGAAAAGGCATTAAATTATCCATAAAGTTATGTACGCGCAAAGAATTTTCAAGATCCAAAACATGGAAAAAATCGCATTAATTGATCGCGTAAATAAATTTTTTTTAACAGATCATAACTCTTTGTAAAGGTTGACATTGTTACCGAAAAATGAAAAAAATCATAGAATGTTATGACCTCTTATAAAATTCCATAAGCTTCAATAAACTTTTATTATATTTTATTAGTCTTAAATCCGAATGTTTGTATTATTTAATCATAGTTTATGGAAGTTTATGAAATTTTATTAATTTTTCTAGAAGAAACAATTTTTGTTAAGGGTGAATTAATAAAATGATATTTTTAAAAAAGTAATTTTTTACGTGATTAAATTTATTAATTAAACGACCGCAAATAATTCATTTGACATATCATTAAACTAGACGAAATATTTTTCATTTCATAATTTTTATAGCAGTGTTGTTTTGAAAAAATTAATTATTAATTGGTACAACAATGAATATCAGATTTTTTTATTTGTGGTATATGTGGAGAAGAGATACACAGATTATTATATTAGATTAAAAGACCTTTACGAAGTTCTATTAAAAGATATATGTTTTCATATGAATGTTTACATCGATAAAGCTTGAAATACATAATACATTTATAAATTCATACAACTAATCTTTTTTATGCGCCAAATTAACATGGTTTGTTTGTTATACGAGTGCCCAAGATTATATGTCAGAATACTTTGTGATATAATTCATCTTTGCAATGTATTAACTTTTTATATCGAACTAAGTTAAATTTGTATTTGGTAGTCTTGCCAGTTCAGAATTCGTTCAGTAAGATACTACTTCGTCGGTACCTCGTTCGGGACGATGCTGCTCTGCTCCTTGGACTGGCATAGATAGATAGATAGATAGATAGATAGATAACTTTATTCGGCCTTAGGGAGACCCTGTCATTAATGTAGCAGTAATTTTGCAACAATATAACAATAGTTTAGCAGTATTATAGCAATAATATAGCAATAGTGTAGCATTAATATATCACTAATAAAAACACAGTCATTACTTCCAAGAAAGGTATAAGTGGCAAAAATTATTTTAGGCAGCAGTACTGCATAATATTCATACTTGATGAATATGAATGATTGGATGAAGCGAAGATGGTGCAAATGATTAGGTGTATATTAAGTATGTTCTCTCTGAGTATGATTAAAGA